TCACGGTAGATACGTGTATCTCCAAAGAGCCGACTAAGTGAGCGGTGTGAGAGAGTCTATGTTGAGCTGAAAAGGTTAATAACAGATTGATTTTATTGTGTCTCTGTACTTGATGCCCATTACACTTGAATATTGCAAACAACTAAGAAGTAGCTTTACAAATTAATGCACAGACAAGATTGAAAATGATTTTCATATATCTTTTGTTAAACATTTAATAGATCTAAAATTTTTATTAAATTCTAAGTCTATCTTTTCCTTAATGTCATTATTCTAATAGGTATTTTAAAAGTCATTAACCTTTTTCATTTTTTTAAACTTCAAAAATTCAGCTTAAACTCTATAATCCAGTCTTTATTAAATGATTATAGTTAATTGTTGAAATTATCAGATGATTTAATCTTTTTGATCAAATCCAAACTTTGATGGTGAATTGGCAAGTATATCTCCTATATTCAAGTTATATTCATACTTTAAATTATGGATTTGCAGAATTTATTCTTCCTTTGATTTTAATGAGATTTCCTGAGTTATTTTGGTTAATTTATGGATCATTTTTGGAAGGTGCTTCTAGATTAACTTCTACAATTTGATTTGTTTTAAAGGGATTTGATGTTAATTTCTATTATATTTACTCATATTTATAAAAAGTAAGGTTGATTCAATTATATAAAATAATTGGGTGCGTTTTCATAAAAAAAATTAAAAGCTGAAAAATTGACTAATATATAAAGCTTATTACCATTTTTTATAGCAACCATAGTGATAATCTTAGTTTAGTTGGTTAGTACAATTTAAAGTAATTTTTCTCAAGATAGGAATATTATAGTCAAGAAAAACAAGTATCCAAAAAAATGTCCATCTAAATCCTTACTATTTATTAAAACAATAACTCAAATTCTTATTCCTTTCATGATTTATTCGCAATTATTTCACTGCTCACATAATTAAACATATCTATTCTTTATCATAAAGGTTTCTAACGTATTTTTTATTCAAAATAAAATTTTTAGATTAATTAGTGAGTTATTTAATAGTGTAAAAATAATTTTATAAAATAAAATGAAGATAAATTCAATTTATATTTTTGTAACCAGTAGACTCTCATATGTTTTTTTTTTTAATATTAAATTGTTATATCAAAATAAATAGATTTTTATATAGAAATCAAAATCCTCTCTTTATATGCAAGCTCTTAAATACTTTAAATACGACTAACATGTTATTGACCTCATTTATTGATATGCTATAAAAAATAAGATGAATTTGATGAAATTCTTTACTAATTAATCAACCATATTTTCTACTGAACTATAGGTTATATAAGCCCTAAAACCTCTCTACAATTTAATTATTGACTATAAGGTGGTATAGATGATTACAGAGTTGTATTATTTTTTAGATTCTCTTTGTTTTATGAATTTTGTTTTGTTTAAAAATTATTAGATAATCATTTTTTTAGAGAGTGTTATGGAGTAAACTCATCAACTCACTTAGAATTTGAGTAAATAAAAATTAATTAACATTTCCTAAATTTAAGGTCAAAAAAGCATCTTCTCCATTTGCACCAATCACAGTTTTAAGTTTATTGAAGGTTAAGAAAGCAATTAATTATTATTTTTCTTTTTACAAAATTTTTGGGCTTTTAAGTTTCTTCCAAAGTTAATCTCATCAATATAAATAAGTGTAACATTCATTTTTTAGCAAACTCAAATCTACTATAGATCATTGCAATTTGTTCGGATCATAAATTTACTCTAATTGTTAAAGGTATGTATCGATATTTTAAGATTTCATCTATTATTATAATTATGAAAACTCTCTTTGAACCTCAAATATATTGTTGCATAATTCAAAATGATTATAAATTATCTTATACAAAAAAATTCAGAAAACCAGTCTGATACAAAGCATATTTAAGTTGTGTTTTTTCCTTAACATCGAAATAGCCAATTATTCTTTGCTAGTACTATGCTCTCTCCAGCTAATAACAAAAGGAAATTTAATTTTCTAATTTATTAGCAAGGATTTTGGAAGACTCTAATCTATTTTTGCTTTCTAAATTTTACTTTCTTATTTTTTATTGTACGTATACTAATTCATTATCAATAATATTTAATGTTTCCTTTAAACATATATTATTTTCAACTTCAAAATTAAATTTGATAATTTTCTCTAAATTAACTGAAGTGTGCTTTAAACCTTGATGTCGAAGTAATGTTACCTAGTAAAGCAATCTTAAATTTAATTACGAATTAAGTGATTTTCATTATTGTTTAATATGTCACTCCTCAAAAATCATAAGTTCAATGAAATTTATTTAAAAAAAATACTTTTTTGGTTTAGATTAAAATACTTTAACTTTATTTGGATGTAATTCTTTAATATAAATTATTTACATTTTAGAAAATATAACTAATCACATTTAATTACTAATTATATTTAGAATTACTTAATGATTTTTTCTAATTCTAATTATTTCTTTGATGTTTAATAAATATTTACACAAATAAGAATAATTTTCATTTGGATAGTGAGAAATAATTTTTAATGGTTAAATTCTGCTCCTTCACTTAATTTAAATTATTGTCAAAAAACTTCGAGCTCATTAAAGATACTCATTTCATTAGCAACTTAGACACAAGATCTATTGATTTCATGCAGTATTGTCTTATACTAGTAGGGTATTACTTACCTGGGCTAAAATTGCAGCAGAATATTTATCATAAAGATATCAGAAATTATTTATGAAATAAAAAAAAAACTGAATCTGATTCCTTGGGCATCCAAGCGATAATTATTTCTAAATCCTAAATTGTAGGAGGACTCTGGTTTGACAAGATGGTTTAATGTACTAAATTTATCCTTTTAATTTAGGGGAATTCAAAAGTTATTCTTAAACTTAATAAAAGATTGAGAGATTGTTAGAAAGAACAAAAGAGTAGGTAAAATAATGGAACATAAAAAAGTAAATAAAGAAAGGAACTCTTAAATAGGAAGAAAAAGCAAAAAAAAAACTGTTGAAATACAAAAGCTTGTTAAAGAAGTTGAGTGTCTCCTCTGATCAAAGTACAATAAAATTGAAAATTAAATTTATATTAAAGAAAACAAACAGAGAATTTTAAACAGATCATAAAATATTATGAACACTATCTATAATATTTAAATACTACTCTCTGATAACTGAGTTTTCTATAAAAAGTTGTTTAAAATTATAATTTTTAAATTATTTTTTCAGTGTAACAATCCATAAACTTCCCTTTCTTTGTTTAATTTAAAACATACTATTGTTTTGCAAGGTTATAGTTCTTTTTAATTTGTTTTTTAATAATGAAAAATATAATTCATTTCAAATGAAATGTTACAAATATCCTTCGTCCAAATGCAATATTTATGCAAACTATTTTGATAGCAAAAATGATTCTTATTAAACCGTAGCATTTTACTTTTTTACTTATTATCTGAAAAGCTTGTTGCATAAAGAAAAGGGGCATTTTTATTTTTGCTAAATATTTGCCATTTTAAATTTGCCTATAATTTTATATCAACTGCATTTCAATAAGTATAAAATTTTTTAATTTATAATTACAACTAAAATACAGTCTTTATAAAGTCTTTAGTTTATTTAAAATTAATAACAGAAAAAAATCATCTTATATGTTTAAAGCAATAATCTGAGAGATTTTGAAAATAGAAAACTCAAAATAAGTTTATTAATTTTATATCAAGGATTCTTAAAAAAATATAAATTAAAGAATTAGAATACAACTTTTTGTAATAATTTAATCACTTTATTTCTAGAATAATAAATTCTAATGATTTAATATTTGAATTTTTTTTATTCCTTTAAAAAAATAACAATGTTTTAAAGTGATGATTTAGTAAGCTCTCAATTATATATAAAGTCTGTAATGGAAAAAAATATAATTATCTGAACTCTAAAATTAACAAGGCCAAGGAAGATCCAATATTAATCTTTTAAGTTTAAAGTTATATGATAATTAATCGAAACCAGACTTTGCATAAAAATTTATTTTTCCTAAATATATGCTCAAATAAATATAAAATTATGTCACTTTTTTGATGTTTAGGGTTGAGGGCTCAAAATCTACTCCTTCAAATTTATTTTCTTACTCTTTTCACTCCGGTCTTCAAATAAGTCATCAAAATCACCCAGCCCACTTTTCATTTCTTCAAAGATTTACTTTTTAAGTTTTTACTCTTTGAATATCTATTATTATATATGTTTCATTTCAAGTAAAAGATTAATTAATTTGAAAAATACTGATCATTCTATTTTATTACCTAAACTGTTAAGAACATAATTATGATTGAACTAAGACTATAAGAAATAGAAATTTTTTAGAGAATATTCTCATTTGTTTATATATTGTTAATTTCATTTTTTTTAAATCAATATTAAAGAAAGTTAAAACGCATTTTTGATGAAAAAAGAATATATTATTTGTTATGAGATTAAATGAAAAAAAGTATATTAATGTAAAGTTAATCTTAATCTTAAATTAATAATAGAGTGGAATATTACATCAATAAACTTAGATTAATTTTTAAATAGCAAAAAAAATTTAATCAATCCTTAAGATTTATGGCACCTTTCTATTCAAAGAGAGACATAATTATATCTTAAGATAAATTAAATATCTTAGAATTTTCATTCACAATAGCATCATCAGCTTCAAATCTACTAGAGTAGGGATAAGAATATGAGTATAAATATTTTTGTTATTAATGGGCAAAATGAAGTCTGATTGTTTTATCTTAACTACCAGAGGCAAGTATTTTACCATCAGGAGAATAAGCGATAGATGTTACAATTCCTATATGACCATCTATTTTTTACATTAGCTTTCCAGTCTAAAAGTCCCACAATATAATACTTCTATCATCACTTACAGAAGCTAGAGTTAAACCATCTATTGAAAAAACAATTTAATTAATCTAGTTAGAATGATCACCAATCTTTTTTACTTATTTAGATGTCTGATAATCCCAAAATATGATCACGCAATCTGAACTACAAGAAGCTAAATAAAATTCATCAGGAGAAAAAACAATATGATTCACACTATTAAGATGACCTTCTAGTTTGCCAACTTACTTTTTTTACCGATAATCCCAAATCAATATTGTTTTATCTTTACTTCCAGATGCTAAAATAATTCCATTTTTTGAAAAGGCAACAGTTAGTACCCAACTTGAATGCCCTTCTAATTTTGAAATTATTCTTCTGGTTTTATAATCCCATACTATTACTGCCTTATCATAACTACCTGATGCTAATGCCCAGCCATTAGAAGAAAAGGCCAAAGAAGTTACCAAATTAATATGACTACCAATCCTTCCAATATTAACTCCTGTCCTAATATCCCATAAGATAATTGTTTTATCATAACTTCCTGAGGCTAAATGTAGACCATCGAAAGAAAAGGCTAAGGATGTTACAATCCCTGAGTGACCATCTAATTTTTAGTTAATCTAACCTGTCTCTTTATTCCATAAAATTATTGTTTTATCAGCACTTGCAGATGCAATTACTAATCCATCTAGCGAAAATTAAATGGCAGTTATGCTTTAAGTATGTCCCTCCACTATCTCCATCTATTTGCTTGCTTAACAATCCCACAAAATGATTGTAGTGTCCCGACTGCATGATGCTAGAGTTGATCCATCCCTAGAAAAAGCCACTGAGAAAACTACATCAGAATGTCCTTCCAGTTATCCAATTTATTTAGCAGATTTAAAGTCCCACAAAAGAACAGTTTTGTCACTACTTCCAGATGCAAGTAACTATCCATCTTATGAAAAAGTTATCGACTCAATGCCATTTTAATGAGCCAATAATTTTCTTAATTCTCTTCCTTGCTTATAATCCCAGATTATTATTATTCTATCTTGACTACCTGAGGCAAGTGATATACCATCAATTGCAAATGCAACAGTTGTTACATCATCAAAATGACCTTCTAAACTCCTGACTAAATTGCCTGACTCATGATTCCATAAAATAACTGACTTATCTTGACTCCCCGAAGCTAAAGTCTGCCCATCTATGGAAAATGCGATTGAATTGACACAACTTGAATGGCCTTACAAGATACTTTTTTATTACTTTACTTAATAATCCCATAATAATATTGATCCATCATCACTGCATGATGCAAAAGTATTTCCATCTGAGGAAAATGCTATTTATTTTACACTACCTATATGACCTTCTAATTGCATAAGTATAAAACCCTCCAAATATTACCATAATATTATTCTATTATCATCACCGCAAGAGGCAAGAATAATTTCATCTAGTGCAAAAGAAACTGAATTTACATTATTTTTATGGCCCTATAATTTGCGAATTTGTTTTCCTGTTTTATAATTCCATATAATCACTAATTTGTCATTCCCACAAGAAGCAAGGGTAGAATTATCTGGAGAAAATACAATTGAGTTAACAATTCCAAAATGTCCTAATAACATGGGTTTCTCGGATAATATTGTATTTTGCCATTTGATGTTAAATAATTTTGATTTGATAAAGTTACAACGATTGATATTGACATGTGAAAATTAGGAGTTCCTTAAATCACTACCATGAAAATTGGTTCCATATAAATTCACATATTCTAACTTGATATTCTACAAATCTTGAAACTTTAAATTTTTATTAAACCAATTAAGTAATTATGCACAATTTGATCCCGCTCTTATGTGATCTGGAAAAATTGCAGTAAGCTTGATTACAAGCAAAAGTTTTTCAGTCATCTCCTTTTTTTTTATTCCCTCAACTACAAAATTTCTAACTCCCATATATTATTCTTAATATAAATATAAATTTTTGAAGCCTTCATTCAATTCATCCATCCATAAACATTAATTAATTATATTTTTATTTGGTAAATGTTAAATGTTCATATTATTCAATTACTATTCCTCTAATTTTGCATAATCCTTTATGTTCTAAATTAAACATAGAATGAATCTAGCAACAAAAAAATCTTGAATTGATTTATGTGTAAATAAATAGCTATTACCTTTTTTGATAATCAGAGCAGCTCTTCTTAAAAGAGAATTGTATTTTTAAACTCCATCATACCCATCAAAATATTGATCAGCCCAATTTTCATTTCCTCTACTTACTATTTAATTCTTTAACTTAAGCTACCCTTTAATTCGATATTAAATTGAAGTTACTTAATGAATTGACATATCAAGAGCAAGTGCTTCAGAGTATGTCATCAGATCATATTTAAAACTTTCACAATCTTTAATTTGCCCATATTCTTGTAATTTCAAAATTTATTTTTCATGATATTAATCAATAAATAAGTTGTAAAAGTCATAAACTGATAACCTCTTTAATTAGAATGCTTAAATTACAGATTATATTTCATCAGTACAAGATAAATTAAATAATTAATTATTCATTTTAACAGTCTAAAAATCAACTTACTCAATCTAATTAATAAGAGAATAGTAATTAAAAAAATGCTATTGTAATAATTATTCTAAAATTAGTTAAGCCTATTTCTTAAATTCTTATTCAGATTAAATCATATTCTAATCCGAATTTGCAAATTGTTTCATTTTATAATCCTCAATTAATCTCTAAGATCTTTGTTAAGCAATTTTTACTTGAATATAATTTTTACAGAATTATTATTAAATTTCTTCTAAATCTACTTATGTTCTTGGAAGTACATGTACAAGCAATTCTATAAGAAATGGTGTTACCAAAAATGATTATAAGTTTGTTTTTTATATTTATTTTAGATATTTCGGAGCACTCCAAAATTTTTACATTTCTTTTTCAAAAGCAATAAATTATAATTAATTGATATATTTAAATTGTTCAAGCTATTGAAGCCTTTTTAAGATTTCGTTTATACAGCTCGATGATAATAAGTTATCTCCATGAAAATTTGAGGAATCTTATTTAACCATTATATAGATCAGAGACCATATTTAAGAAAACTCTTACATGTCAATTTATTTTCCTGTAAATTACATCACAAATTCGTACATGTTGAAAATTAATGTTTGTAAGTTTAAAATACTATGCTGCTTTAAATATTCCTCTGTCTATTCAATATCGAATTTTATTAATTCAATTTCAATCATAGTATCTATTTTCTCACCGTAAAACCATGTTTGATAATTAGATGTTGCCAATATCTCTGATCTAGTAGTGATTATTATTTTTAAATTTTAGCCTGGAAAATCTTCACTAACTTTAAACTGTTCTTTTAATCTATTTGTTTAATATAAATTTTGTTAAATAAAGTCAAAGTGCATTTCATCATAGCTATCTAAAATTAAAACCACATTAATTCTTTTTTACTTTATTAATTCCTTAAACTCTCTTGTTTAAATCTTATCAAAATTATAAAATTCAGATTCTAAAACCTCTTCTAACAAATTAAATTTAGGATTCTTGATTGTAGGCAAAGAAATGTATATTGGAATCCATTTTTGTTTAAATTCATTTTGATTTTGCCACAAAAATTACTCAATTTTCTATGCTGCAGTACTTTTGCCAGCACCAGCCTAACCCTTAATCAACAATACATCCCTATAATTATAAGCATCAATTTTCTAATTCTTTTGATTAACATCTAGTTTTTTCTAATCATCAATATTATATTCTTACTCCCTTATTGGATCAAATTATTAAATCATTAAAAAATTATTTAATACTCCTGAAAAATCATTAACTTTTCTTTTCATTAACCAGCTGACATTATTTTTTTCTACTTTTTAACCTGTTTTTGTGTCATAATGATCAACTTTTAATTCTATATATATGGATTTTAACTCTTCAATATCTTTTTACTGTAAAATTAATTATTTTCTAATTTATAAAAGTTCATTGACTTATTTTCCTCTTAATTTTCTTACATCCAAAGCTATATCATCAACAACATTTTGTAATTAATCAATTTTTTGTTTGACCTATAGTAGAATTTTTCGATTTTCTTTTAATAATTCCAAAGTTATATCTAATTTCTAAGTCATCTCAGTAATTTTATCCAAATATTCCTCAAATTCTTAATAACTTACATGAAGTTACCTTTAAAGTGATACTTAAATAGCCTTATCACCCTCAAAGTGTATTTAATATTCTAATGAATTTAATAAATCTAATTTAGTTTTCATTTCTACTTTCAGATAATTAATAAATTGGCTTAAATCTGAAGAAAATAACTTTTTTTATAACTCTATTAATTCTTAGTTGTATAGAGTTTGCTTGACTTTTTAATTTTTCTCTTAAATCCACATCTGCTTGATCATTTATTAACAAAATTATGTAACCACACCTTCTTAAATGAAATTTTACATTGTAATCAAATAAAAAAATAAACATTCTCTGACTTTACAATCGTTTTCTTCATCATCTATAGGTTTTGAAAAAGAGGATTATTAACACTTTTAAAATAAACTGATAATAGAAATGTATGTTTCATCATATTCATTTTGAATAGAGTCAAGAAATGTTTTTTTTTAAGTATAGGTAATTAATGAATTTAAGCAATTAAATAAAAATTTATATTCTATTTTGTCAACCTAATTCAAATATTCAGAATCTATTAATGCTAATTTATTTAATTTCTTATTTTATATTAATTATTCCATTTATGAACATAATTAATTAATTGATCTTAGAATTGAAAAATTGGATTATATCAAAACTTCTAATTATTATTTTTAGTCGTTATTTTAGTTTGAAACCAATTAGTTAGTTTGATAAATTGATATCTAAAAATCCCTTAATTATTAAATAAAATATTGCAAATTCATTAAAACCTATAAATATTGATCGATAAAGATTAATCTTTCTTCAGTTTTAGTTTTCATTGATGTCTAAATTTATAATTTAGACTAGCCACATTTATCAATCTTTTTAACTTCTAAATTCAAATTTGAATAAATTAATTCTAATTTCTCTTGAACTTACTCTAGTTACTAATGAGAATTAAATTATAATTCAATTAGAATAGATGAAATGCTTGTCATATTGATTAAAAGATTTGTTTTAATTTAACTATCAAAATTTAAGGAAGTTATTGTCCTTTAGTTATTAGCAATTAAATTAATTAATTATTAGAATTAATATCCTTCTTAATAATTACTAGTTTAGTTTATCATCGAGACTACAGAGTTTCTTTATTCCTCAATAATTATATTGATAATCCCTATAACATTTTCCATATCTTCAAAATCTTATTTTTAATTATAAACCCCTTCATAATTGAATTAAGATATATTAATTTGTTCTTTAATGTTTTTTATTAATTTTTAATTTAATATAATAAATGTTAGGATCTATTGACAATTTTCAATATTATCCAATATATTTTAATTTATATTCGATTTCCATTTATCATCTTTAAAATTTAATGTTAATAAATTTTAAATAAATTCAATAATGACAACTGGAAAATTGAAATTATCAAACTATTAGATAAAATTTCTAAATTTATCCTTTAATATAAATTCAGATAGTTTCATTTCCCTATCTGTCAAAATTAAATTTTCAAATTCAACCTAAAATCTTTTCACTTTTTGATCTATAATTTTTAAACATTCGATTATCTTAAAAAATAATTCATTTATTGTTAAATTCTTAATAGAATCTAGAATTTGTCCTTATAATTATTAATTATTTACAGAATTTTCAAAAGTTTTGAGGGCAATTTGAAATTCGTATAATTATTTTGGTATTTTGATAAGCAAAATGAAAAAATTGCTATGATATAATTGCTTCAATTCTTCACTTATAGAACTAATGAGTATTAAACTCTGATTTTTATTTGTTTATTCAATATAATTTTCAAGTAATTGAATTCTTTATAAAGCCAAAATTAATTGAAAATCGATCTCATTTAAAATGTAGATTGATTCTATAATAATTACTTACAAATTTTAGCATTTTGTTATTAAATCATTTTTATATAGTTGTAATAAATTAGCGTTTTAATATTATTCTTGTTTCAGATGGGATAATGATTCACTTATAGATTGAATAATTGAACTTAGCTTTAATTTTGATTTTTGATATTCTTCTAATAATGAAGAAAATATTTGGAGAAATTCAAAAGATTCTTCTTACTGATTTGTAGATTATGTATTATTATTTGATTTATATGTTATATAAGAACTCCATAATTTTAACTATGAAGAATTTTTTTAGGTGATTAAAAGAATTTAGAATTCTCTTAATTCATTAATTCCATAATTGTAAAAATCAACATGAAAATTATTAATTAATTAATTTCTTTGGTCTTTTGGAAAAAATACCAATTTTGCTATATTAGTGTCATAACTTAAAGGTTTTATCTGTTGAGCATCAAAAAGCTTTTTCCAATTCTCTTTTTTTTCAAGTAATGATAAATTTGAAAATATTATGTCTCTTTATAATAAAGGTCGATAAGTTAATAAATCAGAAATCATTTTAATCCAACAATAATGAATAAGCCAATCATTTGAACTTTGAATATAATTATTGTACCCATCCATCAATTATTTTTCAATGGTTAATACAGAATAATGTCTCTTTAATTAAGCTATCACACTCCATTTTAACGATTCAAAAAAATAATAAATATTGTATTTCTCAATGGGTTTAGCAAAGTTATTTTAGATTTTATTGAATAAAAACTTTCCTCCATTGATTATTGATGCAATTAATCCTTCACTAGGCTGTAATGAAATGAGAGATATCAATATTTCAAATGCAACTGAATTCAATATCTCCTAACCTTGTTCATATTCATTCGGCAATTTGTCAATAACTATCTTAATCATTAGTAATTCAAACTCGAATCCTGTCTTCCAAACTTCCAATAAATCTGATTCCAGAATTGATTGAATTTCATCAATATATTTTTCCAAATTTATTATATATTCTTTCTTAAATTAAATTGACTTTTTCTTTATAAATAAAGAATAAAACACTCTCAAAAATGTATTACAAATAGCCAGTATATATAAACACATATTTCCAGATGTTTTTAAATAGATAGGTGCCTATTTCAAAATTTTATCTAAAGAAAGTGTTAATAAATCTAAATGCTGAAGAGCTAATTTCTCATTTTAGCACATTAGATAAAAATATTCTTAATTATGCATAAACCATTAAATTGAAGTCATAATTTCATAAATTGAATTATCTTATTTGGATTAAATAGCTTTGTCATGTAATAGATTCGTAAACTTTATCAAATAATTTGTAAAACCTATTGGTGTCTAACTATTGTGACTATTTTTTGCGTCTATTGAATAAATATCATGAATTATAGAATTATTAATGCAACCACCACCTCTTAATAATGAAAATCCTCCCTCCTTTGTAGAGAGTGTTTATTCGTGCTTAATTTTTATTGATTTCATTTAATTCTATATTGTTTTTAAAATAATTTCAAATTAATCTCATCTAAATTCAGTTATTATATATGAAAAATGCATTCACTCTATAATTATAAATTATTTCATATAAATGCTATATAATAATTGAATTCAACTAAATGAACAATAATGTTGTATATTTTTAATAATAATTGTTAAAAAATAATTATAAAATTTCGGCAGATATTTATTAAAAGATATAAGAGATCATTTAAAATTTCCAAAATGGATTTTAGTATTGAAATTTACTATTGAAGTCTATAATTTCCAAATTTACAAATATTTTGATGATTTAATAATTAATAAATTATTATAAAAAAATAAACCTTTCAGAAGTATCAATTTATTTACATAAAGAATCAATAAAATTTCAAGCCAATCGCTAAGTATTAGTATAGAAATTGATTTACAGATAAGAAATAAAATGATTACAAATAAATAAAAATAATAATTAATTTGTTATTAACGAAAATTGAATAGACTATTGAGTATTATTAACTTGATAATTCAAAACCCATCTTATTATGGCTTTTTTTTTATGTAGAAATTATAAAAAAATGATTTGGATTGATTTCTTCAAATTATTCACATGAAAATACTATAAGCATAACTCTATTTAATTTTGTTAACTTTACCAAGTGATTACATAAACTCCTAAAGTTTTGTTGATTGATATATATTAAAATTAAGATTCAAATTCTGATCTTCTCTTAAATCAGTTAAACATTTCTAAAAAGAAAATATTAATATTATTTTGTTTTAATAATAATCAATTAATTCTAAAAACAGATTCAAATAATTGTATTTTAATAAATTTTTTAATAAGATTATGATTTATTCCATTAATAAATAGCATAATCTGATAATTGAATAAAGATTTAAATAATATTAAATTAATAGATCCCTTTAAATTATATATATATATTTTTAGCTTTACTTATATTAAAGATATTTTATTTTAAACTTAAATAAAATGAACTTTCATGAGAAATTCTAAATGAATATCCTTTGAATATGGGAACTCTCTAAAAATTGACTAATGCATCTAACTACTTTCGATTATTAATTAATTAATGATGGTATATTTCTCTTTAAAATTAATAAAATACAGTTTATCATTATTGATTGATATATTAAAATTACCATATTATTTATAAATTCAAAGAATGATATTGAGTAAATATTATATTAATTATTTTAATATCAGTTATTTTTTATAATTTAGTGAAATATACAAGAATAATATTTCATAAAGTTTTATATTTACATCTCTTAATTATATTTGGATCCATTTATTCCAAAGTATCGAGTCTTTTGTTATAATAATTCAAATAATTTTGACGAATTTGCTTATCATTTGACCATTTTTCATTATATTCGTAAATATAATATTAGAATTAAGTATAAGATTATTCCTATTCGTTATACAAATAATAATTATATTGATTCAAAAATACCGGAAATAAGTTTCCATTATAATTGACAGCCTGTCCCTATATAGGAACTTATTTTTCATTGCAAGTAAATAATACAAGCAAATTATAATCCCACTAATTATCCTATGTTTATTGATATGGCCATGGTAAACATCCTGTTGAAGTAATATAATCATAAATCATGGTTTCATTTATTCCTATCATTTTTAAATATTGATCATTCATAACTCTTGCTACTGTAGATATAGTTCCATCTTTGTATTTTGAAATATAAAGCGAATATGCAGATGAGATTTTTTTTTCAAATTCATCTATTACTTATTCCGATACTACCTTAAATTTTTCTGTATTTAATTTAGTTGAATGCAAATTATCAAAAACTTAACCAAGTCTAGTGTTTTATTTATCAAATAAATCTTTAATAACAGATGCTGGTGTATATTATCTCTCAATAGGTTCAAAATGAAAGATATGAAAATTTTAACATTTATCATACCTAATAACTTTATAGTTAAATGAATGAGGATCAATTGATAAACATCCAAGTTGATAATCTTAATTAAATGATTAAGGTATTTAAATATTAGAATTTAGTCTAAAGACTATGTTAGATGGGATTGAAGGTGGTAAAATTTGAGAAATTTTTGATATTGATTTTAGAATAGATAAGTCGATTTTGCTTCCAAATGGGAATTCAACCGTATACTGATTTTTTCGTTTTTGTTTTCTAATTGTTTTAGCAATTAATTCTTTTTTTTCTTCATTTTTTTTTTACTAGTTTTACAGGATCAATGACATATAAACAAAATTATTTATAAAATGTTATCCAATATCAACTTATTTCTAATATTTTATATGAATTAAATGAAATAATAATAACCAAAATATATTAAATTCAAATATTATAATGCTAACTGAAAAAAGCTTAGATGATAGCTTAAATGATTCCTTACAACCCTCTTAGTTGAAGAATCTTGAAGAAGAATTTGAGACTAATTAAATGATCAACTAAGAAAGCTCTGTCAAATTGGTAAATAACTCATCATACAATTATGTTAAACCTTAATGTTCATATAGATATACTTATTCATCTGAAGAACACTCATCCGACGAAGAGGAGAGTTAATCATCAAAAATTTCATAACAACCTTAATTTTTGACTTTTGGTTAAATTGATTCAAATTTGGGAGAAATTAAAGAATTGATTAAATAGCACAATTATTAATAAGCATATCAATAATTAGTAAGATTCCAAGAAGCAAAATAAGATTAATTGTCATAAGAAAATAAATAATATTTGTAATACCTCTTCACATAAATTTACTTTGGATTATAAATGTATAGGGAAATGTTTTAAATTGCAAACTAAATAATAAATTAAGATCAAGATTATGTTGATCATACATTAGATATGTTGATCAATGCTTCTTTATTGATAAATAATTTAGAATTAGCACTTTAATATTAACTTTAATTGATTAATAGGTCAAATTATGATTAAAATGAGTAATTACGACTAGGTAAAATTTATATGTTATTGGAAAAACCAGTTGAAGCATATTTTAGTTTTCTTGGATCATATAAGGCTGGAAATTAAGAAGCTTTAGAATAATTAATTGAAATCGGACACACTGTGGATCAAAGAGCTTTTCCAGATCTTGCATATAAGTATATTAATAGCAAAAACTAAAAAAACTAAAAAGTGTTAGCAAAAACTTTGTTTAATCTTGCAAAAATTGAATATCCAAATAAAAGTTCTTTATAACATCAGGAATAAGGATATTCAATTTTAGTCTAAATAAATGGAGTGAATGATTAAAATACAATCAAAGCTTTATGTAATCTAGCATGTATGAGGTTGCAATTCTAGTAATGGTAAGAAGCTGAAAAGGATTTTGAACTTTGTTTATAAATAATTTCATAATTAGAAGGATAAGCAAATAGATAATTTATATTTTGTTTATAACAACTTTCTTAATGTCAATATTAATCAAAAAAATATGAATAATCTTTAGAAACTCTTGAAAGATGCTTTAATTTAGCTTCATAATCAACAAATGTTATTAAAAAAGAATTTTTAGATAGAATACTTTTTAATATTGCATATGTAAAAATAATTATGAAATAAAATTTTTCTGGTACCTTGTCAAAATTAATTGCTACTCAAAATTCAGTATTATTAAATGAGATTGGAATTATTTTATAAAAGCATGAATATATTGATGAAGCTATCGAATTATATAATGAAGCTTTAAATTGGAGTTCAAATGATTAACATGTTTTAATTAGTTTTAACTTAGCAGGTTGTTATGGATTAAAAAAGGATTATACGAGGAGTGTTGATCTTTATAAACAATGTTCAATCGAAATGGATGATAGATTAAAATGCGATATTGAAAGAAAAATAAGTTAAGTCTATTATTCCTGTTCAAAATTTAGAGAATCATTATTCCATTTAAAAAGAGCATATCAATTAGCAAAAGAGTTTAATCTAGATTGTATTTCAGAAATTAAATAAGAATTAAAAAAATTTTGATATTTAATTTATCTTTAAATAATTACAAATATATAATTATAAATCGATTCGACTCTATTTGAAAAACTTAAACATTTTTGTTTTGAACGATACTTTAATTCATTATTCTTCATTTTTGAAAGCTTTGTATCTAAACTAATACGAAATTTTAGCTAAGATAAAGTTATATTACTAAAATTTTATTAACTTGTAGACTTGATTATGTTCTATCAGAAATCACTACGAATTATACTACTTTAATGAATTTATATCAAAGTGATCAATATGAGGATTATTTAATCAATAATATAAAATATTTTTCATTTTACAAGGTTTTTAAATTAAGAATCCAACAACAATGAATATAATTTCAAAAAACTTATATTATAGAAAAAATTTTTTAAAATGAAGTTATAAAAAATTGTGGAGAATAAGAAGCACTATGAAAAGTTAAAATGTGATATGTTAACAATTATAAGCTGACAAATAAAAAATCTACTAGAATCTTGAACTCAAAATATTTTAAACCTATTATTTGTCAAAGTTAAAAATTGGTTTTCAAAAGAGGAATTTTGATGTAAATGATTAAAAGGATCTATATACTGATATATATATAGATCTAAAATAATATATTCAAATTTCAGTTTCTAGATTTTCTGGATTTAAAGTACATAAATTTTTTGTATTAGTTTGTAATTTAAAGAATATATTATAAATTTTAGGACTTTAATTGTTATAATTTGTTTATGCTCTTGAAGATGTTGTAGGTGAATACAATGTACTTTTAATAGCTCCTAGAGTATCTCTTGAAGAAAGAGCAATTTCTGTTTTTATTTTATGATGAGATTTATGAAAATCTAATTAAAATGCTCTTTATTCCTTTTATTTTATATTTGATTTAAATCTTCCTTTATTTAATCTATCTAAAAATTATCTTAACCTTGGATTTCTTTGATTCAATTTTTCAGTAATTGATTGACTACTTTCATATTCTGTCAATTAGATTCGATAATTCAATAAGTTTGTAAGTTCCTTTTTTCTTTATAAGTATAACTCTTTAATATCTTCATTATCAACTAAATTCTTTGATCTTATTCGAACATGAGGGGAATTGAAAGCAAATTTTGGTTTTTAAGGAGATGAACTAAACTAGAATTCGAGATTTTATTTATTTTGAATAATCATTGAAGCATATTTTTAAATTCTATTATTGACGTTTTCATTTATCATTGAATTAAATGATAAATTTTTTTAAAGGAGAAAATAAAATTACACTTTTGGTATTTCCAATATTTCTGAATGAGTTGAAATGCAACATACTCTATAAGATCTCTTTTATTTTTTAATAATTTCTAGTTCTCCAAAATAATTTCCTCTTGATAATATTATTAAGGGTTAATATTGTTAGTTATATTTGTAATAGATTTAAAAATCACCATCTAGAATAATAAACCAAGATTATGGTTCATCCCCTATATCAAATACTATTTAACGATTAAAATAATTCAAAGTATTACTACGTTAAATAATTTATTCAATAAAACTAAAATTTAATTTATCTATTGTACTTAGGTGACATATCTTGAAATTGTGAAAATGACAAGATATTATTAATTAATGATTTTTTAAGTTTTCTCTTTTTAACAAATTTATAAAAGTCATCTTAGTGAATATAACAGATTAAACTTTCTTTATGTGCAATATAATTGTATTTTGATTATTATCTTGATAAAAAGAATTCTTCTCCTAATATTTATTTTTCAGTGATTTCAATATAGTTTTTATCTTTTTTTGTACTATTTCGTATAATCATTCCTGAAAAGAAAATGTACAGAGAGTTTACAGATTTTCCAGCTTCAATAATATATTCTTAAGGCATAAATACTTTATAGGCAATATTCTATATGAGACGGTTGAAAAATTATGCTCCTTATGTTTCTTAAAAGTCTTTTATAATTTAAAAATCTAAAAAATATTCTGTTAATTGTTAATAATCTCTGTTGTTATCATTAAGAAGTGAAATAAGATGATTTATCTTAATAAGTATAGAATTTTACTTAAGGAGTTGACATGGTAATAAATTAATATATTTATATTATTATTAATAAAAATCAAATTACATATTTAAACTTCGGCCTTTCTTATCTTAAAGGATATTGTGGAGGATCTTAATAATCTATTTATGAATAGGAATACTCTTCTAATTAGTTATTATAATTACCTGAATCTTTCATTACTTTATTTGGATCATCATTAAGAGAATCTTCTTCATCTATAGCTTCTAATTTTACATCTTCTTAAATTTCATCCATTTTACTTTTTTGCATTTCAAATTTGATTTCATTTTCTAAGTTCTAAGAATTATTTTATAAATTAGTGCTATTATCTAAAACATATTGTGTTCCCATTTTTTCTGCTTACTTTTCTTTTTCTATATCTGCAAAACATTATAAATGATACTCAATCTTAATGTTAGAAGGTCTCACAAATTCACTTTTGTTTTCATAAAATTTCTTTATGTCTAATGCTTAATTAAAACCATGTTATTTAACAACAGCAGGTCTTACAGTTAAAATAGTAAATAATGAACTTATTATTGTTACAATAGCTTTAATCAAAGTAAGAATAATCCATCCACTTAAAAACCAATATGGATCAGTATTATCAAATTTTAATTACTTGATATTATTAAACTCTCTGGAGAAGAAACTTATGAAAATTATTAAAAATAATTCAATAGTTAATATTCTATATGTTTCTACTATTATTTCATAATTAATTTTGATAGCCTTAGTTAATTAATATCCTTAGACTGGACATAATGAAACTAAAATATCACTTAAAACATAGTAACTCTAATAATGAAAATTTCTTTATAATAATGATAAATAGAATGCTTAATCTTTTCTAGGTGTAGCCATCATAAATTTGATTAAATTAATTATCGAAATAATAAGGGTCTCTCCATATCTTAATAGAATAATAATCCCTAGAATAAATTTATAAACTTAAAATTTAAAATAAACAGGTTCATAATCTAAGCCATCATCTGTTAACACTAATAAATATGATAAAAATATTCGTTCAGGAAATGTTCCTATTTTACTGAGAATAGAGAATAACATCAAAAATAATTCTTTTTGATGTGGAAATTATGAATGAAGATATTTTAATAATGATGGATGGACTATTTAAAATGCAGGTTAAATTTTTCTTCTTAATGTTACAGTAACAATAATTTATGCTATCTCAATTGCAATAGTTGAAGCAAAAACAATAATGAAATAATATACATCACTAACAAAGTTTGAATATCCAAACTTATTACATTCTTCTGTTTAATCTTTAACATCATCAGGACATGTTTAATTATAATCTATCAATATAGTATCTAATGGTTTTTATTCACTACTTAATATTTATAAAAATTATAATAAATTTATTGCTAGGAAAGTAATCCAAAAAAACATTACAATTATTTTAATATTGATATTATTTCTTCTAAATTTTCCAATAAATAATGTACTAACTATGAATTAAGGAGGTTCAATTTAATCTAAATAAGCCATTAATTTATTAATTTTATGAATTAACCAAGATCCACACATTCCTCCAATAATTTACTAGACACCACCCATTTATGAATCAAGTTAATTATTAGGAACTCCAAATACTTCAGCTTTACTGTTTTACTTTTTTATTACATTAACTTCAGTTGGAGGATATAAAAAATTTCTAAATCTAAGTGTTAAGTATCTTAACAAACCATCATCAAATAATTTTCTTGTTTCTTAAGAATCAGTTATATACATTGCTTTTAACTAATGTCTTTCATAACTTGTATCAAATAAATGAAAAAATAAATAAACTTTACCATACATTGTAATAAAAGGATTATCAGATATATCAATAAATTCAATAAATCCTAGCATTGGATAGTATTTTCCAAGAACTTCACAAAACTTATCAGTTAAATTAGATCTTTATATTTAAATTTCCTTTAAAAATTAAGGAATAGCTGATTATTCCAATTTATATGTTTAACCAATCCTTGTATATTATTGTAATATTATATCAGCATCACTATCATCTAATTCTGACCATATATTATCAATGAATAGATTTCTTATTTTAAATATTATCTAAGCCAATTTCTTTAAACCTATTCTTGTAAAATTATTATCTCTGAGCATAATAAATTCTAAGTTACTTAATTCTTTATTTTAGATTTATTCATATAATTTTAACACCCATATATCATCTAATTTATTACTGCTTATGTTAATTGTTCTAATTGTTTAATTAGCAAACATTCCTTCAAAAATTAAAATCATACCATTGCTTGTAAATAGGTTATTTTATAAATATAATTCCTTCATTTTTGTTGAACTTTGAATAATTTGTTTTAATTATTATCCTACATTATCTCCTAATTAATTATTGCTTAAACTTAAACTAAGTATATGTTAAAAAGAATAATTATCTTTATATAATTATTATCCTTACAAAATATCTTTGAATAAATCTATTTATAAATGACAATTTGCTAAATTTAAATATCTTAATTTAATATTTTTGCCATTCATATTATTTAATATTCTTGGAATAAACAAATCTAATATTGATTACTTATCTAAAGGATTTTCAGCTAAATTTAATTCCTCTAATCTACAAGTTTAAGCATTCTCTAAAGCTGATGTTAAAAAATTATCTAAATTATTCTTAATCTAATTCTTTGCAATTTCCAACACTTCCAATGTTTTATTTTATGAAACTGCTATTCCTAAAGGTGTAAGATTCAAAAATCCTAAATTACAATCATTTAACATAAAATTCCTTAATGAAGAATTGTTACTTATTCCTAAACATAAACTATTCAACCATTATTATTATAATTTATTTTAACTCAAATCTAAAGTGCTTAACTTAAATTATAATAATATAATTTACATTGCAACATCCAATTTTAGAAAACCAATCTTGAAGAGCATTAACAAAACCATCGGCTAAAGAAACTTAATTTAATTTTAAAATTCTTAAATTTTTTAATTTAGATATTAAACTAACTGTACCTTCTAAATCCTTATAAATTGTAGGATTATAATTTATTGCAAAATATGTAAGCTTTCTGCTTTTTGAAAGATGTTCAAAAAATTTACAAAAATCTTTATTTTAAAATATACAAGAATCTAAATTAACACCAAAAAGATTTCTCTTTTAATTCTCTATAATAGTCATTAAACTATGATAATTTGCATTATCAAAATAAACTTATGATAAATGTAAAAATTCTTATTTTTATGTAGAACATTAATAAAAAAATGTTTTTAATTTTGTTGTGTATGGATTATTTGCTAAATTTAATTCTTGTAGACTTTCATTACCTAATGTTTAACTTAGAATTAATAAATCATCTGCACTCAATTTCTAATAGGACAAACTAAATAAATATATAAATATACTTCAATCTCTTTAAAGTTCGATTAGAAAATAATGATCTATTTATAGCAGCCAAACCTTCAAAATTTATGCAATTTCTAGAAAAATTCACTTCCTATAAATTTTTAAGAGACATTAACATTTTCTCTATATAAGGAGCATGTTTAGCTTCCAAATAATTATAACTTAAATCTAAAACTTCTAATTTGTAATTTGATCCTAAATTATTTGAATTAAATAATCTTTTAATTTATTTATACATTCTATTTTTACTTAAATTCAAATATTTAATACTACTATTAAATAAGGCTTCACTTAATTTTTTAATACAATCCTTCTTCATTGTTCCTAAAGATAAATCTCTCAAATTTAAATCATGTATTATTGTTGACTTTCTTAAGAACAAACATAATAATTCTATGTCTTAATCAGTAATTGGTGCACAAGAAGACAAATCTAATTTTTCTATTTTATTATAATATGTTGATAAGGATGCAACAACAGGAGTAAAAATCTCCTTATTGCCATGGAAATCTAATTCCCTTAAATTAAATGAAGTTAATTAAAATGCTGCATTATTTGATTTTTATTAATGTTCATCTTATTTTATAAATTTTGCATTTTAATCTACATTTTAATCTACTTTTCTTATCTCTTCTTCTTTTTCTAAATAAGAACATCTTAAACACCTTAGACATCCACTCTTTATAAATTTTAAGAGAACAAATATAATTGCATGCCTTATTTAATTAAAAGAAATGTCCAAATGTTCAAAATATACTTATTCATGATTTATCATATAGCAAATAATAGCTTCACCATCCAATTAATTTTTTGCAACAATTAACTTTTTTAGCATTCTATTATCTCTCAAACCAAAGATTAAAGAATTAAATCCTTCACTTTTTAATTAATTATTTGATAAATTTAATTCAACCCATAAGGGATTCTATCTAAGAATGCTTGACAATTAAAAGGCTCCTTAACTGGAAATATTATTATTTGATAGATTTACTACAAGTGTATTCATAAAAAACTAAGGTGGAAAACACATTATGACATTATTACTGAGATTAATTTCATACATTTTTCTTTAAAGTAAATCTTAGCAAGTAAATTCTTCTATTTTATTATTTGAAAGATCTAATTTCTATAATTATGATATTTTTCTTAAAAAAGCCTCTAATTGTGGTATACCTGTTTAAGTAATAAAATTTCTTCTTAATACCAGCTCTTTTAAATTGATTTTTCTCATATTCCAACTTACTCTTTATGCTAAAGTATCTAATCCCTCATTTTTAATATTAGTATCTGAAACATTTAAATATTCAAGAACTTTATCTCCTTTATAGTGTTATAATGCAATGCCTAAACTTGTTAAAACCTCTGTATTAAATTGCATCATTGAGATATCTATGGCATTAATAGTTTCGGAATATCTATAAAAAATATGAATAATTACTTTAAGTTTCTTAATAAATAACTCATAGCAGTATTTGATATATTACAATGAGTTAGTTTAAGTTTTTTAAGATGATTTTTACCTTTAAAAACAAATTAGCTTATGTCATTCATTAGGTCTATAGTAAATCCTTAATTGTTGTATAAATTTATAGATTAAAGAGTTTTATGATTAGTTATGGAAGAAAATATGTATTGTAAGCAAAAACTATTCATTTTGCATCCTGAAATGTTGATCTCCCTTAAAGAGGCATTATGTTATAAACCCTACCCAATTTCAATTGCTAAGAGAGGGTGAATATCCATACCAGAGATATCTAAGGATCTTAATCTATAGTTTTAAATAATACCTAAGACTTCGAGCATTTTACAAAGCTTAACTAAAAAAAGAAAAACATTATTAAACTGGAGCTGGAGTTTCTCCTGAGAAACCTTCTAATATTTTACGTTTTTTTAGACTGGCTAAGTTTTCTTTCAAGTATCTAATTTATAATTGGAAATCTAATACATATTTTATTTATTATTAAGGAGCTATCTTAATTGTTTTTTGACTTGATATTTTTTTTAGCTTAATATCAAAGTATGTTCATCATTTTTATCATCTTACTCTTCTTTAGCTTCAATCTCAACTATCTATCTTTCTTCATTAAATATAGTTTTTTTTGATGCCACATTCAATGGCTAGGTAAAAAATAGTTATTGCATTAATAATATTAATATGAATAATAAATTAGGAATATAAATTTTCATATTTAATAACCATTTTCTTCAATGTCTTCATCAATCTTACTCATTCCTTCTTGTTCTCCTATTTTTGGAAAATTGTTAATTAAAGTATTATGTTTATGTTATTGTTATTTAGATTATTATTATTATTCATTCATATCATTTTTAAGGATGAATGATGGTTTAAAATTATTCATTTAATGTTTTAAACCATTTTAATGTTATTCAAATTCTTATGTTTAACATTTCTTGAAGTTTCTTCTACCATTTTAAATAAGTTAAGATTTATTTTTTTCCAAATTAGAATTAGCTATAAGACCAAAGGATTTTAAATCATTCATAACAGGAACCTATAATTAATTACAATTTTCATCTTCAACTTCATCATCATCAATATTTGTTAATTTTGATATTGGTTAGAAGTTCTGTGTTTAAAATACTGGATTTTATTTATTTATATTAGAAGATTAAAATTTTTATTTTTTTGTTTCATATTTTTAAGAAAAATAAGGATGATTAAGAGCTTCTGATGCAGTTATTCTTTCTTTAGGATTTATAGTTAATAATTTTTATATTAGATCGCAAGCTTCTGGAGGAGTCTTATATATTGCAAGTGAATCTAAATTTAGATGACACTTTTTGTTTTATTTTAATATTTCTTTATATTCTTTACCTGGAAACAAATCTTTATTAGTACATCTAAATTATAAATAAATAAAATTACAATTTATAAAAAATGCATCCAACACTGAATTCATCACATATTACATCATATTTCTATTTAAGATCTCTCAAATTAGCTACTTCAGGTGCTACATATCCAGGTGTACCACAATTTGGAAAAGGATATTCTTCAGCATTAGAAAATGTTGCTAGACCAAAATCTACAATTTTTAATGAATCAAACTAATTAAGTTATTTAAACATAATATTTTCTGGTTTTAAATCTCTATGCATTATTCCATTTAAATGCATATTGGATACAGCTTATAGTAATTACTTTTATAAATATCAGTTTTACTTTCATAATTATCTAAATCTAATTTTGTTCCAAAGTTGTTTATCTTCTATTAAAAAATTCATTTAGACTTTCACCAGCCAAATATTCTAGAATTAAATAAAATGTAGATTCTCCTTCATATAAATCAACCAATTATATGATATTCTCATGTTTTAGTTTCTACATGATTTTTATTTCATTAAATAAAGCATCCTAGTAAATTAAGATTAATTTTACATATCCACCATCTTCTTATAAATATCTCTTATCTACACACTTTGAGGCATATTTTTCATTATAACCTTTTTTAGTTACCATATAAACCTTTGATTATATAAAATATATACTTTTGCAGACCCTCCCTTTCCTAATAAATTTTAAGGCTTATAAAAATCACTTATTTCTTTATACATTATTTATCCTTGTATACAATCTTTTAATTTGTATAATTCAATAGATTGACCATAAAAATATTTTATTTTTCCCTAATAAGAAAACCCAAATTATTCCAAAATTGAGGTTTTATTTTTTGTTACCCAATGAATTTGTTTCTCTACACTAAATTCTAAAATATATTTCGGGTTAGTTTATCGAGGGGACTAATAATATTAAAAATGAAATAATACACTAGATAGAATTAACTAATTAGGTAGTACTTAAGCATAATATTTTGTATCTATGATCATATGTTTTCTGTAACATGAGACTGTCAGAATAGTTTAGTCATAATTTATTGCTTTCATTCTTGAAAATATATAAAATAATAAATCTTAAACATTATTATTAAACTTCTCTGTTGTATAAAAAAATATTATATTCATAAGAGTATTAGATGTATATATGATTGATCTATACTTACATATCAGAATAGCAAATAAGTTGTCATTTGAATTTTAGAAAAATTTACTGAACTGTAAATTGTGAAAGGATTAGAAAAACTTAATATAAGAAATCACTTTTATGAATGATATTATTAATCATAAAGATTAATAAAAATTAATTGTCATTTATATAAAATGTAGATTGTGACAAATCTTTATAAATATTCTTAAGTACTCTTAGATTTGATGTAAGTATAAGATACAATTAGAATTATAAATGATTCAAAGAATAAATAATTTACTGTTTTGCATTAGATCCAATTATTATTTCCAAACAATTAATATTAATATTCTTAAATATATATATGAAAAAAATAATATTTATGACATTGTGTTGTAATTTGAAATTTGACAATTTGAGACTACAAAAATATTAACAATATATCCATAAAATATCTATACATATAAGTATTTTCATTTTATAATTTATCAAAATAATTTTGTGTTTTTCACAATTATGAATACTTGTTCTTTCTTTTCAAACTAAAATTCTAAATTTGAATGGATGTTCTCAAAGTTTCCCATCATTAATTAGCAATATTAGTTAACAGATGAATTCAATGTTGTTAGAAATGGAATTGTAAAACAAAGATAATTTCATTTGATAAACAACTATCTGATAATCAAATCTAAAAAAGTACTACTTTCATTTATAATAGGGTAAAACTAAATGGGTGAATTACGAAAATGCTAAATTAATGATTGTTAATGATGACTTATATGGATATGGTTTATCATTATAAAAAGGAAATGATAAGTTTGAGTTTTTTGGAGATGTGGAAATTTGGTTTAATTCAATGAGAAGATTTGCTATATAATCAGATTTTGACTTTTTTTATGTATTAGAAAAGTAAATTGGAAGTGGTAGCTTTTCATAAGTAAATTATTATATAATGTTAGGTTTTCTTAGCTAGGAATAAATATGATGGTCATGAATATGCAGTGAAATATATTATTAAAAAAGAGGAGATTGTTGAAATTGATAAATAACAATTAGTGAAAGAGATCTCAATTCTTCGCTAATTGTAACATTAATCTATTATAAAATTACATGAAACTTTTGAAACTAATGATGCAGTGTATTTAGTGATGGAATATTTTAAAGGAGGAGATTTTTTATAATTTATAGAAGAAAAGTAAGATGGAATGTTTACAGAAGAACAAATAGCAATAATTATTTATAAATTATTAAAGGTTATCCATTACTTACATCATAAAGGAATCATGCATAGAGATCTAAAACCTGAAAATATATTATTTAAGGAAAAAGGAGTGATAGAATCTTTATGTTTAGGTGATTTTGGATTAGCAGATTTTTATAATAAAGAAGGTAATTACTTATTTACAAGATGTGGAACACCTGGTTATGTGGCACCAGAATTACTTTAAGATTAATAATATGATTATAAAGTAGATATATTTAGTATAGGAATTATAATGTTCATATTATTAACAGGTAAAGAACCTTTTTAAGGAGATTATCATTAAAAGGTTCAACAAAATTATTTTGGAAATATAGATTTATAGAATATTAAAAACTTAACTGATATAGGAAAAGACTTTCTAAGAAGAATATTATAAGTAAATCCATAAAAAAGATTGAATGCCAATTAAGCTTTATATCATTATTGGTTTTAGATGTTTAAATTAGCAAAACCAATGCTTTTGACCAATAATAATAAAGTTAAGAGTATGAAAAGATTATCATAAATTGAAATTAAAAATCCTTCATTAAATATGCTTGCCCTTATTAGTCCTAGATTATCAAGATAATAATCTAAAGATAAAGATAAAGGTTCACTTCCCTTGAGTCCTAATCCCCATCCATAAAATTGTTTTACAAATCGTTAATAATATTCACCTAGAATGAGTACACATTTTACACTAAATTCTTTGGTTCTTGCAAACAAAGAAAAATAATGTCTTAGATCTAGAATATAAAATTTGATGAAATATTGAATTATATATATAAAAAGTAAAAATTTATCTAATATTTATTATAAGAACTCCATTTTCATATCTTTGTTCTATTTATTCTATTTATTTCAAAAAAGTTTCTATCTGAAATTAACTCTTAATCTATATAATCTTCTTCAAGGTTTAAATTTCTATTAAGACTACTTAATAACAATGAATCTTTATATGTCAATTTTCTTTCATAAATTATTTTACCTGAATCTAATAATCCTTCTTCATTATCTTCATCCTTCAAATTATACATTTAATCATTTTCTGATTCTTTTTCTAATTATAATTTTATTCCAACTTAATGAGATTAATAAATTTCTTCTTTTCTAATGATAGATTGTATAAGAAATTAAAGTCTTGAGACTTCATAGATCAAATTCAAATAATTAAATTTACAATTCATTAATTTAGAAATCTTATTTTTGAATTTGATATAACTTTTTGGATTTATATCTTAAGAGTATAAAGAACATTTTGTAATTAGACCAAAGCAATTTTTTTTGAATTTAATATACTCTAATTCAGGATAATAAAAAGATAAAATTTACTCTTACATAGAACGAATAAGGCATTCTTCATTTATTTTATAAATTAAAAATTCAATTAAAAATAGAACTTCTACAATAGATCCAATATTGGCCAATATATCTCCAATTTCAGGATATTACATTCTTTAAACATAGGCAACTTAAGATGTTGTAATCCATAATAAAGCATAACTTTCTTCAACAAATCTTTTAGAACAATAATCTTTAGTTCCATATGTTGTCTATTCAACTGTTTCACTTACAAAAATTTTATTAAGTGGAGTTGGAAATATGAAATCTTTATATATCTAATAATGTGTATACTCCATGCTTATTTTAGTGATTTAACATTCTATTTCTTCTAAAATCATTGCATATGTTTTTTTTATTTATCTTTCCATAAATGTTCTAGGATCAACTATTTTCAAAATTACATTAACTTATAATTCATTTCCACTTTAATTAAAAAAATCATTCATAATATCTTAACTAGCACATTCTTAACCCTCAACTAACATATCTTTTGTACATCTAGCAAAAGAAATTTAATATTCACTTTTTGAATTTAATCTCAATTTTGGAGAAAATACGTTTTCAGCCACATATTAAGAAAAATTATATCCGACTGCCTACTCTTTTCCATTAGAATAATTCTTCAATATTGGAGTTAAAACAAGTTAAGTTTAATTAAATGGATTAACCAATTCCTTTTCATTTGCTGTATTATAAATTTCAAATTCAATCGATGCATTAGATTCATCTAAGAGATTTTCAATATCATCATTAAAACTATGAATTTCTGTAGTAACAATAGGAACCATATCCATATTCATCCATCTGTACATTTCATATACAAAATAAGCTGCACTAAGTGAATAAATTATCAAAGTAAAAATTCCTCCCAATATAGTTTTATAACTAAAACTCATTTTGTTGTTAATAGCAGGATTAAAGTCAACTCCAAATGAATCGATTTTTCTGAAGAATTTAAAGGCTCTTTACATAAAAAAATTTATAATTTATTTTAAATATAATAGTAATGATAATTTAATTTTTCATGTTATTATCAAATCTATTTTAGCATATAATTAATTATGTCTTATGTCAAAACGAAATTTTGATTTTATTTCAATTAAGCTATGTTATCATTTTAGTTTTCCTTCTCAACTTTTTCAAGTAATATTTCATCCTCAAATTATACTCCTTCATCTAAATTCTCTTCATAAAAATTAAATTCTTCAACAGAAAAATTACTCAACTTCACTTTTTTAACTTTAGGTAATAATTCTTAAATTTCTACTAATTCTAAATCTGAATCTTGAATATCTTAAAATTCATCAAAAATTGAATCATAATCATTTGAACATCTATTTATATCTTGCTTTTCTTAACTTTCTACAATCAAAATTTCATTAATATCCTTAGACTATTAATTAATAGAAATTGGATCAAAATAAGAATCTAAAATTTATAATCCCAAACCACCTTATTTATCTAAAGAAAAAATGAAATATTTCTTATCAAGATAAATATATTAAAATCCTCTATTTTTTAATCTTTTTGAATATATCTAACTATTTCCAATAAGCATAGGGAAACCATTTTATGTTAAATCACTTGTACCATATTAAAGTGAATCATCAATTAATAAATTTGTACACATTCTTAAAGTTGGAAGATTATCCTTAATTTAATTGACTAATCCACAATCAAAATTAATAAAAATTGAATTACCAAAATTAGAATAACCAATAACACTTTCAGCATTTGAATAAGTTTTATTTCTATTTAATTATAAATCATCTTAATTAAAAATATCATCAAAATTTATTGTTTAATCACTAATACTAACAAATTATGAAATACCAGTTTCCATACAACCATGTTTTTATATGCTGAATGGATTTCTTAGATTTCTTAAATCATAATATTAAAGATCAGTATTAGTAGATAAAACTATATATTGACTTTATTAAAATTAATGAATAGAATATATTCTATTTGTTAGTAAATTTTGTAAGTCTATAGAAATAAGTACATTAGTATTTTATTTCCTTAAATCAAATAATTATAGTTCTTTTTAACTTTATAAAAATAATAAAAAGGGATTCTTATGTAAAAATACAGATTATATCAAGTAGGGTTCAGCTTATTAACTTGAGAATTATTTCAAAATTATATCTTCAGTTTTTAATTACTTTTTTGATAAAATATATAATCTATCAAAAGTTTATTCATATAATATTTGATTTATTTAATCAGCACTTGAATATTTCTATAAAAATAATGTATAATAATAATACTGATATTGATTTTTCATTCTTAACTACTTCTACAGAATATAGATGTTTTAAATAATATCTATCATTTTATTTAATTAATTATTAAACTCCAGTATGATCATTCAAATATAAATCTTTTTCAATAAATTCTTAAACTAGAAATTTACTAGTGCCATTACAGCATTTCCACTCTAATCTTCCTATTGATTAATTAATATTATTTACTTAATTTTTCTTCAAATACATACTCAAGTATATTTTATCCTTTAAAGTCAGAAGTTAAACTTAAACAATTCCTATATTGTATTGATTAAGGTGAAAAATTTGCTTCTGTGTTTTTAATTTCTTAAACTAATTCTCTATCAAAATGAGTAGTCTTTAGTTTTTCAAGGTATTAAAGATTGGAATGTAAATCAGTTTTGTGTTTAATTTTAGGGTTTTTCAATTTCTAAAAAGGCTTTGGTTAAATAATATAGCCAAAATATTTCTATAAAATTGAATTCACTATTTTAATATTTGGTATTTGATTTATTAATTGTTTACCTTTAGTTATTAATTCTTAAGAATTTTAATTGTCACCATTAAAGCATATTCTATCTGCTACTTATGCTTTTTTTCTTTATTTCATAATTAAATTTTAATATTAAAAATATAATCATATAACAATTAATAGTAATATCTTGTTTTTGTTAAATATATTAATTGATATATGATTATATTAATTAGTGTATTCATTCAGAAAATTTAAATAGATATCAAGAATCTCTTTTTTTTTATAAATTGAGTTGATATAATATATAAATAATGCCATAATATTAATATAAAATTAATGAAACGACCGCAATCAGCAATTACCAGAGTTGATGATGCCAATTCAACAGCTAGTAAACCAATTTGGCCTTTAAGTGGTGTCAGTGATACAACACTTAGATTCTAGAATTCAGTTGATTAATTATTAAGCAAGGCAAATTATTCCTTATAATTAATGAATATTCATGATAGTCTATAGTTATTTGAATAAGCATTCAAAAAAGGGGAACATCAATTATCATCAATTAGATTAGTTAAATTGGTTGAAGATGTTGTTTTACAATTAGTTAAAGTAATTGTGAAATCAGAGGATAATCTGATATCATAATAAATTTTAAACAGATTATTGATTTGGTGTCAAGTAAAAAATATTTAAATTTAGATTCAACAATCAAATGAAGATATCATACATATAAGATGTCCTCCTTGTATATAAGTAAGAGTGTTGAATGCATATGGAGATTTCTTAAGAAAATAAAATAAATATGATGAAAGTACACATTATTTACAACTATCTTTATAAATGTTGTCTCAATATAAATTTGATTCCTCAATAGATGAATTGGTGGGTTAAACATATATGTTATTGTCTTCTAATTCATTATATATCAATCATTATGCCTAAGCAATTTAAGAGGCTTAAGCAGCACTTTAACACTTATAATAGGCTGCTATTTCAACAAATAAAATAACAGAAGAATTACATGAATCAATTTGTGATACATATATAAATTTAGGAATTGCAAAGGAATAAGAGAAATAATTTTAAGAAGCTCATTATAATTATTATAGTAGTTTAGTATATTCATAATAAAATCTAAATGAAAGCAAATAAATGAAGATATAATAGATTTATGATTAATTTTTATCTAGATAAGCTGCATATTTATAGAAACTTTAATTTTAATAATAGAAGTCATTAAAATAAATAAATTCAGTTACAGGATTCAATCAAAAGAAACCATAATAAACAGCATTTCTTCAATAACCATTTGTAGATTTGGTTAAAAATGCTGCAGATTAAAGTAATGGAAAATTAAATAGTAATTTTTTTAAAAAGAAACAAAAAATAATAAAATCAGTTGAGAGATAAAAATAAAATGAAGAAAAAGCTATCTTAAAATTTAAACCTTATTTAAATAAAATGCCTGGATAATCTAATTAAATTCTAAAATTCAAACCAAATTAAATTTTATTAAACAGTTAAATACCAAGACCTTAATCTCCTTTGAAATAACCTTTTATAAATAATGGTATTAAAATAATGAAGGTGAGCAATAAACCAGAATATAAAGTATAAAATAAATCTTTACCTTCATATAAATCTGATATGTTTTTAGCCAAAAAATTATAAGGTTAATAATAATAATAGATTTCATCATCAACTTCATAATTGAATTCTGCTAAACTTTATAATAAATAAAATTATGGTTAATCTTAATAAACATTTCAATCAGAAGTACTTTATAAGAATAAAACAAATTAATTTATGACTCAATAGAATACTAATATTCATTAGATTCCATCAAAATTTATTTAATATCTTGAATAAAATATAAATGAATCTAATTTATTAAAAAATGGAAATGTTTAATTATTATAATCATACCAAAATATTCATTTACCTAGTATTGAAGTAAAAATTTTAATAATTTATAGAGTTAATCAGGAATCTAAGAGATTTATTAAGGTACTATGAGTATTTACTTATTTTCTTAATAAAATATTTTATATTTCCAATATTTAGCTAGTGAGATTACAGATTAATTTGCTGTAAATTTGGGACCTAAGAAGATTAAATTAATTGGCAATAGTCTTAATGTTAGTGATGTAAATAATTAATTTAATACTATTAATTAAAATCCTTTAGGAATGAAAAATGTATTATTAAGTTTTAGTGTTGAATATTTTAGATATGCAAAAATAAACTTAGATAAGCAATGCTTTTAACTTCCTTATAATTAGGCAAACTAATTTTATATTTATATTCCTGAATAGAATTAGAATTTATTGATTCAAGTTAAAAATGAATATGAATCATTAGTGTTTCTAGTTGATGCATTTGAAGAAAATGGTTAAACTTCAAAAGATTAAGAAATATAACCTATATTTAATCATAAATCAAATTCTGTAGTTTCTGATGAAATTCATCCTTTATTAGCAGAATAAATTAAATAAATAGATGAAGATGTATAACCAGTATTTGAAGAATAAGAAGAGAAACTTGCAACATCATAAGAGTATTCATAAGATTTTGAACCTACACCTATAATGGAAGAAGCTCCTTAGGATAAATTTATTCAAAAATCATCTTCTTTACCTTAAAATAATAATAATAAAAATTAATATGATGGAATGGAGAAATTCACTATAAAAATAGAATCTGAGGATTAGAGATAATAAGTAATAGAAGTTTATGCAACAGATAAAAAGTAATAGTAAGATGAAGAAATAAAAGAGGAAGAAGATCATGAATTGAATGCAGCTGCATTATTAATTTAAAAGAAATTTAGAGAAAAAAGAATGAATTTGAAACATTGATTAGTTGTTTTATTATATAAAACATAGTATTTAATATATAAATATTAATTAAATAAATAATATAAAAATGGGAGGAGATCATCATGAAGATCATGATTCAGCTTTATCACATGAAATAAAAGCTGAATAAATTAAGAGATTATAACCTTTCTATTAATAAAGATTACCATATATTTTAAGACCATTTGCATCATTGATTTATCATAATATTCCAACTATCAATACAGATAATTATGAACATAAATCAATAGAAAATTATTGTAAATATATATGATATTATTTATATAGCTGAGTCCCAGATTATTAATAGAACTGTATTTGCCTTATAAAAATTACAGCTTTTGAATCCTAATTTCTTTACACCATAAGAGTATTAAATAATCTATAATTATTAGAAATCGTATATTGTCTCCATTACCCTCAGGAATAGTGTCATATACACTTCAATTCACTTGTTCAGCAATGAATGCTATATATGGATTGTATTTATATAAGACATGGAGTTTCAATGCTAAATCAATTGGACTTTGGGCAGTATTTTTAGCTACTTAATAAGTATGCCTATAATATCCAAACTTTTTATGCGAAGTATAGATATAAATTTAAATATAAAGACTCTTATCTAATGGCCTAGAAGAAGAAGATTAGCAAAATAATATCTTGAAATTTATGGTCCAAATTATTTCCATTAAATTATTGATCCAAGATTCAGTGTTCATAAACTAGAAACATTAAAAAATATAGCATGAGAGATTAATATAAAAATCATAAAACAAATAATAATTTCATTTAATTTTATTATTATTGTTATTATTTGTACCATTCTTTTATTATTAATCATGAATTGGTAATTCATTTTATTTTAATATTTGTATTTATTATTTTAATGTTTTATTTTCTTATATATATGTTTATTTTTCTGATTCTAATTGTTTTATTTCTTATTATGAAATATCTCTATAAGCTAATAAATCTTCTTTTAACGAATTATATTTATTTTGCATATCTTTATGATCATCAATTATTTATTATATTTTCTTTTTATCATTATATTGTTAAGTATTTTCCTTTAAATTCAATTGACATGAAGATAATAGATTGTTTTTAAACATCTTTTATTGATATTAATAATTGGTTTCTATTCTAAGTAATATTCGTGGCTATTCTAAATCGTCTTCTATAAAATTTCCATCATATTGATCATCTTTAGGATCGAATAAAGTAATCCTATTTAATCCTGTAATAATACCATCTAACTAGATTTAATTATTTAGTTAATTATTTAGAAGGAAAACTTATACTTCCAATAGTTTAGTTTCCATCTTTGATAATTATTTTGAATTCTCTACCTTCAATCAAAGTTGATATTGGTAATTAAGAAACTAAATGAGTTTCAATAGTTTAGCAATTAGATTATATTGCAAAGTATAGTTTATGAAACTAACACCCTAAATCAATATCATACAAACTCACTTATATCATACCTTGATAATTCAATATAATTTCAAATTTTTATTAATGTATTATTCTCTATTAGTAAATTTGGAATAATCAAAATTGTATTAAGATTATTAAGATAGAATCTACATTAATTCAACTTATTTAGATTTGAATTATCAATTTTAATTAGAATTCCTAAAAACAATACAACTTTTTAATATTTAATTGATTAGTAAATTAATAAAAAAATTGATTGATTTCATTGATCATGCATATATCAAATAGAAAAACGAAGTTTGGAAACGATCTAAACTTACCAACCATACATAATAAATCTACTCCAAAAAGAAATGTCAGTTCAGGATAAACTAATTTAAAAGCATAATTTTCTAAATGTTAACAATGTGGTGAAGTATCAGTTCCAGTTTGTTGTGTTGATTGTTATATGCTATTATGCATAAATTGTGGAATAAATCATTCTAAATAAAATTAATCTCATAATATAACTAATTTTCGTGAAGCATTCAGTTTACTAACAGATGAAGTTAAAATTTTAGATGATAAAATTAAAATTATTAATTAAAACATTAATAAAAAGAATAACAATCTGAAGAATTAGATTAATTGTTAGTTATTTGAAGAAAATTTATAAAAAATACTATCATTAAGAAGATAAGTTGAATAATAAATTTCAAATTTTTTTGATAAAATTTATAATTAATATATCTATATGTGGAATAATTTTATTGAATTATGGGGATCAAATAAAACATTTCTAGATAGATTAAATTCTTTCTAATTGAAGATTTTATTATTTTTATAGAATGAATTATAAGATCAGTTATCATTAGTTGAATCATTATTTAAAGAAAAAGTAATCTAATAATCCAAAACATTGTTAAATTAATATGAAAAAAGAGAATAATTAATATCAAAAGATGAAGTTTCTATTATATATCCTCCCAGATTACTTATAGATTTAAATTGTATAACTAAATAACATTTATAATTATCATAAATGGTATAACTTATAGATTGGTATGAAGATGCTAAAGAAGAATTATATAAAATTAAAGGAAGTGAATATTAAAGTTTACCATTAATACCACCATTTGCTAAAGTTATGTATTTATATGATCCAGAAACATAAGAATATTAAATTGGAGAATTTTAAGATTTAAGACATTAATAAATACCTTAATTTTTGAAAACAATATTTTTAAATGATGGAACTACTTACATAGTTGGTGGAGCTGATTCTAAAGGAAATCCAGTTAGATCAATGTTGAAATGTAAAGATGGAGAATTAACTAATTTAGCTCCATTACCAAAAGCCAAAAATCCAACAAATGGATTAATAATTTATGATAAATTTATATATGTTATAGGAGGTTTATAAGTTGTAGATGATAAATTATAATGGAGTAAAACATGTGCAAAATATTGTATCCAAGAAAATAAATGGTATAATATTGAGTCTATGAATTATCCAAAGCCTAATCAATCAATTTTTAGAATTAATAATTTCATATATGCTTTTGGATTTCAATAACATGAATTCATTAATTTTGAAAAATATGATATAGATGAAGAAAAATGGAGTCTAATAACTTTATCTTAAATTTCATTAAATCCATTTTTATTTGGAGGTGGATATTCCTCTATTTAAATAAATGAATTTTAAGCATTATTATTTGGAGGAAAATAATGGAGTAGAAAATTTGTAGATGATGAAAAGGAATTTTATTTTGATGATGAAATCATTAAGACTGTTTTTTGTTATGATTCTATTTAAAACTAATTTATTAGTTTAGGTGATTGTTTACCTGGAACAGGAGTGTCATATGGTGAATTCTAGCCTATTTGTTATAAGGACAAAATAATACATTTTGAAGCACCTATATCTAAATAAAGAAAAATAAATTAGTTGCTATAAATTATTAATGTAGTTTAATTTTAATTTGTAAATCAAGTCTTAGAAACTGAAATTATATAAATTTTAACTCCAGATTGAAATAATCAGCAATTTATGAGTATATTTATAAAAATTTAAATTACTTAATATGCACAAATTTCTAAATACTATTGAAAAAATAGATATTTTTGGTGTTCCAATAAGTCTTCTCACTTATAAAAATGAGTCAAAGTTTCAAAGTATTATGGGTGGAATTATTTCTATTTTTCTAGGAAGCATAAGCTTAGCATATTTCTTATATATAATAGCATAATGGATAAATAATGAAATTACTCCTAATGTTAGCTCAAAATAATAAACTACTGGATATTCTGAATTTGAATGGAAAGAATCTTTAATACAATTAAATTTAGAAGATTTTACTAGTGATATTGATCCTTTTAGAAAAGAGAATAACATAATTACCCCATTGTTATTTACTATTTTTGGAAGTAGTATTATAGAAGATCCAACACCTTTCTTTAGTGTTGATACTAATCCTATGTCTATTTTATTAAATAATGGTTCATTGGTTCTAAATAATGCTTATGATTAAGATGAAGACCATAAAGTAATGAAATAATATCTATTGGTTTTTGCAACTTGTTCAAATAGTTATCATATTTCAGGTAGAACTTGTGCAGATGATAAAACAATTAATGATTACATATCATAATAACATGGATTCATGTTTTTGACAATAAGATTAAATCAATTAAATTATGTAACAAGAGAATTAGAGCTATTTGCTAAATAATATTATCTAGCATTTAATCCTCAAAGACCCATTTATTCTTAAATAATGTTAAAATAATAAGAAACAATTATAGATGATGGTGTACTATTTAAAAATTATTAACATTATTATTTTTTAAACAATTATGAACTAATAAATTAGGAAGTTGATACTAATTTTATGCCATAAGTTGTATAATTTATGTCAAATGGAAAATATAATATAGATATAATAAATTCTTATTTATTTAGAATAGATAACATTTCAATTGTTGAAGAAGTTACAATGCCAAAATTAGGTTCAATACTAGCTTAGATAGGTTCAATTGTATAATTAATATTTATGTTAAAATATGTTGCCATCTATTATAATAATAAATTATTAGAAAATGAACTGTTACATGATATTATTACTATGTATTATCCTGAATTTAAAGATGTATCATTGAATGTATTTAATTAATTTGAAATTACAATGGATGAAAATGCAAAATTAAAAAATGATTTATAAAATATAAAGAAAAAGTATTAAGCTTTGTTGAGAGGAGCTAAAGAAAAATGTCGGCTTAATAATATACTTTATGAAATATCACGATTATAGTTTATTTTATAATAACAATTTGGAAATTAAGCATTCTTATTATGTCATAATTTAGGTGCTAAATTAAGTGAAAAATAATCTGAAGAACAAAGTTTAAAAGAGACAAATAGGATTGTGATTAGACCAATTAATTCTTTTGAATTAGAACGTCGGTGCTCTTCATTAGAACCTTTAGAAATGTTATTAAAGTAGCCTTGAGAATAAAGTTGAAATTATATTATAAATTAGAAATATTTTATTACCCTAATAGATATGATTAATATAAAATATTTATCAAATTTATACATAATATTATTTTTGTTATTTAAACAATAGTTAACTCAAAAACATAGTGATAGATTTTGGGGTAAACTTTTTGTTTATATTATATAAACTATTTTTTTAGATGTGTTTATTGATATAATTCCAAAAATCAAGATTTAGTTTTAAAGATATAAATTAAATATAAAAAATGAGAATGAAAATTATTAAATAAATAAGTATAAATGTTTAGTTATTCTTTGCCGAATTTACCTGATTCTCTACATTTTTCACACTAATTATTACTAACATTAACAGCACCACCATCAAATTTGAACCCAGAATATTTTAGCTCTCTGATGAGCCAGTAAGAGAATTCTGTGATATTTTAAGGTATGGACCTGTAGTTAATGTAAAAATTTTGAATCGATCATTAATGGAATGTCGAGTGTTGGTGGAGATGGCTAATATTGAAGCAGCAAAAAATGCCAAAAAAGCATTAGATCAACTATCATCGAATTTTATCAAATGTTCTTACTATTAAGATGATAAACTAATGCCACATGGTTCATTTACTATAGGATCATATGAAACTATTGAAGATACAACATCAAGTACTTATAAAAATAGGCATTCCACATCTATAAATGATAGTATTATATATAGTAATATAAAAATTAGTAATACAGGATGGAGACTCTAAACCACATAGCACAACTGTATTGCCTATAAGTTAGAAACTTATTCCTTCTCAAAAAAACATTTAATCAACAAAAACTGTCTGCTTAAATGGAATTTTTGGAAAAGAATTGGATGCTCATAAGTTATACAATATATTTAGCAATTTCGGTAATGTAGACAAAATTATATTAATAAAGTAATAATTTATACATAGAATTAGTATAAAAAATTTTGCTTTAGTAAAGTACTTAAAAGAAGATCAGGCATATTTCGTATATTAGAATTGTCAGAATTTATAATTTTTCGAAAGTTCTATAACAATCACATTCGCTGCAGATGATTCAATTGAAAAGTTATTTGGTCTGGATACTCTATATAGAGAATAAGACTATTATGTTGGATCTGAAGACACAGATAGGTATATATAATTAATAATGGAATATAGGTTCAATGCAAATAATAAAATGATATTATTGCCTCCTAGTCAAGTTCTTCATATCTCTAATTTGAAAAAAGTTTCCTCCAATGCTGAAACAATGTGGGACATATTTTCTGAATTCGGTGTTGTTGAAGTACTTTATAAAATAATCAATAGGCTGTTAAAGTTCTGAACTCATAGTTTAAATTTATGTGTTTAATCAAAATGGAAACTCTTAAGCAAGCTTTGGAAGTAATGGCACTAATGCATAATGAAGAAGTGGATGGAAGAAACATTTAAATTTCATTCACAAAAGCCAAAATCTGATTATAATAAGAAAATATTTAAATTAATTATTATATATTAATAATAATTATTGTCATAGTTAAGTTTATTTCTAATTATGATATTAATTATAATAATATATAATAATATTAATATAATTATTATAAATTTTTTCATTATTATAATGCAAGATCATTTGTAAAGATTACCTAAAATAATATGTGACGTATGATTATTTGCTATTAAACCAATTCTTCAAATCTTTATTTCTTTAAATAATTCCTTATATTACAATGAATTGCTAACATACATATGATCAAAACCTAATTCTTTAACAATATTTGATCCTCTAACAGATGTTAATTTATAATTAGATGCTTAAGTATTTAAAAATAATATTCATTAGAGCCTCATTTAATAAAAATATTTCTACTCCCAAGATTTTGATTCCAAAATTAGAAGAAATTGACATATCTAATTCCTAAACATCCAAACATGATGATACATATTAGATTTAAATATAACAAGAATAAAATATAAAAACTAAACCATAAAAAATATAAAAGAAACAAGAACTTAAAAAATTTAAGATATTAAACAATAACAATAATGAATCAGTTGAAATTATTCAAAAGAAAAGAGTGTTTCTTTCAATGTTAGATATTAAAGAAGTACAATATAAAAAGTAAACATTTATTATTATATGTTAGATTCAAAGTTTAATAAAATGAAGATAACAAAAATAATGTTTCTGCCATAGTTGATACTCAAATATGACTATAGTTTATGATTTTATTATTGTTTATATATATATGAATTTCACAAATTCATAAAAATACATTCTATTTGATAAAATTAAGGAATCTCATTGCATATTCTCTAGGTGGAACACATGAAATATTAGAATCAACAAATGTATGTTTCAATGAATATTCAATTTACTTTTGCATACTTTTAGATGAACAAAATTAATTACTTATATTCTGTTAGAATATCAATTATTCCAATAAAATAGACTTCCTTTTAATCTATTGACACAACTTAATTTTTGATATTACTATCATGTCTTATTGAATGTATACCAATCAAAAGACTATAATCAATTATTGAACAAGATTCTAAAAATAGAACATCATTTTTAAATTAAGATAATAAGGATTTTGTAAATTCTAATTATAATTATTATATAAATAAAAAAATACCTTAATCTAATAATATTTTTTTTTTATCTTCTAAAAAGTCTAAGTCTTTTAAAGCAACATTTTTATCAGTAATTTAATTGGCTTTTTTTGTTTTCCTACCATAAGTTGATCCCTTAAGATCATATCTTACATCAATAGATAAAGGAGATTAAAATACATTAACAATAACTATTATATATGTTTTTGAAATCAATGTCTTATCTTTAAATGCTTTTAAAACATGTTAACCTAATATCTTAGATAAATATGTTTAACCATAATCTCTTATATATTAGTAATATTATTAAATAATTCTAGAAAGTAATTTAAATTCATTTTTTGATATTGTTTTAATCATAAAATCTCCATTATCAGTAAAATAAAAAAAACTTCCACTCTTCCCTGTAGAACTTAATTCACTTAAACTAGTTAATTTACCTATCATCAAATTACCCAATAGATTTTCAGGACCTATAGATGTTAAATAATGTTTCTATGAAATTTTAAAGATTTATCTAATTCTTTCATAAACCAATCCAGCATAATCAACAAACTAATAACAAATATTTTAATTATTTGAATTAGAAATATTATATATGTATTTGCTCTAAAAATCTTTTTCTTTTAATTCAATAGAAAGAGGACACAAAGCCTAAGCACATGCTCTCATTCCTATCATCATTGATATAACTAAATTCCAATTTTCATGTCCAAAATAAATAGCCTTATGTTTTTTTGGAATATTTGCAATTGTGGCTCTTCTAAAGTCTTCACTCATAGGTTTTTTCATTTTTTTCTAATCTAATACCATTAATTTATCTTATTTTCCAAAACTAGCAATTTTCTGCATTCTAGATTCATTTTAAAATAAAGAAAATTATGGTTAATTAGTCTAATATTATACACTTATCTCTTAAGATGGATCAACATCACCAGGTCTTTTTGGTGTTTAAATACTAACATAAAAAGGTCCATCTATTTTATTGTCCAATTAATTAATTTAACTGATATTTGCATCAAATATAATAGATTCTCCTCCTCTTTTTGAATTCTTTAATTAAATTATACAGGATAACACTTCATCTTATAAATTATCAATAGATTATTATAATTTGTTATTATCAATTTCTTGTATATGTATTTATTGCTTTTCAGTTTCTGTATCATTAAAAAACTCAAACCAATCAAGTGCATTAGATATATTATCATATGCATCTAAATAGGCTGAAAAGCTTATTTCTCCTGTTGATTACATTCCTAATGCTTTGATTAGCATTTCGACTTTGGAAAGATTGGGCAATACTTTTGAACCTGTAATTTAATGCCAAAAGAGTAAAATATCAGCACATAACTACTCAATATCATTTTATAATATTCTTCCTGTGTCACTTATATCAAGAAATCGAAAACTCATTTCTGCTTTTTATTGTTTATTTCCATTGACAAGAATGTTTAGATAGTTTAAGAAATCTTCGAATGTTATCTTATTTTTGAATTTTTATTACTTTATTGGAATCCTCTATATCGATCACATGAAATAATCTTAGACTCAAAAATTCAGCATTAGCTAATCCCATGATCCCTAAACTTTCACGAAATTATTAATAATTGATATATCCAATCTGTGCAATCTTAAGAAATCTGATACTATTACTTTAATAAAGAAAACCTTTATCTAATTTTTTTAATTTCTTTATCTGAAAATCCTATTCTTCTTTTAGAGAAATCATATTCATCATACTTTTTGAATTTTTTTTTATCATTAGTGTGAATAAAATTAATTCTTCTTTTCATTTTTTTTTAATAATATATAATTTAAATAATAATCATATTTCAGGTAATTTAATTTAAATGGTTCCTTATGTTTAGTGTATTAATTTATTAATCTTATTAACATTTGAATTTTATTTAAGTAGAATCATATGATTCATCATAGTTGAATGCATTTTTCTCATTCTATGATTCATTTTAAATTATTAATTGTTCAAATCTAAAACATTCTATAATTTTTGAAACTTTTGTTTAATAGGTTAATTAATTTAAGGAAATTAATCATCATTTTCATCCTTATCTTCTTTATCTTCTAATAATAATATGCTATCCACTTTTGATTATGTACTGAATAGTTAATTTCCTAAAAGTAAACTATCTTATTTATCTGTGATATTGTCTCTTGGACTCATCTTCTGATCTCTTGGAGTGTTTTACATCATTTATATAATGTAACTATATTTATCTTTAACATCTATATTTTCATTGTTGATTTTGAGATACATCTACTTTCTTTTTATCAGTTCTCCTAATCTACTAAATAATCCAACTAAAGTTTGAGGAGTTGTAAATTAACAATTTTACAAATATGCATTATTTCCAATTAATTAGAACACTTCTGATTTTGGTTTCTTTCTGTATATCATTTAAAGTTGAGGATTATGCATCAATTGATGTAAAGAATGTAAATTAATCATTTAATTCAATTACTAGTTGCAAAATTTATTTGCATTTAACATTAACTTAGCTAAAATTGAAAATGGGATATCTAATTTCCAGATCTATGAAAATGTTAAAGCATACTTTTAATAGTTTAAATAAACCGACTAAAGTAATATTTTCTTATTAGACATCAATTTGATTTTCTAGAATCAATAAATACAAAGGTCTAAGTTATTATTCACATTCTTCATTGTTAGATTGATAACAAGTTGAATTTAAACCTGGGAGTGATTACTTTTGATATAACATTAGATTTGATAATTTATTATTGTTTTGATATTATTTTATTCACAAAATGTATTTTGCGTGGTTTCTTTATATTGCTTTGATTTTGGTATTCTCAATATTTTTATTTAGGGACTATACTTTTTATCCAGAATAATAGTGAAATACTATATAGACCCTGCCGAGTCCTATAACTTTGCTATTAATTCAATTTGTTTAAGTTTTACTGTATCCATGATTTGCATATTAATGGTACCAATCGATGTATTTGTGACTTCTCATCCAAATGATGTAATCTCAACACTTCATCAACCCATCAATAAGTATTTTATAAGGGAAGTATTTATATGTAAGAATGATATTAATCCTTATAGATCTTTATATTGGATTATTATTTATCACTTTTGTTATCCTACCATTTAATTATTTTTATTCTGAAGAAAGAGCATTGAATTATGATAATGACTTTGACTTAGATTTAAGTGAAAAACGTCTATCATCAAAAATAATTAGATCAGCCAAATAAACTGTATATTTTATAGGGTTTATTTGTGTTTTATTAATTTCAGGATTAGTATTTAATCCTGAAGTAAATTACAGTACTTCTGAAAAATTAGAATGGGTTAAAACTATGTTTGATGTTGATCATTTAGGGGAATAAGCAATATCATTTTGCATTTCAATAATTTTAACATTTGGTTTTTGTTTATGGGTAATTTATGGTTCATATGGATTAACTGCTTTACCATTTTAATTGATTAAAGGAGCAAGGTCTTTGGAAGAAGAAAAGTCATAGGTTGATAATGATTTAGCTAAATTAAGAGAAAAATATAGGGCAATATAAGAAAAATATTAAAAGAGTTCATCTAAAATATCGAAAGGAGATCAAAGGGTATATATATGATAATTTATATATATAAATTAGGCATTAACTAATTTAAAAAGAAAAGAAAGGTTCTTAAATTTAAAAAACGAAAAAATTATAGAATTAGAAACATAAACTAAATCTTTATAGACAATATTTAAAATAATATCTCCATTTAGAATAATAATAGGAATCATTTGCTTATGTTTTTCAGTTCTAATATTTAGTTCTTTAGCAATTACTACTTATGATAAAGTATTTAAATATTTAAATTTGATAGATTACAAATTCATCATGTGGATTTAAATGTGGGTATTTAATTTAAGAAAAAACTTTTTTGAATCCCATAGATACATTATATGTTTATTCTTCATATTATTTTCCATTAGATTATTTGTTCTTTTTCATCTTCACCCTTTATATCTTTATATGTACTTTATATGGAATTATTAAATGTGGAATCATCTTTTTAAAAGGATTTGAAATTAAAAAAGAATAAACACAACCATCATCTTTGTTTATAGTAGCTGCAATTTTGAATATAAGTATTTTGGTAGTTTGTAATCAATTAATGACTTTATGTCCATAATATGCAACATTTGGCAATCAACATTATTATGATATTAGAACAAGATAATAATCCTTATGTACTTTAGAAGCTGTGAGTAAAGTGGAAGCTAAATTTATTTGTTAGATGACAAATTTATCCACATTTTATAATAAGTATATAGTTAATATTTATATAAATAGAATTTCTTTAGGATATCCTATGTTTGCAGTTATATTCTTTTTAGCTAATGCTTCCTTTTTGGGGTTGTCATCTTTGATGATATTTATTTTTATGTGCAAAAAGAAGGCAAGTTAAATAGATGTTAATGAAGATGATGAATTAGATGATGAGAGTAAATCATTAATTAATATATGAATAAGTATGATATAAAAATTTTCATTTTTTTCTAAAGCTTGTCATATGAAAGAAATCTGATAATTTTTTATTTGCATTTCCATATGTTGATGATAATTATGATTTACAAATTGATAAAGGTAATTCTAATTTCTGGTCGTTCGAAACCTTTGTATTACATTTAGATCTTGTCGAAATTAAATTAGTACTATTATTATTAGTATTATTTAACAATTTTGGACATTTTGAACTTGTTCTTAATATTACATTATTCTAATAAACAGGTGTTGATTTTAATTGTAAATTTGTAATTGAATCACGAGATAGTTCTACACTCTTCTTACTAAATATCACATCGAATTGATGTGGAGGATTTGATTTTTATAGAGTTGAAGATCGATTCAAATTCTTTATCTTTCTATTAATTTGATGTAAATGAATAAATATAGGATCAGATTACTTTTGATTAGCTTAAGATTAAGAACAGTGTGGTATTTAAGAATCTATAGTAAAGATGAATCTTTTTATTTAATTTGGTGATTATTCTGTTTTGTTAAATTTTATAGGTTGTGATTTTGGAGTTGGGGTTTAAGTTGATAATTATTATTATGTTCTCATTTCAGTTATAGGGGTTGGTTATTCTTCGAAAGGTTATCCATTTAAAGGTTTTAATTATTTTATTTTATTTTCAATTACTTCCTTTTTCCATTCTTTTGGTTTAAATTCATAACTATTCATATGCTTTTCCATTAAATCTTTTAATTTATACTTTTGTTATAGGAGTTTAGCAGAACTTTGTTACTCTTAAATATTCTTACAATCAAAGATAGCCTCTTCTATAAAATTTAATAGGAATTTTAATTACACCCTTGCTGTTGTTAATGCTATTTAATATCCATCAGTTTTTATCTTTTACAACAAACTATCTAAATTGTAATTATCAAGTTATGATACAATATTTTATAAATCATTAATAGAAAAGAATTGAGCCATAATTGGGTCTTAAATAATTGCATCAGAAACTTATTTTATTTCTTCTATATTTAATACAAAACCTAATATCTCTTGAATTCCTTATTTTTGAGCAATGGGAACGAATGTTTTTCTTTTAATTGGACGATCTTCGAGATGATCATATATAGCATTTAATAATTGATTCGAATTACGAATTACAGGATCTTTAACAACTATTTTAATTTTAAATTGTTTTTCTAATTAATCATGAATAGTAGTTAATTTTGAATATAATTTATTATATGTCCATTTTAAATAAAAACTAACAATTAATAAATTCATACTCTTAATCAAATAATTCTGAAGGACAAGTTTTCAATACTTCTTTAATGTTTAAGAATGAATTAATTATTCTAAATAATACATTTGTTAGCATACTGTACATTCTCATTACAAATTAAGCATTATTCTAAACTAATCGAATTTATTAATTTTTAGAAACTAATGCTGCTTCTACATTCAATTCTTCTATATTCATATGTTCATCATCTCTTTCAAACAATATGTCATCTATAGCATAAAATTCTAAATAATTTAAATCTTCTAAATTTTATTTCAATTTTGCTTTTTAATCTAATAAATCTTCATACCTATTTTTTAAAGTCATTTCATTAAATTATAATCTACGATATACTTGAATCAAATTATCTATTGATTTTTATAAATTATTATTATGAAATTTAAAAAAGATCTTCATTCTTGAACTTACACTACTAAATCTAGCTCTATCAATATATTCTTATTCACTATCTGCTATTTGCATTCTATTCTTTGGTTTTTATAATTAATTTCTTGCATTTTCCAAAATTTCTGGTAATTCAAAATCTTAAGGATCTTCCATTACAAAAATTAATATCATTTTATCAAAATCATCTAATTCATCTAAAAATTCTGCACATTCTTCTATCTTATTGAACTTAGTAGATATTTCTAAGTTTATATCCTAAATTTATATATCAGTTAATATTAATTATTCTTATAGGAATTTTAATCTTTCTTCTTATTAACATAAACTTTCTAAATTTTCTCTAATAAATTTTAATTATAAATTACTTGACAATTTAGTTTTTCTATTCATAATTTAAAGTATTATCATATAAGTATTAAATTTACCATTCTTTTTCCTCCTCTAGAGCCTTCTTTATCTTTTTATTTTACTTTTTTGCTGCATCAAAAGCCTACTAATTTTAAAACTATTTTAATTAAATATGTGGTTATTTTTGTATAAATAATTGTAATTCATCAAAAAGAGCATTGTTATGTTTTTAATTTTACCTTAATGAATGACCTATTAATTGGATTTATTGCTATAATGCTTAATTCTATTCTTATTCAGCATCTATTTTATTATTAATTTCATTCAACTCATTTTGAGAGATTGTTGAGAATTTCTTTTATTCAATATCTACTTAATCGTATTATTTTAAATTTAATTTCATCAGATCATTTTGATATTTGATATTTGCCAATAATGCTTTTAACTATTAAGTTTCAGTTTTTCTGTCATTTTCTTAATAAGTTTCTTCTTATTTCATTTCCTCCAATAATTCAGTCTTTCTTTAAATAACATATTCATTTATGATCTAATTATAAGTATATGTCTACCTCTTTTTTCTGATTCACAAATTATAAATTCAGCAAATCTGTATTAAATACAGTATGCATAGTTTCTAAAGACTCTCGTCTACTGATGTTATTAGTGTGACTTTTACGAAAAGAATTCATTTTATATTAATAAATAATTTCAACTCTTTGGATGCTATACAAATTCTAATTCATTGATTCCGAACATTTCTTTAACCCATTATGTTATTTTATCTTCTTAATTCTAATATGAGGACATATCCTTAACCCATATTGAAACCTGTGTAAATGATCTTTTTTAATTTACGACAACTCCACAAATAAATTCATTGTATGTACATTGATTACCTATATAACTCAATAAAATGTTTTCCCAAACTCGATCAACATTATTTTTGCATCTAAAAACAAATCTTCCTCCATTTTGATTAGCCTTGTCTTCCCACATTGGTTAGATTTCTTCCTAAAATAATAATATTTGGCATCCTTCTGGTATTGTAGAAGGTTTGGCTATCCATTAATAATACATCCAGAACTATTCTGCTGTTTCAAAGTTGCCTAAATTTAAATCAATTCAAATATCATACACACTTTATACAGATTATCATTGTAATTATCTTTATCAATCTTAGTTTGTGTTCTTTAAGTTGATACCCAAAATGTATATTTACTCTTTAATAACATATTAATTTTAACAATGAATTCTAAACTTATTAGATAGAGTAAGTCAACTTAAAAAATACCATAATAAGTTTCATAATAAAAGAATCTAGAATAAGTTTATATCAAAAGACTTCAAGAACAAGAAGCTTTCATGCCAAAAGACATATATATTTAGAAACATAAGAGTATGCATTAGATAATGAATAATTAATAAACATAACCATTGAGATATTATTCTCATATAAATGAAATTAGATCAATAAAAGAATTCATTTACATTTCAGAAAAATTAAAATAGAAGAATATAGAAAGAAAAATGTAAGAGAGGTTGGAACTTAAAGGCAAACTGAATTAAATCAAGTAAATCGAAATAGGAAAAAAACTATAATATTATATAGAAAGGAAGATTAGATTATTTATTAAGGATAGACAACATGAAGAAAGTATAAATATATCTTATATATAGATCCATATAATAAATCTTTTGAAGCATTTTATGAATTCTATAGTAATGATCCAAAATTAAAAACCTTTGAAAAAGATAAACTACTAAGTGAATTCAATCGTCTTTCTTCTTAAGTTCTTAATGTTCCTGTTAGTAGATCATAACATGCAAAAATTACAATTTCTTCACCTCCTAAAAACATTTACTAAAATGTAATAAAGTTATTCATTATAAATAGAATGAGGATAATGAACCTACTTAAAATGAAGAAGATGATGGAACTAGCAAATTTTTAACTATGAAAGCAGCTAATCGACTTTTAGGATTAATGATGGTTGAAAGTAGTAAGGGTAAGAGAACTCCTATAGTTTGGGCTCTTAATAAAAAGAAAGAACTTCAAGAATTACTCAATAAACCATTTGGAGGAAAGATGAATTTTACAATGAATGCCTTTAATTGGTTAATAGATAATGCAATTTAAAAAAGTTAAGTTTACATAAATAAAAATTAAATTGTTGAACAAAAAAGTGTAGATCCAAAGAAAATTAGTGAATTGATTGATAAAGGACTTGTAAATATTAAAAGAACCTTAAGTACTAGACCAGCTAGTTCAAATAATTTAAGAAGTTGTTAATAATTAAAACACAGAAATGATGTAGCCTAAGAATATTGTATATCAGAACGTGTTAGATAAAATGTTATATAACAAAAAATGAGAAATCAAAAATTGTAAGAATAATAAAAAATTCAGAAAAGTTATTTATCAAATGATTCTTATGTGAATCACTACATTTGAGATTATTATTTAACTATTTTTGAATACTTTCAATTTAAGTTATTAATACCCATTTTATTTTATATATTATAATTTATTATTTTAATAAGAATGATATTATGTGTTGGTGATATTGTGCCTCCCACAACTGAGAAAGCAAAGGTGTTAAGGAGAATAATTTTCTTTATAATTTTCTTATAAATATGTTTAGCATTAGGAAAACTATATTACGATATGTGGGCAGGTGTAGCAGAATTCACATCAGCATTTATATTATGGTATTATAAAAATATATTTTTAGGTGTGCATAAGCATAATTAAATTATTGTAATTGTGTGATTTACATATTTTTTTGTTTAATGAATACTTTTTTGATTGTAGTTAATTTTTTAACTGATATCTAAAACAAAGTCAACCTTGAATAGTTATCAAATGATGGGAGAAATTAATTTCTACTTTAAGCAATCTCATTAACATTTTATATTGTTTCAGTTTATTTCACTTTTCAAGCATATAAAGAATTTAAAGTAAATATTCAATTAATTTTAGGGAATAGCATATGATGTTTATGCTGCAACCACAAATGATCAAGTACTATCAAAATCAAATATAAGATAATAATTAGAAATGCATAATTTTGAAAATTGATTATTATTATTTTTTAATTTAGTTATAATACATTTTACATCATTTAAATCATTTACTTTTTTACAAAATTAAGTTGCTTGCAATAAAATTAGCAAATCTTTCTGCATAACGAGCTGGAGGTACACATGATATATCATTAGATACAAGTGTTGATTTAAAACCATATTCTAAATATTTTTTTGTACTAAAATAATAAATTTGATATATTACTTAAACAGAGTTAGAATATCAATTATGCCTATAAAATATATCCATTATTTATCCATTGATAATATTCCTCCCTCAAAACTTTCAAATGGATGGGAATTGTTTTAAATCTATTAACCATATAAGCTCGACCTATCTGAAATTTAAAAATCTTGTACTAATATCTCTTTTATGAAATCCAACTAATAGACTATAATCTATTATGTCATTATCTTTCAAAAATGAACAATCTTCTATTATGGTCTTGATAAGTAATTTTTAATCTTATGGTTCTAAATTTAAATAATCCTTTTTTGATAAAAGATCTAGATCCTTTAAAGCTATTGTATTATCTTAACCTTATTAATTAGAATTGGTTTATGTTTGTCTTCCATAAAGAGATCCTTTAATCTAATATTAATAATACCTTTTATATCATAACGAACATCAATATCTAAACCAGATCTAAAAATATTCACAATTGTAACTAAATAAATTTTAGTAAATTCAGTTTTGCTTTTAAATATTTTTAATTGATGCAATCCAAATATTCTACTCAAAAGAGTATAAGGATGAGCTTAAATATATTTATAATATTTTGGTAGTATTTTTCTTAGTAATCTAGCTTCATTTTCTGATATTGTCTTAATCATATATTAACCTAATAGGAATAGATATAAAAATATTACAATCTTATGTATAATAGAAAAAACTTCCACTTTTACCAGTTGATCCTAATTCTGTTAATGAATCCAATTTTCCAAACACTAAATTACCTATCAAATTTTCAGGACCTACAGATCTTTAAAAGTCTTTATTACTTATCTAAAATCTATATAAAAATTATTAATACTATCTTCTGATTCTTAAAAAAATTGAAGGTGCATAATCTTTAAATTAATATGCTTTTCTAAAATCAAAATTACTGCATCTATTCTATAAAATATCATAAACATATCTCTCTGCAAATTCATGTTATAATGCAATTTTACCATAAAATTCAGGCTGTATATTTGATAATGCTTATTTCATCCCTATCATTAAATTTAATATTAAATTCCAATTCTCATGTCCAAAATAAACAGATAATTTCTATTTTGCCTTTCTTTTTGGCATATTCAATATAGTATTCTTTTTTCTTTATGTACTAAGTCTTGCAGGACTTTTAAAATAATATGGTTGTACAACTTAAGGTAAATTAATTGCTTATTCAATCATTTATTATAAATATTCTAATCTATTTAATACTTAATCTAAAGGATGATCAGATGAATTAGACATACTAAAAGAATTTGTTTGAATATTAGACAAAAAACTTATTTCAAAACTTGGATCATCATCTCCATTCTTAGCTATTTGGCTAGTACTAAAATTGCATGGACCATAAACAAAGCTTTCATCTATAATCTGCTTTTTATTTCTCTCATAATCTGATAATAAATTAACACAATTTCTTATTTCATTCTAAAATTGATCAATCATATTTTATAGAATAAATGCTTTATTTGTCTATGGACAACTTTGTAATAAGATTTCTGTTTCATTAAAATACTCATACCAATCAATACTTTCTTGTATTAATTCATATTTTTAATAAAATTATGTAAAGTCCAACCTTTCACATTCAAATTAATCCCATAAATTTCCAATATATGTTTATCTTGGAGTAACTCTTGATCCTGTAATTTGATTCCAAAACATTGTTAAATCCAATAACATTTATTAAAATTCCTTATATTCAATATACCCTTTTCTTTATAAATCAATAAATGCAAAACTTAATTGAGCCTTTTATTACTCATTTCCAAACATAACTAATTATAAATAATTAATGTATTGATTTAAACTGAATACTTTTTTCCCTTCACTTATTACATTGAAAATCCTATCAAGTAAAAAAGTAGCATGATCTAAACCCAAAATACCCATAGTGTTTTAAAACTATTTATAGTTAACTAAGCCATTATTTGACATAGAAGAGAACCTCTTTTTAATAGTTTCCAACTCTTTTTAAGTAAACTATTTCATTACAATTAATATATAATTATAATATTATATTCATTATTATTTCTTTTAATCTTCTCCAATTGAATTCTTCAAAAATCTATTCTCAAATATAAATTTCTTGAATGTCATTGATCTGGTTACTTTTCCATATACAAAATCGACTAAAAATAAAATGAAAAACTAGAATATATTTAACACAACAATTATTGGAATACTTAATCTTTGTTAAAACCCATAAACATGTTTTCCTTTTAATAAGAAATAACAACCTATAAATTATATTGTAGATTTACCATATATAGATAAATAAATGATAGTGTAAAATAAAAAAAATAGAAACAATTTTATTTTTGGTACTTTTTAATGTTCATATAAGATATACTCTATTTACCTAAAATTTACTATATATATTTTACATCAATAACCAATTTCCTAGATGTAAATATCCAAGTAATACTAATTACCATTATGTTGGAGTAAATCCATCCAATACTAAAAGTTTTGGATCAATTATGATAAAACTCTAATAAGTTGCCATAACTAAAAATAAAATCGGATTAAGTCCTTAAAACAAAATATTCACAATTTGTGGATATCTATCTTGAATTTTCTGAGTATTATAATTTTTAAGATCAAATATCACAAAAGGTATTAAATAAGTAAACATAGCCCAATTAGAAAAATTAGTCAAAAATTTCACTTGATTCCATAAAGCTTCTTCTAAAATTCCAGGATTAAATGCCAATGTTTATTGATACATAAACCAAGAATGAATAACAAATTAGATCAAATGGCATACTGTGACTATCAATTTAATCATAATTTTATTTAATAAATTCTTAATTTCTTATTTTTATCTACTATTATTTAATAAAACAGTGTATTTTAATCATTCTAAAATAATCATATCCTTTTTTTGATTGAATTTAACTTAAATAGTTACTTAATTTAAAATTACTTTTTAATGATGTATATTATACAGGAATTAACTAATAATAAATTGATATATCGATAATTATTATGATTTATTACTGAGTATTAAATTTAATAAATATAGTACATTATGCAATTATTAAAGAACTTTGATCAATTTGGAGTTGTATATCAATAAGAAATTGTAAAAAATGAGAAAGAATTTAAAAGTAGTGTAGGAGGGATGACTTCTTTGCTTTTATATGCATTAAGTTTTACTTATTTCATTTATAAAATTTTTCTATGGCTTAATGGAGATATTTTGCCAAGAGTTTCTACTTAAAAATCCTCTTAAAGTTATGCTGAAGTAGAATTTGATTATGATCCAATAATGTTTTCTATAGTTGGAATGAGTGGAAATGAATATATTGATCCTTTTTCAAAAACTGAGAATATTATCACTCCATATTTTTCTTATATTGATGATATTGTAATTTCATAGAAAAAATCATTTTTAAGTTCATCAACACCTCCTTAAAGAAATGGCATTTCATCAACAGTTATACCTTAAAATATAACGTTAATTCTTAATCAATAAGGAATTAGTGATTCAACACCCAACCATTAGAAATAATTAATGATATTATTTGAAAGATGCAATAGCACAGAATATAGCAATTGTGCCAGTAAAGAAAAGTAAGAGTCCTTTTTTAAACAACCTTTAAATACATTTTTCTTAACTATCTAAATGATGTAATTTAATACAAAAAAAAAGGAATTTGAAATGATTACAAAACAAATTTATTTTATATTAGATGAAATAACAGTGTTATACACTTAATTATTATTTTAAATTACCTCATCATCAACTGATACAGGTTTCTTTTTAGAATCAATTAAAAATTCTAAATTTATTAGTAACTTTTAGACTACCTCATAATAATTACCTTAAAGTAATTTTGAAAAAGTCTTTGGTAATGAATATCTAGCGGCTTTTCTTATAACTATTGATAGTTTATCTGAAACTTAATAAATAATATATCCTAAATTAGGAGAAATCTTAGCTGATGTTGGTTCAATTATGTCAACTTTGATGATTTTGAAAATATTAGTATTTAAAATAAATTCTAAGATGTTAGAAGATAATCTTATATAAACCATTATCAGCTATTACTATCCAGAATTAAAAAAAATTAAGATTCAAAAAAATATTCTAGGGTAAATCAATTAAATAGAGAAGAATGGAAAAATTATTGAAGACAAAACTTAATTTATATAATTTTATGATCAATTAAAAGATTTAACTAAAGAGAAATTAACCCTTACAAATATAATTTATGAGATTTCTCGATTATAATTTATCGTTCAATCTATGTAATCTAAACAAGAGATACGGCAAAGCCATTAAGTAGGAATTAAATTAAAATGTATAATTATTTACATATATTATTTATTATAGTTTTTGATGAATGGATTATTCCATAAAAAGTAGCTAGAAAATCAGTAGAAAAAAGTTAAGATGAAAAAAATGAAATTTGTCCTCTTTAACCAAAAAAACAGTAAGAAACATTGGAGCCTTTGAAACAGGTAGAAATATTATAAGATGATGACTATGCACTATTGTCGAAGATAAATCATCTCAAAAATTCACCTTATGAGATAAAATAATAATTAATGACATTTTATGAGTTAAATAAAGCTCTACATTGAGAATATATGTTTAAATGTTAAATATATTGATAATTTCAATCTTTTAATTGTATTGTTTCAATAGATTATATTCTAATAATAAGAAAAAATGTCGAATTTTTATTAATACATTTAATAATTGAAGGAAAATAATTAACCTATCCAATCCACAAATTTGTAAAAAAATTAAAATTTTTTTAATACTAGGCTAATACTTTTGCTATGACTAACTAATATATCATAATTGAAATAAATCAAAATTGCATTAAGAATTAAGAAAATTAGTATAATTATAGGATTGAATAAATATAAATAAAGAATAGATGATAAGCATTAAACTAATGTTAAAATCTTAAACTCAAAATTAGCAATTTTTAATTTCTTAAACAAATAAAAAACATGAATTATTTATATACTTGAAATAACATTACTTCTAAGGTTAGTATATAAATATTTTTAATTAATTATTTTAATCTTGACAATATGCATATATCTATAAATATATGTTATATTGATTTAATGTATGTTCAATTATTCATTTATTAATCCTTTATATTTTAATTTTCTTCATTAATTGATTTGATTTAATTTCTAATAGAAGTATTTCATTAACAGTTTATGAAGTTTACAATCATCAATTTTTGAAAAATTGATTTCTTTTGTTTATAATATTTTGGTATTAATTTCAACAAATTAATGGTGGATAATCAATCCTAATTATTTTTTATCAAAACTTGATCATATCTATTTAGAAGTTTAATTACATATATGTTGATATTCGAATAAATAATAAGATAAATTATCATTCTGAATGAAAAAAACAATAACTTTGGCACCTGATTACTCAAAATAATCTTTCTTTAATGATGGAAACTTTCTATTTTGTAATGCTTTACCGAAATAATTGGAATTTATAGATTTTGGAACCTTCTAAATGAAATACTAAAATAAACAAATTCCAGTGTCTGTTTCAATATCTGAATAAGCCATAAAGATAGATGATGAAGTATACTATTTATATAAGTAGAAAGGTGAAAAATATATTTAAATTGAAAATGTGTGCTTCAAAAAAATTTTACACCCTAAAACTTAATAACTAGGGTTTCGCTTAAGTAAAAATGGGTAATATGCCGAATTTTTTGGGGAAATCGTTGAATTATGGAAATCTATAAAAAAGTATGTTGTTCAGGCAGATTTTTTGCTTAAATACAAGTTGGGATCAAAAATAGGTGAAGGATATAGCTCATCAGTATAGCATTTAAAATTATTAAGGTTTTTAAAGCTTTTAAAATCATCAATGGTCAAAGGTTCGCTGTTAAGATAGTAGATAAGAATATGCTATCTAGAAGTAATAATTTAGAAAAACAATATTTGCTTAATGAATTAAGTATTCTTAGATAGATCAATCATAATAATTTATTAAAATTAGAAGAAATATTTGAAAGTGAAGAAAATATTTATATTGTCACAGAATTATTAGAAGGAGGTGCATTAAAGAATTCTATATTCAAATTTAGATTTTCAGAAGAAGAAACAATAATTTTAATGTAGTCATTATTTCGTACTCTCCATTATTTACATTAGATGAATATTTTTCATCATGACATTAAATTTGATAACATTTTACTAAGAGATTAATAAGATCTTACTTCTGTTTGTATAATTAATTTTGGGAAAGCTGAAATATTGAAATCAAATATATCTAGTTCTAGAAATCTCAATCATCATGATACAAACTCTCTCATCTCATTTTTTAGAAAAAAAGATATTTATGCAATAAGCATAATTATTCTTAGCATATTTGCAAAGAAATTATATTAGGAAAGCTAATTGCTTGATGAATTATTAATGAAAAATTATTAAAATGTGAGCTATATTGAATTTATGAATCTTTTACCACCTCTTTAATAGTTTTTTGAAATCTTGTTTACAGAAAAAGGAAGATATTTAATTGATACTTTAACTTGCAATGATATTTTAAATTTAGATGTCTTTAAATTAAATTTTTAAAGAAGAACATCAAAATTTAATTAAGGTTTACATGTTTAAGCTTTTGATTTAAAAAGATAATCTAGGTTTCTACCTAGACCATCTTAAAAGGATAATCTTTAACTTTCCTACCTTTAAAAAAGCTTAAAACTACCTAACATTAATGACTCATGTGAAATTAAGGCTACATAAAATCAATCCTATAGTCCTTAAACTGAAAATTGTCTTTCTAATAGACTAATTAATGAATGTAAAATCAATAACTAAACTCCGAGATACAGTATCTTAAGAAAATTTTTAAGTCCTAATGTTTGATGCATCACTTGGTTGATTATTACTTTGAATAAAATATTGATTTTTTTTTTAATTAATACCCAAAAAAAATGATTATCTATACATATATTACAACTTTTTAATAATGGATATTATTAGTCAATGCTGAGTTGCCAAAAAATTAAATTTAACTCTCATTTCTCAGTATTAAATGAAATTTATAAAAAAAGTTAATTATTTACACATATGCTCTAAAATAATAAGCAATATCCTTAACATTTTGATATACAAAACTCATTGTTATCTACTGATACAGAATTTTGGGTATCAAATGTAAATTTTTCTTCAATATCTACTTCTATAGTGACTGTGAAATGCAAGGAAATTATTAAAGAGAAAAATATTTCAATTGGAAAATAACATATCAAATATTCCAAAAATGTATACTTATTGTTATATTTAGAAATACATCTTGTTTGCAGATGCATTTCTAACAATTTTGAGGAATTCCAATTAAGAAATTATAGGAATATAATTGTAGAAAAAAGGAAATTAAATTGAGCTTTATGGACAAATATAAAATTGGATTAGCTTATTAATGAAAGAATGCATCTCATTAGACTTTATTTCTAATTATCAAATTGTCAAACTGATTGGTAGTGGATCCACTGCTAATGTAATACTTATTTTTAGATTTAAGGTTTATTAAGTTCGATCTAAAATAGATGAATTAGATTGTGCAATTAAAGTATTCGATAAAGCATAATTTGAGACAGACTATTAGATAAAGCAATCGATTTTATTTGAAATATAATATTTAAAACTACTAAGTCATCCAAATATTGTTAAATATTTAGGAGTGTTTGAATCAAATTCATAAATTATTTTAATTTCAGAATTATTATTAGGTGGAGATCTAAAGAGTAATATAGAGGATAGAAAAATTGATGAAGATTAAATTAAAAAAATTATGAAATCTATTTTAAGTGGTCTTGAATATATGCATAGTTTTGGTATATTTCATAGAGATATTAAAAAATGTAATGTTATGCTAAGAGATTAAAATGGTTATGATTCTATATGTTTAATTGATTTTGGTTTAGCTGAAAAAGCTAATAATGAAAATAACTATTTATTCAAATACTGTGGCACACCTGGTTGTGTAGCTCCTGAAATCTTAAGAAAACAAAAATATGGATTGAAAGTAGATATATATAGTGTAGGAATTTTATGCTATTAATTAATGTTTGGAAAAGACCCCTTTAAATCAAATACAACTAAGGAAATAATAGTAAAGAATTTCTTGGGGCAAATTGATTTATCAAATGCCTCATCAATATCCAAAAATGGATTAAGCTTCTTATTAGGATTGATTGAAATAGATCCTTAAATTCGATTTTCTGCTGCTTAAGCATTAAGACATCCTTATTTGTAGCAATAGAATAATAAAATAATTATCAGTAGAAATAAATTTGATACTTTTGCTAAAAAGGAGACTGTAAAATTAAAGCCTTTATTATTTAATAATAGTCGTAATTAGTCACCTAATTACACTTCTAAAACTTCACCATGTAAATTTTACCTTAAAACCGATATGAGCCCAAGAGAAAATAACTAAAAATAAGATTTTGAGAAAACTAGGTTAGTTTCAAAATCTTTTTTTTTAAGAAATTTTAAAAAAATGAATACAAAATGATTTTACTCCAAATTGATTATATTATAATCTATAATCAAAATTCATCTTTAAAAAATTTATACGCTTAAATATTCTTAAAAATAGATATATGTTTAGTCAAAATATAATATTGATGATAATAATTACATCTTGTAAATAGATTTTCAAAATTAATAAAACAACTATAGGATCTATCGTATAGTGGTTAGTACCTGAGGCTTTAACCCTCAAGACCTTGGTTCGAATCCAAGTAGGTCCTTTTTTTTTTTTAATAATTTATTAATTACAAATAAAAAGTTTAATTCTAAATTTATGCTAATATTTGATTTTTATTTCATTAATTTCATATGTATGCTTATTATAAGTATAAGATTTGTAGTATAGCGGTAATACTTGAGATTCCAGCTCTCATGTCCTTGGTTTGATTCCAAGCAAATCTCTCTTAATCTTTTTTTTATCAATTGAGAAAATAAACCTACAATTGGTTATTATAATGTTAAGTGTTTATAATACTAATAATTTATTTTTTTTGTATTGATTCGAATTCCAAATTTTACATAATTCTTTAATTTTTATTTATTTTGGAATTTTTACTTTATTTATGAAATCATATTCTTTAATCATGTTACAAATACTCCTATATAATAATAATTATTATTATTGTTATAAATCTGAAATTCAGACTATGAGAAATAAATTTTTTCTTACAATATGTTGATATATAATTGCCATAATAAATAATTTTAATGGTGGAATTGTTATAAATGATAAATTTAATTTCTTTTGGCCACTTATGTGAAACCTTTATTATTGATTTTAAAAGTAATACAAATATTATTATTGAAAATTAATGTTACCCCTAGGTTAAAATGAATACCCTTTATCAAGTCCACATATAGCAAATTCAATGGTACTGATAAGCAAACGAAATCTCCATAATGAGGAGGATGAATTCTTAACCAATTTTAAAACAAAACAATCTTAATTTAATATGCTTGAAAAAATAAAGATTTCTCACGATGCAAGCGAATAGAGTATTGCTTCTTAAGAAGATTCTGATGAGTTTAATAACTAATAAGGCTTTAAAAATAGGATTTGGAAGGACAGAGCCCTTAATATTATAGTTCTTGTAGCCAGGTTTGTTACATATCTATTAACTAATTCTGATAAATTTAAATTACGATATCTAGATCATCGACAATTCAAAGTTATAGGAGATAAAGCAGCAGATTTCAATTTTTATTTGACACATAAATTGATAAGAGCTAAAGAAAAAGAAGGATCATGGGTGGTTATTATTAAATACTATAATAGTAAGTATTACAAACAAAAGTAAAAATGTATATGGGTTTCTTGAGTGTGTTCTCTTCGATTATTAAGCCAATAAAGCCAGATAATATCTTGAAGTTACAATGGGATGTTGTTGTATTTTTTATTCTTTTGATCAACATATTATATATCCCACTTAAGATATCTTTTGATATAATAGTGGTTGATGGTGTTGATTTTTTTCTTGATACTCTACCTTAATATGTATTTGTATTTGAAATTTTGTTGAACTTTAATGTTGCATACTATTCAAGAGGAGTGCTTGTTTTGAATAGAGGATAAATATTTAAGCATTATTTGAAAGGAAAGTTTATCTTAGATTTTATTGTGATAATCCCTTTTGTGATTGGTAGATAAAATATCCCATATATAGAATTTGTATTATTATTCAGAGTTTCAAGAGTAAGAAATTAATATTTAGTATTTAGGTTATGCATATATTTGAAAATATTGTTGAAACCCTTAATCTTAGAGTTAATTTTGCATCTGCAGTTGATATTATATCACTAATGTCAACCTTTTTATTTGCATCTCACATCATAGCCTGTTTTTGGCATTTTATTGCTATACAAGAATCAGAATTCGAAAATAGTACTTGGATATAGAGAGCATAATTATCAGAGGAGAATTGGAAAGCTCGATATCTTACAAGTTTCTATTGGGCATGTATTACAACATTAACAATTGGATATGGAGATATTATTCCAGTATTTTATCTTTTATTTTTTTAAGGTAACTATTTATGAAAAAGTATTTGTGATCTTTGTTACATTATTGAGTTCTATTATTTTTGGTTACACTATTTCAAGTATTGGATCTATTTTTGCTTAAATGAGTGAAAATAAAAATTATCTCAGAGATAGGATGACAATGATTGATTCATTTCTTAAAAAAAGAGGCTTAAATAAAGATTTATAAGTTAAAGTTAAGAAGTTTTTTGAATATTATCTAAAATAAGAAAGAGATACAGAATCAGAATGTGAAAAATTAATGATTCATCTATCTGGAAATCTTAACAAAGAAGTTAAAATAGACTTTTATAAGAATTTGTTATAAAATTCAAAATTAATTAGATAAAACTTTTCTTAATCATTTATTGAAAAATTATGCATTTTAGTTAAAGAATAATCTTTTGTACCAGAGGAAATCATATCTAATGAAGGGTAATAAATTTATCATTAGTAGATAAAAAGTTGATCGAATCTATTTTATTCTTAAAGGAGAGGTTGAAGCTTATATTAGCAATAATAAAATTATTAAAGTCTACCAAAGAAATTAAGCTATTGATGAGAAATCGTTTATATCTTAACATCCTGCCTTATTCTCAACCAGAGCTGTCAAATTTTCTAAATTAGCTTACATTACATATGATGATCTTCAAGATTTGTTAAGGTATAATCAAAAAGACAGAGAGCATTTTTATTATGTTAAACATTAAATTGAATTTAATGGAAGAGTCAAAATGGGAGGATGTGAATTATGTCGTTAAAATCACACATTTACTAGATGTCCTTTTGTATTTTATACTCCTAATTGCTTAAGATTATTTAAAAAAAATGATCATGATGAAAAATAAAAAAGAAAATATATTCTTAGATAAAGAAAAGATGAGAAAATTCATAATGTACTGTAAATTAATTATTAATTAATAGAACACTTTTGGTTAATTGAGAAATCTTTAATCCTAAGTTTTCAATTTCTGTGTTTATTAAGGATTTCTGAATGAAATAGGGCTTAATTCTGAATTTTTTATTTCTAACAAATTCCACATGTAATAAGATTCAGCCTAAGATGAATAAGAAGTAAGTGAGTCAAACTCATAATTTGAATCAGATAAAAAGATACGTTCATAAAATTTATTGTTATACAAGAGAGATTCTAGAAGAAAAGAATCAGATATAAATATTAAAGAGGAAAAATCAAGTAGGTCAAAAAAAAGACGTCCAACTAAAATATCGATCTAAAAAAATATATAATAAAAAAATTTTGGATCTTAAGAAAGAGACTCTACTCCTTTGGATAGAAAAATTAAATCAAGTGGTAAAAGAGCAACTATTATAATAAATTAAATCAAAATGGACTAAAGTTAAAAAATAGAAGAAGAGCCAAATTTATTCTAAACATCTTTGCCATTAACTTAGCAACAATCATATTAATCATAATAACAATAATAACAATAATAATAATAATAACAATAATAATAATAATAATAATAATAATAATAATAGTTACAATCCTATTCCTCAGAATAAACCAAACCTTATGAAATAGATTAAGTTTTATTAATAGAAATAGAAATTTCTAAAATGATGGCTGCCAAAGAGTGCGAAATTGATACATAAACTGATATGGAGTATTATGATACTGGATTTAACTTAGAATAGGTTGCAGCTAAATTGAAAAAGTCTAAAAAATTACCAATAAAATTAAAAAAACGAAAAATGAGAAAATCATTGGCACGATCTTAGTCCATTCGCCATGTAAGCTAAACAAGATTTTGAATATATATGAATATAATTTAATAATAATAATTTATTAATATATATTTTACATTAATTCATTCCTTTCTGAAAGAGATGAACTCTTCTAATAACTCATTATTTAATGAAAAATTTAGATACTTTTAGAAGGAGACCTATTCTATATATTAATAAAATTCATAATTGAATTTAGATTTAATAAATCAAAATTTCTAGAAATCAATTCATTTGAAATGAATAATTTATTTTTCATGTTTCATAAAGTTGATTTATTAATCAAGAATGAGAAAAATCAGGATGTTACATATAAAAATTGAAATAATAATTACATCAAAATATTTGGGATATACGTAATTTTATACAGAGAATAAAGTGATTAGAGGAATAAGAATTAATTTGTTTAAAATTAACAAAATGATATAAAAAAAAAGAAAGTGGTATATGTTGGAGTATACATAGTACTTGAGATCAAGAATAATGAAAAATTAATAAGAGGATAAATGTAGTTGTAAGTTTAAAGAATGTCTATTGAAAAAGTTTATGTGTTAAAAAAATACTAACAAATTTATAATAAAAGTATCTCATATTACCAGATCATAAAAAAATAAAAATATATTGCTAAATATGAAAATACATAAGTAATAAATTATGAGATTGTTTATAAAGATTTTTATGGAATTTAGATTTTGATCAAACACAATTTAGATAAAAGTAGCAAAATTATATTTGAGATCAAGAAGAAAGGTTATTTCAAATGAAGTTGTTAAATGCTATCTAGAAAGTTAGTAAAGGCTGTTAAAAGTTATGAGCATCTATAATTATAATGTTAGCAATTGATTAATATATATTATTATATTCACAAATAATAATAAAAAATGAAATCATTTACCCTAGTATACTATATAGTTCCTTAAGACAACGATGATATTGAAATACCTAATGCTTTCGGGTAATTTAATATATTGATAGTAAGAATAGGTAAACCAATTGATCAAGTCACCCTTAAGGATATAAAGACTAGTTTTCCGCTTTAGGGAGAATATATCTTTAGATTTAGATATAAAACAAGTCACAACACAGTCTGGCTTGATTTACCTACAGATACATCATAGATTCCATTATTCAATAATCGCATCTTGATTAAAGCGACAAGAATTAGTTGGGAAACTCAAAATACTTAAAATCAATCAAATTCTGTATCATAACAACCTAATGCCCTTCCATAACAACAGAGTTAAAACTAGATGGGGAATTAATAAACTTTTGCATAATTTTAATAGCCGCAACAGAATCAATAACAACCATAATAGTAATAATAATAGTCCCAAAACTAAAATTTAATTGATTTTTGAATATTGATTGTTGTGTTATTTAATATAATATATATGTATTTCTATTTCAAGTCCAATATCTTTAACTTGGTTCTCTTGGGAATTTCATTTCTTCAATGCAGACAATAACATCATCATAAATTGAGTTATTAATGAATGGTAAATTTTACAATGCTGGTCCTTATCTCACTCTTGCATATTTGTCATACACTGAACCATGACAAATACACACCCAACCCTATAATTGTAAATGATCATTTTACATTATAAGCACCTAAATATGGGATTGGAATGCATCCCAAATGTGTGCACAATGCACTAACAACCAAAACTTTAGTATTTCCACAATTAGTAAGTACAACTTCAGAACTAAGAATTAAATTTAAGTATATACTTTGGATCTAAAATTGTTTCTTTTGGTAAGTTATCTTCATCCTTAATTTCTTATTATGTCAATCTTCTAATGAATACTGGTGTACCATTCCAAACAATTTACATGACTTCACCTGGTGGTAAATCTCCGATGCTATGCACTAAATGTTAATTATTACTCCATCTCAAGGTATGTGTCTCTATCATATCTCTTCCAACCATTTAATCTGCCTATAAGTCCTACTGCAAACAATCTTGCAAAAGAAAGCAATCCACCATAATAAACAGCATTCAATGCATAAATTTATGTTCTTTTAATTTCAGTCTCATGTTCATTATGGACTCTAAATTAAATATCTTAAATTATGAGTACCTATTTTCATCAAACCAATTATCCATTTAAACTTTGAAATCAATATGATCTCCGAAATTTCCTGGTCTTGCAGATGTAGTAAAGAATTGTGGTGCTTCTGATACTTATACTCCCTTGTATAACTTCTAATTGACTCTACTATTATATTCTGAAACAAGACCAAAGTGAGCTCTGCCTATAAATGATCTTCGGAATGCTCCACTAATCATTTTAAATCTTTTTTTATATAATTTATTAATAAATAGTTATTATTCTCATATTTTCATCTCTTATATTGATTATCTAATTGTCATTAAATTGCTCTTTGTTATCTACGCTGGAGTGGCTTATAATATTTTATAGATTTATGCTTTCTTAGTGAACACCTAAAAATTATTATTATTTTCAATTATCAATCTCAATAAGCTGTAATAAAATGTAAGTTATTCTAGAACATATACCATAGTTTCCTCTTATAATTATAATTACTAAGAATCACTTACTCCTGCTAATTTATTATTACATTTATTGAACAAATCTCTAATGCATCTCTATAATAATGTACTAAATAAGAGATAGAATTCATAGCTCTCTGTTACCGATTTAAAATTTTCATATATCTTTTAAAAGCTTCTATCTTTAAGTAAAGATTACTTCAACTATTGATTGCCCTCTATCATTTAATACTAAATTTAATTTCTAATTAATTACCTATTTATCATGATATTCTTTTGAAATCAAATATAATTAATTAACTTAACTTGTATATTTACCAACTGATTCTATGTAAACATCAAATTCATAAAGTTGAAATACATTCCGTTTCTTTTCAACAACTTCTCTCAACAAAATAGTTTTAAAAAACATATTCTTAATAATCAAGAATTTGAGTTTGATTTATTAATCTTAATTAAATACTACTTATTTATCTAATATTCGAAGTATCCTGAACATTAATTCTACAAATTGAAATTAAGCTTAGATAACTTCATCATTTTGAGTCATAAATCGAACACTTTCTCTACTCTTCAATGCTGATTAAGGCATTGCAGTTTGAGCTACCAAATTGATTTTTCTTGTTGGCTAATACTCTGTAGCTCTCTGAGGAGATCGGTTTTATGCTGATAAATTTCTATCTGCTAATGGTCTAGGTACAGTCATAGTATGTCTTCTATAGAAAATAGAATGATGTTCTAAATCACTGCAGCAAAATCTTTTCGTTTCATCTACTGATAAACATTTTAAAATAAACTCTATTGTTTCTCTTGACACAGGAATTTATTAAGGAAATGCTGGAGTTGTTCTCAGCATAATTTATGCTAAATCTTTTTCATTTGCTGCTTAAAATGGTACTTATCCATACAACATCTCATAAAATATCACTCCCAAACTCCAAATATCAGTTTTCTCTGAATACACATTCTTTATCATTGTTTATGGACTCATATATAGAGCTGTACCGACATTGTAATATATTGTTTCTGGAGGTGCATTCATCATTTTAGAAAATCCATAATCAGCTATTTTTGGAATGCCATTCCTAATTAAAATATTTATTGGCTTCAAATCTCTATGTATTACTCCCTTAGCTACTTACTCTTTAAAACCATTTACAAGATGCTTCATTATTTTTATTGCCTCTATTTCATCTATTCTCTGCTTCTTTTTTATCAACTATCCCAAATCACCTAATCATTTTAAACAATATTATTACCCTAATTACAATATTCAGTTATAATGTATGTACATTGGGGTTTATGATAATAATCATACATTTTCACAATATTTTCAGAATTCATCAAAGATAAGGCTCGTATTTCTTGATTCAACAAAAATTCTTCAACTTCATTGGTTATTTTATTTCTATCTATTATCTATATGTCAAATTAAAATATTATACTTTTATCGCAACGGTCTCATTAGTATTTTCATTTTTTCCCTTATATACAGAACTGCTAAAACCTGATCCTATATGATCATTAGCACTATAGCTATAGTGTTCAATTTAAATTAATTTCCCTGACTGAAATGCTGTTGTAGGCACTTGTGCATATTTCATTCTGATTTAATTAATTTTATGTATTATAAATTTATAATCAACTATTAATCAACTTCCTAAATAACTACATCACTATATTATTCAACTATAATAAAACTATTTTTTATTTAATAGACCTATTTCTTAGAAACAAAGTAATCATATAATACATAATAATTTTGTTAAAGTTTTACACAGTTTTAAAGATAGACTCTTTTCTATTTCCTAAATTTCGATTTAAATTCTTATCTCTTATTAATGAAATCATAATTTAAACTTAAAATAAGAATTTTTAATTTAAAATTTAACTTATTATTTAGCTAATTCTCACCAACAAATTAGTAAAATTTTGAATTGTAATATTAAACTGAATAGTCCTAGTATTTGGTTTAGATCATCACTTATAACATATTGTTGGAGTACATGTTATAAATTACAATTTTTAATCCAATTTTAATTCATTTTTTGATTCATTTATTCATTCTAAACTCATTAGTTAACGATTTAGAGTAAATAATTTAAAATAAAATTTCTCAAGTTACCTTATAAAATAATAGAATGGTAATTGAAAATCTGATATTCATTTGATAGATTTAAGAGCCCTAAATTAATCCATAGTTAGGACCAATAATTGCAAAACAAATGCAAACTATTATAAAATAACCTATTGATGGTAAAATATAAATTATATTGTATTAGGTGTTCATGTTATGTTTAACGAACAAGATGTTTTTGATATTTAAGCAGATATAGAAGGTCCAGGTAATAAAAATAGAAAATATTTTAGTTGATACTCCATTTTAAGGAGGAGTTTTCAGATGCAAATTAATTTTGCCACCTTAGTTTCCATAAGTAGCACCAAAAGGTATATACAATAATTAGTTAGGTTTATTTAATACTAAAATATTTCATCCAAATGTATCTGAAAAGGGGGAGATATGTGTTAATACATTAAAAAAGGATTGGAATCCACTTTAATGGTCGTTAAAGAATATTTTTGAAGTGATTAAGTGTTTATTAATTGTTCCATTCCCTGAGAGCTCTCTAAATGAAGAAGCAGGCAAACTCTTCATGGAAAATTATGATGAATATTTTAAAAGAGCAAAATTACTAACAAGCATCTACGCTATAAAATAAGATGGAAATGTCTTAAAAGGAAATAATTAAGTAAATAGCTGAAATATTTAAGAATGTTAATGATGATATAGATAAGAAAAATAAATTGGCCCAAACCCAATAAAAGAAAGAAAACGATCAAAAGAAATGGTTGAAAAGAATTTGATACTAATAATTATTTAAAAAGACATTTATATATATTGTGTATTTTTATTTATATTATAATATAAATCTCATTTATTAGAGCTAAGTATTGCTTTGTTTTTTGTTGATATAAAGTAACTAAATCTATCAATTTGATTAAATTATTAGTAATAAAGAAGTTTATCAATAAATTGATTGATTACTTTAAAAATGAAATAATAATCTTTCAATTAATTTATTAAACTTTGTATTTTTACAATGAAGTAAAAATAGTTGTTAATTTTGTACAAATATTTTTTCTATTTAATATATTTTGATTTCTTCTTTGTTAATATTCTTTTAATGTTAGAACCTTATAATAGTTTTAAAATCATCTTTATATTATCTATATACTTTTGAACATTTTTTGAAATTAGATACAAAATCAATTCCAATGATATTATGCTTTCAAATCTACTAATAGATTACCATTTAAGTACCTAAATTTTAAGTTCAAAATTTCTGGTCTTTCATGATGATATTAGGTAGCCGCAATTTTTAATTATTTCTTAATTGAATTGTATCAATTCTAATTATATAATATTTCTAACAATAAAAATAGCATGTTTTTTACTAACTTATTAATTGGGTTAACATTTAAGATCTATGATATTTATTAATTGTCTAAAATTAAAAATACATATCTTTCTAAATCATATTTAAAAAAATTGCTTCTTTTGACAAATTTTTTTAATTTGACTAATTTTTTAAGATTATATGCAACATTTAAGTCAATTCATAAGTCTTTCTCATTACCTGTTTAACAAAGTAGTAAATCTTATCAACATTTAAAATTATCTAGTTTATATTTTTATATAAAACCTTCCAAATATAATTGGCCTTTAGTTTCAATAATTTTTTTTTGGCTAAAATATTTAAGATAAAACAATCATAAATATAATATATTTTTTCTCATCCATTTGATGTATAGGTATAAAATTGAATTTTTAGAACATTTATTTTTTTAAGAAGTAGAAATCATTAAAGTAAAAACATTAACATGTCTTTTGAGAAATAGATCTAATGATGTTCAAAGAGATCTTTGAATACGAACTCAAATCGTATGTATTTTATAATTGTGACTTTTATTATATCTTAATTATTTTTTAAACTAACAATATTAATATTGAGATTTAATAATTATAATGATTCTCATTTAAATGCTCTTAAAATTTTCTCAAAATGGATTTATCAATTGATATTTGATTACGAGATGTTTAGATAAATTTACATTACTTTATTGAGGACTGTTAATTCCTTAAATTTATTAAATATTTTGAATCCTTATGTATGCTAAGTTTTCGGGGTTGGTTAAGTATTTGGAATATTCTTCTTATAATGTTTTTTTATCCATTTTAATATTTCTTAATGGATCAAGTGACTTACAGACTCTTTGTTTGTAAACTTAAATCATTTTTTTCTTTTCTTCATTATTCTTATTTGAGAGTATGTAATCAATAAATTTTGGTTTTATAGATTCACAATTTAGTCTGTTTAGAAGATCATCAGGACTTTTTAATTTCTCATATTTTTAGAAATAACATCTTCTTTTCATTCTTAGATATTCTTAATAATAAAAATTAATTATTTACTATCGTATCTACAAAATATACAAAATCGATTGTTAAAAACTTATAAGATATATATTCTGTGATTCTATAGTATATAGAAAGAATTTTATTGTAATAAAATTTAAGTTACGAATTTCTAAAATGATCCAAGAAATTATTATAAATAATCTCAACAAATATACTATTATAATTATATTTTTATATATGAAAACTAACAATAAGAAAATTTTTCCATCGAATACATAACTCTATTAATCCGTTCCATAATTGGAGCATGACAATGGATCTATGTATAAAATGCACTAATCCACAGTTTCTAAGCCTCCTCTCTCGATAGTTCCAAGTGAAGCAAATTAAAGCTACTATTAAATTATAGAAAAAAATAAACTGTTATACCTTGATTATTATAGCCAATATAATGAAATGAAATTCATGGAAAATATGGCAAGTATTATTATTCATTAATAGAAAGGTTTGAGACCTAAATCTGAAAAGTTAACTTTATTAGAAAATTTTCTTAATATGTTTGAAGACATGATTTCTTGTCTTATTGTCATTTAAAATACCTTACTTCTAATGAATTTTGAAGCTCCTGATTTTACATAAATATATGGATACTTGCCAAATATAATGGCTGATATTTTGAATAAAGACATTAAAGTAAATAATTCACTTAATAAAGACCTTAGAAGGTTTACATTTAGAGATAGAATTTTAATCATCTCTTAGGTTTTTAGAAACAGTATTAGAAGCATTATAATTTAATTCTGAATAAGCAAATCGTATTCATTAACTTGACGTCAAAGCCTGGTCATAAAAATGCTTTAATCATCTCAATAGCTTTTTAGGTAATTCATAAAAATCTTAAGCTTCTTAAACAACAATACTATGTCCTTGTTTTAAATGATTTATATTATATTAATTTATATTAGATGTAATTAAAAAAGCATTCAAATTAGAAGCATCTTTAATATCATACAAGAAGCCATTCTTTAAATAAATCATACTCATCTAAATAACCTTCCACAAATTTACCACTATTACTCAGATAATAAACAACTTTTCCAAATTAGAAAATTAACAATGAAAATGAATCTAGTATTGCTAACCAAAATATTGAAATTTTAGGGGACTTTATATTGCCATCCTCTAAATATACAAAATAATAGAATATTATTTTTGCAGATTAACTCACAGATAAAATTTCATCGTTACGTAATTATAAAAATAATAAAAATGTAAATGTTTTAAAATAGATGGTGAGAAAAAGAATATAAACATAACATAGTGATTTAGAAAACTCTATGATCTCAACTCAAAGATTAATTACAGATCCAGGTATAGTTCTACCCAAAAAATAGTAAAATAATTAATTCCTAATTCATAAAGAGTAAATTTTTTAAGATGGAGTCAAATACCCTTATCAATTATATATGATGAATGAAAAGAGGAAAAACTTGATATCTAAATTACTTACAAATACAGATATTAATGATTTATCAAAAGATAATTAAAACAATTCTAAAAACAAAGAATTAGCAGATCGATTGGTAGCTTAGATAAAACTTTCCTAATAATTGAAATCAAAGAAGGCTTTAACATCAAAGAGTTATATGAATAATGCCTTGTATTCTTTATTGGCTTTAAACAAGAATTCCTAGGAAGCTGTCAAACTAAAATATCGTTAAAATTTACCAAAAGATTCAAGGTTTTATTTAATTTGACTTATTTATATGTTTAGTAATTATTTACTGTTAGTTCACTATTTTTGATTCTTGTATGGATATTAAAAAGAAAAAAAAATTTAATTTATTACTTTTTATTTAAATTTGGCTTATGAAAAGTTAGGAATGTAATTTAGAATCTACACTGTCAAATTAAATAAAATTTTAATAATAACATCATATAATTATAATTACTATTAAAAATTATATAATTAATTATAATGAAATATTTACATCTATTTAAACTTGTTATCTTCTTGCATAGTTCATATATAGTATTCGGAGATGAGATTGAAAATGAAGAAGAGCCTCATCATCATAGATATAGCCCATCAGAAGGGACATTTTGGGTATTTCTTTTATATGCACTTGGATTGTCTCTTTTAGCAGCATTTTGTTCAGGAAATACTTAAGGATTACTTTCAATAGATATGTTGAATTTGGAACTTAAATAGAAGAGTGGAACAGAAGAAGAAAAGAAAGTGGTAATATATATCTATTAAATTAAAGGCTTAAATACTTTTACCTGTTATCTCTCAGCACCACTTATTATTATCAACTTTATTGGTTGGAAATGCTTTTGCATGTGAAACCTTGCCAATAATTTTACATTAATTGGCTCCAGATTGGTTGGCTATTTTGATATCTGCTGGTATAATTGTGTTGATTGGAGAAATTATTCCATCAGCATTCACTACAGGGCCTGATTAATTAGTAATAGGAATGAAAATGATTCCTTATGTAAAAGTATTATAAGCCATACTATATATCATTTGCTACCCGTTGAGTCTGTTACTAGATTATGTTTTAGGAGTTCATCTACATCAAAGATACAAGATAAAAGACGTAAGAGGATTATTAAATTTACATGCATAAGACAGTGGACATGGAAATAATGCTTAATTGAATAAGGATTAAATGCAACTGCTAGATTCTATGATGGAAATGAGAAAATAAACAGTAATGAAGAATTGTAAAGACATAAAGAAGGTGTTTATGATAAATGCTGATGAACGATATAGTTCAGATTTAAAAAATAAAATAAGAATAAAAGGTTTCTCAAAGATTCCAGTTTATTAGGGATCAAACAAAGATTCAATAATTGGTACAATACAAGCTAAATCTATTCTAAAATTAACAGCTTAAGATTATGGAAGACCTTTGTCATCTTTGTTATAGATGTAAGAACCATTGATAGTTCCAAAAGATACTACTATGTTAGAAATGTTAATGTTATTCGAACATGAACGTAAATCATTAGCTTTTATTTGTGACAAAGGAAAGAAAGTATAAGAATATAATACAATTAATGTAATTCTGTTTAACAATGTTTATAGATTTCAAATTTAATTGTTGAAGGACATAATAATATAATTGCATTAATTGGTTTGAATGATGTATTTGAAGAGATGCTCGATTTTGAGATTGAGGATGAAGATGTACATGGAACTTTGCGTGATTATCCAAGATAGAGAAATAAGTATACTGAATTGAAGGTCATAACTGAAGAGTAAGAAAAATAAGGTAGAGGTCGCGAATTGAAATAGACACTATTATCATGATATCAAAATGCGTTCATTATATCGATAGTATTACAATTTCTTTAAAATATCTTGTACATTCTTATTGCTTCTAACATAAAGTGGTTCTTATGTTAGATTTAAAAGAACAGGTTCTGGTAGAGTTCTTTATTTTTGTACTTTTGTTGTTGTATCCATAGTAGGAGCAGTTAGTAATCTACGTTATACTGATATAGCTCGTCTTTTTGGTACAGATGTTCTACTTTAGATTCTACTATGAAATTTTTAACCCAAAGGTTCTAATAATAGAGTTTAGTTATGTTGAGCTTTGACCATTTTATTCTTGGCTGAACTTGGATACCATGGACCAAAAGTGCTGGCTAAACTTGGTGAATAATTTGATTGCCAATCGTTCATTATTAAAATAATAATGATCAAATTATCAAAGGTTGACAAACGCATCTATAAACATTTAAATTTGTCAAATAAATTACAATGTCTTCTTATTGAAGACAAGGATGCTGAGAAATCTGCAGCTGCTCTTAATGTTTAAGTTGGAGCATTATAGGATCCCAGAAATGCTGAAGGTTTGGCTCATTTTTGTGAACATATGCTATTTATGGGAACAACCAAATATCCTGATGAATCTGAATATCAACATTTTATATCAAAACATTCTGGAATGACTAATGCTTATACTTCGGCAACGAACACTAATTATTTTTTTACTGTAGCTAATGATTAATTAGAGGGAGCATTAGATAGATTTTGTTAATTCTTCAAGCATCCTCTTTTTAAAGAATCATGCATTTAAAGAGAAATGAAGGCTGTTCATTCTGAATTTAATATGAATTTATAAAATGACTTTTGGAGAAAATTTTAAGTAAGTAAATTATTAGCACCATCGAATTCTTCTTATTCCTAATTTATGATTGGAAATTTAGATACTCTTGGTTAGGTTGATAGACAATAACTTGTAGATTTTCATTCTCGTTATTATTCTAGCAATTTAATGAAATTAGTCATTTATGGAAAACAATCTGTTGAATAATTGGAACACTGGGCAACTGATATGTTTAATGATGTTCCCAATAAAAATTACAATAGACCAGATGTAGATATTGAAGGTTCTAAAATCATATAAAATAAATTAATCAAAATAGTACCTATAAATGATGAAGATCATTTAGATTTAGTTTGGGTTATAGATTATTTATAACCTCATTTTCGAAATTGCCCAGGAAAGTATATTGCTCATCTTATTGGTCATGAAGGAAAAGGATCACTATTAAGTTACCTTATCAAAGAAAATCTAGCATATGAACTTTCATGTGGAACATCTGATGAAGCATTTAAATTCTCAGAACTTTATGTCAGTATCAAATTGACAAAAAAAGGATTATCTATGTATCAACATATAATTGAATTAGTTTTCAATTATTTAAATATTATATAAGCAAATGCATAAATTTTTAATGAAGTTAAATAAATCAAAACTTTATAATTTGATTATCTGGAAAAATAGAATCCTTTTGATTTTGTTGGAGCTTTAGCATCAAGATTACATTCATATCCTGTTTAAGATGTCTTAAGGGCTCCTTATTTAATGGAAGATTTTGATTCAAATCTAATCAATAATACTATTAATCAATTAAAAAGAAATAACCTGAATGTATTTCTATAAAGCTAGTAATTTTAAGGGAAATTAGGAAAATTTGAGAAATATTTTAATACTGAATATGAAATTTCAGATTTATCATTTGGATTATTCTAAAATGTAAATCAAATGTTTCATCTACCTAATTTGAATAAATATCTTCCAAATTAAACTGATTTATTGGCAAATCCTAATAATTAATAATATCCAAAAATAATTTATGATTCAACATAATCTACAGTTTATTTCAAATAAGACAATAAATTTAATGTTCCAAAAATATTTATAAAAATGAGACAATATTTAGATTAAATGGGAAAATCTGTATAAAATGAAGTACTTGGTATTCTTTGGTAAAGCTTACTCACAATGCATTTAAGAGAATTGTTTTATGAGGCAGAAGTGGCTTCATTATCTCCATCAGTCAGCTTAGTAACTAATGGAATTGAATATTCATTAGCTGGATTTAGTGATTCAATTAATAAGTTTTTACCAGATATGTTGAAAAAGGTTTTAGACTTTAAGGTTGAAAATTATAAAGATAATTATGATACATAATTAACAAAACTTGTTTGTGATTTAGAAAATTTTTCTCGTTCACCTCCTTATTAATAAGCAAGAAATCTATCTAATTTATTATTAAGAGATTGTGGATCTTTTGATCCAGAGGATTTATTAAAGACTATAAAATTGATAACATTTGAAGATTTAATTTACTTTTAGAATCATTTAATGGATAAATGTAGATTTGAATGGTTAATATAGGGAAATATCTAAGAAAATACTGCAATTACTATGGTAAAATAATCAGAGGAATTGTTTAGAAAATCCCTTATATTACAAAAGGAAGAAGTATTATAAATCAGATCTATTAATATCCCTGAATAAATTATATACAATTATACAAGATATTTAAATTCAGAAACTGAAACAAATTCAAGTGTGATTTTGTATTTCTAATTAGAGAGTGGAACAGTGAGAAATCAATTGATAGTTGATTTACTTTCAAATATAATTAAGACTCCATTTTTTTCTCAATTAAGAACTGTAGAATAATTGGGATATGTTGTATTCTCTGCTTCAAGTGATGTAAGAGGTATAACAGGCTTCTAATTTTTAATTTAGAGTAGTGAGAAATGTCCTAAATATCTTTAAACTAGGATTAGGTATTAAATTTTAATTGATTAAATTTAGAGAATTTATAAAGACTTTTGGTATGGATGATTTGGCTAGAGAGTAATTTGAAGAATATAAATAATCAATAAGAGTATCATTACTAGAGAAAGATTTCTCTTTAGGTAGAGAAGTAGGAAGATTTTGGGGAGAAATTCAAAGACATTAGAATCTTTTTGACAGAAGAGAATAAGCATTGAGTTTGCTTGATACTATTGACATTGAAGAGGTTAAGCGTTACTATAAATAATATTTAATTGAGCATCCTCATTAAATTGAAATTCATGTAGTTTCACCATCTCATAGATAAGAATAGGATTCATTACCTAATACTGGATTAATGAGTACTAGTGCTGAATGGATCAAACGTCGTGTACCACTTTATCCAGATATGTATTCATTATTATGAGTGTATTATAAAAATATATTATAAAATGAAATCTCTCCAAAAATTACTCAAAAATAACAAAGACATGGGACATTAATACATTGATTTTATGTAGCTATTTGAAAAGAAATTGAAATCATGTATCATAAATCACAATTCACGTAAAAATATTCTAGCTTAATACAAATAATAACAATACATTCATTCACCAATGCCTTTTTTTGAATCTGAAGAGCTTATAGTCTATGGTTCATTTGAAAATAGTAATATTCATGGATGTTGTCAAGAAGAAAAAGGAGTATTGAATGTTCTACTTTCCAGTGATACGAATACTTAAGGTTGCACTTAATGGTTTTACTTTGGTATTAAGATGCACAACAAAGGGAAACTAAAAATACGTATATTAAATAATCGTCGTTAAAACACTCTCTTTAAAGATTGCAATCATGTATATGTGTATGATGATGAAAAATGGACTGTTGGTTAAACCTAAGAAATGTACTATTATAGAACAAATATAAATCATCCATTTTATCATCATGAAGATGCTGGCATAGCTTAACTTCAATAAAACTTTTCATTATACACATTAGAATTCACATATGAGTTCAAACAAAGTGAAAAAATAGTATTTTTTGCATTAACTCGTCCATATCAAGTCAAAAAACTTTAAAGATTTATTGATTAATGTCCATTAAAAAGAAAATCAGTGTGCATTACAACATTAGGATTACCAATTTGGCAAATTAAGACTCCAAAATAAAATGGATAATAAATTGTAATAATTTTGGCTAGATAACATCCAAGTGAAACTGCTGGATCTTTTATATGCTAAGAAATTTTACGTATTTTATGTAAAGGACACTCAAGTATGTAAAAATATAGATTTATAATTTATCCTATGCTAAATCCAGATGGTGTTTTTCTAGGAAATTCTCGTTGTAATTTTAATGGCATAGATTTAAATAGGTAATATGAATATATAAATTTTAGAAAATGGGACAATCCAAAATAAAAAACTGAACCAGAGGTCCATTATGTTTTTAAATCCATATCAAAATATGCTAATATCGCTTTTATGATAGATTTACATGGTCATTCAAAAAAATTCAATCAATTTCTTTATGGTTGTTTAAATGGAAAGAGTGTATCAGAGTATATGAGAATAAGATAATTTGGAAAGATTCTAGCTCATCATAATGAAATTTTCTCATTTAAAGTACCTTAATATTTAATAGAGGGATTGTTCATATGGTGTTAGTCCTGATAGAGTTGGTACAGCTAGAGTGGCTTTATGGAAAAGATTGAATATTGCAAATTCAATGACAATAGAAACAAGCATTTATGGTTAAATGGGTAAAGCCTTTAGTTTAGAAGATTACCATGCTCTTGCTTAAAATATATTGCGTGCACTTGATCTTTATAATGAGTAGGTGGAATCACCTGAATTGAATATCAATAGAGAAATGAGCAAGGCATTAAAATATGATAGTGGAAGTGATTCAGAAGCAGAATTAGATTTGATAATTCCAAGACCAAATAGAATTAAAATCACATCTAGAAAGGAATCTTCATGCAAACATCAATCAGTTGGATATGGAGGCATTAAACCTAAATTTGAGACTCCCTAATTGATACATCAACATAGTTAATTTTTTAAGGATTAATCTTTTGTTGAATTGTTACCTTAACCTTCCAAACTTCTTAGTCAGAGTTAAAATAAAGTTTAACTTTAAAAGATTAGGTCTCGAATGAACTCATTTTAAAGCCAATACATAGAAGAGTAACCAAAATTTGGAAATATGATATCAGCTTTGCAAGTTAAATAATTATTTAAATGAAATTAATTCTTGCTCTTCTCATGACAATAGCATATTGTACAAATGATGCTATCAAAAAAAATGTCGATAATATTAGATAAGCCATAAATGCTGGGCCTAATAAGCATAAAGCCTATGATAAATTAGCATATATTGTTGATACATTTGGTCCTAGAATGTGGGCATCACCAAGAATGGCATTAGCTGTTGATTATCTTTATAATTAAATACAAAATTGGGAAGCAACTAAAAATGGTTTGGTGGAAGTTAGATTAGAAAAATTAGATGAAATATCAACTTGGGTAAGAGGGAGTGAGTAATTGATTTTAAAGAGTCCAAGAAAAAGACCTTAAAAATTAGGAATGATTGGACTTGGTTTAATTGTTCCAGGTAACATAAAAGATGGAGAGGTTGTAGTGGTTAGAAACTGGAGTGAATTGGATGAGAAGGGTAAAGCTAATAAAATTAAAGGTAAATTCAATATACAATACTTAGGAAAAATTGTATGCTATAATGTTCCATGGACAACTTATGATGACTTGAAGTTTTATAGATAACAAGGACCTGATAGAGCATCTGCTTATGGAGCTATTGCTGTATTATTAAGAAGTGTTGCTTCATTTTCAATCTATAGTCCACATACAGGAAATGTGAGATACTCTGGTAATTTTACAAAGATTCCTGCTGCTGCTATTACAGTAGAAGATGCTGAGATGCTTCAAAGAATGTAAGATAGAGGACAGAAAATAACAGTAGATTTAGAATTAAATAATGAAATGAAGGCTTCTGAAAGTCATAACATCATCGCTGAGATCAAAGGTTAATAACATCCAGAATAAATTATATTGATGGGGGGTCATTTTGATTCTTGGGACACAGGAAGTTAAACTGGGGCTATGGATGATGGTGCAGGAACCCTTGTTACTTTAGAAGCCCTTAAGGTAGTTGCTGATCTTGGAATCAGACCTCTTAGAACTTTGAGATGGATTGCTTGGAGTGGTGAAGAAATGGGACTTCCAAATAATGGAGCACAACATTATGTTAAAAAACATGGTGATGAAGATCATGTAGTTGCTCTTGAGAATGATGTTGGTTAATTGACAGCTATAGGATTCGGTTTTTCAGGAAAACTATAAACTAGTAGAATGGTTAGATAATTGATTATGAACTATATTCCTGATTTATCAGTTGTCAATGAAAATGATGGGTAAATAATTGTAGTTATCTTTAGTTCTGGAGTTGATACTAAACCTTTAGGTGATAAAGGTGTTCCATTGATGAGAAATATCTATAAAGATCCTAATGATGATTATTACTTCAAATATCATCACTCTGCTGGTGATACCATGAATATATTAAATCCTGATGAAATGGATTCCAATGTCTTTGCTATTAGTTCCATGATGTACATTATTGCTGATAATCCTGAGAGATTACCTAAATGATTTAAAATAACAAATATTAATTAAAATTCAAATGAAAAGGGATGATTAGATATATATGTCATCTATATAACTTTGGAATGGAATTGACACTCCTATTCATTAGAGTACTAATCTATTTAGCTAAAAATTTAAGGAGAGTTAAGAATTTAATTGCAATGGAGTCCAGTCTATGTGCAGACACCATCCTTAAAAAAAAGTAAATATATCATTTTGATCCATAGGCTAAATATATTTTGCTTAATGATTAAGGTCCTAATGATAAATTATGTACTAAATGTGCTGTTCAATTAGCTTAATAAGGATATAAAATTGAAAATATAGAAGAAGGTATTTGACTCATTAATTCTTAGATAATGTTAAAAAAAAGTAAACTGATTCATTTATTGAACAATTATTATCAACAAAAAGTGAAATAGATAATGTTCATTCTATTTTATTATCAACAGAATCAAATCTTAAAAAGTTTTATAATGACTAATATACTTAAGTTGTTAAGACTTTTGGAGGTATAGAAAAATAATTATAAATGGTAATGTCTACAATCTATATTCCAAGTGCAAATCTAAATTGCTTTGTTCTTTATCATAATCTCTTTGGTCTGGGGTGCAGATAACCAATCAATTGAAAGTATAATCTAAATAAATTGAACATTAATTGGCAACCTATATAAGTGACATCAGAAATCACTATGATAAAATTGTCTAAATGGGTACTCTACCATTTAATCAAATTATGGGGGGGTATAGTAGTAAACTATTTAAATTATAATAATTCCTTAAAGATATTTAAGAGAATAAGGTTGCTTATCTCCATTATGAAGGGAAAGTAAGTACTTTGGATACTTTTTTAAAAGAAATTAGCTAATTGACTGAAAAAGATTATTAAAATAAAAAAAGAAATCATGAAAGCACTAGATCAAGTTCTGAATAAAAAACATCAAAAAGTGCTGAAAAAGAAAAGAGGCATCAGAGCCAACCTAACAGTAAGGAAGTAAAGAGTTTTGATAATTCTGAAAAAAAAACTGCTCAAACATTTAAAATCACAGAAGAATCAATTGAAGAATGGATGGAGAATTCTAATTCTAAATAAAGAAGAACTGAACCTGTTGAATAATTATAAAGTCCAAATATTTTAGGTACTAAATTCTTTAAGAAATAACTTCCTCCAAGTCGAGCCTCTATGAAATAAGAAACAAATTAAGCTATGCTTGATAAATTAATATCAGAATTTTCTTAAATTAAATAAGAAAGAGCAATGAAAAAGTAATCTAAGACTCCTGAATTAAGTAAATCAGTTAAGGAAACCTTTCCTAACAAATTATCACCAAAATTTCTTTATAAAAATTATTATAAATGATTTAATTCTTAACTTTGTTTTTAATTTATAATGATAATAAATTTTAGAGATTTAATTTCAGTATTATCATTTTGAGAATAGCTTCTATAAGGACAATATATCATCTTTCTTGACAGCCAACCCAACATGGGATTGCTAATTTCCAACAAAAATAAAAGGAAAAAAGCGAACTCTCAAATGTCTTAGAGCTAAACTGTCTACACAAGCATGTCTAAGTGTAGATTCATATATATTTTAAAATTTTAATGCTGTCATACTACAATTATTCTAAAATGATATATAATTATATTTACAATTTCAATTTCTTTTATATTCTCTAATTAAGTTTGTTTTATATTGAATTGATTTAAAAGATCATCTAAATTATCAAAGTTTTGTAAATTGATTCTTTCCTCTTAAGATTTATATACCTATTTATATGTTCAATTATTTTACATTTAATTAATCATCTATCTTAAATAGCCTATATCCAAATATAAATGGATCATGTTCATAATTTAAAATAGGATCATAGGCAAGATCTGATTCTTATGTTTTTAAATAAATTAAAATATTCAACTTATTTTTATGACTGGTAAAATTCTATTTTTATTAAATATCTTTTTTTGTTCTACTAGATTTCAAACTATTTTAAATTTATTCTGAATTATTCATAATATTTTTGACTTCCTTTAATAATGGTTTCTTTTATGGATTTGATTGATGTAAATTTTACTAATTGTTTAAATTATTTTAATTTTCATCATTTCTGGAATTAGTAAGACTATCAGTATTATTTGATTATTGAGTATTTATATTACTTAAATTATATTAGACTAAAATTGTTTTACTCAACTTTTCTTAATCTTTACTTTTGTTACTCTAATTTTCACAAAAGCTTAATTAAATATGACTATTATTTGATGTAATTGGATCATCACTGGAATCAAACATGTCTAATGGATTTTTAATTGGTAAATTTATATTTAAAAGTTATAATTTAATTTAAGAAGCATTTTCTTATGGAGATTGAATAGGAGTTTATGATTATGATCTATGATGTTCAATAATTCTATTAGTCTTCCTCTATGTGTCAATAGAATCACTTCTATTTTTTTAAGGAACATTGCTAGCTTAGATTCTTAATTTGATATCATTTATTTAATATTAAATTTGTAATATTAATTCATCTAAATCTTAGACAATTATTTTTCTCTCTACTTTATTTTCTATTTGCAAAAGTGATATCTTGCATTATTGTAATTCTAACAAATATTCTCTTTTATCAATTCCATTTAATTAAATAATTAAACTGCTAGCTTTTTTAAATTTTTATTATGAGTATTATTAAATTAATTATTATGCTTTTGTTTTATTATTCATTAACTATATATTAATAACATCTACTCTTAAGAAAGCTTATTCAATACTATTTGCGTATTATACTTATTAAGTAAGACAAATTTTCTTAAACTCTTGCTTTACATCTTAGAGCATACCATCAAAATACTTTTTACCATATTTCTTTTTAATTTCATTTATACTCTATTCTTTATCTCTCATGTACATAGCTAAAAGATGTTGAGTTTCAGCTTCTATTTATTTTTCTAACTGTTTCTCTAAAAGAGTAAGTTAAGTAATTAAATCTTTATTTTATTTTTTGTATTTCTCCATTTCTATAATCAATTATGATTTCTTCATTTACAATTATTTTATAGAATGATTTTTACTGCTTATTTCTTATGAAATGGATTATTATATCTTATAAGATATATTGTGTTAATTAAAAATTTATGCTACTTAACAAAAATTAAAATGCATAGAATTTAAGCATTTTTAAATGAATATAAATAAATTAACCTTATTATTAGATTTTAAAACTACTGTTATATACTATTCGAGTAAGTTTATGTTTTAGAATAGTAAATGTTATGAATTAATTTCAATTAAAAGATTTGCTACTTCTTCATTAATCTATTATTTGCCTTTAATTTAATTAGAATTACAAACTTCTGTTAATTTAAGAATGTATAATTATAGTTTCATTATAAGACCTAATGGAACAGAAGTTTAAATTATATCAATATCGAAATATTACTTTATTTTGTTCCAATTATTGTATGAATTTTAATCAAGCACTTTAACAACCTAAGAATCACACATTTTCAGGTTTTCTTTAAATTTACATAGACTTTCTGTATAGACTTTATTTTATTCTTAAATAGTGTACAAGCCCTTTTCTATCTATTCTATTTCTCTCTCTACATTTTAGAGATTCTAAATATTAAAAAATAAATTTACTTATTTTGTGCTAGATAATGATTGATTCAAAGAACCTTATATTTTTTTCATTTATGCTTATGCCAATGTTACATCATGATCTGATTGAGAATATAAAGCATCAGTTAATTACTCTGATTCTTTGGAAAGTTCTTAAGTTTGAAAATTAGTAGAATGAATATCCTCGATCAGCATCTACAAATGTTCTGATTAAGATGAGGATATATTCTTTGAATTAGATTAGAGTTAAGTCATGAGAACATCTATTTCAGTTTACATCTCTTATATTCTAACTTCTGTTTTTTTGAATCTGGCAGTACTCATTGAAATTTAAATAATTAGTTAGTTATTTTATTTTACATGATAAAATTCACTCTATTGCATCAAAAATATCTCCTTTGCCACTTCTTCCCTTTCTTTTCTTAAACTCTTTATTTTTAGCTTATTGAGATTTTTCTTGAGCAGCCTACTGAATTCTTTCATCCATTTCATCAAATTCATTATCTTATGATTAACTATTATCCATAAACCATTCTTTAGGAAGATCCTCTGGATTAACAGTTTCCATATCTAAAGATTCAAAGTGTTTCTTCTAAAAATCAGTAAGTACTATAATAATTTATTTATTAATTAATTACAATCCTTCTTTTCTTCTTCAGTTAATTCTTTATCAATTTCTTCATCTTCATCTTCGCCATCTTCATCCTTCATACCTTTTCTCTATTCTTTCTTTAGTTATTCTCTATTTCTCTATTATTCAACTTTATTAAGCATGAATTCATCATACAATAAATCATCTAATTATTTCTCTTGAATTAATCTCTTTTCTCTTTAAACTGCTTCATCATTTCCTAAAGCTTTTTATTTCAAATATTATTCTAACATTTCTGGTTAATAAAGATGATTTCCTATAAATTATTAAGGTGCATTCTCTCTGACAGCTTTTAATTCTTCCATTGTTCTATAACGTCTTTCATCTGCATTGTATAACCATGCAAATTTAGGTGTTGTTTTTAATCTATTAATAAGATGATCAATTTCTGTTTATATTGATCTTGGGAAATCTCCTTCAGTTTGAAGTTTAGTTAGGATATTTAACAATTTAATTAAATCTGGTAATCTAGATATTTTTTATTATCTAACTATATCTTTTACAAGAGGATCAAACAAATCAGGTTCAAAATACTTAGCACTTATACATGCATTCAATAATCTAAATTATTAGGCAGGTTGATATTTTAGACTTTTTTTATATTCTTTAACAAGAATACTATGACATTGTGATTTCATCAAATCAAATAGATATTTTCTAGACAAATTTTTATTTTTCCCACATGCTTCAACTAATTCGATTGCTTCAAACCATTTTCTTTTAGATTTTTGATGCATACGGAATTCAGCATCAAAGAAATCATGTAAATATTAATTATCAATAGAAAGGGATAAAAATCCATATAAAGCTCCAAATGCTAATCTTGATGGGAATTCACCTTTAAATTTGTAAAGACATTTTTCTATCTTTTTAATTACAACTTCATCATAAACACCATCTTTTCCCATATGANTGAGATTTTTCTTGAGCAGCCTACTGAATTCTTTCATCCATTTCATCAAATTCATTATCTTATGATTAACTATTATCCATAAACCATTCTTTAGGAAGATCCTCTGGATTAACAGTTTCCATATCTAAAGATTCAAAGTGTTTCTTCTAAAAATCAGTAAGTACTATAATAATTTATATATTAATTAATTACAATCCTTCTTTTCTTCTTCAGTTAATTCTTTATCAATTTCTTCATCTTCATCTTCACCATCTTCATCCTTCATACCTTTTCTCTATTCTTTCTTTAGTTATTCTCTATTTCTCTATTATTCAACTTTATTAAGCATGAATTCATCATACAATAAATCATCTAATTATTTCTCTTGAATTAATCTCTTTTCTCTTTAAACTGCTTCATCATTTCCTAAAGCTTTTTATTTCAAATATTATTCTAACATTTCTGGTTAATAAAGATGATTTCCTATAAATTATTAAGGTGCATTCTCTCTGACAGCTTTTAATTCTTCCATTGTTCTATAACGTCTTTCATCTGCATTGTATAACCATGCAAATTTAGGTGTTGTTTTTAATCTATTAATAAGATGATCAATTTCTGTTTATATTGATCTTGGGAAATCTCCTTCAGTTTGAAGTTTAGTTAGGATATTTAACAATTTAATTAAATCTGGTAATCTAGATATTTTTTATTATCTAACTATATCTTTTACAAGAGGATCAAACAAATCAGGTTCAAAATACTTAGCACTTATACATGCATTCAATAATCTAAATTATTAGGCAGGTTGATATTTTAGACTTTTTTTATATTCTTTAACAAGAATACTATGACATTGTGATTTCATCAAATCAAATAGATATTTTCTAGACAAATTTTTATTTTTCCCACATGCTTCAACTAATTCGATTGCTTCAAACCATTTTCTTTTAGATTTTTGATGCATACGGAATTCAGCATCAAAGAAATCATGTAAATATTAATTATCAATAGAAAGGGATAAAAATCCATATAAAGCTCCAAATGCTAATCTTGATGGGAATTCACCTTTAAATTTGTAAAGACATTTTTCTATCTTTTTAATAACAACTTCATCATAAACACCATCTTTTCCCATATGATATAGAAGTTGCCCTATTGATTTTGCATAAAATTCATTCTCAGGATTATCTCTGACTGCTTTAAGTAAATCTTTGCTGCTTGAGTGATAAAAGGTCTCTGAATTGATATTAAGATCATCCATATAAGTAGCCCAATTAGTATCATCTTTTATGAGCTTCCAGTCTTTTTTGAGTACAAATTTACAACCGTATATAGGTATATGGCATAATCTAGATATTTTGCTTATAAGCAGCATAATTAATATATTTATTATTTTAGACAATTAGTTAAAACACAAGTAATTTTTAAATTGAATAAATACATAAAATTTTTATATTGAATTCAATCAAATTAAAGCTTGATCATCATTTGCTTTTTCTTTGTAATATTCAGCAATTGTAAAATCAAGATTATCTCCATGTTCTTCATCTTAATTGATTCGATGTCGTATAGGTTATAATTCATTACTTTTTTCATTCTCTTTCCTTAAATCAATTATTAATAGAATAGCAATATAGGATACCATCATCAACATATTTATTGGATTAAATAAATGATGATCAAATCTTTCATAATACAAGTAAAATTAACTCTTTTAGAATGAATAGACAATGAAAAAGATGATGTCAATTATAAATAAGTCAAGTCCTAATAAATAAAAGATTAGAATTTACTAATTAAATTGGAATGTAAACTAATCATGACTTCATAAGCAAATATACCCGAATAGACCAAGAAACATAACCAACAAATAATCATAATTGTATGAATGTTTTCAACTTAATTTTCTAAGTCCTTAATAACGAACGATTAACTATCAAAGGCAATTAACCATCTATCTATACTAATAGGAATAATGACAAAGATTGTTATAATAGTATTTCTACCTTTATTTGTATTATTATCCTAGCCTTTTAGGAAGGAAAGAATTTATAAGAAATATCTTAAAAATAAGAATTCTCCTATAGCATAACATGTCTATCCGATTAACCATTCTACAGCTTCAAATTCTGAGAAATAACACAAGGGTCTAAGTGGTTAAGCAATTAAAATTATCATTAGGAGCATATGATGTTGATTTTCTTTTATATATTTTCCTAAAGGAAGAAGATTATCTTCATCCTCATTGATCATTTTAATTGCTAATGCCAAAATTACAAAACATAAGAATGTAACAAATGAATCTTCTAAATATTTTAAATTATTTTTGAAATATGCCTCTAATTCTATGTCTAAACCTTTGACAAAAATAACATAAGCTGAAACTTTTATTAATTCAGGTGTCATTAGATAATTTTCATTTCCATCTGTATCTCCTGATTTGAATGAATAAGGTAAAGCTTTTAAATGATGTTTACTCAATTCCTCAATTCCTACTTAATTTTCATTAACTATAGGAAATGAATTATTAGTGTCAACCGATATTAATTCAGTCATATTTAGTTATTACTCTGCAGGAAATTATTAATAATAAATGACAATATCAGGTATGTGTTGTAATTGGGTTTGTGTACGAAAATAGAATGTGACCATAGTTTCATTAGATTCCCATATATACCCACAACAGAGTATACTTTAATTTTGATTATCAACTTTTGTCTCACATTAACGATTAAGTTTGTCTGATTCAATAAATTGGAGATCCAAGGATTTATCAACAAAATAGAATACCGCTATTGAGGCCACATAAATAATTAAAATTTTCATTATTTTATTAACTGTTAGATGAAGAGAACATCATCATAATAAAGTATAGAAGGAAGAAGAGATTCAAATCATTTAGTTGGACTCATGAGTGAGAATGAGAAACTTCATAAATAAAATGAATCCTTAATGAAGGAATTAAGTCTCATTAAAAATGATTTTGAGAGAATGTCTTAAAATGGTTAAAAGACAGTTAAGAATGGACGCAGAAAGAGTTGTGAAATCACAGGTGAAATGGTCACTTAGTAATAAATTAAATCTCTTGAAGAAGAACTATAAAATACATTAATGAGATTTAACACATTAAAAAAGGAATTCTCAATTAAAACTACTTAATATTAAAATTAAATAACAAAATAGGCAAATCTAATTACTTAGCTATAAAATGAAAATGATATGCTTAAGATAAAGTTTGAAAACAAAGAAAATTAATTCTTAGAGTTTAAATAAGGTTATTAAGAGAATTATTTAGAAAAATCAGGTATTAAAATTATAAATGAGAATCAAAAAATTAAATAATTATCTGAAAGCAATATCAAATTGACAAAATTACTTGAAGATAGGTTAGTTTAATTAGAATAGTTAACTAAAACATTAAATTAAAAGAATTAAGATCATATGAAAGAAATTGAAAAATACGAATCTTTATTAAAAGAAAAAGCACATCATTCTTCATTATCATAAGGAAAAAGTTTTGAATCCCTATAAAAAAAGATAGATATTCTCGAAAAAGATAAAATTCGATTAAATAGTGAATTAACAAAAACTAGAGATTTAAATTCAAAAGAAAAATAAATGTTATTGAAAGAAAAATAAAATGTAAATTTAGAGAAAGAGAAATTACATTCAGATATGTCTATTATTTAGTAATAATTAACTGATTATTACAATTAATTATAATAATGTGGATAATAACTTAAATAAAAAGATGAAAGTATTAAATAATTTTAATAATCTGAGAGTTTTTAAGGATATTAAAATCTATAATATGAAAATTAACAATAAAAAGCATTGATAACTTAATTACAAGTATAAATTGGAAATCTTCAATAAACTAATAAAGCTCTACATGAAGAACTATTGTTTTTAAAGACTAATGCTCCATTAAGTAATAGAACAAATCTAAAAACTTACTTTGGATTAGATTCTCCATTCAAAAATATAGCAGATGAATAAAATAAATATAATGTCACTTTAAGTAAGAATTATATTTATTTTTTTTAGAAACAAGAACATAAAGTTCATTAGATTAGAGAGGCAGATCTTAGGAGAAGTATAAAAGGATGGAATGATGGATATTGTTATATATATAAAAGTCTCAATTATTCATTAATTTCTATATTCAATAAAGGAAACATTAAAAATTCCTAATTGAAATAAGGCATCATTAATTAAATTTTCTGAATAGACATTTCCTAAGATTAATCGAAAAAATTAAAAAATAACCCAAAATTAGGATTTAATCTTAAACCTTAAGCCAATTGTTTAAAAATAACTAAATATTTATAAATTATAGAAAAATTATATAAATTATCTAGTTTTGTTTAAGATATTCTATCAAACATTACTTCATAAAATATTTAATAATATTTAGAAACATTAGATGAATGAATTTAATTAACATTTAAATTGATATCATTTTGTATCGCTAACTTATATCTTCTATTCCTTGTATCTTTTATATTCGTTAATAATTAATGGAATAAGGAAGCAACCAGCCACAATTGCATTGAGACTGCAGTATAAAAAAAGTATTGATTCTAAATATGGTACAATCAATTGATTTATGGCTGCAAACACTGCACCATATCCCATGACAACTGAAGTAACTGTAGCGGTAGATTTCTTGTTTCCTTTAAATTATAAATCATGATAGTACCCTTTAATTCTTTCATATTACTCAGTTCAATCACGATAGCACCTGAAACATTATTATATACACCACCAATCATTAATCCTGTAAGAAATACTAAAATATAATAGAGAGCATAAGGTTATTCTAATTTTGATAAAAAGTTGATGCTGACCATAACCACTGTTCCAATCCATAATGAAGGAACAATAAGACTTGCCCTTAGATTCCAATAAACTCCTGCATAACTAAAATAATGATAATATAATTACCATATCAAAATGCCCCCTGGAATTGTACCCCATTCAATCATTTAAGTAATCCATGCCACTCCTTCTAGATTTTCTCCCTTCAAATATGAAGGTAGCCAAAATGCAAGAATGTAGAAAACAGCCTTAATACAACCAAACGCGAATGCATACAAAGCAACATTAGGTAATTTCCAAGCTGAAATCATATTGATACTATCTTTTTTATTCTTCTTAGGTTTAGGAGGTACATGTGGATTCATTTGAGAGTCTCTATCCACTGTCAAAAGTGTTTAACTTAAATCAGTAATAAATGATTCTTATGAGACAGAAACTACTGATGCAGCTCTACTCATATATTCATCATGAGCCTATTTATAGACTAATGATTTTGTTAATGGATTCTTAAATTAAGCTATGTATTCTTTAGCAGAACTAGCTTCAATTAAAAAAATGTTGATGACTGACATTATTAAAACGCCAACTGCAGATACATATATGGGTGCCATAACACTCATACCTAGTTATTCAATTAAGAGAGCAGCAAACAAGTCTCCTAAGATATTACCAACATTTGTGCATGCTGCAAAATAACCCATAACTATCATTTTATTTGGTTTACTCTGCCAATTATTCATTATAGCCATCAATCCTGGCCATGCTGGAGCTTAAGAAATACCATTGAATATTTAAAGAACAAGCAATAACCATCGATTATGTTTTTCAACTGGCAATAATGCAGCTATCATGAATTATATGATTCCTGTAGAAAATGTTCCGCATAACATAAAAAGTTTTGGACCTATTCTATCTCCAATTTGACCAAGGCTAAGTAAATTATTTAATATACAAAAGCATTGAAGATCCATAAACAAAAAGGAATGAAAAGTTTACATATCCTAAATATTTTTTATCAAAATCATCAATTTTTTCATCATCATGTTCGTGATCATCTTATTTTGCTAATATTCCACTTGTGAAACTCCATGTTGATCTACATGAATGTAACATAGCATATTGCATAAAGCAACAGATGAATACCTGAATTCTTTTAGCTCTCAATCCAGGAACAGCAGAATCAAACATAAATTTAATTTTAACATTTATGCGTATATAAGAAGGAGCTATTGAAACATTCTATTATTATCTATGGCTTCAAAATGACTCCATTATCCAAAATAAAGTTGAATTCCATCTCCCAGATACTCTTATCTATAGATTAGGAGTCATTCAAGTTTTTTATACATAAATTTATTCAGGCATGGTATTTCACTCATAACAATTAAATCCTTGTTAAAAAACTTGAAAATAGAACTCTATCTAATATAGAAATTGCATTTCTTAAAGATTGTGAGAACGATGTTTGTGCTTATTTCATCAGTTGTAAACCAAAAAGAGACTTTTATCATACTTAAGAATCTAGAGGGGAATTTCTATAAGATTAACTCAATATTGATTGCAGAACCTCAATACTCTACTTAAATCAGGAACAATTTAAATAATTTATACATAATTCAGATATTCATAGAAATGGAATTTTGTAGAAATTTACTAAACCTGTTTTACCAAAAGAAAATGTAATCTAAGCTATTTGGAGTTAAAATATTTTACTCTTAAGTTAAAGAGTTAATAATATTGAATTAACCTCTTCTAAATTTGATATTTATGAAAAATGTTCAACATTTAATAGTTCAGAATCTTATTCTAAAGCATATCCTGTTAAATCTAAAGTAATAACAAATTAAATTCAAAGAATTATCAATTATATCTCCACAAAAATTGGAATTCTCACTTATGAAAAATTTAGAGTAAATAGAGCTGTTTTCTATTGTAAAGTTGATTATCTACAAAGAATTAACATTTTATATTGCACATCCTTAAGATCTAATGATGAATGTCCTTATCCTATTTAATTTGGACAATTACTCAGACCTGAAAATGTTAAAAATACTATTACTACAAACAAATAAAAACCTATTAAATTGATAATGGACATCTAATGTCTATCATGCCAATAATTTTGTTAAACTGAAGATTTATATCCCATTAAATATTAACGATTAATTACGTCAGAAGAACATAATAGGATGGACATTAAATCTTACTCAACCTAAGTTAAAAGAGCAGATCATTATAATCATCAAAAAACTGAAGATAATCCAGAAAACTATATAGCTAACACAACTAAATTAATACCAGATATCATCAAGAAGCTTTTCCCTTCTTTGTCATATAGTGTATAAATTACTATTATATTTAGGAATTTGCAAAAATGAAAGAAAATTCAGCCTTTTTGAATAAAGAAATACTTGTTTGTTTGAATTGCTATCTTAAATTTACACAAATTAAATTGAAATTTACTTAAACAAGCAGAAGATTAAAAATAAAATAAAAAAATAGATCTATTACTGATATTATTAGACAAGCATCTTGTGAAATATCCTAAAGACTTACTGAAAGAGATCATAGAGGAAATAAGGAATAATAAAAGATGAGTTTCTGCTTAACCTAAAGAAGTTCTTTACCAAAAACTGCAGAATTTACTACAATGAAATCTTCTCGAACATCTTCTATAATGAAAAATAATATAACTTTGAGAAGCACTGCAAGAAAATCCTCTGTCTGATTATTTGATATTATTTAACATTTTATGTCAATGAATTACTACCATATTTTAATTTAAAATGAAAGAATATTATTTATAAATGACTATTCTCTTATTATAAAATAAATGTTATTATAAATTTATTTCAAATTCTAAAATGATTAGAAATTATTTATTAAGCAATTTAATATTTTAATTTGTTTTTACTTGCCTATAAACTCTCAATTAAATTCCCATGAATCTAAAGTAATGCATATATTTTTTCTCTAAACTCAATCTATTCAATAGATTCTGAAAATTCATCTAATTTTAATGCAATTATAGCTTAATATGTATATGGTAATTTCTAGAAAATTGTTAGTGAATCTATTTCTTCAATTATAAGCATAAATTGAATCATATATTTATGAGGCATGTTTGCCAAAATACAAATATAAATGCCAATCAACTAATTGAGAGGTTTTTATTTTTAATTTCTATGTAATGAATGCATATTCGAAAAATTAGAAAAGCTATTCAAAATATCTTCCTTGTATTAGTCAATATGTATTGTTTTTAATCGCAATCTTGCCTATTCTATTATGAATTTTTTCACATCTTTAGTAATAATTTCATTTAAAATATATCTTAACTAATAATGATTAACTTTTAGTTTAGATTAAGTAATACTCTCCATCCAAACATTTACTCCTATTGTTGAATCATATGAAATTACTCTAAATATAAATTATATAAATTACCGATGAAGCATTCCTTATGGAATATAAAGCATTTCGTTTTTTTGGAGAATAACAAATTTGGATAATAATTTTTATCCTTTTTTTAGATGATTATATTGTTCAGAACAAACTGATTCAAACTAAGACCAATTTATACACTTATTTCTCAAGTAAACAATTTTAGTACCTTCAACTACACCCAAATAATTTTCATAACTATCATAATGCCAGCCACTATCTGTAAATCCTTTTGAACACCATAAGAATACATTGCCAGAATCATTCAATTATTTTGGGCAAGGCAAATCTAATTAGATTTATGCCAAATACAATGTAAGTGGTCCCTTGTAATTTGAAAATTCTTGATATGTCATTGTCTCTTAAAATATGGTATTGCCTGTGAATGAGTTAGTTGTAGAAACTATTATGTCTAAAGGTTTTTCATGTAATAATTCAGCAATATTATGGTGAGTAAATAAAGACCATAGATCTTAAACTTTGAATTTATAGGGTTTTGCTGATCTCTTTCCTTTAATATCTGATAAATTATATGTAATTGGAACATATTTCCATTTTTTTTAATTTTTCATGATTTTTCGTGACCTTTTATTTTTAGTGAGCATTTTAATATACAATAAATAAATCAAAGCATAATTCTATTTTATTCTAACCATTATTGCAATTTGGCAATGTCTAAAGGCTTAACGAAGTATCCAACCATTCCAGCTTTCAAACATTCTTCTTCTTCTTAACCACCTGAATAGCCACTATGTCCCAAAATATAACCATTAAATCCCATACTTATCAGTCTTTTGCAAGTCTCAATTCCATTTAAGTTAGGTAAATCAATATCAAGAATCACAATTTTGTAATTTTTACATGCACAACTAGGTCCATGTTAAAATTACTCAATTTTCTTAATACATTCAAATCCACTAAATGCTAAATTAACTCTATAACCTGATTATTCAAGTTAAATCTTAAGCATTTATAAGATGAAAGGCTAATCATCAACAATTAAGATTTCAGGACATTAGCATCTAGAATATTAACTTAATTCTAATCCACTCATTCTAAAGCTATCACATTATTTTATCTAATTTAATGGTGCTTAAAAATATTCTCTTTATTAACGAACTACTGATTCCTATTAATACTTTTATTTATCTTCATTAAAGGAGTGATCATAAACCTAAAACGAAAACTTAGATCCTTTGCCTTCTCCTTCTGACACAGCTGATAAACCTTTTTAATCATAAGATAACTTTCTTGCTAAAACATTACTTATCATCAATCCTAATCCTATTCCTTATGGATTTGAATTGGTTGGATCATCCAACTTTCCAAAGGCAGTGAATAATTTGTTTTGATTTGCTGCAGTTATACCTAAACCTGTGTCAGACACTGTTATTTCTACTGATTTATTAATTGATCTACCTGAAATTGTAATAATTCCATTATAAGTAAATTTGACAGCATTCCCTAACAAATTAATTAAGATTTATCGTATCTTGTAAGGATCTGAGCATATTTTCTCAGGAATTCCTTATAGATTGATTACTAAATCATTATTTTTAGCATATGCTTAAACAACCATAATATTGTAGGTTTCTGTTATCAAATGATGTAGATTTAATTATTGTATATCTAATTTAAATTTTCCTACATTTAATACTGATACATCTAACAAATCTTGGATTAAATTAGTAAAACAATCTAATTAACTTAGCATAGGCAATAAATACTTTTAAACCATTTCTTCACTACACATAGGTTAAATTTATTAGACCATCAACTTAATCGATTAAAGTGGAGTTCTAAATTCATGTACAACTGTACTTAAGAAATTAGATTTATCTGTAATAACTCTTTATAGAAAAGTTACTAGATTCATTGAAGTCATATCAGTTACAATCAATAAGATAAATTCAGATTTTTTATTTTCAAACCTTTTAAAACTTACTTAAAATAGTGATTTCTCATTTTAAGGAAATTAACATAACATTTTGATAACTCCATTTTTTTCTTTTGGATTTTCTATTAAATGATCAAGTAATTTTTTCACAGTTTCGAATTATTAAAACGAATAGGATGATTTTAATTCTGATTAATCATCAAATCGAGATTCATCAAAAGTGCTTTTTTTAAAATAAGTTTTATTATCAAATTCTTATTCATTTAGAATGATTTATTGTTCTTAAAATAATGAGTTAATCCTTTCTAATTCATTAATTTATTATTGAACATTTTTCATTTATAAAAGATTATAAAAGGCTGCCTTCTTGTTCATACCTCCCATCATCTTTTTTAAATGTTTATTAATGAAAATAACTTATTTTTTCATATTTACCATTATAATACCATCCGGGAACATATTGAATATTTTTTAATATTAATCCATGCATCCAAAATCATTTATTTAAAGATCTTATGATGGTTCTGATTAATACTCATGTAAACTAGCTTTTCTTGAATAATTTGGTGAGGTTTAATTTTTTATTAATCCTGGAGAAGGCAGCTTAGAAGTTGAAATTTATCCTCCACTTTCCTTTTCTTTTTTATTTTAAATGTAATATTTCATACAAATATTTAACACCATAAAAAGTGAAAGCAAAGTACCAGTTATAGTATTCTCATTTGTCTCTCCCCACATTATGAAATAAAACATGCATATTAAAGCATCTATTAATTTTAAAACAATTGATTGTTTTTTCAATAAATATTGCATATATGAACCTGCTAAAAAACTCTAAACTAAATTTTGTTTTCTTTAGAAAATTATTATTAATAAACTAATTTTAATGCACACTTTCACACTTAACTAAATTTTTTCATTCTAAATTTATTTAATTTTTTATATAAAATGAATAGCAAGCATTAAGAACTAAAAGCTAAGCATTATAGTATTAATTAATCTTGAATCATTAAGTTGATAAAATGTGAGTACTACACAAGTGACTAAATGAGATATGAGTAAACTTCCAAAAATATATAACATAAATATTAATTAATATAAACAATAATTAATACTATCAACAAGTTCAATTAAATTAAATTATGTAAATAATTGAGAATAAAAATATTAAAAAAATATTCAATTAGCTTAATATTAATTTCTAATGACGAAAACACCAGTTCCATACTTTATAAACATGTCATACAGAATCTTTGTAAAAATTAATGAATAGCGTATACTATTTCAATTATTAAAGTAAATGTAAGGATTTTAAAAATTGAATAAAAAAATTTCAACTGATTTTATATTTTTGTTGGTTAATATCACTAATGTTAAATTAATCTTTAATTGCTTCTAAAATGTTATTTCTCTTAAATTACTATTATTAATTACTATTTTTTTTTTAAGAAAAATGAATAAATCTGCTTTCTAATTAAATTAGAAACTCATATTTAAATTTACTATAAATAATAATCACAAAAAATAATAAACTTGATTAAAAGTTCATTAAATTAGATTTATTTCATTGATGCTATTAAAGATGGATTCATAGATAAAATGATAAATATTAGATTAATCATAGTATTGTTTTTGAAAAAGAGATTCATTTGAAAATTTCTTAATAAAAATATATAAATTTTATAATTAGAATAATAAACCAAATTCTAGACCAAATTCTAATACTAGACCAAAACAGAGATTTAAAAAAAAGGCAAATTTTTTAAGTAAAAGATAAACAAAACTTTATTAAAGTGCTATTTATAATTGGTGTTTGGAAATATTATTGTTTTTTTCATATAAATTATTTTAATAAAAAATAGAAAATTAATGGTTCATGAGGTTTATATAAATTTTCATAATTAGATAAGGAATTAATTGGTTTATCTAAATGTAAAATTGATTAATGTTTCTAAGTATCTTTAAGTAAAACTTGAAATCAAAAATCATATTCATTATTTTATTTTTGAATTTTTATTAGAAATTTATTTTCCCTATGATCAAGTAATAGTAATATATTAGAAATATCTTCATGTTAAGGATTTCGTAAACTTATCTATAGTTTTTGTTAATAGAAAACATTCAACAATAATGATACTCTTTAAAAAATAAAATAGATCTTAAATTTAGTTGATATAAATACTTTAATAAATCAACTTCTCAAATGATATTGTTTGTTTAAGTTAATAAACAGATAATGAAAAAATAAAACAATTTCTTATTTAGAAAAATGTAGAAAATCAAAGCTCTAATATAGAAAAATGAACATATATGAATACAGTGATAAAGGAAGGTCATATAATAATATATTTCTATTATAAAAATAAATATATAAAAATTTAATAAAGAATTATAAATAATAACAAGCTATATGATATGAATCACAAGTCTTTCTCAATTAAATTAGTAATAGTGAAGAAGGAATAATTCATTAATAAGAAAGTAAGTATTCATTCTTAATTTAATCAAATGTTTAATTGAATTCAATAATAAATAATTATTGAATTGAATTTTACACCAAATATTTCAATTATACTCAAATATTAAATATTTATATCACTGAATATTCTAAAGTATTATATTATATAAGAGCATCATCAAATAAATTTGTCCTTGATTATAGTCTCTCTGAAAATTTTATTACTGATTTTAATTTTTAGAGAAATTTCAAAAAAATTATCTAAGAAGAATATGATTAATATTTGACTTACATTGATAATAGAAAATTATTTGCCTAGTTTGTAATAAAAAATTTTTTATAAACTAGCCTATTTCGTAATTGTTTTGATTAAGTTAAGAATTATTATTGATATATTTTATTTATTAGAATCTTTTTTTGGATAAAGAATTATCTCTCTGCTCCATTTAATTGTTGATAAATCTGATATTAATAAATATTAAATAAAATGTTCCATTTGTTAGTTTTGTTGATAATAGTTACGAATAGTTTTCCTATAACAGAACTTGTGGAAGGCACTTCAACATCAAATTTAAAATGGGAAAAGCAAGATTCTTCTCCATTTAATTAATAATTTTCTTGTGACAATGGATAGTTGATAGGACCTTTTCTTGGTAAGGTTGAAATGAATATAAAAAAAACAATTACCGATCTTGAACCTCATTATTCATTATAAATTACAATAGATCTTTTATTAACAGAATATTGGTCGGGAATATCAAACTATGTTAATATATTACTAGATTCATAAACTATTTATTCTGATTCATCTATAAGCTCCTCTAATTTCAATACTCCCAGTAATTATTGCCAAACAAATGCATTTTTGTAAGTATTTAAATTATATTAGTACATTTGTGTATAATTAATAATTAATCACTATAAGGTAGAAGATAATTAATCAAAATATAAGTCCCACTTTAGAAATTTAATCTAGTTTTTAGTGCACTTAATTATCTACATACACAACTTGTGAGAAATTATTAGTGAAAAATATTGTTATCACTCCCTTCTTATGTCATTTTACTTGTCTTACTTGCAACGGTCCTGATAAACATCATTGTTTAACATGTCCATAAGGAATAATATAAAATGGCAGATGCAACTGTGAAAACGGATATTATTCTTTTAATTATTAATGCATTTAATCATGCCCCTAATATTATATTAATTAGGGTTAAGAATGTAGATTAAACTGTTCATTAAATTGTTAAGATTGTTAAGGAAAATAATGTAGAAATTGTGAAAATGGCTATATATTATATAATGGATCTTGTGTCAATAGTTGTCCAAAAGGTAGTTCTTTATAAAATGACATTTGCGTTGATTATTCTGATTAATCAAAATTTGGTTCTGAATTTATAGGAAAATATTTTGATGGCTTATAAATAGATCTTGAAAGTTAAATAAGTGAGTTTACCTTTACTTTTAATCCTTTATTATCAAAATTGACAGGATAAATATTTTCTACTTTCAATAATTAATATTTATTAGGAGGGTTTGGTGTTTGGGGTGATGGATATTTTAATATTAATTATTATGGACTCCCTGCGCATAATAAAATAAGAATATATTTAACAGCATGGTTCATTGATAATTGGACTGATGAACATATTATTGTTAAATTAGATAATCAAATAATATACGATATCCCCTATTAATCATAAAAGGCAATTAATAATTTATTTTACTAAAGCAATAATGATTACATTGAAGATATTTTTTTGAATGTTGTACATACATCAAGTTCAGCTTAAATAACTTTTTAAACAACCTTATCTATATCTGCTTATTAAGCCAGTTTAGCATTAAGTAATATATATATTTTAATCGATTATTGTGATGATAATTGTGATATTTGTATAAATACTTAATGCACTGCATGTAAAGCTCCTTATTAATTAATACATAATGTATGTGCACTTTGTGATTCTACTAATTTTAGAAATAGTGATTGTACCTGTCAAATAGGTTATTATGATGATAATATAAACTAATAATGTTAAAAATGTAGATAAGAGTGTGAATCATGTCTTGATGCCAATATATGTACTTATTGTAAATTGGGAACTAATTTAATAACATTGCCTTATTGTATGAACTGCAATACAGGTTTTTATTATGATAATGGAATGTGTTCTAAATGTGATCCAAGTTGTTTGTCTTGTTTTGGAAATGGAAAATCTTAATGTTTATCATGTTATAATGACTATGTTTTGAATAATAATAATGAATGTCAAACTTGTATGACAAATTAATTTATTTACAATAATACTTGTTAGGATTGCTAATACAATTGTGAAACTTGTAATGCTCCATAAAATTGTTTAACATGTACAATAGGAAGAATTAATGCTCCCTTTTGTATATGTCAGACAGGTATATTATATCCTTATAATATTATAAGGATATTTTGAAAGTGATACCAAATAATGTTAACCATGTAATTTTAATTGTTCTTCTTGTGAAATTCAAAAAGATAATTGTTTAATTTGTTCAGGAAATAGATTAAATCCTCCTTTATGTAAATGTCCTAGTGATTCTGATTAGAATGATAGTTATATTTGGTGCACAGGTATGAAATAAATATAAATTTAGATTGTTCTATTGTTAATTTAGATATAAAAATAACTAATAATATCAAAAAATTAATAATAAAATTTGGAAAACAAATAAAAACAATTAATTCTTATTGTCCAGGACTATTTGAAGAATCTACACTTCATTATTTAGGTATTAATCCTATTTGCTTTGTTAATTCATATTCTATTGAAATTCTTTTAGGTTAAAATGCAACTATTTATTTTGGATTGTCTATTCATTTCAAACCAAATATAATTAAATTATAATAATGTTAACAATCAGTATCTTAATTTTTGAATAATATTTTAAACTATAGCACAGATTTAGAAGCTCCTTTGATAATATTCTCAAAAAATTCTGTAGAGTTGTCAACTTGCTCTAATAATTATAATCCAGATACAATCTATTAAATCTAAACCTATAATTTTGGAAGTAATCAAATAACTTTTATAGAATGGAAATTGATTAGGGCCTCCTAATAAGATCCAAAAATTATTCAACTTCTAGATAATCTAACAAATTAATTTAAGAATTATAATTAAACAAATAAATTTGAATTCCTTTACCATAAACTAGATATGAATAATGAAATTTTATTAGAATTAAAGTATCAAAATTTTTTAGGTATTTAAGGAAGCAGTTTTATTACAATTAAATAATTAAAAAACAAATTGCAATTAAATGTCCAAACACAAAAAAATAAATATTTAAATTCTTAATTAATCCAAATTTTTATATAGGTCTCTTAATGTTAAGAAGTACTGAAAAATGATGATAAATTTAATATTTCAATTATAATTGGCACTCTTAATAAGTAAGTTGAAGTACGTTAGGGGGAATATTATATTTATTATATAGAACCTTATATGCTCAATCCAGGTCTTTAATAGTTAAATATTAAAGTCTTTTATCAAGAAAACCTATAGATAGAAGATAATTATTAGATTCTAATAGTGAACGAAGGACCTTTGTTATAATTAATGACTGAAACAAACTATTTGAGCTTTTCATAAAAATTAGTGATACATGGGGAAGTGAAAAATCTAGAATAACAAAATCCTTTATTGAAATGGGATTGCTTTGATATTACTTAAAATGCTGAATGTTAAACTTTAAATCAGACCTTATTGATTTTATCTGATTCATAAAATCTGACTCTATAGCCTTATACATTAAATCCTTTTACAGTTTATAAATTTACAGCTAGCTTCTTAGATTTACAATAATCTGTATCAATTACTATTGTTGAAACAAATGTTCCTAAAATTGAATATGAGTCCTATCCTAAAATTTCTGATGGATTCATCAATTATTATGATTAACTACTATTCAAATTCAAATATCTAGAAATAGTTTAAAACCCTGATTTACTATTATATACAGGAATATTATCAAATTCTGACTTATTAATAAAGCATTTTAGATTCAATTATTTAGAATTGTAAATAAGTCTTTGGCATTATTTTACTATTGATGAATTAACAAACCATATGACATTAAAGATAAACATTCATAATCCTGATTACTTTTTGCCATCTTAAGTTACTATACCATTAAATATTAATATACCACCTTTAAAATGCAGGATAAATCTTGATTCATAGAATGCATCTACAATCTCCAATTTTACAATAAAAGTAACCAATTGTTAAGATGATAATATTCCATTATAATATAGATTAGTACTTTATTATAATGATTCAGATCTAAATTTAGATTATTCTATTAATACAATTTAAAAAGGAATTATTTTATTTGATTATTAGTATAGTAATATATTTGAAACTAAATTGACAGGTAATGAAATTATTTAATTAATGGTTTAAGTAAAAGATAATCTTAATGGTATAAGTAATTACACTACTTCATTAAATTTTACATATGTATAAGGACATTTAGCTAAGTTAAACTTGAATTCAGGGTCTATAACAGAAACTTTAATTTATGCAGCTAGTTTATAATTTGAATAAATTTCTATTTCTTAAGAAATATCATAAATTCTATAAAAATAAATAGAATATTTTTCTAGTTGCTAATGTGTTACACAAAAATAATTGGTAACTCTAAAAACTTTATCAAAAAATCATATGAGTTGGAAACATTATGATATTTAAAATGAATTATCTTTATAAAAAGAAAGGTTAAGTTCTATAAAATAATTATTGGCAAATTAACATTTAATTGAGTATTATAAATATGAACATACATTATAAGAATTAAAAAAAATAACTTTATTAGAAGAAACAGTAGAGATAGCAAAATACATTAATGAATTGTATGAATTAAATAGAGTTTACTAATATTAAACAAGAATTTTAATAAAAGATTAAGATATCTAAATAAAACGAACTAATAACTATATTATCATGGATTCAATAAATTTAATTGCTGATATTTTATTGTAAAATTAAATAATAAATGGAAAATTATTAAATATTACAACAAATTCTTTTAAAATTTCTACATAAAAAACAACTTAAAAAGTATTGGAATACTTAATAAGCAATTCTTTAACTGAACCATAAGTTATTGGATAAGAAGAATAATTAGATAATAAAAAGCCAGAATTAGAAACTTATTCTTATAAAATGGTTAGGTATAGCACAAACCCTTATAATTATGACTCCTATTTTACAAATAATTATGCAGTTTAATAAGATTACCCATTGTATTAACCTGAAATTAAATATTTATCTAACCAAAATCTATTTTAAAATATTATCACAGCTTAAGGTATCAGATATAATTTTGAAAATTAAGATTAAAATCTAATAGTAGAATGTGTGGCAAAAGTGAAAGAAAGTTGGAGTTTAGATTCTTGTTAAACTATTTAAGAAAATAAAAAAATAATATGTTAATGTTAATATATCTCTTCAACAACAATATTGGAAGCAGCACAAAAAATATTTGATGAAGCTGTTGATTTCTTTTCACTTTAAACTATACATAGAATGCTTAAATGTTAATACTAGTCTATTATATTTACATATATAGTGATGATTTATACAATTTTGTTTCTTTGGTTTATTCTTTATGGATATAAATTGGATTAGACCAAAAATGAAGATAACTTATTTCATTCAACCAAGGTTACTCCAACTGATTGGGATTTTGCAACAGAAAAACATGGAAGAATTATAAATATAGGAGAAACAGAATCTGAAAAATAATTGGCAACTATGGATGGAAATGTTATTAGAAGAGAAAATCCAAAAAAAACCATATTTAATTCTAATGATAGCCAAATCACATCTGATGATAAATACTTAAAACGCCCTAGTGTGGATTATTATAAAAAAATGTTAGCTACAAAGAAAAGTTTAGCTATAGCAACTAATATTTGTTCAGAGAGGATCATGGAAGAAAATGAACCTTAATTATCCCCAAAATCAAGAACTCAAAATAGTCCAAGTGTTAAAATAGTTACTTCACCATTGTCAACACCTAGAATGTAATATTTAAATTGTTAAGAATGTCTGTATGAACAATATATTACTTAAAGAATTACTTTTGGAAAAGCTATACTATTTTATATTGAAGTATTTTATTTATTGAAAACCTTAGATAAATCACAAAGTACTAAGTCTCTATTATTTATATGATAAAGATTGTTCTAGAATTTACAGAACTATCATTTTATATGTGGCTTTATTAGGGGAGATAAGCATTTTGACATTTTTTGGAAAAGTAAAGTATTTTTTTTAATGTAGATCATTAATTTTAATTCAATAATAGCACTCTCTTTGTTATAAACCTTATTTGGAGTAATTTATAGAAAATTACTATAAGTATTTTTAAGATCAGAAAAAAAATTCATAAATTATATAGGGTTTAATTTAGTAATATTGAGTATTTTATTCTTTTTATTCATGATATTTGGTAGTGTGGCTAAATATCAATCAGTTTTAGAAGCTTCATTATGGGGAGTAGCTTATATAAGCAGTTTTATATTAGATTATATAGTTTATACTAACTTTCAGATTTTATTATGTTTCTCAATAATTGTGAAATTTGGAAATTCATAGACTGTTAAAGTATTCTATATATCTATTTTAGAAATATTTAAAAGTATTTTTGAATGATAAGGTGTTTATCTAAATTTTTGGAAATGCATGATTATAGATATTTGTAAATATGATTGCATGTATATTTACTTCATAAATATTAATATCTTGATTAAGACAAAAAAATAAATATTTTAATGATATTTTATTTGTTGTAATAATGTATTAATGTTCATATTCATTGTCCCCAAGAAGCTAGTTGTCTCTTTACATTATCATAATTCTTAAGGGTTTAATCTATCTTTGGTTCAGCTCTTAAGAAATCTTCCTTTGCTCTGAATTTATTATAATAAATATATACTTTTTATCGTTTGCTTGGATAGCAGCTAATTAGTCCTTACTGAGTGATATCAATTTCTTCTATCTAAATTGAATATGATGAATTCATACTCAGCTGGTGATAGATTCTAAATTTTGCTTACATGTTCTCTAATAGTCTTAAGAATCATATCAATTAATGGATCATTCTCATATGTCATCTTTCCTTAAGCTAATCCTCTAAGAGCAGATTTGAATGAGGCTTTTTAAATTTCTGGAAGATTGCTCTTAAGATTAGTATCAAGTGACTTTTGAGCAGCTTCAATAATATCTGATAGAAGTCTATTTTAATTAATCTTAAATTATTGAATCTACATACTTATTCAGCTTATTGAGCTTATTTAAGAATATTTTAAGATCTCTCTGCAACATGTCTTTAGAGATTTAATTATTCATTCATTAAGAACTTAAATATAAATGATAATATTATACTGTATTAATTAATTCTGCTTTAACATCTCTAAATTCTTTATGTAATTAACCATATTCAATTTATCCTTTGGCTGCTTCTAAAAGAGTTCTAATTTTGAGTTGCATATTTTCATGATAATATTAATCAAGTTAGAAACATTCATTTCCAGCTACTCTTCTGTAAAATCTAGCAAGTAATGGTTTCATGAATGATTTACGACCTTCCAAGTAAAAGTACATAATTTGCATCCAGAATAGGAATGGCAAAAATGATGATTTAGCAATCCAATGTAGATTAGTTGTGCCTGCAGCAAATCCAATTACAATCAAACCACCATAAGTAAGTAGAAGGTATTTTCTAGCCACAAGGAAATTTTCATAATGTGGTGATACTTATTCTGGTCCAATAAAGTTGTAAAACAATTCAGATGATTTGATCTAGCTTAGTAATTAGCACTTACACCACTGAAATTTACAGGGTTATGTGGATTGTTGTATGGGTGTTCAAATACTTTGCCTTATGGTGCAACATTTGGAGCTTTATTCTCTTTTTCANAATGTATTAATGTTCATATTCATTGTCCCCAAGAAGCTAGTTGTCTCTTTACATTATCATAATTCTTAAGGGTTTAATCTATCTTTGGTTCAGCTCTTAAGAAATCTTCCTTTGCTCTGAATTTATTATAATAAATATATACTTTTTATCGTTTGCTTGGATAGCAGCTAATTAGTCCTTACTGAGTGATATCAATTTCTTCTATCTAAATTGAATATGATGAATTCATACTCAGCTGGTGATAGATTCTAAATTTTGCTTACATGTTCTCTAATAGTCTTAAGAATCATATCAATTAATGGATCATTCTCATATGTCATCTTTCCTTAAGCTAATCCTCTAAGAGCAGATTTGAATGAGGCTTTTTAAATTTCTGGAAGATTGCTCTTAAGATTAGTATCAAGTGACTTTTGAGCAGCTTCAATAATATCTGATAGAAGTCTATTTTAATTAATCTTAAATTATTGAATCTACATACTTATTCAGCTTATTGAGCTTATTTAAGAATATTTTAAGATCTCTCTGCAACATGTCTTTAGAGATTTAATTATTCATTCATTAAGAACTTAAATATAAATGATAATATTATACTGTATTAATTAATTCTGCTTTAACATCTCTAAATTCTTTATGTAATTAACCATATTCAATTTATCCTTTGGCTGCTTCTAAAAGAGTTCTAATTTTGAGTTGCATATTTTCATGATAATATTAATCAAGTTAGAAACATTCATTTCCAGCTACTCTTCTGTAAAATCTAGCAAGTAATGGTTTCATGAATGATTTACGACCTTCCAAGTAAAAGTACATAATTTGCATCCAGAATAGGAATGGCAAAAATGATGATTTAGCAATCCAATGTAGATTAGTTGTGCCTGCAGCAAATCCAATTACAATCAAACCACCATAAGTAAGTAGAAGGTATTTTCTAGCCACAAGGAAATTTTCATAATGTGGTGATACTTATTCTGGTCCAATAAAGTTGTAAAACAATTCAGATGATTTAATCTAGCTTAGTAATTAGCACTTACACCACTGAAATTTACAGGGTTGTGTGGATTATTGTATGGATGTTCAAATACTTTGCCTTATGGTGCAACATTTGGTGCCTTATTCTCTTTTTCAATAGCTTCACTATCAAATTTTATATAGACATAGCTTACAGCTTTTAATTGAATTGAGTAACATATTCAGCATATTTGCTTTAGAATCTTTAGAAATTCTTTCCTGCAATATCTTTATGTGAAGCTGTGGCTGTAGCAAAACCGAAAAATCCAACTCGACCTGAAGATTTTACCAAAAATTACATTTATTTAAATATATTTAATGAACAATGACATCTGTATGTTTGGATTGACAAAATCTGGAAAAACTTCTATGATTAGAGTTATATTCTAAAAGTTAGAAATATTCAGAACATTCCAATTAGATCCAACAAATAGAATGGAATCAGTTACAGTCAATTTAGGATCTCATATTCATTTTAAGATTTATGAGTTTTCTGGACATTATGATTTAAATGATTCATAACCACCTGAAATTGCAGCAATGGAAACTTGTAGTCTAATGATCTATGTTATTGATTCTTAAGTAATATAATATTCTATATATATTTTTTTATAGGCAGAACCATTTAATGAGGCTGTATAATATTTAAGATAAGCCATTCAGACTGTAAAATAAAGATCCCCTCATTGTGAATGTCATTGCTTTATTCATAAGGTTGATCCTGACATTGAAGATAACAAAAAGAATGGTAATTATGATAAATAATTTTTAAGAATTACTATAATAAATTTAAAAGGATATTTCAGATGAGTTATCAAAGAATAGTATGAGTTAAATTAAGGTTGACTTTCATGTGACATCTATCTTTGATCATTCATATTTGGAACATTTTAGTAAGGTAATCCAAAGAATATTACCATACTCTTAATCTATATAAACATTATTAGATTCATTCAATTTATCATGTAAAATAGAAAAGTCCTTTTTATTTGAAATATACTCTAAATTATATTTGGCTAGTGATTCATAACATTTTCATAGTACAAATTTCTAGTTGTGTTCTGAAATGATTGATGTATTTATAGATGTTACATGTATTTATGGAAAGTTGGATGATGCTGGACAAAGTTAAATAAAATTATCAGATGGATCAATATTAATATATTAGACAGTGAATGAGTAATATTATAAATAGTATGTTTTTAGAGGTATATCTTTAATAAGTATTTTGAAATCTGAGAACCTAGAAAGACCATTTTTATTGGAATACAATATAAATTAATTTAGATAGGGTTTAGCATAAATATTTAAAATTAAATGAAACAATAATAATAAAAATTAGTAGTTAAATTTCAAATCAATGTACAAAAACTAAAAATACTTCTGGGATGCATTAAAAGTACGAGATAATCGTGATCCTACATATAGTGTTAATCTTCCTTCTCATTCTCCAAAGATACCATTTAAGCGACCTTTTTAAGCAGAAACTATAAATCGATCTATGGAGAACAACAAGGGTCGTTATTCAGAAAAGCATCTTGACTAGAGTCCTAATCAAAAATTGAAACCAGTTGCATAACCAGCTTATTTTAGTTAAGAAGGATTGTTATTAACAAGAAATACAAAATTACCAAATTATGAACCAACTCGTTGTTCTAGCAATGAAAATGGTATAATAAGAGCATATGCTGCAAATACTAATTAAGGGATTGTAAGAGATTACAATGAAGACAGAGTATCTATAATATTGAATATCGTTAAACCATAAAATAGACAACATGAAAATTGGCCTAGATGTTCTTTTTTTGGTGTTTATGATGGTCATGGAGGTTCTACATGTGCAGATTTTTTAAGAGATAATTTACATCAATTTGTAATAAAAGAATTAGATTTTCCTTGGAATCCATATGAAGCATTAAGAAAAGGTTTTGCAGCAGCAGAATAGTATTTTTAAGAATTTGCAGTATCTCAATTCAATAAAGGAATACCTGAAAGAAGTGGATCTTGTGCAATTGTGGCTTTATTAGTAGGTGATGTTTGTTATGTTGCTAATGTTGGAGACAGTAGAGCAGTGTTATGTGGAGGTAATAATAAATCAGCATTACCATTATCAAGAGATCACAAACCTTGTGATGAATTAGAAAAATTAAGAATATAAAAAGCAGGTGGGAAAATATATTAGTAATCTATTTAATAATAAATTAAAGAACTCAATAATAATAAGATGATCAATAAGTTTTTGTTGGACCTTTAAGAGTATTACCTGGTAGATTATCAGTAAGTAGAACTTTTGGAGATATTGAGGCTAAATTAGAAAGATTTGGAGGAAAACCAAATGTTGTAGTAGCAGAACCAGAATTAAGAAGCTTTAAAGTTTAAGAAGATCATTAATATATTGTATTAGCTAGTATTAAATTTAATAAATATTTAAAGGTGATGGAATATTTGATAAAATGTCATCAAATGAAGTTGTTGATATAATGACTAAAGAATTAGATTCTAATTCTAATATACATCAAGGTTGTAGTATTGGAGTAGAATAAGTTTTAAAGGAAAGTATCAATAGAAGAACTTTAGATAATATTACAGTTGTTGTAGTGGCTTTCTAGGGGGAACAAATGAAAAGATTGAAGAATGAAATAGTTAAAAGAAATTAAATTAAAAAAACAGTATAGGCTGTCTTGTGTAATTAGGAAGATTAAGAGAATACTCCTGGATTAATTAATACCTATAAACGATATATTTGATTTAATTAATTTTATTTTGTTATATGGGTAACAATATGACAGTGAATTGGAGTGAATAATTAAAACACTCTTTTGACTTGTATGAAACCAATTCTAAGCATAATGTTCTTGGAAATATTGATATTTATTAATATATACCAGACAATAAAGTCAAAATCTTTAGTAAACATGATTATTCAAATTTTATTAGGTAAAATTGCTTATGTCCCTGATAAAGAGTATTTCCTTTAAAAAACTAAATTTAAACATCCAAATTTGCTTAGAGCTTTGGCTATAGAGAAATGTTCAGGATCATGTAGTGGAGACAAAGATTTATACAAAGTCTATTATGATTATCCAGGAATTTGCACTTTTGAACAGATTATAAGTGAAAAGTATGAATTCTATATTTAAGATAAAGAAATAAAAAGTTTACTGAATCAGCCATTTGGAATATAATTTTCTAAGTAGTTGATTGTGCAGAATATTTACAATCTCACTATAAGACTATTGGTAATATAAATCCTAAATCTATCTATGTGTTAAATGACGGCCTCAAAATATTTGTAATCTAAAATATCATGATAGGAAGTTAATCATATTTTTAATGTTGAATCATCTTACGAATAAGCACTCAAAAATTAAATTGCCATATTGTCTCCAGAACAAATAGAATAGCTTCAAAGAGATATACCTATTCCATCAGTTAATGGTTTCAAGAGTGATGTTTATGCATTTGGAATAGTCCTGCTATGTCTAACTACACTGAATAATTATACTAAATTTTACACTCCTAATTAAGAATTGGACAAGAATCAAATATATTTGAATCTACAGTAGATAAAAATGCAATATTCAGAACTCTTATATGGTTTAATTTAGAAAATGCTTCTTGAGAATCCCTAAGAAAGATAATCTTGGATTGATATCAAAGTAAAATCATTTTCTTAAATTAGAGATTCATTGACCCATTTAAGATTTTAGAAGAAAAAGATTAACCATTCTATTCAGATCTGAAATTATGCCCTTAAGTCATAAATAAAGTAAATAGTCCTTCAATTGAAACAGTTAAATTAAACACATAAACCTCTTAGAAATAGGTTCCAATAGTTTTATCACCAAATACTACACCCAGAGTTTTGTAAAGTTGTTAATAATTAACAATTGCTCCAACTCAAACTATACAATAAATTTATGCTCCTACTAATATATCACACAGAAATTAATAAGTTTAATAGAGTTTAGAATTTCAATAACCTTAAATCAACTCTACTACAACCTTTGCAAAACAGATTTCAAATTTACCTTCATAAAGAGGAGGTTCTATCAGAGATTTGACCTATAAAACACCTTGTTTTCCTTAAAATTCAAAATCATAATAATAATCGTTTCAAGCACTTACAATACCTCCTTAATCAATGCCTCCTTAATCAATGCCTCCTAATTCAATTCTTCCTTAATCAATGCATCCTAATTCAACATAGGGAAATACATTTTACAATCCCCTATCAGCAAGGGCAATATAAAGTTGATATTGATATTCATTTAAATAATCAAATTATAATTTTTTTCAGAAGTCAATCCTTTTTCATAATAATATTAAATATAATTTTATTACATCTCAACATCTATCTAAAATATCTTTTGATAATTTATAGATCCATTCATATAACAAGTAAAAATAAAAAATAATTCTTCCATTATTTTTTTTTGTCAATAATAATGAAATAGAAGAATAAAAGGTGCAAATTTTATAAACTAAAATCATTCAGGAAATTTTTGAATATGTTCAAATCATAATAGAAAATATTCAGTTTCATTTAGCAAATTTATAGAAATATAAATCCAATAATCATATAATTAACAAATCTATTTTTGAATTTAATTAAATAATATAAAATTAGTTATAAATAAGCCTTTAAGATTTTGACAAAATATAAATAGAACAATATTAAAAAAAACATGTGATTATTTTAATAATATTCAACTCTTTAAGTAAACAATTATGCAAGTAATGTCATCTCTAGCTAAACTATGTCTCTTCCAAGCATTAATAGATTCAGCCATCAATCTATCTGCAGCTAAATCAATATTTTCTTTTTCAATAAATGGAGTTACTACATTCATTACATCTTCATTTGAAAGATATTCCCAGACTCCATCAGATGCAATTACAATACATTAGTCATATTATTTTAAAGTGAATTCAAATATTTCTGGATCAGCTGTTACTCCTGCTTAAGCACCTACTTTATCACCTAAACTTCTTGTCATTGCTAATCCTGGAGCATCAATATAAGATAGCCAAACTCTTTCAGGACCAATTGAATTTCCATAATAATCTATGATATATTATTATCTAACCTTTTTAACTTTCAACTCTTCCTCCTGCTTAAATAATTCTTTATTTTTCATCTTCCACATTTGGTTTATGGTCTCTTGTAATTTAAATTGCCTTCCAATTCCCATCTTGATTTCTACATATAATAGCACGAGAATCTCCTACATTTGCTGTCCAAAGTTAGTCTTTTTTAATAATAACGGAAACGGTAGTAGATCCTGATAAAGATGTATCTGTTTCAGAATCCCATATCTCCTTATTAGTTAATTCGAATGCTTTTTAAATCACTTTGTTTTTATTGTCCTCTTTACTTAAAAAGGATTCGAGATGTCTGGGTAATGCTTACCTTATATATTGAGATACTAAATGTCCATTAGTGCCATGACCATCACATACTCCAAACATACTATAACCTAAACTTACTTATTTTGAATATATTTACTTTTCCAAACAATTAGGTAATACTATACCAGAATCTTGATTAGTTTTTGATGTTTTATTAGCTTAACATCCAGCTTTTGTTTTAAAAGCATATTATCCTCCATTCCATGTTTTTGCCATTAATCTTTTTTTATTTAATGACAATTATCTTTCTGGACTCTATTATCTTCTTTCAGGAGTCACACTATTATAATGGATTATTGCATCTTCTAATCTAATTTTTATTATTTCATCTTCAATATTTACTTTAATTATTTTGGTACTTCACTTTTTGCTTCTAATTTTGGCAATCTATTATGAGGTTTAGTGCCATTTGAAAGATTCAGCAATTCTAATTTAATAAAATTCAATACTTTAATCACTTTGTAATTCTGCTTTTTTAAAATTAGGTAAACTTGGAAGAGATACTTTTTAATTCATTTTTGGTTCAAAATCATCATTCTTATAACGACGTTGCACATTTCCTTTCAGAGTTCTACTAATTTGGATATTGATACCTATGAATTTCTAATTGATTTTCAATTGAAGTATGTTTAGGTGGTTTCAAATCTAAAATAAGAAATTATAAGATTGATTAATATAAGGGTATTATTGATAAATCATATGCTGTCATTAGTACCTGATAAATCTGAGACCTTTTTATTACTGTTGCTCATATAAATTTATTAAATTAAATAAAACTAATTATAATTATACATTTCATTTCGTTATTTAACAGTATCATAAATCTTTCATTCATATTTAATATAGAAATAAAACTTTATTTAAAAATTCTTATACTTTGAATTCCTATTAAATTTTCTAAAAAAAGTTCAATAAAATAATCACAAATAATTGATGATTTATATCAATCAGAAACTTTACAATAATTTGATCTAAACAATGTCAACAAATTCAAAAGAAATAGTTTTATATTATAAATATATATCAAAATAATATGACTTTCAAATATGTATAATTGATCAACTATCTAAGTAACATTTTGAATTCTTGCATTCCTTATTAACTTGATCACACATTTTTTTGCATTGTTATTAACTCTCTAAAGATTATCTCATTTGAGATTATGCACATGTATATATACAAATATTAATCTAAGAATCACATTTTGCTTAGCATTCTTTAACTTTACTTGTAAGAACTAAAATCAATTAATCATATACCTCCGCTAATGAGAAAAATCAACATAATGATAAAGACTTTAATATTCATTTTTATTAATATAAGATAAATATAACAAGATAATGATATAAAAACATTAATCGATTTGGAACTTAAATACAAATATACCTAATAATCTTAAATAACTTAAGGCATCATTCTATAATTTAAATATATAAATGTAAGTTCCATTTTTTTTAATTATTTCTTCTTTAAGCAAATAATTTGATTAAATCAATTTAAATGTCTCAAATAGTTTAAAATTAATAAATAATAGTTAAATGAATTCACTCTGTTTTCTGATTTATATTCAAACAAATTTCTATTTTAAGAGATTAATTGAATACTATATAATATGAATTGATTATTAATTAAATACAATTTCAATTTATAAGAAAACTATATTAACTTAACTTAAAATTATAAAAACTACTCCTATTTAAAAAGATTTATTACAGAATTATTAATGAATTGTAGAAAAGATTATCAAATAGAATTATTAATTAATAGTTCATTAAGAATCAAATATCAGATTGTTAACTAATATCTAAACTAACATATTAGAAATAGTGTAAAGTGATAAATTTAAATAATTGATAGATCTTAAGATTAAATTTAGAGGACTGGATAATTTAAATTATTATGTAGAGGATGTAGAATTAAACCATAGTAAAATATTAATTACCTTACAATTAAATGAATTCAATCAATATTTTATGAAAATTCATGAACTAATTTGAAAATGAATCTATATTCTAAAAATTGAGACAATAAGTGCTATAATAAAGAATATAGAAATTTAAGATTTTTATCAATTTGTTAAGCAGATATTAATTTTATGTCGTTAATATTTTTTTATATTGGTGAAATTGGAACTCATTTAAGAGTTAGTTTTAAATTTATGTTAATAATTATATTTAAATTTGTAATAGATGTTGAGATGTGACTTATCATGTAAGGGTGAAAAAAATAGCCATAATGAATTTATTATTTGGATAGAGAATCATGAAAATGAAAGAGAGTAAATAAAAGTACATCTTGATGAAACAATTAGTGAAATCAAAGGTAAGATATTTAATGGAATTGAGCCTAAAAAATCATAAATATATCATAAGAGGAATAAACTTCAGAATTAATAGACAATTCGATAATGTGGATTGAAAGAGAATGATAAGCTATATATAATTTATGGATAAAATATAAAAGAATGAAAGAAAAGTGAATAAAATAATACCATTATTATGATTATTAATTAATCCTTAATATTTGTCAATAGGCAACTAAAAACATAGTTAGTTTTTATTTTTAATACATAAATATAATATAAACAAAAAATCATTTGTAATATTTGAATTCAAGAAGGTTCTTCATCATAAAGTTACTTAATTCTTTATTATTACAATTACCATTTTAGTTACATATTCTCACAAATAAGTTCAAAATATGATTTTCGATTGAATTCTATTAAATATTTTTAAAAATTTACAAGTTTGTTATAAATTGCAGACCCAAATAACTAATGGAGACTGTTTGCAATTAAAATAAGTGTTAAAATCTAGAGTATTAGAATCATTTTCATAAAGAAAAATAGCATCAAGTTCTACATTTTTAATCATTCTTTTGCCTGTTATAGTATTTTTCATTTCTATTTTTCCTTTTATTAAAGTAATTGGCTTAGCTTTATCTACTATATTGTCATTAAATTTCTAAAAGGCCAATTCAATAGGAAATAAAAAAGATTCTCCAATCTCTAAATTAGGAATTGTAATTTAATATTAATTTTAATTTTGCAATTCAATCCATCCTTCGCTATGTATTTCAGAAATCATAATCTTTTCAAATGGAATATTTTATAAATTAGTTGAAATTGTTATAGTTACATCATCCCATAAATTAAATGGAAAATTAGCAAATATTTCCTCCAAATATTTATATACCTATTATTCATTAGTAATTATGTAATGTTTTCCAAATCTTAAATTTGTTATAGTCGATAATTTTTTATTTGCATTTGAATTACTAAATCCAAATGAATCAATAGTGAAAATATCATAATTATATTCTAATTACTTTTTAATTTTAGTAAGTGCAATTTCATCTTAACCATCTGAAAATATGAGAATTCTTGCCCAATTATTTTTATTTTTTCTTTAATTAATAACATCAAATGCTATTTCTGTTCCTTTCCACAATTCAGTTGTACCAATACATTATAAATCATTAATAACAAATACAAAATATTCTTGAGTTTCTTATGTTACTTTTTATAAACCTGTTAACAGTTTACCTTCATTATTGAAACTAATCAAACATAATCTATCTTATTCTCTCAAATTAGTTAATATTGAATGTAAGATTTGTTTCACATATTCAATTTTTTATCCTTACATACTATTACTAATGTCAATTAAACAAAACTTATATTGATTAATATTTTACTAAATCTACACCAATCTAATCCAATTCTTCTAAAGTTTTTGTTCTTAATTATAGAACAATAGGTATAGTTTGTTAAGTCAAATTTAATATATTGGACCCAGGGTTAAGAGAAAACATGTCAAATTATATATCATCATCAAGAGGCTATTTATTAATGGAACTTCTGCTTGGAATACTTTATTGAGTTCTTTAACTGAATCTTTTTTTAGATTCACTTTAACTATTTTTTAGTTCATTATTTTCTTATGTTTATGTTTGGAATTATTGATTAAGATTATGCATTGTATTTGATTTTTGGATAGGATTTTTCTTTTTTTATTGAAATGAAAAAGAAGATGATCCTCCATCAGTTTCAAGTAAACCATAACTTCTCCATTTTGAGATATTGTGATCTAAGCTAACAGCACTCCTATATACAATTTATTTTATATTTACTCTGTAGACGGTATTTACATATAAATATATATATAATTATAATATATTATTATTAATAATCATGGTTTGCATTTTTTTGAATATTAGACCTTTTTAACCCACATCATTTATTTTTAATTTTAGAATTAAGATTATTCTTCTTATTGTAATTGAATTCCAGCAGCATCAAATTTAGCATTAATTCCTTATTAATTATAATTATTTGAAATAATCTAATACATTTATTTACTACCAAATTTATTGAAATATTCTTATTTAGCTGCCTATTTAACTTATTAAAGATCTGACACAATATTCTTAACTTTTTCATTTAGCTATTGATTTTCTTAGACTTTTGAAATTAAAGAGTCGATCAAATTTATGGCTTATGTATTTTATCTATTCTAACATTTTTGTAAAGCATCTTTTATAACCTCAGCTGATTCTACTCTAAATACTTATTCAGTTACAAAACTTAATAATTATCAATATTAAAGTACTAATCTTATTCTTCATTAAGATGTTAATTTTCATCAATAAATCTTAAAACCAATTCAGCTTATTTTTCAATAGTCTGTCTAGTTTAGGAACTGGTGATCTATGCTAATGCTTTAAAGATGACTACATTATCTTATTGTAACTTAAAAAATAATAATGAAAAAATACATTATTATTTATATAAGGTATGTTAAGTTTAAAAACAAAATCTCTTCTTTATCCTTCAGCTAAATATGGTATCTTTAATTTTATAATTTAATTGTTTTGTTTCTCTTAGCCATAGAATTTAGATATAGTTATAGCATCATAAGGATTTTAAGTTTGATTTTATAAAGTTATTTAAATATCTGTAACTACCATAGAAGTTAGAGCACCTAATGCATCAACAAAAAATTCATCAAGTAGAGATATGTTGTTAACAAAATAGAAACTACCTTTTCCTAAATTAGAAATTTTAGTCATTAATTTAGCATCATGATCACTACCAAAACCAAAAGAATGAATTGTAAGAGTTTATTAATAATAAGCAAGTTATTTTTGAAGTTTAAAAACTGCAGACTCATCCTATCCATCAGATAATACAAAAATTGCTGTCACATTATTAACACACTTTCTATATTTAATTTATTTTAAGGCCATTTAAGTACCTAAACTAATTTCAGTACCACCATTAGCTTAAATCTTTGAAATAATATCTGAATAATATGTTTTATTCTCATCAGTCACTCTTCTTAAATTAGTTAATCTCTAACAAGTATCATCAAATTATATTAAACATAATCGATCTTTAGGACCTAAGAAATTGAGTAAGATATTTAATGTCTATTTTACCATCTCTATTTTATCTCCACTCATACTACCACTTCTATCAATTACACAAAGCTTACTTATATATAAATATTTACTAAATCTACTCCAACTTTAGAATGTTGTTATTAATCCATATTAAATTAGTTTTATGCATCCCCTTCTATCTATTAAGGTACCTATTATTATTAATGTACTTCCTTAGCTTTAATACCAACTAAACATGAGAGTTCTTTCCTTTCATTGTATCTTACAGTCTTGAATTCAGAAGTCAAATAAAATTCAATATTTTCATTAATATTATAAACCTAGCCTTCTTAAAATTATTATTGTTATTAAATCTAATCTGTATCCAAATTTTCATCATCATCAAATTATATTTATTTTGCATATTTATTATCGATATCCTCTTGCTCTACATAATCAACTGTTTGCTATTGTAATTAAGATTATTATTGTTATTATTATTTCTTTAATTGTTATTATTTTTTCTTATTGTCTATCCTTTTATTATCATACTTTCCATTTCTCACTTTAACACCAAAGTAATCTAATTCTATACCAACTTATTTATTGCTTTAAACCACAGTTTCAAAGACCTAAGCTAATTGATTAGGAACTAATATTTCATTTAAAATTTCTTATTGAAGCATGATATTTATATAATTTTATTATGATTATTTATTAAGGATTTATAATATCTCTCAAAAAATATTGCAAGCTTCACATCCTCCTGTTTTTGTTTGGACGATTTCTGTTGGTGGTTATTATTTTCTAAAATGAGATAATAATATATTAATTACAAATCTATCTATTCTTCTTCAGGTGTTTATTTCACTTCTATCATCTTGTTTTACTCTTGAATTTATTATTGTTATTCCTCTACTAAAACTTATTAAACTTTCATTTATTGGTTGTCTTAAACATCAATATTCTCATGTTATATTGTTTATACTATTTAAGGAACATATTACTAAAAATAGATTAAGAAATTATACTTGATTGTAACTTTTAGAAAAATCTAAATTACTAAAGCTTGATTCTATTTGTTCTGTAAATTTATCATTTAAAATTTAGGCCTGTTGATAACTGTGAATTTTTTTGACCATTGCATCAGACATATATTAATAACCTTTATGTATAGTATCTAAAAAGGTTATTCTATCTTTTAATATTTAAGCCTTTTCCTAATTTTTGCTGGTCTCTGATTATATTTATTATTTCTCAATAGCAAGCTATAATATATTTATTAAATAAAACTTATTGTAACAATTTTTCATTAGAATGAATTAATTTAGAATGTTTCTCTACTTCTATCATTAAATCCACAATCTTAAAGAAAGTAGTAATTTATGCTTTGATTGCTGGTGTTAAAATATCTGATGCTAAAATCTATTCCCTTTATTTTAATAAATTTTATGTTCTTTCAAATTCATCTTTTTTCATATCGACAGCTTTAACTTTTCCTAATCTTTCTTTGAAGTCTTAAGCTCCTTCAGCCTTTTCAAAGACTTATTCCTAAAAAGATATTTAAATTATATATATATACTTTGAAATTGTTCCAATAATAACTTGAGGCTGGTTCTTTATAAATCACAACTAAAGACCAAATCCACAATTCATTGACAGGACTCTCTTTATCTTTATTCTTTATATTCAATTACTCTATTAATTTGAATTATCATTTACTTAAATCATTGATACTCAATCCATTGGCTTCATCTTATCTCATTTTATTTAGCTTAATGATAGTCTTTTTAGTCTCTTGAATTTCATTTTGAAGTTGTTTTTCATCATGCTATGGAACTATAGCTTGTAATCTAGAAATTTCTGCTTAAGATTATTTTAGGTCTGCTTCAATCTAACAGATATAATATTCATAATTATTACCTATTCTTTTTATTCTCTGTTGACTTTTAGATGTTATTAAAGTCTATTATTTTCAATTGTTAATGTCTCAATAATATTTTAAAGTGTTGATTTCTAAATTCATTTTCTATATTACCTCTCCTATGAAGTACTCTTTGTCTTAATGTAAGGAATCCCTAACAAATTATTCAAGGGCATTTAAACGATTGGATGTAAACTTTACAGCAGCTGTCTAATCACTGTGTTCTGGATTGATTTCTTTAAGCTACTATATTTAGAGGTTCTAAATTCAAATAAATGACATTTTTACTTTTAGATTATCAAGTTTGCTCATAAATTATTAATATTTATCATTTTTAATTAATCCAGGATATATAGATGTATTATAATGATATCAAATCATTATCCTTATTCTAATCTCCCTTTAATCTTAATTATATTATCTTAAGTTTTATTGAGATTTCTTTATTCGAATACTTTAAATTGCAAATTTCTATATTTAGAATTTCATAATCCTTCACTATTTTTAATATCATATTTCTTAAGTTTACATCCAAATACTATTCTAACTAAAGCCAATATCTCAATTAAGTCTCTGTTTAAATTAATTTCTAACATCTGCTTAAATCAAATACCAGAAGTGATGTTATATGTAATCCAAAATTATTACTATTGTTAATATCTATTTCAGCTAAACACTCATAATAACTATCTTAAAAGGCATCAGATTCATTTATAATGTATATTTTATCTAATATAATATATTAATTGATCTATTCACTTACCTTTTGATTTTCTGTAATTATTGTTTCTCATATAACAAAGAAGTGAAGGTACATATTATCTAACTCTGTATTAGATATGTAATACAATAAGTGGGTACGATAAATTTTTTAGAAATTTAAAATAATCTTTCAGATTTTGAAGATATGTCTATGTACACTTACTCTTAAACCTGTAGGAAGACGATTATAATGATTCTTTTCCAAAAAATTTGATTTGATATGAGAATTTTAAAAAATATATTATAGAAGTGAGATTTAATTATAATAATTTATACTTAATTGCAACGAGATAATATAGAAAAAAACATCTTTATTATTTATTTGAATTAGAATATTTATGTAATCCATTACTCATTAAGAGTTATATATAAAAAAGAGGTTAGAATATATAAATAACTATTATTTGTACTTATATCATTTTGTAATATTTAACAGAGATATTTTATTTTTTCCCATTTATCCTGTTAACAATCTTCTTCTCTTAATCAAATGTGTAGCTAATTATACTTAATCTAAAATATAATTATAATATATTTTACCTGATTTCAAGTAATACCATATCAATAAATTTAAGATAGGTACTGGAATAACTTGATTACTTTAGGTTATAATCATATCATAACAATTCATTAAAGATTATATAGAGTTCCAAGCCTATGGTAAATTATTATTATGTAATTAAAATGCAGCACAATTAAAATGATATATAGCCTTAGGACTATAATTAGAAAAACAAGTTGTTTGAATTCCAATAACATTTCTACAATAAAATTACAAATTGCTATTGATAAATTTATTTAAGAATGTGGTCACTCCATTATTATTCAAAAAAGTATTTGCTTCTTTAATTTTTGATGTTGAAATGTAGGCTTCTAAAACATATTATATTATCATGTATTTATTATTATCAGACAAATTGTATTCTAATGCCTCCTTTCCTTATTATAAGGCTAAATTACAATCTCCTCTACAAAGATAAGCATATGTTAAAAATACAATTGAAGATTCAAATAATTATGAACCTGCAATTTATAATTAATCTTAATCTAATTGTATTATTTCTTCTCTCTTCTCCTTCTTAGATAAAATAATAGCATTACGGAATGATCTTTAATAGATTTTATTTATCATACTTAATAGCATTATTTAACAATTCTTTTACAACTTTTGGTTACACAAATTTATTTTCTTCATTCTTTTAATCTACTTTATAAAATTAATCCTAACATTCTTCATCAGCATCACTATAAATTTCTCTACTTTAAAGTATAATTTTCTTTCCCTCATCTTAAGTATTAATTTAAGAATGTTCTTCTGATATTTCATAAATCTCATTCTTATCTGGATTACATTCATGATATAATTATATATAACAAACACCTCTATTATACCAAAATTTAGCACTTTAATTACAAGCATCTTATAATTGATTATAAATGTTTAAAGCTTTTTAATATTTTTAATCCATAAACAATGAATCACCTAAATTTTGATATATAGCATATTATCTTTATTTAATATTTGTTAAAATTATATTTTCATAAAGATTTGTTTATTATAAAACCTATTTTGTTTATGAAATAGCTTTATGAAAATATATAGTAGCCAATGCATACTTACCCATTTTTGCATGTACACAACCTAAATTATTATAAATTTAAGCAGAATATAGATATTATTTATTCTATATAAATTCTAAATTCTATTAATTTTAAATTTCAGAATATGGATTGATCATCTTAATACATTTCACAACATTATCATTCTATGTTAAATGTTTTTATGCTTTCATTTACTTGACAATCATTTATGAATGTAATTTCAAATATGCTTAAATTTCAGATGAAAATTATGGGACTTATTATTATTACATACCTGATTATTATTGATCTAATTAATTTATGTAGTTTTTAAAGGATTATTCTAAATTATTTATTTATTTTTTCCAATCCTTTGAATTTGAAAGCATATAAAATCGAAATTTTATAACATTTAAAATGAATAAATACTCTTCTTTACTAAATGTGTTAGGATGTGCATCTGGGTAAGGCAAATCAGAACCCAATAATAAGGAGGTATATATTAATTATGATTATTATTATTGATCATCTGTTTAATTGGATTTAGTACTTTTATTTTATAAAGATTTTAATGTGTCTTCTGATGATAATTTCTTATACAATTCACTTGCATACACAAATTCTTATAATTAAAAGGATGTTTCAACTAAAAGCAAATGCACCTTAATATTTAAGTAAATGTCCAGATTATAGTTGTCTTTCAATTATTTCAATAGGTTATGGGCCTATCTTACTTTTCCACTAAAGAAGAGCATGATTGCTTTATTGAATTATAATATGCTGTCATCTTCTTGTTTCTTCTCTAAAAGTATATAATTTACTAAATTATTACTTTTCTAAGTTTATGGCTTTTTAATTTCATCTATAATATCATCAAGTTTAGTAATGCAAGCATTCACATCTTTGCTTATATTATATTCACAAAGGATTATATTTTCGTTAATCTGCACCATTGACTAATTTTGATCAGATTGTTCCTTTAATTGCTTAAATTTCAACAATTCCCTACACTTAAATAGTAGATTACTCCATTGACTCTTTATAATGGCCCTATCCAAAATGTTTAAAGGAATTTTATAAGATTGTAAAAGACTATGCCATAAATTATAAACAAAATATATCAATTTCTTTTTTTATCAATTAAAATCTGAATTCCTATTATTTTATATTCTTTCTCTATGGTATATAATCATAATATTAAAAAACTTATATATTCAATCATTATTGAACTACTTATACTTTTTTTATAATAATATCTAATTGGAAATCATCTTAAATATAATATAATCCATATATAAAAAATGTTTAGATTTTATTATAAACTATCAATATAAGTTTCTAAAAAAATTGAGAACAACATAATATTCATACTTATTTTTATTTTATTATGAATTTATTAACTCTCATATAGTTTATTGAGGATTTTCAAATTATCCCTTAACCACTCTAGGTACTTCTAATTTAACTTCAATAACTCTTTTAATCAACATGTCAACAACAGCTAATTTATTGGCTTCATAATCTAAGTAAATCTTATCTATTTCAGCTTTAGTTTTTCTCTCTAATTCTTCTTCTTCTTTTGTTGATCCAAAACGCTATTTGTCTAAATTTTAAATTTACTCTTAATATTTCTTAATTGTATCTAGTTTCTTCTTCCCTACGGAATACAGCAATTTCTTAATCAGCTGCAACCTTAGCCTCTTTAATTTTCTTCTCTCTTTCCTTTTAAGCATTCTTGATAATGGCATTTGCCTCTTCTTCTGCCTTGAGTAATTCATCAACAGCCCAATTTTCTCTTCCAGAATCAGCCATATATGGATAATATAATTTATTTATTAAATGATTTAATGAAGCATCATATTCTTATATTATATTCTAATTCATAATCATAGCTATTCTTATTTTATTTCATCATTTTCAATTGCTCCATCTATATTATTTTAAATTAATTTACTTTTAGGAATATTCGCCATCTCTATATTTTATTGATTATTTAATTCTTCATAACTTTCTTCAAAGTAATTTAATGAATCAATATCTTCTGATAATTCTTCGTATTCATTATCATATTCTATATAATCATATTCATTAGAATCTAATTCTTGATCTTCTTAATTAATATCATCCAAATTTTAATGTAATTATACAAATGAAGCCTCTGTATCTTTTGGAATTGGAGTACATGAATATTTCTTTTGATCAGACTCCTTAGCTTTATCTACAATAGAAATTATTTAATTGAAAAGTTCTTCTGGACCTTTATTGGTAATGATCATAAAGTAATAAATTGTTTTCACATTCTAAATACCATTTAATTCATCATACACTATTAATTTTATTTAATAATCATACTTTCTGGAGTTTATGATCTAAATTTCCTTTTGATTCCACTACTTGTAGGTTCAATAATTAAAGCACTATACAGTTTTGATTTACCTATACGAACAGCTTAAAATGCACCACTATATCCATTTGAATGAAAATCATAATCCTGTACATTACATTTCAATGCTAATTAAGCTGTTATAGAGACAAATTTTTAATTTTTTGGTAAGATAGTTGTAATAAGCATACCATTATTAGGTTTATCTAGATATCTGAAATTTTTATCAGTTTAAAGAAATGGTACTATTAAAAAATACAAAAGTACGTTTTACTTTTTGTAAATAATAGTTTTTATTCACTTCCTTCAGAATAAGTACATTATTTTTTAGAGCATTAAATTTTATTAGCAGGTAAGTCAGATAATAATTTTCCTAATTATTCTAATGTTGGAGGTTTGCAAAAGAATTCTTCACATTTTTCTAAGGAATAGTATTTTCTTATTACTTCCATTTTAAATTTCATCTAATATAGTTTTCACTCCTGAAAGAAAACTTTCATCAGCTGTAAAATCTTAAATAGTACCAGTCTCTAAAGTAGCAAAAACAATGTTTACAAATTTCTTTGAAAATTGTAAACCAGTGAACTCTTATAAATTCAAAATATTACTGATTGCATTGTTTCTTTCTCTTCTTTAAATAATTCTCTTTTCATTTCTTTTTTATCACTCATTGTTATTTAATGAATAGCATATTTTTTCTCTCCTTCTATAATTGTCTTTAAATAGAAAACCTAAGGAATCTGAGCAACTTTATAACTTCTCTTCAAAGTTGTCTTAATATAGGTTTATATAATATTCTCTTGAGATTTCTCAATAACAAAAATATATATTCCATTTTAAACTGAACTATAATGAATAGAGTTTGTTCCAAAATAATCCTTCCCTTCTTTTAAACTATCCATTGTTTGTTTATGTGTTTTATGAGAAAACCTTACATCGCCTTCAAATGTTATATATCGTTCTTTGCTTGCATCGATTGGTAATGGATCACCTCCAATTAATCCAGTTAGTTCAATATTTGCACAGTTATAAACTTGACCTTTTGCTTCATCTGCTTAGATTTGAACACTACTAGTTTCTATCATGAATGGTAGCAATATTAGAACCGTTTTAATTAAATACATTAATAATATATTATATATACTAGAACTAGAATTTTATGTTTACTTAGAGATTTCAAATCTAGTTCATTCTTTTCTATTTCAAGAAAACTTATACAAATAATTCATAGACTATATCAACTTATTTTATTTATCTCAAAGAAATCATATTGATTGCATAATTCTTCTGGAATCTTCTCACTAGATTATATTTAATTTTTTTCTTCAACTGATAAAATATTTTAATCTTCATCATTTAATAATAATTATCCATCAATTCTTTACGAATAATCTGATTTTGAATTAAAATCTTAAAAGCCTTCTAAATCTTAAAGAAAACTCATTCTAATTCCTATTTAATGAGATTTTCTAATTTAATCCCTAGAATTACTAGATCTTATTAGAAAATATAATCTAGATATTTCATATAAAAGATTTAAATAACTTAATTTATTTTCAGCTTTTTAAACTGTTTTATCATAAAATACTTTAAATTAATTTACATCTACATACTTTTCACCTATACTAACCTTGTTTATGTTAAATTTCCAATTTCTAAAAATTTTGACATTTTTGAATTAAGGATAATACATTCTAATTATTGAATGTATTAGATTCTCTTGTAAGAAATGTTAATTCAACAAAATAATGATATATTTAATCATAAAAAGTAATGAAACAATAGATCCTATATTTGCCAAAAGATCTCCTGCATGAGGATATTCATAAATAGTTTTAATTTAATGACCCTACATTATTAAATAAACAACACCAACGGCATCATTCCTATAAGCTTATTTACAATAATTAAATGTATTTGTTTGAGTTTATATAAATGCCCCATTTATATATTCATTTAATTTAGGTTATCCAAATAGAAAATAATCCCTTACTTCATATAAATTGCTTTAAAGAAAAATATTTAAAGTATAACAATTTGTTGGTTCTACTTAAAAATAGTAATCTTAAGTGCTAGTTTTTATTTATCCATTATTAGAATCTATTGATTTATAAGTAATTTCTGTTGTGATTACATTAAATGGCTATGAAAAAAATTAATCAGATTTTTCTTAATTGGCACACTATTCTCCATCCTCTAAATATTCTTATTAACATTTGATAAATAAAATTGTGGCATCAGTTGAAATATATACATTACCATTATAATATTGCTCACCAAAATGTAACTTTGGAATAATATATATATTTCCATCTATTGTTGCCTCATTTGACATTTTAATTAACCTAACTGTAGTTGATCCATCAGATTACATATAAGATATTACAGGTAATAATACCTTTTCTTCAAAAGGATCAATAAAGCGTTCCTCAAATTTCCAGAAATATATTTTTACAATATCATAATTGAAATCAATTTGCTTAAAATCAGAAACATATAAAGATTGAGATATTTTTGGATTGAATTAATTTGTTTACCATTAATATAATATCCAGATTGCATATGACAAACTAGATGAAAATATAATCAAAGTTATAAATCCTCCTATTGCACTTTGATAAAGGGATTGTTTTTAATTTATTTATTGCAAAAAAGGAGTCCCAAAGAAATCTGCATTGCGTAGAAACTTACTAGCAATTTTCATAATATCTAATTAATTTATTGATTAAATTTCATAACGACCATAGAGTATACATTAATATTTATTATCCATATCTTTGCAATAACTATAAGATATATTTACATATTATATTTAAAAAATGAACAATTTTATATTGTATGACATCTATTAAAAACTTATTTTTTTTATTAAAATTTGTCAAATAGATTCAAAAATTTATTGCTTTTAAAAAATTTTGGGTTTTAATTTATATAGATTTTAATATTATTACTATTTTAAAATTAGAATACATATATAGGTAGTAGATATCTATCAGAAAATCTGCATATTTATAATTAGAGTTATTAGTTAATTAATAGTCATTTATTCAAATATATATATGATGTGATTTAAATCTTGAGCTTGTTAAAATCATTTACTGTAAACACATTTTATAACTTATGGTTTGATTCTCCATTAAATCTTATTTAATTTTATACTAAAATATCAAATTTAATATAATAAAGAATATAATAATAGTAAAATATCTTAAATTTAAATAATGATAGTATTATCTCAGCTTAATCCATAAGATTCATTATATTAGGAAAAAATATAGAAATAATAATCCTAAAATATTATTTTAATTTAATGAAAATTCAAGAATAAATATATTTAATTCTTAGTTGGATTATTCAATTTTTTTTTGTATAATGTTGTTATTTTAAAGTTAATAAAATAAGAAAATAATTTTCATTTCATCTAAATCAATCTTTTTTTTGGGTGAAAATCTTTCAACAGAATTTTTTGTCATAATATTAAACGCCTAAAGACAATATAATATGATGTTATAATTAGAAAGATATTAACTATGAAATTTAGTAAACTTAAAAAAATCTTTATAATAAGTTTGTAAATGGGAAAATTTCTTCATAAATCCTTGTTTTTAAAAAACTAATTATTTTTTTATGAAATAACCATAGAAATTTTAAAATAACAAGTTGATGAATAAATATTTAATCATATGTTTATGTTATTTATTATTGTTTTGATTCATTCAACAATACTAATCAAATATATATTGTTCATTCTTTTTATTTTCTTTATTTATAATCTTTTAGTTATTTATATCTAAAATTTCTATAGGATTTGAATAGTTTATAAACTGCTTTAATTTACAATATAAGAATACAAAAACTAATGCTATCAATATAATGATATTGGAGTAAAGAAGGTTATTATTGAATAATTATTTGTTTTTCAGAAAAATTATAAAATGAAATAATTGATCCCAAGCCATAAAGCCTAATCTCTTATTAGAATTACATAGACTGGATGCTCGAAACAATCTCCAATCAAGAGTAGGTCAAATTAAAGAAATCAGAGTTTGCCTGGATTTCCTACATAGTAAATTGATAAGGAAGATGATGAAGAAGTAATTGGTATGTTAATTTAGACAAAAGAAATAAATAAATTAGTGTAAAATTAAGAACTATGTTCTTTGGAATAAATATAAGATAAAGGAAGATCATATTTAATTGATAATCAGCATTAAGTATTTGATAATAATTTGCAACTGATTAAACCTAACCTACCTAATGCTAGTGAGTAGGGTTTAAGAAGATATTATTTGAAGTCAGAACGATATAAAGAAATGTAGTAATTTTATCATGTTGATAAAAATATATACGGAAGAATGAGTGAAAAGATATAAACAGAGAGACTAATGCCTAGAACATTAAAGTTATTGGCAGACTCTCCTGATAAATTAGTAGCCAATAATATCTTTGGAAGTGATAAATATGTATAATTATTTGCTGAAGGGATCAGCAGCTCTCATTTTAATAATTTAAAGAGATTATAATTAAGAAATAACAAGCTAAATAATAATAGAACTTGTCTATTGACTTAAAAACTTCCTAGTTCTATAATTGAGTTAGATTTCAGTAATAATAAGATTGGTACTTCAGGAATACAAAGCATTTGTAATTATATATCTTCTAGAAATTATAATATTCAACATTTAAATTTGGAGGATAATAATCTTAAAGATTTTGCAGTCCTTACTATTTTAAAAACATTGAATGATAGTAAATCAATTAGAGTCTTAAAGCTTTCTAAAAATTAGATAACTGATTTACCAATGGAAACATTAGGACTACTACTCAAAAAAGTATTAGATCATTTTATATAATAGAATAATTCATTATAAGAAGTTTACTTACACTTTAACTAGATTAAAAATGCTGGAGGGTTGACAATTATGAAAGGTTTGATAAAGAATTAATTTCTTAAAGTTTTAGACCTGTCTTTTAATAAATTAGGATAAAATAATGAATTTATATCTGCATTATCTGAGTAATATTAATATAAGATAATAATAGTGTTATAATTAAGCCACATCCAGAGTTAACCCACTTAGACTTATCATTTAATAGATTTAATGATGAAGATGCTATGGTCATACATAAAGCCCTTTTATATAATCAATAAATATTTGGGTTTCATTTTTCTGGCAATCCTCATAATTATTATGTCAATCCGAGAGCCTTTTTGGTGAAAGAGTTCCAGTATGATGAGAATAAGTCAGATCCTAAACTATTTAAGAGAATCAATAGTGTAAATTGTATAAATACAAAAACTAAAGAAAATTGTTGGATTTGTGAAGGTTGGGTAGAGATTGGATTTCATTATTCAGGAATAGAGTATTAGCATCCAATCTTTTTACATCTTGATTTTGAATAGTATAGGCCAATCTTAATGAATGAATAGACTAATAGTTATTATCTGTAAAGAATGTGTCCTCCTAATAAGAAGATTCATTACTTTTTTAGTAATCCTATATATGATGTAAGATTTGTGGCTAAGGATTAAAAAACTTTAACTCTTGATATTAATGAAGAAATAAGAAAAAAAGGAATTGAATTACAATATGCAGATGGTTCATCAGCATTTGTTTAATTATCTATTGTGAATTATATTCATTCAGGATAAAGTGGAAATATCATAGATTCTACCAAACATTATATGGCTAATATAACATGTAGACCAAGAGAATCAGAATCAATTATTGATATTGATTTAAATAAAGCAAAAAAGCGAGTTTGGTCTTATGAAAATTCAATTTTCAAAGACTTTTAACCAGATACAGAAGGGCATCTTTTAGATTGCTTTGAATTTGACTTTGAATGTGGAAAATTGATTAAGCATTTATAGAATTAGTAAGAAATTGAATAATTGAAGGATAAAATGAAAAAGATATACAAATATATTATAGGATGTTATCATTATTTTTGTGCTAAGACACTCAATTATGATTTACCTTGTATCAATTTATAAAGTTTTTTGGATTTTATTTCTTAAACTAGTATCCTTGAAAAATCTTTAATGAATTCCTTAGATTTATAATTAACATTCTTATCTAGTTATGTAGTAATGAAACAAACAAATTATATTCATATCTAAGAAAAATGTTTAGTGAGATTTTAATTTGTTGAAATTATAGTGAGATTAGCTAAAGAATAATATATTAGAACAGGTTTAGCAAGTAATATGGCTGAGGCCTTAGAAATGTTATTTGAATAAGATGAAGTATTGTAATTTATGTAAAAATTTGGAATCTCTTAAGATTGGAGAGACACACGTTACTGGACTGAATTGATGGATTATACTATTAGAATTAAGATGCCTATATTGGTTATATTATATGAGAATGCTTGTAAATAAACAATGAAACATGGAAATAAATATATAACATTATCAGATTTTAAGTTATTTGCTGATTAATTTGAATTACAAAAATACATTTCTGAAAAAGAACTTTATTTGATTTATCTATAAAGTATGCAAACTCAAAGAGATGAATTAAGAGAATCAAGATTTTTGAAAATGGAGTTGTTGGAATTTATAGAAGCTATTACTAGACTAGCAGAAAGAATTTCACCTGTGACTCCTATGTATGCTAAGAAACATAGTAATTTAATTAATGATGTTTCAAGAAGAACATTCCCTTTATTTGTTAAGTTTGAAGGGATTATCATAATTATGTATCAGAAGTTGAAATCTCTATTTTTGGAAATTCCAAATGTAGAAAAAGAAATCATCTATAAAACTGTTATCAAAACAGATAAAGCAAGGAAATTGGGAATCTATGGTATAAAATTAGTATAATCATTAAATAGAGGAAGACAATAGTTCCGATGAAGAGAAAATAAAATCTATCAAAAATTTAAATCTTTTACCAGATGAAGGATTATTACCTCCACCATCATAATCAGTGGGGTGGAACAAACTTAGATAATGGGCTTCAAAATCAAAGAGAATTTCAATGGAATCTGCAAACATCTTAGAATAATTGGAAAGATATCAAGTGAAAGAAGACGAAATGTTTTAGAAATAAGGAGATGCTATTTCTGGTTATGATAAATATAAGATTACTTAAGAAAAGAAGAAAAGAGAAGAATATAAAAAAACTATCCTATACTAAGATCCTTAATTCAAATTCGAAGAGGAAGTGCCTAATTGAAAATATACTTTTTTTTATTTAATAATTATGATTAGAAGATAAAATTCACTACCTGAAATCCTCTCTATTATCTAAGAAAAGAAGAAGGCTTAAATTGAATAATAACAACCTCCTTAATTACCAGAATAAGAACCTTAACCAGTATTTAAATATGTTGTACATGAACACTAATAAAGAATTCAATTAGCAAAAATGTTTTACAAGAATCTAAAAAAAAGATCAATAGCAAGAAATGTTAATGAAATCAAAAGTATGGCTACTTTAAATGGATTTCAATTAAAATAAGGTTAAGTTTTAAGATAAAAACTCTATGTTGAATAAAATTAGATATAAGAGTAATAATTTACACTATAATAGAAATCCTCATATATATTTATGTCCAATATAGAAGATAATTGAATAAAAATCTAGCCCTGTTAAAAATAATTAAAGAAGTTCTCCATTATAAAGATCAAGAGCAATCACAACTAAAACTAGTTTCCATCTCAAGAGTACAGATCTAACAAAAAATGAAAGCATGATCTCTTTGAAAAAGTGTTAAGAAGAAAAACCGAAAGTTAAAACTAGATAAGTTGATGAAATCAAAGGTTAAGCAAAATTATTCACTTTCGTATACAAATCATTAAAATATCAAAGCTGAATCTATAATCATTTAACAGAATCACTTTTATTTATATGATTATTCTTTTTTCTTTAAAATATTCCTATATAACTACACTTTTGCAGATGGCTTAAAACATAAACTGTAATTATTATAATAATTTTCCTATTAAAAAATAATCAATTTTTAGATTATTAAATTGTAAATCTTAACCATTAGACATTAAAAAATGAAAGAACTATATATAAACCTTCTCAATTTGAATTTGAGAAACCTTTCTTTGAAGATGATCAAACTTAGGAGATAATCTTTACAGATTTAATAATTTCTTTTGATTATTAGTAAATTAATTTAACATATTTTTTTGTTTTAAAAAATAAATTTTTATTGTTAATAATTAACATTAGTAAATAATTATAATTAATTATGTCTAATTTATCAAAGATTATTACATTAAAGATTCTTTTAAATCAAATATTTATAAAAGGATAAGAATTCTTTTGAAAATAATAATAAATTATATGAAGTTTAAATTATTATTAAAAATAATATTTGAATAGAATGTAATTTTAATGATATTGCCAACTCAGTCATTTTCCCAAAATTTATCATCTCCCAAGCTTCCTACAAGTTGCAAGAATGAGAATTTAGGTACTTCCATACATGGTAAATCTTTTTCAATTCTAATTGATAATCCTTTAAGGTTTTCTTCATTATAAACTTTAAGAACTTTTCCTTCAGGAACTTTGAAACTTTTAACCTAGAATATAAGAAAATCTATACTGGTTTGTTCCATCCATCTTTAGGGAATGACATCTTTCTATCACATACAGTAAATGAGTCTCCTTGATAGTTGCATGATTCCCAAACTTAAGCACAATCAGGATCAGTCACACCTGCATCAGGCTTTGGAACATAAACAAACCATTAAATAGCTCCATCTAATAATTATGAGTTCTACCCTAGTTTGATATATTGATGAAAAATTACATGTTCCAATTTCGACGGAAATCTTATCTTTAACAAGTAAATAGTTCTTAGTTAAGAATCTGCAGAATGCCCCATAATTATAATATAAACCACTAATTCCGTATAATGTATATCTTGGTGTTTTAAGGAAGACTTCATCAGTAATCTTATCATCATACTTTTTGACTCTTTCTGATTCAGGATTGACAACGTTCAAAGGATCATTACCTCCATTTGTTTTATGTGTTATGGTTCCAACTAATAAAGTGTCCTTTTCACCAATAATCATATTGACTCTAAGGAATTCAATAGTTCCCTTTTGTCCAACAGAGACTTTGAATTAAGCTGATGTTTTAGTGATAACTCCCATGTAAACATTAATTTTAGGCCAAGGTTCAACCATTTTAAGTCCCAATATATAGATGGCAACATTTGGTGCAGTTTTGAGTGACCAATTTTCAGGGAATGTTACTTCTAATGGTTATATTCTAGTATTTCCTTCTTTATTGGATTTGACAACTGGTAAATTGTTTGTTTGCAATTCATATGTATAGATATTGCTATCCAAAATAGCTGCCCATGATACATCAAACCCAAAGATTGTAGCCGGACTTAATGCAACATATGTAATTGTAAATCCAACTGTATTGACAGCACTCAATTGAATATCGAAACCTTATGGTAAAGTATCTCCAAAATCATATTTGATTGGTGCTAATATTACAGTGGGTGTTGATTTAAAAGGCTTGTTGAATTTGACTAATGTTTAGAAGCTTCTTCCCACTCTAATCAATGTATATTAGGATGAATTACTCAACACTTTGTTATAAAGGATGATAGGGAGTTTGTGCCCAATGCAAGCTCTAATCAATACCTGAGTCATATTGGGGTTTAATGAATCCCAATACAGATAATGCGCAAACTGATAGGACTAAGTATTTCATCATTAATCCGTTTTTAAATTTAATATTATTAATAAACAACTTTAGAAATAATTTCATATATTCACAAATTTATTGATTCCTTCAAACTAACTTGTTTTTCTTCATCAATTCATCATAAAAATTGAGACATTATTCAAATTCCTCTTCTGTTATCATTTTATCTTTCCAATAATTAAAAAGTTGTTTCATTTTTATAGGCACTGATTATCCATTCTCTCTTATATAATATTTACCAGGGGTATTAGTTATTAATTGATTTGGACCCTCATTAATTATAATTTCAAATCTAATTATATATTATAATTACATTTTTAGATTATTTACAACATAACATATATCTTAAAGTAACACTCCACATTCATGCTATTTTATGTTCACCCATTAATCACAACCATACTCTTTACATTTATTCATTATTGTATTCACCACCTAATTAGCCTTCTTCTCCTAACAAAAGCATCCACTAACAACATAACCATTCAGATCTTTGTCATATGAAATTCCTATTAAAATCTTACCTTGTCTACGACTATTCAAAATACTACATATAACCTTCATTATCTATTCTAAATATTATTACTATAATGAAACCTGTGTTATTAATCAAAAGATCCACCTTATAAGATTTAAATTCCAATTTATCATCCTCCTTCAACTTACATTCTTTTCCCAATAAATATATAGTTTTATTCCCTTAAACTATGTATTCATTTACATTATTGTATAGTACCTAAACTGAAAGTGTTGCACTAATATGAAATGTTGGTTTGATACAGCAATTCATCTCTTGATGTCTAAAATTTTAGAACAAGACTTTTTTATTTAAAATGCAATTTACCTTAGTCACTTAACAATTTCAATATTGTATATTTTTAAGTTCTTCGAAACAAACTAATTTTTACTGCTTTCCCAAAATATTCTTAACCCCAAGATTTGTAATCGAATCTTTAATTTGTATGAACAAAAACATATAAAATTTAAGAAGAGTATTCATTGTTAATTGGTTGAGGTTTATTGCATTCTGGAGCAAGGATTAGATTAGAGAAGTATTATATCAAAAATTCAGATTCATCAGAATCGGTACTCATTAATTTTAATAATATAAAATGGATTTAACTCAATCACAAGAATAAGACAAAATAATACAATACTATTTGAATTAATAAATTAAAAAAGTTGCTGATGAAAAGTCATAAATCACACTTCAATAGGAATAAGAGAGAAATAAAATCAAATTATAAGTTTGGGAATTTCTTAATTAATAACAATCCATTTAATAATCTCGTTTAAATGCAACTCCTTTAAGTCTTATTTCTAATAACTCTGCATAATCTGATCGTTTTGATATACAGATGGATAGATCTAAAATGAAATAATAGAGTTCAAAATTTGAATAATCAATGCATTTCTAAAAAGAATACCCTAATCTTCAAATCAATTATCATTCCTTTGTTGATTCAAAAGATTAACAATACAAACAACTAGATTTTCTTATTGCCCAATATGAGGAGAAAACTAAGAATTAACCTAAGAATTATTTCAAAAGACAACAACTTGAAAATGTTTCTAATTAGCTGTAATAGGATTAGGATGATAACGATGATTAGTATAATTAAGATTTTGAATAGGATGAAGAAATCTAAGAAGTCATAGAAGAAGAATTGCAAGAATCCTAAATGTAAATACAATCAAAGTCATAAAAGATTAATTAATAAGATAACCAGACAGTTTATAATAATTTAATCAAATTAAGAATAGATAGATTAGATACTAGTGTTGCAAATGCAGACACTTCCAAAATGAATGATTTAAGTAAAATATCTGAATCATTAAGTGATTTAAAGGTAAATCCTAATGAAGTTAATAAAATACTTGAAATTAGTAGATAAGTAGATGCTTCAAAATAAACTACCTTCAAACTTGATCAAACTCTTTTGTAAACTAAATCAAATGAAGAACCATTAATATAGTCATATTAATAATCTATGTCATCAAAATTATTAGAGTTATCATAATAATAATCTAAACTCTATGAAAGATAGAGAATAGATTATCCTTAGATGCCTATTCTTGATCAAGAATTCTCTTATAAACTAGAAGATCAATCTCAAGTTATAAAGTCTTTCTATCCAAATAAATAAGTAGATTAAGTTTCTAAATTTGATTAATCAAAAATTTAGTAGTCTAATTTTGAGCAATCTAAACTGTAGACTTAAAAGAATTAATTAGATTAAACTTAAAAAAGCAATGCCACTAATGAAATATAATCAAAGTATAACTTTTAAGAACAATCATTTAGGTTATCGGAATAATAGAAGAATGTAGATTTTCAAGAAAAATCAAATATATCAAATTAATTATAGTCTAAAATCTAAGATTAAATTCAAAATTTTTAGTAATCTCATCAACCTTCAAAATACAGTGAACCTACAAAAAGAATACAATCTTCAGAATTTGAAAAACAACAATATTATCAAAATTATACATGTGTTAATTCTAATGTAACTAAATAAGAGTAGCTTACATCGGCTGTTGAAAATGATCAATAAAATGAAGAGTATTAGTAAAGTTTATAAAATAATAATTATCTTGAAGATGAGGAGGAAGCATTTTCAGAAGAGGATGATCATAATAATAAATTTTATTAATTTAGTATAAAATTTGAAGATTAAGATGATAGAGAGAAATAAAAAAAATTTGAAGCTTTGAAAAAAAAAAAATTATAGGAAATGGAAGAGTTAAAACAACTTCGATAATAAAGAAATAAAGAATAATAATANTACAATCAAAGTCATAAAAGATTAATTAATAAGATAACCAGACAGTTTATAATAATTTAATCAAATTAAGAATAGATAGATTAGATACTAGTGTTGCAAATGCAGACACTTCCAAAATGAATGATTTAAGTAAAATATCTGAATCATTAAGTGATTTAAAGGTAAATCCTAATGAAGTTAATAAAATACTTGAAATTAGTAGATAAGTAGATGCTTCAAAATAAACTACCTTCAAACTTGATCAAACTCTTTTGTAAACTAAATCAAATGAAGAACCATTAATATAGTCATATTAATAATCTATGTCATCAAAATTATTAGAGTTATCATAATAATAATCTAAACTCTATGAAAGATAGAGAATAGATTATCCTTAGATGCCTATTCTTGATCAAGAATTCTCTTATAAACTAGAAGATCAATCTCAAGTTATAAAGTCTTTCTATCCAAATAAATAAGTAGATTAAGTTTCTAAATTTGATTAATCAAAAATTTAGTAGTCTAATTTTGAGCAATCTAAACTGTAGACTTAAAAGAATTAATTAGATTAAACTTAAAAAAGCAATGCCACTAATGAAATATAATCAAAGTATAACTTTTAAGAACAATCATTTAGGTTATCGGAATAATAGAAGAATGTAGATTTTCAAGAAAAATCAAATATATCAAATTAATTATAGTCTAAAATCTAAGATTAAATTCAAAATTTTTAGTAATCTCATCAACCTTCAAAATACAGTGAACCTACAAAAAGAATACAATCTTCAGAATTTGAAAAACAACAATATTATCAAAATTATACATGTGTTAATTCTAATGTAACTAAATAAGAGTAGCTTACATCGGCTGTTGAAAATGATCAATAAAATGAAGAGTATTAGTAAAGTTTATAAAATAATAATTATCTTGAAGATGAGGAGGAAGCATTTTCAGAAGAGGATGATCATAATAATAAATTTTATTAATTTAGTATAAAATTTGAAGATTAAGATGATAGAGAGAAATAAAAAAAATTTGAAGCTTTGAAAAAAAAAAAATTATAGGAAATGGAAGAGTTAAAACAACTTCGATAATAAAGAAATAAAGAATAATAATAGTAGGGTGGTTAAAATAATAAAAGAGATCAATCTCCTCTTATGCCTAGTGCTTCATTAAAAAGATTATAATAATAATAATAATAATAATAATAATAATAATAATAATAATAATATAATAATAATAATAATAATAATAATAATAATAATAATAATAATAATAATAATAATAATAATAATAATAATAATAATAATAATAACAACAATAATAATAAAATCAATTTTATTAACAACAATAACCATAATTTTAATAAAGAAATTTCCTTTTAGATCATCAACCTTAATAAATTCAAACATCACTTCCATAATCAAAACGCAATGCATCTGCTAATAGAAAATCTCCAATGTCAAGATAAAAAGAATCTGCAAATTTTTGTTAAGATATAGATAGATCAATTTCTGTGGAAAAAAATAAAAAAAATAATAAAACAATTCTAAAAAATGCCATAACATACGCTTGTATGGCTGGAGAGCCTAACAAAAAAGAGAGAGAAGCAATTCTATAAAAATTAGATGGAGCTGAAGCAGAACATTTTATAATTTTATTCAAAACATATGGTAGATCGGTAAGAAATAAAAAATATTAAGGACTTTCGAGCTTTGTATGGCTATGCTGTAGACTCACAACCTTATTTGATATTCGGATAAGGAAAATGCCCTCAGGTTTTAACTTCTGAGATGGTAAAAACATTTTTCAAATATGATTCTGGAGCTAAATAGTTTAAAGCAATAGACGGAAACAAGTAATTTACTATTATGGTTGATGCTGTTTAATTAAGAAAATGAATTGAATAATTTAATTTATGGCTAATATTTTATAATTATATGAATAGTGTATGAACAATCAAGAGATTCTAACTTATGGAGATCAATAATTATTCAATTATTTATGGAATATACCTAATTTTATAGAAGAATCTGTAAAATTAATATTTGACAATGAAAAACATCAAAGATATTATATTTTAAGTTTATTCCAAAATATTATCCTATTGAATTGGTAAAGTTTGCAACATTAAACAAAATAAATGATCTTAACTCTATTAGTGAATGGCCTTAAACAAGAGAAGTAGATCCATATTTAAGAAAATATTGTAAACTTAAATTTATATGAAGGCAACAATATTCACTTAAATAATGAAAATAGATCCTGACTTTCAGTAACTTATAAAATAATTTTTATTAATATATACAGATAATCCATAGATTGTGAATATACTAATTTAGATATATCGGTATAATAATGGATAGGATTTAACGTCATATAATGAAGTAGTACTTTAGAATATGTTGTCATTACAATAGCCAACATCTAATGTATATCATTTGGTTTATTTGGTTATTAAAAGGATTTTTGGTTGTTAATAGACAAATATCGAAATACAATAATAAAGTTTGGATTCAACATTAATTTAATGGGTGGACCGATTTTCATAAGTTTTTTAACAATAAGATGAATAAGGATCTTAGATTTATATTATAAAAGCATTAAGTTTAATTTGTAAAGAAATGAATAATTAAAAAAAATATATAAGAAAAGCCATTCTACCATAAATAACATCATTTTTTGAGGGACTAACAAACTCTATTTAATACCTAGAAGGTATTTTATGAAATAAAAATAATAGAAATTAAGTTTTTGGATGAAAATTTTGAATAAGTATTGAATCAAGAGGTGCAATTATTTTATACTTTATAAATATTAACAGAAACACTTAATTAATTAATGTGCAATAATATCATATACAGTAGTTTACTAAAGATATTAAGTTTGCCAATATAAAATATAAATATAGATCATTTTATTTTGTAAGATAATCCAACAGTTATTTAATCAGTGTTAAAGTTCTTTAAATAATAACTATCATGTAAATAAACTTAATAAAATGTAAAATAATTATTATTAAAATATTTATAATAATAAGTTGAAATGGTTGGTTAATACATAATAATTGCATAATATTCATCAGATTTATTTGATTAAAATGAGTATATGGTCATAATTGATAATATATTGAAAAAATAATGCAATAATCAAAATTAAGCCTTTCAACTTTAAAAATTAGTAGCTTTAACAAACTTGTATATATTAACCAAAGGATAAGTCGATAGATTTAGAAAGATATTTTAATTAAATGTTTAATTATTAAACTCATAATTAAATATTGTAAATTTCTTAAATCTTGGTAAATTATGTGCACATGCAAGTAAAAATAATACTTTGGATGAGTAAGTCTTTAAATGTATTGTGGATTAGTCAGATATTTAATTTCCATATTAGTCAGATATTTAATTTCCATCAATTGAATAAAATACGGCACATATTTTATTTGATAGCATCTTATAGATGTTAAAGTTATGTAAGACCCTTTAATTTCCAATATTATAAAATATCTATCAATATTGGACAAAATATCCTAATGATTCAAAAGTAGCTTAAATATTCTATGAAGTTTTGGATATTCTTGCCTCAGTTGATCCAAAATCAGTATAATAGACGTTCTCAGTCAATGATGAAATAATTTGGTTAAAAGTTAATTCAATTATAGCTAAATATTAGCCACAATTATTAATCAAATTTATTCCTTAAATAGCAAATTTATTATTAGATTTTCATGAATACACTTAATAAGGAATTATGCTTTTGAAAAAACTTTTATAATATAATACTATTGATTAAGTAACTATGAAAGTAGTATTTTAAATTTTGGAAATTCAATTAAATACTTATGAAGAACAACAATTAGAAGCATATACTGAAAATGTTCATGATTTATTGTTAGTAGTGTGGAATATATATATGAATAGATAAATAACAATTTAGTTACTTAACAATATAATCTCTAAAATTATGCATACTTAAATATCCGCTACTGTTAATGGTTTAACAACTATTCTATGCGCAATATACTTATAAAATTAGAACCAATTTTTATAATGGCTTCAATCAAACTCTGAAAATACTTAATAATTATTTAGTAGATGGCTTTGTTTTGCATCAATATTAGAATCAAAATCATTATTATAATTACAAATAAATGCAATTTATCAATTTACATAATTACCATTTCTAGATTAGATGCATTATGTAGATCCTTTTGTTAAGTATGTTATACCATTAAAAGCTAAAATGATGGAATTTTTAATTTAAAAACAATATTAATGTGTAAGAATTTTATTAAAGCTAGTAAACAATTAATTAAATATAAACAGAATTTGAAAATGATATTTCTGTATGCTATAATCTACTTAAACCTATTTAAATTTCATTTGAACACTTGAAGGATTACTCTTAATATTTATCTTAGGAGCAAAAAAATATATTAAAGAAAAATAAATGAATTTTAATTTATAAAAAAAAGAATATATATAATCATATTTTCTAATACATATTTTTTTTGGTCATTATTTTTTAAGTATTTCAAAATTAAATTATAATACAAAGTTGAATGCCTGAGGTTCATTAAAATATTTAAATTCAAATGCAAAAATTATTACCCTTTAATTTTAATTAATAAAATAAATTATAAAAAAATATAAATCTTTAAATAAGTCAGCAAAATGAAAGAAAAAAATTACTCATAAAGAGTCAAAAAGATTAGAAAACTCTCACCAAAAAAGCATTAATAATAAGATGATTTAAGTTCTCCAATAATAACTAATGAAGACCTATTATCTAAGCATCAAAGTTTATGTTCAAGTTTACTGTCGAGTCCTGAATCAACCAAATTTGTTCCAGGAAGCATGTTAGAATTCTTACTTAACATAGAAGAAATTCATTTCCCTCTCTCTATTTGATTATTAGTCTTCTTTAATTATATAAAACTTTACATTATACGTATTATTAACTTAATTATAAAACAACCAAATCTTCAATATTCAATGTATTTTACGCTATATACAGTAATTTATTGATAAATAATGAAATGATATCTCAAGGTTCACTCTTCCATATTTAATTATTATTTCTTTTGTGTTATGTGTTTTTATATTATATAATCATTTGTTTCTTGAATATATTAAATCAATTATATAGGATTCGATGTAAAAACGAATTTGATTTTATGAATTAGGTTGGATTAGAATTCAATTCAATGTCTTGCTTATAATTGAAATAATAAATATAAACAACTCTATATTATCAACATATTCAGATGAATGGACAGTAGTTAGAATTCTCTAAATGAAGCAAGAATTCCAACATACTACCAGGTTCTTCTCGTGCAGAGTCAGGACTTGAGATTTCACTTGGGCAATATATAGGATATTTCTATAACAGAATCTCATTCGTTATTAATGGTGAACTTAACTAATCATCTATATTTTGAAATTTTTTGGGTGATTATTTTTTTATTTTCCTTCTGATCATCAAATTGTACTTATCTTTCATTTTATTTTGAATGGTTATTTATTTAATTTTTGAGTTTTCCTTATTAGTATAATTGTTATTATTAATAATGAAAATTTTACAAAATTCAATACCTTATATAATCAGTTCAATAGTTATTTATAAATATATTTTATTTAAATTATTTATTTTAATTATCGTCATTTTTTAATGTCATAGATTCAACTTATATACCTCCTTAAATTTCAAAAATATCAATATAAATTATATATTACTAAACTAAATATGAAATTATTTAATTATGATATATATTCTTAATAGAGAAACTAAAATACAATAATATATCAAATTTAAACAAAGAATTAAATAAAGCTATGCGGTAATTAAAATTGTAATATATATTTAATATCATATAAAACTCAAATCATTTTTTTTTTTTTCGGCATTCCTCTTGAATCCATTTTTTTGTTTCGTACCAAAAGAAAATAAATAAATTGATTTATATCATATTAAACTATTTAGAAAATTGGAATTACTAAAATCTAATCTCATGAAAATTTAGATCTAATTAATTTAGAATTTCTATTAATGTGGGTAAAATTTCTCAAAATAATTCATCTTTGATTTAATAAAGAGAAAAGAAAATGATGATTATAGCTATGAATAAATTTTATGTTATTTTTTTATTTTCATTATATTTGAATTTTAAAACATGATTATTCAAAACAGAATATCACCCTACTATAGAATTTAAATGGTAGTTTAATAATTAATATATATTAAAATATCTAAATTTATTCTCTAAAATTATTCAATTTTTTAAGATATATATATATATATTTATAGAAATAAACATCTAATATTGATACTTCCAAATAAAAATATTGTAATTTTACAACATTTCTATAGTATATTATTTATAAGGAAAATTATTAATAGATTATAATATTAAATAAATATAAGCAAATACATTTTATTAATACCAAAAATATGACGTAATATTTAGTATTTTTAGTCAATTTTAATTTATTTTGTAGATTAAATAAAATAACACAATGGAATTCATTATTGTGTAACTACTGCTTGTTTCATCTTTTGGATGGATTGTGGAGATTAAGAATGAATGTTCTTGTACAGATTATAAACTTTACTCTGAATGCATATCATCAATGGGTTGTATATGGAATACAAGTTTGAGTAAATGTGTTGATATTAAATGTAATACATTAAAATCTTAAACTGAATGTATTTCCTAATCATAATATTGTTCATTTGATCTTTCTACATTCACTTGTGTACCCTTTACTTCATGTGCAAATTTAAGTGGAAATACTGTTTAATAATGCTAAACATAGAATTAGATGTGCTCATGGGTTTCTGGAAATTCCTGCATAGATTATAATTGTACAAATTTCAATTAAAATAATTGCCCATATTTTTGTATAAATACAGGATCTGCTTGTGAAAATTTTTCATCATGTGAAAAATTAAATTAAACTTATTGTACCTTATATTCTGGAATGTGCTATTGGAATTAAAACTAATGCTTGAATTAAGAATGCTCAAATTTTATAACTAGTACATAGTGTCAATTTGTATTGAAATCAGAGAATGCTATCGTACCCTGTTATTGGAATTAAAATTAGTGTATAAATCCTCCAGATGCAAGTGTTTATAATTCTAATCAATGCTTTATTTCAACAATTGGTCAATATCATTGGTCAAGTAATAATTCTACAATGGGATCATGTTAATAATGTTAAAGTTCCTAAGACTATTACAAGCCAATGACAGACTTTCTATCAAAAGGGTTCATTCTTAGCATTATTATAATGGGCATATTCATGATAATATGATTGATCGTCATTATTAATAAATCATTTAAAATTTATAATTCTATTTTAATATCTATTAAATAAATCAATTTAAATTTTGTAGAATATTTGATTCTTTTTGACTTCTTATCAGTATGACAGCGACCTAATGTTATTATTAAATTCAATTCAATTGATTCAGAGTTTTTATATTTTTTGAGATTATTCTTAAACAATTCAAGTATCCATAATTCATTAATTGAATAATATTTAAAAAAAATGAAAAAAGCCTGCAAATTTAAAAAGAAGAATTTAGAAGTTTGCTGCCCTTACAATCCTAATCATTTAATGCCCTTTAGTCAATTATGGTTTCATTTATCATCTGGCTGTGAAGACAAATAAAAGTTTGGTTAATAATCTGTCTTAATTTAGGTCATCTGTATAAGATATGTCCTTATAATTCATTGCATATTTTATAAAAGGAACACTATGATGATCACATTAAGAACTGCCAAAAAAAGATAGATGTAGATGATGATCTATTGAAACAGATGAGTACTGTAGCTTAGGTATAATTTGATGAGGAAAATTAATTTCAGGATTAATTTAAATCTAGAAATTGCAATAATAAATATAAGAAATATTATTGAATAAGATGCAATTGTTTTATATTTATCGTTAAACATTAAAAAAAATGTATATTTAATCTGTCTAGAAATCTAAAACAAGCCATTTTATTAAAAAAACCCAATTATTCACTTCATAAAATTAACATAAATCAATCTAAAAATTGGTCCACTTACTAATTAATTAAATATTCATATGAGTTGGAATACTAATAACCTTGAAGAAGGTGAAGTTAAACCAGTTGATTCCACTCCTGTATGGGGTGGTGAATAAAATAATGGTGGATGTTAAATAGATGAAGTGAAAAAAACTTAAGAGCCTTAATGGGGGCAGGATGAGAAAAAGGAAAATAAAGAAAGCAATGATTAAAATGGAACAGCAGCAGAATCAGGAGGTTGGGGAAACCAATAATAGTAGCAATCATCCTCTTGGGGAGAAGCTAAAGCAGATAATAATGATAATGCTTGGGGATCAGGAACCACAGGGTTTGGAAGTACATCAACAGGAGATAATGGAGGTTCATCTTGGGGAGGCGGTTCAACATCTTGGGGAAATGGAGGAAGTTCAGATAATAATTTTTAATCAGATCGACCAAGAGGTAGAGGAAGAGGAGACAGAGGAGATAGAGGAGGTGGTTTTAGAGGCAGAGGTGATAGAGGAGATGGATTTAGAGGTAGAGGAGATGGATTTAGAGGAAGAGGAGACAGAGGAGATAGAGGAGGATTTAGAGGAAGAGGTGACAGAGGAGGAGACAGAGGAGATAGAAGAGGAGGCTTTAGAGGTGGAAGAGATAATGGTGGAAGCTGGGGTGGCAACTCAAATAACAATAATGGAGGAGGAAATAGTTGGGGAGGTAATTAAGAAGGTAACTCTTGGGGAAATTCAGACAATAAAGATAATGCTGGAGGAGGTTGGGGAAGTACTTCAACTAATGAATAACCAGCTCAATCAGGTGGATGGGGTAGTACTACAACAGAGCAACCAGCATAATCTGGAGGTTGGGGAAATTCTACTGAATAACCGGTTCAATAAGCATCTGAAAGTTGGGGTAGTAAAACAGAAAAACCACCATAATAAGCAGAATCAAATTAAGGTGGATGGGGAACTACAACTGAATAACCAAGCTAATAATCTGGTGGTTGGGGATCTACAACTGAATAACCAGCAAAACAATCCAACGGATGGGGAAATTCTACAGAAGAATAACAACCCTAATCATCTGGAGGTTGGGGAGCATCAAATCCAGAATAACCTCCATAATCATCAGGAACTTGGGGATCCTCTACAACTGAATAAACATAATAATAAGGTGGTTGGGGTTCTACAACACAGGAATAACCTTAATCTGGAGGTTGGGGATCTACAACTGATTAAGCAACATCTTCAGGTGGAGGCTGGGGAGGTTCATCAGATCAATAAAATGGAAACTCTTGGGGTGGAGGAGGATCTGGTGATGGACAGAGAGGAAGAGGTCGAGGAAGAGGAGACCGCGGAGATAGAGGAGGTTTCAGAGGTAGAGGAGATGGTTTTAGAGGAAGAGGAGATAGAGGAGGAGAAGGTTTTAGAGGAAGAGGAGATCGAGGTGGAGGAGAAGGATTTAGAGGAAGGGGCGATAGAGGAGGATTTAGAGGAAGAGGAGATAGAGGAGACAGAAGAGGTGGATTTAGAGGAGGCAGAGACAATGATAATTAAGGTAATGGAGGAAGTTGGGGAGGATCATCAAATGATTAAGGTGGTGGAGGATGGGGATCTTCTGTAACTGAATAACCTGCATCTAATGGAGGTTGGGGATCTTCTACAACTGAATAACCTTAATCAAGTGGAGGTTGGGGATCTACTGCTACTGAACAACCAGCTTAAACTGGAGGATGGGGAGCTACTGCTACTGAACAACCAGCTTAAACTGGAGGATGGGGAGCTTCTACAACAACTGAATAACCAGCTTAAAATGGCGGATAAATTGCAACTGAATAACCTTAATCAAGCGGAGGTTGGGGATCTACTGCTACTGAGTAGCCAGTTTAAAATGGAGGATGGGGATCTACTGCTACTGAACAACCAGCCTAAAGTGGCGGCTGGGGCAGCTCTGATGCTCCATAATAATCTAATGGTGGTTGGGGAAGTAGTAATAACGATTAATAATAATCTAATGGATGGGGCTCGAATAATCACTAATCAAATGGAAATGGCGAAAGAGGAAGAGGTCGTGGTAGAGGAAGAGGTCGAGGTGGTGATAGAGGCGGAGATAGAGGATTTGATAGAAACAACAACAATAATAATAATAATGAAAATGGTGGAGGAGGAGATTTTCCTACTTCAAAAAGAGTCAAACCGAACCCTGTAGTAATTACAATATCAGATGATGAAAATGGTTAAGCTTCTCCTCATTTCAGTGAGGATGAGTAAGAAAAAGTAAATATTATTAACGAAGTTTTGAAATAAACAGTTGATGCCAAGTAAGTTACATTGTAACTCCCTGCATTAGATACTAAATTTTCTCCTCTTTTTAATCCTGAACCTGATCCAGATAGCTTAAAAACTGATAATTTATGCCATCTCAAGGGAGGTCTTTATCCTCACGAATAGCATAAAAAGGTGAAATTTGTATACACAGGAGGTATAAAAGTAGATTCACAAAGACAACCTGTTGTAAATTTAGTTACTTTTGATAATGATTTAGAATTTATTGAATCTTGTCCTAAAGTGGATTTAGCTGAAAAATAAGGAATAGAAACTGTGTTTTTGAGTCCATTAATTAATGAATATAGAATTTTAAAAAATGAATTAGTTTAATTGAGACAAGAGGAGAGAAGAACATAAATAAGGAGATAATATATGGGAATAGTGGAAGGAATTGATAAAGAAAATTAAGATTTAATTAGTTAAGTTGGATTAGCTTTATTGAAAGATTAGAAAGCAATAAGATTGAAATATGGATTCTTATTTGCTGAATTAACACTATTTCATATAAAATAGATATTTGGAAATATGGATTAAGTAGAACATTAATCATTGTAGGCTAGAGAGAAAGAATTGAGGCCATCTAATGTAGTTTTTATAGTATCCATAACTTAGAAATGGTTGAATGATGTGCCAAAATTGAAATGCAGAAGAAGAAAAGAGTTGTTATGATAAATAATATTAATATTATAATTACAAATTTGAATTAAATGGTGTGTGTTGACATTCTCAAATAATATCATCCTGAATAGTAAGGAAAGGTTTACATGAAATAAGATCGATACTTAAAGAAACGTGTATTATATTTGGATGGAAATATGAATACAGTTGCTTAGATTACTATTCCTGTAAATTTGAGACAAAATTATGTAAATATTATCATTTATATTAGCTTCACTTTTAAATTTAAGTTCCTTCGACAGGTGTGTTTATAATTTCTATAAACTATTAAAATAAGGGTTAAAATTTCAAAGTTTCAATTAGCAATGTAATTTGAATTATTATTTAAAATAGTTGTTTAAACAAGTTTCTTACCCTCATGAAAATTAGATTAATCAACCATGTGAAGGATTACCAAATTGGGGTACAATAGTTGTGGATTTGAAAAGTTTTTATAGTTTTACAGAGATAACTTAATTAAATATAAGTGGAAATATTGCTGTTAAAAATATTTATAATACAAATGAGGAATAGTTGTTACCAACAGATTGTCAATTAAATAGTGTACATAGGACTTTAATAAAACATATAAAACCAAAATTAGCACCTTTAAAGGGTATTTTGAAAACAAAAGGTAAGAAACAAGAATAGGCTCCTTTGGAAGAAATTCCTTTACCTCAAGAAAGAGTATCTCCTATGAAATAGGATGTAAGAGAACTAATAATAGAAGAATAAGAGGTTCAAATAAAAAGTAAACCTTAATCAATAATGAAATTAAAACATATTCATGGATATACTCCAAAACATTAAGCAAATGTAATATTTTTAGATGATAATTATTTTGCTTTTCCTTGTGATAAAACAATTGTAATAATGTCAGAAAAAGAATAAAAGTTTTGTTCAGCAACAAGTGAAATATAATCAATAACAAAATATAAAAATGAATTAATAGCTGCTTGTGACTCTGAAATCTTAACTTTTGATTATACTACTTGTTAAAAACTCAATCATTATAAATTAGAAGGATACAAAGCTAAATTTATATAAAATTAAGATGATACATTAATAGTATTAGCAAATGATGAGAAACATTAAATGTTATTATTGATTAGAAATGAAACAATAGTAATTAAATAAGCATCACCATTTCATATTTAAACATTTAAAATACAAGACAAAGATAATTTTATATCAGTAGGTAAAGAGAATATTAGATATTGGCATATAAAAGATACTTGTCTACAAGGCCATTCTCCATATTTGGGATAGTATGCTAGAGAGACTGATTTTACAGATTTGTTAATATAGGATAAGAGAGTTTTAGGATGTTGTAAAAGAGGTAGAGTTTTTCAGTTTATAGAAAAAGAATTAACTGGTGTATGGTAGATTTCAGAATCACCTATTACTACATTAAATAAATTTACATCTAATGTAGTAACTACACATAAAGATGGAATTAAATTTTGGAAGTAAGATTTTAGTGAACTTGTCAGAGATATTAAATGTGAAGTTGAAGTAATAGGTTGTGATAGTAGATAGAAATTAGTATGTGCATTTAGAGATAAATCAATAGGAATTGTAGATGATAAAACTATTAAATATTTGGTACATTCTCATTAATAGAATATATTGGATTTAATTATTGTCTAAGATAAAATTGTTTCATCTGCTATGGATCATGAAATAAAAATATGGAATAAAAATCTATCATTAGAATATTAATTTAGATGTCTTGATGGTTTGGCATCATCTTTATGTGGTTTATCAACTAAACCTTAATTTATAGCTGGTTTTGATAATGGTTATATTAGAGTATTTGAATTATAAACTTATACTGTTATTTTAGAAATAGATACAAAACATCCAATTCTAGCTTTGAGTGGAAATTTAAATGATACTTTATTTCTAATAACTCATGAAAACGAGACACTTATACTTAATAATAAATTATTAATTATTAAGTAACATCAACATCAAATTAAATATAATTAAAATAATTAATAAATTGCATTTAATGGATTTTTTAATGAATTTTATTATATTGCTACTAGTTCTCATATTAAATTATACTCTTGTGATCATTTAGCAGAAAAATATCATTTGAATATACCAATAAGTTCTATTGATTGTAATGATGAGCATCTTCATATTGTAAGTAATGGTAATATCAAAAGATTTGATAAATAATTAAATTTTCTATAAGAATTAATATCTAATAGTGTTTATATTAAAAGTTGTAATAATTATGTTTTTAATGCAAATAACAAAGATTAATTGGTTGTATATGATTATTTATTTACAAGTGATGAGACTGGGAATCCTATTAAATAAGTATATTAATAAAAGGTTAAAAAATTAGTAATTTCATCATAAATAATTAGTTATGTTGATGATTTCATTTTTATATGGGATACAAATGGTTTACATTAAACAATGCTAACTCATCCAATAGATAAACCTTATATAAATTAATTAATTGATGTTATATAAGAAACAATGAGTCCACAAAAATAAAAATTAGAAAAAGAAAAAACAATAAAATAAGGAAAAGAAAATAAAAAAAATAATTAATAAAAATAATAATAATAATAACAATAATAATAATAATAATAATAATAATAACAATAATAATAATAAATAAGTCCAAAATCATCTCCTAAAGCTGTTATTCCTAATCAACATTTAAATATTTAAAATCAAAATAAATAATTAATAATTGATGAATAATAATTACCAAAATTAAAAATCAAAAAAGTTATAGGTTATAGATTTAGCGACGTATACATTTAATAATTTCCATGGAATAAGGAAGAATAATTTTATGTTTTACCATCAGAATAATTTATTTCAATCAATTACTATACTTAACATAAATAATAGTTAATATTAACTACATAAATATAAGCCATTCATTATAGCATTAAAGGAATAATCGTATTACTTAAATAATAAGTCCTAGTATTTGATTTAAAAATGGATTTAATAAAATAATTTGATTTTGCTGGATAATTAAACTGTTCTACTGTATCTCCATGTGGAAATTATTTATTAATGATAAATGAAAATAGAATTTAAATATATATATTAAGTAGTGGTAAGATTCTGACTTAAACAATAATACATTATGGAAATGGTAATATTTATACAGATTGGTGTCATGATTAAGATTTAATGTTTGTTACTCTTAGTGGAATCTAAAATTAATTATGGAGAGTCAATTAAAAAGCATTATTAGAATACTGTGATTTAGATATACAACCAACTTATTATTAAAGTAGTGGATATTATAAATAATCTTTGGTAGTTTCATAAGGATAAAAGATTCATCACATTGATATTAAATAAGCTCGTACTCTTTTAACAATTGAAAATGCCACATCTCAAGATATCACTTAAGTAGTATGTACTAAAGAATATGTTCTATTATTTACAAATTCACCAAACATATATATTTACACATATCAATTTAATGATAAATAAATTATATCTTTAGATAGTATTCCATTAGGATATTCAAACATATTTTAATAGGATATAATAGTTGCAACTAGATCTTAGATATGGTTTGTGGATATTCAATCAAGAACAACAGTTAAAATTGAACCTAACATTCCATTAGAACATAAAATTCTTTGTACTCATTAAGATATGCTGGGTACTTCAGAAGGAACCATAATGATTAATAATGATGAAATTTTAGTTCCAAAAAGATAGTGTTAATAAATTTAACATTATAAGAATTGTATAATAGCTGGATATTCTGATGGTTATTGTAGAATATTTAAAGATTTTTAATTGATAGGTTAAATTTAAGTTGGAAAGAATGTGACTGCTTTGGTAGCAAATTCTAAAAATTATTTTGTTGTTGGTAATGAATTAGGGTAATTGTTTTATTGTACTGGTTTAAATGAAATAAAAATGCATGAAATAATTAAAGAGAGAGGAGAGTTTGCAATTATTTCTATTGATATTAAGGATAAGTTAATTGCTTATAGTACTGGAAATTAAAAGGTTTCCATATTACATTATAAAGAAAAAGAAGAGTTTATCATAAAGAAAGCTACATAGATAATTGATGATAATCCTGAATATTATTTAATGGATAGTTATAGATTTAGATCAATTGAATAATGCTAAATATAATTTAGTAAAACTAATCAAGAATAAATTATAATGATGTGTTCTTAAATAGTAATCAGAAATTATATTGAACATTTAAATATTATAACAATAGAATGTAATGGTATATCGTTTATGCAATTTAATTAATATTTAATAGTTGGTCGAAAAGATGGTACTGTTAGTATGTATGATAATGAAATAGAATTAGATAAAGTTCTTATATCCTAGTTTCCTATTCACATGATGCAAAATGACAAAATTGCATATGGAAATATGATTAGTGAATTAATATAATGATCTATATACTTCAATGATTAATTAATTCAACATCATTTTGTATTAACACTTTGTCAAACTCTGATTAAATATCTTATCCTGGTAAAGTTGAAGGACTTTTCCATAATGATGCATGCACAATTACAATTAAACATCCAAGACCCACATAAGTTAATATATGAGGACCTGAAATAGCCAAAATTAGTAAAATATTAACTAAATTTAATGTTATTCATGTTACATAGAAGTAAAAGTATCATTTTTTTATCTTAAGTATTAACAAATCCTAAATCAGGTAGGTAATCTAAAATCGAACTTTATTTCATTATATATGCCCATCTTCATTTTAATAAAATTATAATACCCTAAATAACTAAGAAAGAGTGTTAACAAAACTGCAAAGTTAGTAAGTCTAGAATATTAATTTATAATACCCTCCAATTGCAATTGCTACTACAACCAATTAAGTATATCTAACACCATAAAGAGAAAAGTTTTCTTATATTCTTAATGATAAAGAATCACTTTTAGGTAAATTATAGGCTGACAAATCTAATATTCCTGGTTGTGTTTGCATTAATTAAATCAATTTTTTTATTTATTTTATAAATATTACAACAATCCATGTTTCCATGTACCAATGATATGAGTTTAGATAGTCACTTTACGTAAAGATTGTTGAGCAACTTCTTCAGGTGTGCAAATGAATAACTTAGTTTTGAAATTAACATATTTTTTGTTTTAATCTAAAAGATTTGTAGCAATAGGTCCTGGAGTGACAAGTCTAACATCAATTTTTGGTGATAGTTCAATTGCCAATGATCTAGCTAAATTTCCAATATAGGCTTTAGTAGAAGATTGTATAGCACATCCACTATGGGGACTTTCTCCTGTTTCTGAACCTACAAACAATATTAAAGATTTTTTGTTTCTCTATTTCATGTTTGGTACTAAAATTTAACTTAAATAAGTGCAAGCATTAATATTAACATTTATTAAAGTACTAGTTTTTTATTCTTATTCAAATGGATGCATTTCAAAAGTTCCAACATTATTTATCAAAATAGCAATTTCACCTATTCTGACTATATTTTAATGTAATTCTTTGTAAGCATTTTCACTACATGTATCAAAATCAAATTAAATTGTTTCCATCTACACATTATATTAATTTTGGATCAACTATTTAGTCTAATCTAATTTTTCTTATGTTCGTCCTATAATAATTATATTGTATCCCATTTTTGCTAACTCTATTGCATAAGCTTTTCCAAGACCATCACCTCCTCCTGTTACTAATGCCCATCCATTTCCATATTATCTTCTTAAATTAGAATTCCATAATAAATGAACAGCTATCGATTAAACTTTTGGCAATATTGTCTAAACAAACCTATATGTACCATCTAATATAATTATGTATATATATACATAGCCATATTATCTTTTAAGGTATTCCTGATTGAAATATTTTTAATGATTTAACTTTGTCTATATACTTTAAAATCCCTTAAAATTACATAAATATTAATTATTATGAAAACTAATTCTGATATTAAATCCATCTATGATATTGTCAAAGGATTAAACTTTTCTAATAAATAAGCATTAACACTAAAAAAAGAAGTTTTATAGTAATTAGAATAGAAATTTAGAAAAACTATTGAATTTAGAATTAAATCTTAATCAATGCATGCTATTCACTCAATTCATACAGGTTCTGTTTCAACATAAAGACACAGACAACTATCTTTCAAAATAACTCGATAAAAACCATAAATGCTTTTTAGAAATCAATCATTAGTATCTCTATTAAAAAAAACAAACAATATGTGAATACCAGTTTCTTGATATGTTAATTTTTGACTATTGAATTAAATAATATTAATCATTTAAATCACCTAAAATTAACTTGAGCAGATTAATCCTAAATATAACCTATTATTATATTAAAGTTTATCTTGTTTCCAAAATTATGAATATATTTTTAATATATAGATATTACTTCTTGGAGATCCATTTGAACTATTTTTCTAGATAAAATATTAAGTAAATAATATTTCAGTTAATTATTTAAAAATTATAGATTTTTATAATTAATTTGATCTAATATATTGATTGAATATAATGTAATCATTAATTTTTATGTTTTTATTTTATTTAATGTTAATCAACAATATCGTTCAAATGAGATTGGATTCAGAAAAAAAACTTACAATTTTTAAGATTAACTAAAAGTTTAGTCATATTATTTAAATAAATTCTACAATTAAATGATTAAACTTTATGATTATATGAATTTTCTATTGATATTAATATAATTTAATGAATGGAAGTTTAATATTTGTTATTTTATTTAAATATAAAAATAATAGGCTGAATTACTATTTTATTATTCTATAGTATAATAATTCAAATATTTATGTCAATTTATATAAATTGATAATTAGGATTATTTTAACTAAATACTCTTAACTCTCAATTATACATCAACAATAATATTTACAGAAAATATATTTTGATTTTAATATTATTTTTTTGATTAGATTTACTAACTTAATCTTTAATTTATTTTTCCTTGAGGAGTAAATAAATTTATTAAAAATATATAGATTCAAACTTACTTTTTAAAAATCACTAAGTATCAAAATTTTTCAATTTGTTGATAATTATCATAATTATTAAAAATTATCCTAACAAAATATATCAAGAATAGTATTAATAAATATTAATAATTTTAAGAAATGAGTCTTTTAGTGAATTATTTAAAATAGATAGATTTTTTTGGAGCTCCCTTAGTTTAACAAATTGACAAGGAACAATCCATTTATAAAAGTATATTTGGTGGAGTAATGACATTACTAATTTGTTCAGCTAGTCTTTCGTATGCCATCTGGGTTATCTATTTATGGTAAATAAACTAATTTAGTCCAAAAATTTCAAGTTCTGTTTATGTTTCAAACTTTGAATTATTGGATCTAAATTATGATGTTGTCAAAATTTGTTATTACAAATATGAAGAAAATTTAATTGATCCCTTTGAAGCTAAAGTGCTTCTTCCTTTAATAATTTATACAGAAAACTATACATTTACTGAAACTAAAGTATTAAACTTATCTGACTAAACATCATATTACGGAAATAGATTTGTAATTCCATAAATGAAATTAGGATTCACAGATGTAAATGGTTAATTGATAACAACATCAGAAATGTATATATAGATAGTTAAATGTACACCTGAACTATTATAAGAAGGAGAATAATGTGCAACAGAGGAAATCAGTAATTAATTTTTTAATCAAGCACAGAATATTATTATCATGTAAGTATAATACAAATAGTTAAATTCCAAAGATGGATCAATTTAGTCTAGTATATAAGAATTTTTTGTTTAAGTAGAAAAACTTAATTGTTATACTTTGAATACATTTTTATAAAGTAGTTTTTATGAAGTAAAAGATTCATTTCTTTTTGGATCTCCAAAATATTTTGAATTTGTTAATGGAGCTTTAATATAACCATAAACAAATTCAATTTAATATTGTTAATAAGCATATGGGGATGAAACATATGCATCTTTATATGTGGTTATGAAAGGAAATCAAGTAAAAACTATTTTTGAATATCCAAATGCAGGTGATTTACTTGCTAATATTGGATCAATTGTTTCAATTTTATTTATGGTTAGACATATTATAGTAATATTCAATTCCTATTATTTAAATGAAAAAATAGTACATGACTTAATTACTTATTATTATCCGCAATTTCCTTAGATTAAGATATACAAAAATTGGAAAAGAGATATTATTAAAGTTGTTCTTCATAATTAATAAATTGATTTAAATGAATACTTAAAGTTTTATGAAAACATAAAATAAAAAATAGAACAAAAACTAACCTTTGTTAATATTATCTATGAAATATCTAGAATCTATATTTTGATACGTGCAGATAAATTATAAAATGAGATTAAAAAATGTCATTCAGTTGGATTAAAACTTGATCATCTCAAATTATCTAGTGTTGTAATTGATCCATTTTCTAAATCCAGTTGCACTTCTAGAGAAATAGAGGAACAAACACTTAATGATGAAGATATTGGAATTCTTTCTTTATAAGAACGATAAAATTAATCTAAAATCTAAATACCTGATGAAGAGGCTGATTTGATCAATTTTTATGACATAAATAAAATTAAATCTTGATATAATTATGATTTAATAAATTAAAACATATTACAAAATTTCTTATACAGTTTTACAGTCTTATTTAATATTATTTAAATTTAATAGACAATTTTTTAAGTAGTCATATATTATAAATTTATACTTAAAATAATAATTATTGATATCTGAAATAATATAAAAACATAATATAGTATTTATAATTTATTGAAAATACATTTATTATATAAGTAAATGTAAAATCTATTTTTTGGCTCTCATTTTAAACTTAATAGATTGAGACTATTTTCAATGGCATGTTAATAAAGCGTAAAGAAAAGATTTGGGAATTGTTTACTCCAGTAATCAAAGCAAGTTTCATCGGTTGGTCCTAAAAGTAATTTACAATCTTCTGTAAGTTAATGATAATGATTTTTTGTATTACGGATAAGCTATCTTAATATATTAATGATACTCTAATTAGTTATTAAGCTTATGTTTGATCATATCCTCTAATTTAACATTTTAGTATCATTCCACATCTTGTTCCCCAATTATCTTTAAAAACTGAATTTGTTATAAATCTTTCATGTATTGAAACTTGATCATTTGGTAAAGGGTATGTTTCTACATAATCACTAAATTCACAAATGAAAGATAGCTTTTTTTATTTGGTCCAAAAGTATGGATGTGTAAAAATACTTTAAGGATTTGTTATTGATTAATCTAAAATAAGTTTTAACAATAAATCCTTGGTTTCCAATTCTTTTATATTAAATTTTTTGAATCTTTCTATAAGAAATTTCATATCAATTACTTATCTAAAAATATTTAGTTGCATTACTTTTATGAAATATCATCACCTTTAGATAACAAGAAATAAAAAATCAGACCTAATTACTATAAAGGTGTATAATTAATTTTCTTGATTACTTTTTTATCATTAAGATTTTCTTAATAATAATCTGTTAATGTTGATAGTCCAAAATCTGCTAATTTTATCTTTAAATCTTAACTGAATAAAACATTATCAGGAGTTATACCATGATGTTAAGTATTATTTTCTATCAAAGTCTATATAGCATTCAAAAGATCTAAGAAAACTTCCTTATAAAATTCTGGATTTTAAAGTATTTATTTAATATTAATTTTTTAAGTTTCATTTACTTTTGAACATGATTCATATTTTATAAATTCTCTTAGATTTATTATACATTTTTCCATAGCCAAATATAGATAATCATTTCTTTTCTCAAAAAAAAATAATTTATTTATTTAAGGAGAATTTAAAAGCATTTATTTAGATATTGATTCTTCAAGTAATTTCTCTAAATATTTATTTTATAGATTCTTTAGATTAATTTCTTTGACTGCTACTATTTTTCCTTGAAATATACCTTCATATACATAAGTTCCATTGATTCCAACTCCAAGAATTCGTTCTTTATTAATTTATATTTCCTTAGACTTTATGTATATATATTAAACTTATGGTTCTTTAACAATAACAACCTCTTTAGGTTTTTATTTTTTAGATGAAAGCAAAGGTATGTAGGCTATTACCATTGATAACAATAATATAGTTAAAAATTGATTAGTGTAATTTTCAACTACCTAACATTATTCCACTTTTTCTGATGTTTTTTCTTATTAATATAGAACAACTTAAGTTTAAAATTTAATCTTTTAGAATTAATTCAAACATTGTTTAAATAGAGTATTTTTATAGACTCCTAAAGCATGAGAACTGGAATTAGAATCCTATTAGCATTGTCCTTCTATTTCACATTGATAATGATTATTAACAATAGACATTACTGTTAAACCAGTATTTTTAGTATGATCTTTAGAAAATACTATTGAATATAATCCTTCATCTGGTGTATATTCAAATATTTCAAATACATCATCATCTAAATAGAGATCAAGTGTTTTATTAGACCATTGAATTTAGATTCCAGTATTAGTTTTATAAATGATAGTAGAATTAGAATATTTTGCTTAAGTTAAATCTCCACGTAAGTATTTAAGTAAAAAATTAATTTATATTCTAGAATTATGTTGTTGAGAATCTTCATACTCTAAATCTGAAATAAACTTCTATTTAACATGAATTAACACTCCTTTTTCATACATTTTTGGTTAACTTAAGAGCTATTAAATATCATATTGAGTCAATTCTTTTATATTTCCTGTAGCAATATCTAAAAAATACATTAATTCATTATTATAGGTAAGTGAATTTTAAAACATACTACAAGTCTTAAATAATATATCTAAATCTTCTGAAGGTATTTCCTAATATAGATGTTCTTATTACATAAAATCCATCATCATAAAATAGAAATGAACCATCTTTATATGGTTTCATAAAGTAAGTTCCATTCTATATACCATCTGATTAGAGTGATATACCTAGTTCTGATCTCCATCTTATTTGTTGATACTTTAAGTCATATTTGTAAATTAACCCATTCTTAGTAACAATCTAATGTATAACATTTATAATACTAACAACTTATCTTATAACAAAGTATCGTATTTGCTATATAATTTAACATCTCCACAGATGATAATTCCCATACATAGAAAAAAAACAAGCATAAAAATATATATTATAAAATAATAATGTTTATTCATAAAAATTTCATACCTCCCACTTGCTCAATAACAACATCAATTTCATCTCCAGTCTCCATTCCAATCTAATTAATATTATATAATTCAAACATCAGCAGGGGTTTGAGTCTCTAAAATTCTTTCTCCATCAAATAAGAATCTCACATTTTAGATTTGAAGCTAAAATATTTAGTTCATAATTACATTTTGTCTTGAACAATAAGCATCCATCAATTTCTTGAATTGAGTTTATTTCTTTATTTTAAAGAAAACCTCTTCTCCATCTTAAGATTTAACTTTTAAGTTCAAATATTCAGCTTATGATTGATCTGCCATGTTTTTTTAATTTAATTAATTATTTATACAATCTCACTCATTTTTGGTAATATTCTAATATAAATTCTTAGTTTTAATATTAAACATAAACAATAAACAAAATATCTGTTATCAAAAGAACTTTCATCATTTCATTGTCGAATCAATCAAAGTTTTTAGAATTTATTAAAAATTATTAATCTATTTACGATCGGGTGAACCCTATTTATTTCAAAATTTATATTACTTCATCATTTTCTTTTATATGAAATTACTGAACCTTATCATTATACTATTACATTTCTTCATACACTTCCTTAAAAATTGTATTTCTTCTATTGTTTATACATATAAAGGCTTCAAACAATTTAAAATAACACTCTAAGTAAATAATAAATAATTATTCATACATTTAAATATCTAATTTATAGCAGGTGTATTTATTATCCATAAATTAAACAAATGATTTACTTCACCTACACTGTAATTATGTACTATACAGTCATAATTCATAGGTTGAGAACTCCAAACGAATGAATCATCATTTGTACTTTATGTCATTGTTTCACTATTATCTGCTAGAATACATAAACAAAAACAGTTTACTGTTTTCAATCATATTTTAGAGTCTCTTTGGACTTAGAGTTAAATCATCTATCATAATTAGGATGAAATGAGATTGTTAAGTTGTCTTTAAAATTTAATTTCCTCCAAAGCAATCAAATGTAAATTAAGAATTCATAATAAAACCTTCAATAGTTTCAGTTTCTTATACATAGGTCCTTCTTTTTTATTATTTTTCCATTTTTGCAATTTTCTAATTAAATAATGATATCTATTAAATACATTTATATAATCTTATTCAGAATCTGCATGTACTCCTCCACTTCTCATTCTTCTTAAACTCATTTTTTAAAAACTAAATTTGTTTATTTCTTTTTATTTATTTATTTAAAAAAAAACACAATCATTTAATCATATAAATATTTAATCAACTTAAATAATAACAATTATAACGATTCATATTGTAAATTAGACTTCATTATACAACTCAATATAAAAAAACTAAATTTAAGACAATTGTTATTTTTAATATGAAACCTTTATTTTAATATATATTAATAAAGTTTTAAATGCAATATTTTGATTAGTTTATGTTTCAAAATTTTAATTAATTAATAAAATATTTGAATTTATGTAATAAAAACCTTAAGAGATTTTTATTACATAAATTATTCATTTAATCAATAAACCTTAATAAGAATTACTTATATTTAATAAGATAATATTTAGAGTAAGAATTAATTATTAAACTTTAATTTAATTTTTATGAAACTAAAATGTTTAACAAAGTTTCATAAATGTAGAAATTTAAATTATTACATTTAAATAAATTAATATACTTTATTAAATTAAATCATAAATAGAAATTTGAATTTTCTCTATTCCTTTATATTATTGGTTAGCTTCCACTATTTGGTTAGCTTCCACTAATGGATTAGCTTATGATAATTGATTAGGTTGCACTAATACTAGAATTTATAAGGCTCTTTTGTTACTATAACCTTATAATAGGTATTTCTAATTCATTATTATTATCTTCATTTTTATTTTATAATTTTTTTATTTTAGATAATTCTAAATTTTATGATGATCTTGCTTATCTTTTCATATAATTAAGTAGAGTATCTTTAGAAACCTTCATTGTAAACATTAATAAATCAAGAATAAACATAGATAATACAGATAATGCAAGACTTAAATAAAATGCAGGACTGGAAAATAACATCCTAGTAGTACCATAGATTGATGATTGAGGAATAATATTTGAAACCCACATATATGCAAAATATGTGCCTAAACTTGTTCCAAGATAAGCAATCCAAGTTATTATTGTCCAAAATTAAGTATTCAAGGCTAATTTCAAAGTGACAAGCTGATGATAAAGAATTAGTTTACAATCATGATAGCAGTCGACATTGACATACTGAAAAACCAAAAATCATTATTTAAACCAGTGTGTTTGATAAATGTTGTATCATTTAATTCGAAATAAAAAGAAAAAAAGCAAGCTAATCCTTAAAAGACACCTATAAAAAACCATTTAAAGAATCTAATTAATAATATGTTGTTTACTTTTCACTTGTAAATACTGTATTTCTTTATCCTATATAATATAATAGAGGATAATTTTATCTAAGAATATCATTTTCTTCTTCCCCTTCTTTAATTCTTCTACTACCTAAAATAGTTTATTTTCTTTTAGATGTATAAAAAACATCTTCATCAAAGATTGCTCTTATAACAACAGGCAAGAATGTAAATACTGTATTGTAAAAGGATACAAAACTATATATAAATATAAATATTTACAATTAATCAAAGACACTTGTTCCAGTATTTCCACAAAAGAATGCAAAATAAAATTATGGAATAGTAAATATAATGTTTTTGTAGAAGAAGTACAAGATCATTTCAGAAATACGTATATAATTCTATCTTCCATGATATAACACTAATTTCCAAAGACATTTAAATTATCCAATTGCATAATTACTAGCTTAGACTGCTCTCATACCTTCTTATCCATATATACCTATTCCAATATGTGCTTCTTAAATCATATTTACATCATTTGCACCATCTCCAATAGCTAATGTAATTTTACCAAGTGAATTTTTCACTAATCTTACCATATCAGCTTTTTATTTAGGAGTAACTCTACAACAGATTACTGTATGTAAAAATGGTACTAAAGTAATTAAATAATTAGTTAATTTCTCATCATCAATTAAAGTTGCTAATACTATCCCTTCAATTATAATAGCTCGTTTAGTTGATTATTTATTAATAATATGATCAGCAACATCATTAAATATTTTTATTGATTCACATCCTGGTGTTAAAAAGAATACATCCATATTTTCTTATAATAGATTACAAGATCTACCAATATTTTCTGCAGTTTCTAATTTATCTCCAGTTAACATCCAAACATTTATATTTGCTTTTAAAAAATCAGCTAAGGTTTCTGGAACATCATCTTATAATTTGTCTTCTACTGCTGTTGCTCCTATTAGTGTTAAATCTTTTTCAATTTAATTGATAAGCTCATTTTAAAGTTTTTCTGTTTCTCCACTTCCTAAAGCATCATTCATACTTCTTGAAAATTAATTAAATTATTCTTCACTAAGTACACGCATGGCTAAACACAATGTTCTAAGTCCTTTTCTTGAAAACATATCAAGTTTTTAATCTATTCCATCTAAAAATTTTTAATTTGGAGATAATCTAGCCTTTATTATTGCATCTGCTCCTTTAGTATATAATTTTATAATTCCATTATGTTTGACAATAACAGACATTCTTTTTCTATCACTATTAAATTCAAATGAAAATAAAAGCTCAACTTTTTCAATTTAACCAAGTACATCAATTTCCATTATACCCATTGTTATACCTTTATATATAACATTAAGTCTTCTAGCAGCATCAACCAAAGCTATCTCATCTGGAGAAGGACCTTAATATATAAATGTTCCATCTTCTTAGTATTCTAAAACACATTCATGACATGTAGCTAAAAGCATTAAATTTTCTCTAACTAAGTCACCTTAATTATGAATGACATATTTATCAATCATTAAATCTAAAATAGGATTTTTTTAAGGATCTTTTTCTGTAATAATTTACTAGATTTTATCTCCTGAAAATGCATATTCGATACCAGCCTTCTCATTCACTAAAGTTGATCTTCTTCTATGTAAAGTACTTTATCTCCTTAGAATTTAATTTCCAACAAATGTTGTTATTTCTTATTTACTAAACATTGTTATATCACCATATATGGAATCTCCACAAACACATAATTTGAATTCCATTTTATTACATGTTAGAGTTCCTGTTTTATCAGAAAATATATATTAAACTTAACCAAGTTCTTCATTAATTGTTGTACTAAACACTTTTACATATTTATCATTTTCAGCTGAATACATTTCTGTATCTTTTTACATAAAGAATCCTTATCCAACTTTAACAAATTCTAAAGAGACAATTAAACTGATTGGAATTAATGTATTTAATAGTAAAAAATAAGCAGCAAAAGTCATTAAAGATGCCAATGCACAATTAGGGATATCTGGATCATAAATTTCATTTTATTCATTATAAGATTGATATCCTGCAAAATTTCTACTAAAATAACTAAAATTTTAACTCTAAATTTAACAATTGATACCATAAACAATTGCTAAAACAATACAAATAATAGCTTGCATAATTAAAATATAAATAATCCTTAGATTAATAAGTTTATCTATATTACTAACTTTATTCTTTTAACCTTCTGAATTTCTCATAATTTTAGTATCAATTCCAGTGTAAACAACAACTCCAATTGCTTATTTCACATTTTTTAATTTGGATCCTCTTAATAAGAAATTTTTATGAGTGATCTAAATCTTTTTTGAATCTAAATATAAAGTACCATCAAATGTATAAAGAAGTGGATTTGGATTTATACATTCAATGATACCTGATCTACATTCAATTGTTTAAGTTTCTTTTATTGCCTATTTAGGTTTTAGATTCTTTTCTCCATCAAGAGAAGATGTTTCTATAAAACAATTACCATCTTATGATGTTTATAAAACAACAATGTCTGCTGATATAATTTCTAATTCATCAATTCTAATAATATCTCCTATAAGCACATCTTTCCATGTTTTTTTTACAAACCCTTTTTCTGTCCATATTATTGCAGGAGATGAATTCAATTCATTATCACTTATATGCTTTTAATAATCCTCATATCCATCCCTTAACATTGATAACGATACAACAAAAATTAAAGGTGCAATTGAGGAGACTGGACTAAAAGGTGATATAGATTTAAAAAAGGATAATACTGCTATGATTAGAAAATAAATATTAGCCATTCTCTAGAATTACAATGCTAATGAATATGGAAGAAATGTAATTATATTGTACCTTATTAAATCATAAAGAATACCTGCTAGTTTTAATGAAATTAGTTGGAAAGCGATATTATTTGTTTTAAACTTGTTCTTGTACTCCGAAATAGAGTTTTCGTTCCATTTTTATATATTATTTAAAAAATATTCCATAAATTCACATTCTAAAAACCCCATGACCTGTTCTTTCGTACTTATAATGTTACATACTAGTTAAAAGTGCCAATCCTAATGTTTATCTGGTCTAAGTTGGTAAAATGATTCCATCATCCCATAACCGAGCTGTTGCATAATAAGCACTAGATTCATTATCATATTTTTATGAATATTTTTATTTTAAATCTTTTTCAACCTTTTCATTCCACTCCCCCCCATTTCTCACAATAGTTTATTATTATACAGATGTTAAAACTCCAGCTGCCTAAAAAGAATAAATACAATTATTATACTTAATCACCTCCCATAACGGATATTCTACTACTTGGCCATGAAAATAAGAATTTAGCTCCATAAGCTCTTCCACACATACCATAGTTACCAGCTCCAAAACTTCCACCAAAAAGTAAAGTCAATTTAGGAACAGTTGCAGTAGCTACAGCATTAACCATTTTAGCTCCATGTTTAGCTATGCCTTCTGTCTCATATTTTCTACCAACCATAAATCCTGTAATATTTTATAAGAAAATCAAAGGAACTCCTCTTTATTAACATAAACTAACAAAGTGTGCTCCTTTTAAGGCTGATTCACTGAACAAGATTCCATTATTTGCAATAATTCCTACTTCTTAACCATACAATTCACCAAATCCTGTAATAAGAGTAGTACCATAGTTTTCCTTAAATTCCATAAATCTAGATCCATCTAAAATACGTGCAATAAGATGTCGACTGTCCATTGATTTTTTTAGATCACTACTCATCAAATAATTTAAATCTTCTATATCATAGATTGGTTAATCATCTCTAATATTACCTATTTATTTAGTTGTTAAATTCTTAATAATAGATCTTCCTTTTTATAAAGCTTCTAATTCAGAAGTGCAAAAATGATCAGTCAATCCACTAGTAAAACAATGCACTCTTGCTCCTCCTAAGTCTTCTGCAGTTACTATTTCTCCAGTGGCTGCTTTCACTAAAGGAGGGCCTCCTAAAAAGATAGTTCCATTTCCACTTACAATGACATTCTCATCACTCATAGCAGGGACACTAAATTAATAAACAGATCATATTACTAAGCACCTCCAGCTGTACATGAACCTAATACTATACTAATTTAAGGAATGCCTTGAGCAGACATATTGGCTTGATTATAAAAGATTCTTCCAAAATGATCTCTGTCAGGAAACACTTCATCTTATCGCATTAAACTTATGTTATATATCTATATTTACTTGGCACCACCAGAATCTACTAAATAGACACATGGCAATTTATTTTCCCAAGCAATTTCTTAGGCTCTTACATGCTTCTTTACTGTAATTGGATAATATGTTCCTCCCTTTATTGTAGGATCATTAGCCACTATCATACAGAATCTTTTATTTATTAATCCTATGCCAGTTACGATTCCTAAAATTTTAATATACTTAACCTCCACTTGGTACTTCTTCTTTTTCATATAATTCATATCCTGCTAATTAAGATAATTCCAAGAATGGAGATCCTACATCCAATAATCTAGTGATTCTTTCTCTAACAGGAAACTTAAAATCAATAATGATTTCTACTTTGTTTCTTTCTGCCAATTTTTGATGAGCCACTGTACCACCATAATTGATTACTTTGTTTGTTATACTAAGAAATCTCTCATTGCTTTGTTTCATCAATTCGAAATTAGCTTACAAGTTGGGATCAGCTCTATCACATAAGGATTGAAGAACAGGATAATGTGAAAATCGGAATAAGGATCTATAATGCATCATTTTTATTATGTAATTAAAAATAATCATGGACTAAAACATTTAATAATAAGAATTCAATCAAGAATGATACTTATTAATAATCAATCTTGAAATCCTAATGATTTCGTCTATCAAGTTTAATATTTAATTAAGTTAATTATTTGTATTTTAAATTGTAAAACATATATATTACTGATGAGTCTATTCAAAATGATGTTCATTAAAGTAATTTATATATATTTTGAATGATAATTAATATTTTATATAATCGTTATGAATGGAAGAAATATGCCAATAAGACATCATTATGAATATTCTCCTCAAGTTTAATATAGGAGTCTCGCATCCCTAAAAATAATAACTCCATTTTGCATAGTATTAGCATTGTGTAGTATTGTAATTGGATTCGTCTGGTACTCCTTTAATGGTCTGACTGAATATTTATTAGTAGGAATCAATAATGTATATTCTTTCTTTAATTAAAGATAGCAATTTTATTCACTTGTATATTTTCTCTTTACTGGAGTTTTACTTCTAAATATGTTGTCAATGAAGGGATTGATTAACCAGAAGTATATCCCAAATCCAGTTTACCATACCTTCATTCCTTATTTACTTAATTGGTTTGTGCAATTGAAGGTGGGTTAGTGTTGAGTTTGATTGAATATGATTCTTACAATCAATTTTTATTAGTTTTGCCAATCTAAATACTTGAAATATTTCTATTATTATATATGGCAAATGTGAGTAGATAATTCAATATTAGAGATTATGGTATTCAAAGATTAATTGTATATGGAACTTCTGTTGTAAATCTATTATTTTTAATATTTGCATCATTCAGTCTTAAATAAGTAACCCTATTAAATCTATTTTAGGTTATATTATAAATAAACTCATAATTATATTAAATTTCACCTACTAACATAGAAATAACTCTTGTAAAAGTAGTATTGTTTGTATTATTTATCACAACATTGATAATTTCAATGTTTAATTTAAAAAGAATCAAAATTTATTTTGTAACACTAGCATTTTTGATATTATGTATATGTATTTTAGCATGTTGTATTAATGGTTTACTTGTAAGAAGAGTACAAGTTTTGAAAGTTGAACTTTCAACAAAGAAAGGTTGTAAGTTTGCAATGTAATCAATATCAGAGAAGAGTTTAAATGATTAGATGGAATGTCCATAAAAATATTTTGATTTAGAATTATCACCTTATCTTCCATGTGAATAGGATATATAAAGTTATTAATGGGAAACTAATTAGAAAATTAATAAATTGGGATGTATCAATTTGAAATGTTGTAAGGCTGTTAAGCAATATGTATTTAATCAAATCAATAGTTTAACTATTTGGATTAATCTAATAGTAATGGTTGGAATTGTACAATCTTTTAATGCTGCTATGTTATCTGAAGGATCTTATAAGAAATTTAGAATGAATATAGTAGGAGATGCAATGATTTTTATTATTCTTGTACTCTTAGCAATTTTAGTTGTTGTAGCTTATAATATTACACCTGAATTATCTGTAAATGTACAACATTCACTTGTTAAGTATATTAATATAAAACAATAATATATAGATAGGAAACTATGTTGAATTAAATAACTGTATTGCCAACACCAGTTTACAAAAACTTTGACAAATAAGAAAAATTAGTTGGATTCTACAATCTACAAAGTTGTGAATCTATTTCTTCAATTATGATACCAAAGATTGTATTTAAATCTACAGAAAATTAAAAGGGGTAAAACTATAAAAATAATTAGAATTACTTTAGCCATTTCTGGAACAAATGGATAATTTGTTGCTTTAAAAGAGTATAATAGTGAAAACTTAAAAGTAATTATTGATGATGAAATAAATAAAACTATATTCTAATAAGAATTTTAACCTAATGATGGAATTATAATTAAAGGAGATATAGATGAAGTAGAGAAGTTTTATAATAATAATTTACATTATTGTTCAGATAATCCACTTAGTGCAGATTTTGATTTCATGATTGATCATTATGATCTACCTAAATAACATAATAGAATTTTAGAAACATTAACCAAAGAACAATAAAAAATTGGAGATCAAGCATTTAAATTTTTTAATGTTTAAATAACAATTGAAAATTCTGCTGATTTCTCACCTATTGCTGATGCTGTAACTTATTGATTATTATTATAGCTTATTGAAGTATATGAAGGTAAATTCTTATCATAATCTTGTTAAATCATTCGACAATTAGAAAACAATTTACATGCACTAAATACAGATGAGCAAGGAAATGCGTAGATCAATAATTTAAGTTAAGGATTCTCATACACAGTTTTAATCTATAAATCAGGTATAAATATAATAATATTATTTAAAGGATTTAAGAAATCATGTTCTGTTCTTGATCTTTAAAGAAGAGTACCTAAAACTAAATATATTTTCAGATTAACAAAGAGTATACCTAAACATTCAGTCCGAATATTATTAGAATGGACATCAAAGACTCTCAATCTTGATTTATATAGTGTATTTAAAGTAGGAGAACATTCTTGTTTAACTGGAGCTCTGTCTAAATCATGTGGAGGAATGTAATTGTCAACTATATCTAAAAATGATTAACATATAGAAGTGCTTGATATCTATCAATTAGAACCATAAACATATACAATATTTGTGAAAAGATTCTTGACAAGGAATGAAGCATTAGATCTTTTAAAGAATTCTATGATTAGTTAAGAATGGATTGATGCAGATCCTCATATTACAGTATACTTGAGTGAATTAAATTACCCATTAATTGATTTTAGATTGCCTTAAAGTATAAACTTAATTAATTTAGATATCAATATATAAATGGATAAATTAGATTTAACTTGGATGGTATTTAAAATTGATGGTCAATAATCAGATGCTCCACAAACTATATAAAAGATGGAATCTCTAATTACAAATGAAGATATAAAGTCAAACACTACATCCAATAAACCTTTCTGGCCAGAAATTTGATTTTGAACAAATATAAAATTATATTTTTATAAAAGAATAGATACATTTATAACAATATTATTTGTAGACTCAAAAATTAATTATATTATTAGCCATTTAAATTATTTTATATTTTTCATATATTATTATTTAAATTTGATCTTGGTGGAGCTTATGGTTATACCTTTTAAGGAACTGGCTAATATTATGGTTAATAAGCTGGAATCACTCTTGAAGAAATTATAGGAGAACTATATTATGGGGCATATGCAACAGGTAAAGTTTAGATTGGTTAAACTTGAACTGGTTATTAATAAACTTGAACAGGTTATTAAACAACTTAAACAGGTTATTAAACAACTTAAACAGGTTATTAAACAACTTGAACTGGTTATTAAACAACTTGAACTGGTTATTAGGCAACTTATTAATGAACTACTTATCTTTCGACTGGATAATATTCAACTCTTTCTTAATATCTATCTACTGGTACATATTCTTAAACATTATTTGATTATAAGTACCTGTGTATTTCTCCTAAAATACTTATGGGATATATTCCGTTTAGTATTCAACAGCATAATAATCAGTCACTTTTCTTTCTCTTGGAACATATTGTACTACTTCTTATTCTTCATATTCAGTTATGGCTTTCTAATAAGGAATATATTCTATTCTTGATTCTCCTTTGATTGTTGGCTATATAGTATTTAAGATTAATACATGAACTGATTATTGAACTGGTTAAGCTACGATTGGTTAAGCAACAACTGGTTAAGCTACATATGATTAAGCTAGTATTGGTTGTGGGGCAACAACTTATTAAACAACAGGTTAAACTGGACTAGCAATACTGTATGTCAAAGGAGCATTGATAGGTTGATATTAGAGAGGTGCAAGTGTCTAATAAGGTTAGTATGTTTAAGGTTATCCAAAGAGAGCTGGTTGTTATTAAACTTATGGAGGTGCTTATGTTGGTTTATTTGAGGGAACAGGAGGAGGTACCATTTCAATAGTTGAACTTTTAAAATTAAATAAAATTTATTGTTCTTATTTTTTTTTATGTGTTAAATTTATATACAACAACAAATCTGGTTGCTTTTGAAATTTTATATATTTAATTTTTATATATGAAAAGAAGATAAATACAAGTTGGAAGTCCATTTGATGAAGCATAAAGTATATTGGGAGATCCATTATGGTTAGTTAATTACGCAATTTAAGTACCAAACCAACCTTTCCAGGAGCCAGTTCAGTCTAATGCTTAAATAAATGTACCAACCATTCCAAAAGTCAAGGAATTAGCACCGATTCAAGAAATTGACTTTCGAGAAGCCTTGCTTCAAGTAATAATCTTCTTTCTTCAACAAGGAAATTGATAGCATTTAAAAAGATGAATAATAGGGTGCCCCTTTAGTTTAATAATAAGTGTTTCCAACATAAGAAAAAACTATTCCATAATAGCCTATTACTTAATAGAGTTAATCTAATTTGTAATAGAGTAGAGCACAGCAATTAATTTAATAGTCATAATAATTGATACAAAGAAGAAGATAGCCTAAATAATAAGATTAGCATTAGAAGTAATAAACAAATATAATATAAAAGCGATGTTAATTAGTAATAATTTAATACATCTTCTCATATTTAATAAACTAATTCTAATCAATAAGCTAAAGTTGAAGAGAATATTCAACAACCTGTAATTTAAACAATTCAAAAACAAGATCCATAAAAGGAATATCAATAATAATAATAATAATAATACTAATAGTATGAAATAAATTAACAATAATAACAATAAAATCAAGATAATTATTCACAACTTAAAGTTGATGTACCAAAAGATTAATTACAAAAATCTATAGATCCTCCAGTAAATAAAATAGATTCAAATCAAAATGAAAAATTAAAATAAACTTAAGTCTAAAGAACACGACAATAAGTTCCTCCTCCATAAAAAAAAGAAACTGAGTAATAATATAATGGTTAAGTTACTGAGTTTAGACAATAAATTCCATAATAAAATCAATAGATAATGATGATGAATACTTAGAATAATTAAAATCAATCAACTGTTATTACTGCTTAAACATTTTATCATGGGCTAGTAAGCTATGATATATGTAATTATGAATCATAATAAAATTAGAATCAAATTAACTTACTAAATTAAGATAGACCTCTATTGTGTCTTAATATCCTGGTCCATATTTTAAGAATAGAAACCCAGATAATTTAAGATAATTACGTTATTTTTGGTCCTCCTTCAATACTAATAATGCTTTGTTATAATTAGCTATTGATCATCTTGAAAGGCCTTTAGAAAAGAATAGTGCTTTATAGATTATAGAGTCTAAATTACTTAATGATTAAAGTGGCTAAGCATTTGTTGAAGTATATATTTATATAAGATAATTTAAGGCATATGAAAGAATATATAATTAAAATGATTGGGAAACTAAACTATTAGTAAGCATATTGGAAGGAGAATTCATAAATACTAAACAATAATAGAGTTTAATAGAATACATAAAAAAGAGATCATATCATGATGATTAAGAAGCTTGGTTAATTCGATTGGCAGTTTTACTTAAAATGATACCAATTGATCAAGAATATTATTCAGAATTGCTTATTTAATTATAACATTTATATTCAAGTGAATAAATTTAAGCTAGATTATTGTGGTTATTATTAAAGATGGAGATTTAGAATACTTAAATAGATGTATTTATATTGAGTTTTTTTACTAAATTGAATTACACTTTATGTCATTCTGAAATATAATTGTTAATTGGAGATTCTCATATGTGTTTCCATAATTAATAGAATGCTGAATTATATTATAAATTGAGTCTTCTATTTGTAGAATCAGAGAATTATGATAAAGCATTAGAATGTGTCAAATTCTCAATTGATTTAGGATATCATTCAAAGGCTAGAGATTTAAGGGATAGAATATTATAAGTTATAGAATTAAAAGAAAAAAATAAATCAAATAACAACAATAATTCAAATAGTGGTCTTCTAGGTTATTTTGGTTAAGCAGTAAATGCTGTCAAAAATATATAGAAATAACCTTAATAACAATAAGCTAACTATTAACCTTAACCTTAAAACTTTTATTATGATAAATAATTAAAAGCATATGTGATAAATGGTGTTCCATAAATAGCTCCTCCAGAAGAGGAATAAAAGAAGGAAGTAGTTGTAACAGCTCCTCCTCCTCCTAGAAGAAAGATTGATCCACCTAAGCCTATTGTTTATGAAGAATAATTAACATAATAAACATAAGAAATAGCAGAAGATCCTTTTGCATCTTAATAATAAGCTCATTAATCAGAACATAATAAGAAAAAGAATAGTTTATTGAGGAATAGATATGTATAATGAGTATAATATCATAATGCTGACAATTCTTAACCAGGACCTTCTTCTTTGTCAATTTAATATTATTTTATTAAAATTTTCTTGCTTTCTTCTAACTTTTCAGTTCTATCTTTGCATTTTTTATAACAAATGAATCCACCTATTAATAACCATGTCATAATAAAGATTATAATAAATGCAATAGCAAATAAAATAAGGTTAGCTTTTGAAATTATAGACACATCCTCAATTACTATTCTGAATACTTAATCTACTTTAGTTACTTCAAATGGAGATGATGAATTCTAAAAGAAACTTGCTACTAAATAGTATTCTTAAAACATTTCTTAGGATTCACATTCTATATGGGCAGGTATAATAGATAAATTAAGTAATCTAATTTATTTTTTTGATAAGGCAACAATAGAATTATTCCAAGATTTAAGTTATAATAGTTAAGGAAATTCAAAGTAATTTTTGCTAGTATATTTAATAAAATTAGAATAAATTGAATGTTGAATGATTTTATGAACTTCATAACCAATTAATACAGCATAATCTTCATATACTTTAACATCATAAAATTGCATATCATCAAAGAAATAATGATTAATATAATAAGAATTATCTGTAAAGTTTAAGAAGACTTCAACTGCATAATCTTATCTAGTAATTGATTCAGCTATAATAAAAAAAGTATTATTATAATGTCCAAAATCACTTCCCTTTAATATTGGTACTCTAAATTTAACCTTAAATTAATAATCACAAATATATAGTCCATGATTGTGATCCAATATAAATAAATCTATAATTAAATCATAAATCATAATACTTTCATCATCACCACTAATATCAACTGCATCTAAATGTTAATTTTCAATTCTTAATTATACATTTTCATGTTTAAGAATCCCATCCTTAAAAACATAAATATCAATTCCTTCATTTCCACAAGCCACATAAATCTTATCATTCTTAATAAAAGCATCATATATTATTGATCTTTTCTTAAAGGGTTCCTCATTAATAAAAAATACTGTTGAATCCAAAGGACTAAATAGTGAGATTTAATATTATACATCCAATCTGGTATACTAACACCTCCACCTTCTGAAATTATATAAACTCTTTTATTTATTGGATTCTATAAGAATATTGGATGACTAAGGGAAGTCTATTAAATTTTTATTTTTTTTTATTAAATGGTCTTAATAAATTGATTCTCAGATAAATTAATCTCTTGTAATGTAAAGTCATTTCTGATTATCAAAGCTCTATTTTATAAAACTATCAAATCAGTATAAAAGATTTTTTCATCAGCTGGTAATCCCATTCTCAATTTTTATTAGATAGGGAACGATTTCTATATAGCTTTACATCCAGATGTTCCATTTAGTTTGTTTTCCTCTTAAATCAATGTATCATAATCATTGTCTGTGTAGGAATAGACTCTATGATCAGAATCACTTCTTTTCCATAATAAGATTTAAAAGCAATTTGGGTCATCATATAATGTTTTGACTTAATTCATTATTGCAAAATGGGTTGTGGAATTCAATTTTTTTGTAAATATCTATGCTTCCTATTTAGATGCTTATACAGAATATAGTAATAATAAAATAAACATAATAATATTAAATGATAGAGTCTAAAAAATCAGAACTAAAAAATGATTTGAAGGAAACTAATTAATAGATATATGAATTAATAGAATAAGCAAATTAACAATTACAATAATTATTTAATAAAAGAGAAGAAGAATTATTGAAGTTATATAAATAAGAGATGCTTAATGTTTAAAGATAATTAGTTAAAATTAGAGATGAGGAAAGTTAAACAGAAATTGAGAAAAGAATTTAAAAACATAGAGAAGAATTAGCAAAAGAGAGAGAATTATATCTAGAGAGGAGTATAAAATTGAGTGAGAATATTAAAGAATTGGGTAAAATTGATCGTGATATTCGATAAAGTTTTAATGAATTATAAAGTGAAATCAAATTTTTAGATGAATAATTGATTTATGCTGATAAACATAATATAATATTACAAGAGGAATTAAATAGTTTAGGAGAGGAAGAATAGTAAATTCAGAGTTAAATAAGAAGATAACCGAAATCAATGTAACAATTATAATCAGTTCGTTTGATGCCTCTACCATAAATTAAAAGAAATTCTTATCATTTATAATAGGAATAAGAGTTGAATGCAAAATTAAAGTAGTAAATTAATTAAGTTGAAGAATTTTAAGAATCAGAATTAGAGAGATGTTTTGATGAAGCACTTATAACTGTAACAGAATAGAGTGATGCATCTACAAATATTGATTTAACATGTTGTAATGATTTTTCTGAATATTCTAAACGAAGAATTTTTGAAGATTTCTTAGAAAAACCATATGTAAAATAAAAAATATATGAATTATTAATAAATAAATGAATAAATATATAACATATATCAATATTCCAGAGGTTCGTGGTAAAATACCAAAGTGTTAGATTTGTTAAAAAGGCTTTTCAAAGGTGACAACAAGAGAACATATGTGTAAAAGGTAAATAATTAATTGATTTTATATACAAGATGTTTAAGAGTTGTATGTAGTAGTTGTTCTCCATTTAAAATTCAATTCGAGTTGAATAAAGGAAGAAGACTATGTAAGATATGTAAAGAAGTACATTTACACATTTACTTTTAAGGAATCAGATTAAATAAAATCTTTTGTAGATTCTAATCATATTTAATATGGTTTTGATACTCTATCAAAATAATGGCTTGGAAATGCATTTAATTCTTAGGAATATAAGTCTGTGAGAGATTCTACAAAAATAAAAATAGATTAGATGGAATTTGCTGGTTTAGATAATATAAATTATTCCTTAAAAGATTTTTATTCATTAGTTGGGAAAGATAATGTGAAATTGTAAAATGTTTGTATGACATTTTGTTCAAAGAATCCAGATATTAAATTAACAGCTGAGATGGTTTGTTTAACTAATTTCTTGCTTTGTTTTTCATCTGAAGCTTCTGCATTTTAATTATTAAATATAATATATAGATAAAAGCCACCAGAAGAGTGTTTAATAAGCATAGTAACATATTGTGTAAAAGGATTCAATTTACCTGAGAGTGAGATAATATTTTTAAGACAATTTTTAGAAGCAAGATTAAAGAGATATTTACTTACATTTTCAATTAATATGTTTAATTTTGATACTACTTTGTTTTTGATATCATAATTGATATAAAAATATGATAATTTTATTCGTGGATTATCAGCAATTTTTATGTTAGTTAGTCCAAATTTAAGATCATCAACACATGAAGATTTAGAAATTTATATTTTAAGAGAAATTAAAAAAAAAGATGTAGAAATTAAATATAAAACAATGAAATAACCTTAACCAAAATAAGATTCAGAAAATAAGGATCGTACTCAATCAATAATAAGTTTGGCTTTTTCAACTTTTGAATAATAAGATAATACTTAAGTTAATGATTTAAAAACAGAGATTTCAAATCTTAAATTATAATTATCATTAAAAGATAATGAAATTGAAAGTTATAAGTTTTAATTATCATAACTATAAATACCAGATTAATAAAAGAAAGATAAATTTTTATAATAAAAATGTGATGAAATTGCTATCTTATTATCTAAAATTGATGAATTAACACTTGAAAATTAATTATATTAAAAAAAAGAACGTACTAATTCAGATTTTTCATTAATGTATTCACAATCATAAAAAATTATAGAAGAAAAATAAAAATAAATTGATAGATTGAAAGCTAAAGTAAAAGAGGGTTCATTAGATAATAGAACTATGTCTTTATCATTAGCTGGTGGTGTTTAAAGTATTTTATCAGGAAAAGAAGTTTAAGAGATGAAATAAAGTTTTGAAGAAGAAAAATAACTTTTATTAGATTAAATTAAATAATTAGAAAGTAGTAAGGCTCTCTTATAAAAGAGTTTAGATGCTTAAAAGAAACTTAATTAAAGAGTTATTGATTATATTGGTTCTATGACTTTGAATAATAAATTAATTGAATTACAAGTTAAGACTTCTGAAGAAAAAGAAACAATTTCATATAAAGATGAGATTAATAATTTAATTGATATTAAAAATTAATAGAATTAGATGCTTTCTAGATTATAAAATACCAACTTGTAGTAAATTGAGGAACTTAAAGTTAAAATTAAGAATTCGAAATGAATTAATTGTTGTTAATTAATTATAAAATAATTAAAATGTAAAAGAGACAATAAATCAATCAAATAGTCAATTCTTTAAAATATAAATTTTTCAAGTAATCCTCCTTCTATTTAGAGTTATTTATCTTATACTTAAGTAATGGTCGAACTATTAGTGGATAACTATAATTATATGCCTAACTTAGTATCTATAATATACTTATTTAAATTTTGGTCTTAAAGTTTAGTATGTGTGGAGAAATAAGGCATATACTGATATGATTAATCTATTATTGAAGTAACTTCTAAAATATTAAATAGGTATTTCACTATTACAATTTCTGTAAAAAATTTGGGAATTAGAACTTATCTTACAATATTTTATTTTTGCTTAGGCTTAGTGTTATTTTCAATATTGTTAATAATGCTATTGGCATTTGTAATTTAAAATAAGAAATTGTAGAAAGGACCATTAATATTGTTACGTCTTTTGTTAAGAATTATTCTTACTTTTGGTTTCTGGCCAATAGTAAGAATGTAATTTGGTTTATTGGCATGTGAATATAATAAGAAAGGTAAATTGATTATGATGTTTGAATAATCTTAAGAGTGTTGGACATCAGACTATTATATTCATGCAATGATGGCAATATTTGGATTGATTATCACATTGACATTTAGTGTGTTGATGGCACTTGTAACATATGAATCAAGAAGAACAGATTAAGATGCTAATGCAATGAGAAATGGAAGATCTTATTATTAGTTGTTAATCTATATTTTTACACAAATAATGACATACTAATTATTAGCGACTCCTGAATATACAATATTAATAATTGCAGTCTTTTTGATAGGTAGTTCTATTGTATTTATTAATACACATATAGATCAACCTTATTATGATACATTTATATAAAAAATGTGGTCAATATTAGCTGGAGTAAATTTTTGGACAATTATTATGATGTTCTATTCATATCTTTTAGATGGTAAAACCTTCTAAAACACTATTTAAGCATGGTTATTAGGTATTCCTTTAATTATTGGAATCATTATGTTTAGATAAAGAGAATCATTTGATTTAATGAAAGCTAATTTAATAAAATTTTAGAATGGATCAGAAGTCATAAAGTTATGTGAATATCTTTTAATTCTTATTAATAACTCAAATTAATCTTAGAAATATTAACTATTGATTGATAGTTATATTGAAGTTCATAAAGAAGTTTGTAATAGAAATGATTGCGTTGTGAAACTTAAAGAAGAAATGGCAAATAAATTTAAAGGAAATCCTAAATACACTAATAGAAAACATATTATTAATGAATTGATTACTTAAATTTATTAGGAATCTATTAAGAATTTTCCTGAAGATATTTAATTAAGACTCAGTTATGTTTATTTTCTTTATGAGAATAAAAAATCATACTCTTTAATTATGTCAGAACTTATTTAAGCTATGGAATTCAAACCAACTTTTGATTATGAATTTCATATTTATAGATACAAATTAATTATTGAAGAGGAATCTCAATAGAAAGCAGAATAATTTGATATATCTAATTCAATTAAATAAAACAAGGAATTAATTGATATTTTAGAATAAACAACATTATAAATGATAGATTTTTGGATTTCTATGTCTGATGATCATCCAGATATGCATAAGTTAATGAGTTTAGGTTTCAAAATTTTAAAATAAAAAGAAGAAATTGATTAATATTGGGCAAAGTTAAAAAATAGCGACTCTTTAAAATTATTTAATTTGATGGCTAAATTTCATCATTTAGTATTAGATGATTAAGAAATTTCAGATCAAATATAAAATCAACTTTGGGTATTATAGAAAATTAAATAATAAGAAGTAAATGAAATAGAAGAAGTATGCAATAAATCAATACCAACATTAGTAGTTACAGCATAATTTTAAAATTTTCATATTTAAACAGTTAATAAAGCTCTTTGTAGTCTTCTTGGTTATTCTAAGACAGATCTAATTGGAAGATCTGTAAATTAAGTTATACCAGAATTGTAAATATTGATATATATCATTATAGATATGCCATTCCACATAATTGTTGTTTGGAATTATTTATTGAAAATTAAGCAAAATATTAATAAAATTTAATTACTTAGACTGTCTACTTATAAGCAAAGAGTAATTATATAATTCCTCTATATTCAAATGTAAAATTAATATAAACAAATAACAATTAATTGTATTTTATTGCATAATATCAATAAACTTTTAGTCCAAAATAATAATGTTTATTATTATTAGATAGTGAAGGTTATATAGAAAATATTACAAGTTCTTGTATTATATTATTAAGATTGGATATTATTAAAATATAAATGAGAAGAATTAATATTAAAGAATTATTTCCTGATTTTCATTTTAGAAAATAAGAATTTCTATCAAAAAGTGGAGCCAAATTACATCTTATTCCTCATGGTTTGAAATATAGTACAAGAACTTTAGATACAGTAAGTATTTATGAATAGATCGATTTTTAATGCTATTTAAATTATATTTAATTTCCATGTCTTAAAGATGAATAATTTTATGGTATAGTAATGAGATTAGAAAAAATTAAATGTCATAATGCTTCAGAATCTATTTTAAAATTAGGTCCATAATAACCCAGAAAAACTAAATTTCCTATTTTTTAATATATTCCTCCTTCAGTTTATTATTTGGATTATTTGAGTGTAACTGAGATTGAAGAATCAATGGATCTTAAATCATCTTAAGATAATTAACATAAATTATCAAAAATTGTAGATTATTTTTGTATGGTTAAAAGGATGTCTTAATCTTAAAAACATAGTATTCATTATGATAATGGAATTAAAGTAAAACGATTATGGGATGGATAAATTAAAGATTTAGAAGAATTTAATATAGATTAGTAATAATTAGAAGATGAAGAAGAGGAATAACTAAATTCTTAATTATTAAGTAAGGAAAAAGATAAAGAGATGTAGGAATTTCAACATTACTTTGAATTATTTTAATCTAAAACATCAATGTACAAATTATTAATTAATTCTAATGTTTCAAAAGGATTTTAGATATTAAATTATTTAGTGAATATATCATTATTTATTCTCTACATATCTGGTTTGTTAGTATTTATATTTAATTTGAATGATGATACAAATGTATCTAGTATGATATTTAATTTGAGTTTGAATAATAAAAGATTATCAAGTTGTTTGATGATATAAACAATTCTATAAGATGTTAGAATACTAAATTATGGTAGGTAGTTAAATGATAATTAGGATAACTTTGAATAATAATATAAAAGTAATTTAGATTAATTAAATTAAGAAATATAAGATTTAATTTAAATCCATACTTAATTAATCACATCTGAAATATTAATTAATCAAGAATATCTAGAATATTCTGATTTATATTTTTCATCAAATGTGGAACTTTAATCAATTGATGGTAGTAAGGAAAATTATACATATAAAGAAGCTATTGATTTATTAATTGGTAAAGCTTTATATTTAAATTCTGGAAACATTTCTAAATTTAATGACTCTGATGTTGATTTTTATTTTTACAACTACAACACGATAAATTCAGTAACAAAAAATTATTAAATTCCTTTAAATTATCGTTATTATTCAATTAAATCTGTTGCATAAAATTCATTAGATAATAAATTGATTTTTTTGATTCTATAAACCTTATTACAATTAGTTGCATATATCTTAATTGCCTTATATTTAATTTAATTTAATAGATTTTAACATTAAATTTATGAATTATTTTTTGAAGTTAATTAGATACAAATTAAAAATATAGTTTAGAAATGCGAATCTTTTTTATCATTCTTAAATGTTGGAGAAGATGAAAATGTATGAAAAATATTTACTATAAAATAGGATGAAGTTTAAGATGAGAAAGAATAGAAATACATATCTGATTAGGATGAAAACAAAATGATGAATAATAAATAAATAAAAAATTGGAAAAATAGCAATAAAAAATTCAAAAAATTCATGGCTGCTGTCTTCTTTATATTTGCAATTATTGAAGCATATTTTATTTATTAATATATCTCAGCTTAATAAGTTGTAGAAGCTACTTTTAATTTGAGTCCCATTTTAAATGCAACATCTTTATTAGAATCTCAATATAGATTAGGAGACAATGCTATAAGAGAGTATTTTGTAAATCCGAATTAGAGTATTTATTGTAATCCTAATCCTTTGAAATTTATCAATAATTATTTTGATAGACTTTATGAAACTAATGCAGAAATGCAGACTAAATTTACATAAAATTTAGATTTGTTTTAACCTGATTATATAAATCTATTTCAATAACTATTTGTCAAAAATCCATGTCCTACATTAGGATTATTACAAGAATTCATTACAGAAGATTATTGTAACTCTTTTTTTAATGGAGTTGTTTCTGAAGGTTTGTCTATTGGATTAACTAAATATTTTGAGAGTCTTGAAATATTCCTTTTATAATATTAAGGATATTAATATTAACATACTACTACTGATGAAGGAGAGAATAGTAATGAAATAAGAAATTTAGTGATATTTTTATTAAATACTACTTTAAGTGTTGAAATAAGAACTATGGAGAAAGTAGTTATAAGATACACTTAAAGATATTTAATTGATTAATTAGAATAAAGTATTAGAGATTCATTTAGTCAATTATCTTTAACAAGAATCTTGCTATTTATTTGTTTTACATTTTATTTATTATTTATAACTTTTTTCTTTTGGATTCCCGCAAATTAGAATTTAGTTAGATAAATATAAAAAAGTAGAACATTAATTTTATGTATGCCTATGTCAACTTTGATGAAGTAATTAATTATTAATTTTGATTTAGTTCTGCCTTAGTTAGGAGATATATAAGATAAGTATTGAAAAATTGATTAATGATTTTATGGTAAATAATTAATTTAGAATACAAATAAATTTTGAAAATCTATTAATCTTCAAAAAAGTTAATGGAATTTAGATTGGAATTGTAATATATATATATATAAAAATATAAATTCGAATAGTATATTAAATGAATAATGATTGATAAGGTGGATTAAGTGAGATATTTTTTTGTTTAATAAAATAAAAAATAACTGATGTTCAAGAACTCATTCTAAAGTGGATTTCTTTCAATATTATATTCTATAGGATCAAAGCCATTGTAAATTTGGGATAAGCAAAGTAATTTATAATTGAATTATTTAAGTCAAGAATGGACATATTAAACGTATCACAGATCAAGACATTTAATCATCAGTACTTGAAATAATGGGTACAAATGTAAGTACTAATTTCATAACTGCTCCTGCTGATCCTAAAGAAACATTAGGAATTAAATTACCATTCTTAGTCATGATCATTAAGAATGTAATATTATTGGTATTATGATTAGCTTAAAAAATATTTCACTTTTGAAGTATAGGTTTTGGATGATAAGAATGTCAGAAGAAGATTTAGAGCATCAAATTATTAAGTAAATTAGTATAATGAATGTAGTCAACAACAAGAGTTAAACCTTTCATTTGTACAATGCCTATGAGATTAGATGAAGGATGGAATCAAATCTAATTCAATTTATCTGATTTTACCAGAAGAGCATATGGTACAAACTATATAGAAACACTTCGGTATCTCTATGAATCTCATTTTATAGTGTTCAAATTCATGCTAATTGCAGAATTAGAAGAATCTATTTTAGTGATCGTCTTTACAGTGAAGAAGAATTACCTCCTGAATTTAAGTTATTCTTACCCATCTAAAAACAAGGATGATCAATATTATATATATATATATTCATTGATCTATGAAATCAACTCAATTTTGATATTAATTCATCTAATCTAGGTTTCCATTTTTCATCGTTTTCTACTTATTTTTATAAGATTTCTAATAAGGGTTTAATATATTATTCTTCTTATTTCAAAATTGTTTATCTAAAATATAATTATAGATTATACCCATCCTTATGTTCAATTATTTTAGCTAATTCAACGATAGCTTATTATTTATTTGTCAAATAAACATGAGTAAATAAAACACTTAATGATGAATAAATATCATTTTCATTTCCATTCTCTTATGCAAATTAAGTCATAAAACCACTAATCATAATAAGAATAATGATTATACACTTTTCTAACTTTATTGCCAGATAAAAACTATCTTGCAATCCTATATAAATCTTTAGGTTATAATTTTATTTTCTTCTACAATGACACTCTATAAACTTCATACGATATTTTTGGATCATCTTTAATCAAACTCGAAAGATCAGCACTATCAATTTTTAAAAATGGACATGTTTTCAAAATTTTGAATAATTCAATCAATCCTTCATCATCAAGTTTTTTAGCCAAAGTCATTATCACAGAAGGATGAGGGAAATATCTTATTGCTGAATGAAATTTTAAGGCATCCAAAACATATTTTGTCTAATCAAATTCAATACATTTAAGCATAAACTTATCTTTAATACCACAATGCACTTAATTATTATGTCCTAATATATTATTAAATCCCTAATCAATTTACTAATTAAAATACTTCTATTGCCTCTTTGATGTTATCCTTTTCAACCATATTAACAAAATGTCCTACATCATTTGTCTAAAATTTATATCTCCCATTCTTATTTGTTGGAGTATTCAGTAACAAATTATTATAGAAATCAATAGCAGTGAATGCCTTGGCTTTGCTATTAACAGATTAAACTCTAGTAGCAAAATACTATGCTTTGAATGCCAATGTTATTAATTTACTCATAATTATGAATATTAATTTTAATTTACAGCTATAAATATAAAATATATTCAAAGAATAATAAATATATAATCAATATCAATATTTTATATATGTAAGTCTTATAAGTGTAATTTCAACCATTTAATTATCTTTAACATTATTAACAATTAATATTACATATTAATCATTATTAATAATATCCATATGATTGTAAATTGTATAAAATATAACAAAAAATTAAGTAATTTAATTTAAGTTTTTCTCTTGTGATTCAGATAACCATAACACTTATAAACAGAATAAAATTTTTCAATAGATGAATCTTAAAAAGTTAAAACTAAATTTAATTCTTTTAATATTGAAATAATAACTATCTTTTTAAAATTTTGTCTAATAAACCATAAGAAATGATCTAAATATGATAAATATATATGTTGTTATTTTGATTTTTTTTTAATAAACATGTTTATAATAAGATTTAGATTGATATTCTAAAAAATTAGATTGATATTCTAAAAAATATAATGAAATCTCAAATATTTACTTAATTATATCTATCATCAATTGAGATAATTAATATAAATAATAAATTTTTATTATTTAGAATGATAAAAATTGTTATTAAGAAAATAAAGGTTTACTCTAGGCTTTACACTTTTTTATAGAAATCATTAATTAAAAGTTTCAATGAATCAAATAATAAGGATTATTTAATAAGTTATAATAATCTTAAAAACAAAAGAAAATTATTATTATCATTCATTTCAACAAAATTTGCCTTAAAAAATTATAGCACAATCTTATTTGTTTAATGACTATTTTATTTTACAGTGTTATGAAACCTATCTTTAATACTAAAGAACAGTAATATAAATGATTATTTGCATTCTCTAATAATGATGGATGGTTGAATATCTATAATATTTTGAGATACAAAATTTAAGTTAATTATTAATTAAATTTAATTTATGGGAAGCAAAGCTGAGAACTAAATTGAACAATATTCTGGATAAGATTTTGGAGATAAGATAAGCTTTACTGTAGGTGTGAGTTACATGCTTGGTAATAGAATATCCACTATTTTAGCTTCATCTATTGGATTAGTCAAGGGAGCAATTGAAGGTTTCCCTAGATCATTTAATATGCCAAAGAAACTAATTTTAAATAATTTTTTTAATGCAGTAGGAAAGCGAACATCTACATATGGATAGGCAGCAGCTAGTGCAAGCATGTTATATTATTTTGTTGGAGCAGGAATGAATTTATTATTTGAAGATGAATTGGCAGATATAAATTAATTAAAAAAGAATATGTTGTGTGGTGCAATTTCAGGAGCAGTTTACAAATCAACTTTGGGTAATTCCTTCTGAATAATTTTAAGGATTTGTTCCATTTATTGTAGGTGGTATAGTGGGAGGAGGATTGATTGGAAGTGTAACTTTATTGGTTGAAAATCTTAATAGAAGAGGAGTAGTAGCATTTGAAATGAAATTTTGAGAATGGGTTTTTTTATTTATTTTAATTAATTAAATATCTAATTGATATATTCTATGACTTGATTTTAGATATTACTTTAAGGTGTTTAGAATTATAATATATTAAATAGAAGGTCTATTTAATTGATTTAGAAATAAAAACTATTTTTGTTGATAAGATAAATATTTATTCCAATTCAAAATTCCAAAAATTGATTTAATATTTTTGTATGTTTATTAAAGGATTGCATAAGATGAACCTTTGCAAAGGTTAGAAATTATTAAATATTTAAATTTCTTAGGTAGATTTATATATATGCAAGAATACATAATATTTTTAAGTAATTATACAAATAGAATTTTAAGATTCGAATATTTATTAAAATTTATAGTTTACTTTATAAAAACCTTTTTGGTATATAATAAAATGGAAATGATGATAGATTATATTTTGTTTATAATTCTGCTATAGATTACAAGGATTTCAAATTTAGTTAAATTATTTTATTAATAATTCTAAACTGTTTGTAATATAAGGATTAAATAAATGCTCTTAATATAATTACAAAATTGAATATTTATTTATTTAATGATTAACTTTTAATATTTCATAGCTATGATTTGAATTCTTCGAAAGAGATCTAATCATCATGATTCTTATCAAAGAGATGGAAAACACTGGCTGCCTCATTTCTACTTATTTTACCATCTATTGCCTATTTAAAATTAGAATTATATAAATATTACTTTTAATAATTAGAAAAATTCCTCTTAATCAATAGCACCATCACCAGACTTATCAAAACGTTGAAATATTTTACCAATATCTAATTTATTAATTCTTATTGTATTTTACAATTGTTTAACCACTCCAGAAGCTCTTTAAGTAATTCCATCTTTTTAAGTTTATCCTGTACCTTTACTGAGTACATATTAAAATTCAGGGAAACTAATAGCACCATTATTATCCCTATCAAATTTAGAAAACATTAATTAAATTTCATAATCTTTAATTCCAGGTACAATAACTTTGATTAAATTAAAAAATTCTTAATAATCTAGATCTCCTTAATGGTTTTTATCATATCTATTAAATATTTATGAAATATTAATGTTATTGGCTTTTATTACAGCTTAAATGTCTTTAATAATAATTCCTGCTCTATCATTAAGATCAGAAAAATCAAATTCTGTGAATAATTTTTAAAATTCAATATAATTAACTTTTTAATCTTAACCACAAATTCTTATGAATAATGTTTAAATTTCATGTTGAGTAGTATTAGGATCAACAGCCAAAATAAGTTCCTTAAATTCTTTAGCATCTAAAATGTTATTTTTATCTTTATCGAATCTTTGAAAAATAAAATGTGGATCTATATTATTTTCAGTAACAACTTCTTACATTTTTCTTAAGATCTTAATACATTATTATGGTAATTCATATTGTTATTTCTATTATAATTGACCAGATTATTTCATAGTAAAAATTGGATGAGTGAATATTTCATTCCATCCAATACGATCAGCCTCTTCTATCATTAAACACTTTTTAATGAAATCCTTTGAATTTTCACTTATGGGTCTTTCATAAGGAAATCTTAATGGTTAGGTCTTGATACTTCTTAAAAGACTATTCATATCTCTACAAGACCAGGCTGTTTTACCAAAAAGTATTTCATAATACATCATTCCAATAGACCAAATGTCACTTTTAGCAGAATATTAATGTTTATTTAAAATCTGAGGAGACATATAAATAGGAGTTCCAACACATTCTCTTAATAATTATCTTCCTGTTATATCAACTTTTGTAGCAAATCCAAAATCAGCCACTTTATATACATTACTTTTGACTAAACTATTTTCAGGTTTTATATCTCGATGGATATAGTTATGAGAAATCAAATCTTTGAATCCATTCATTAATTATGCTAGGATTTCTAGAGCTTATTATTCTTAAATATGACCTTTTTTATGCATAACAGATCTAAGATCTGAATCACATAACTCAATAGCCATATATGTTTATTGTTTATTACCAAATACATCAAGCATTCTAACCACATTAGGTGAAGTCAAGGTTTACATGACTTTTATTTCATTTTTTAATGAATCAATCATAAACTAATCTTAAAATAATTTCATATCCAAAACTGAAAATTTATATAAATCAATTACTTTTCAAAGCCACAATCTCCCCAGTTTTTATATTTTTAGCCTTATATACACTACCAAAACTTCCTGCTCCTAGGAATCCCTTTTTGTCATATTAATAGTTCTCTATGCTTTACATAATTAATTAAATATATCAAATTTTATTGCATTTAATTTAATATATAAAGATTGATATATTATAAATATAACTTATATTATTGAATTTCTTTGTTGGATATAGTTATTTTAATATAATTTTTATATTAAATATTCTTAAAACTCAATTATTGATTTCCTCATTCTTTTTAAATAGAGTTTATCTAGCCTCTAAATTGAATCTATGTAATCCACTCTTTCCTGTATCATAATTTTCAGCTAATTATTCAGCTTCTTATTCAACAATTTGACGATGAAGATATTTAAAGGATAATCCCTATAATTTATTTATTATTCTTTACTTTCTCTTTCATTTCTTTTTATGCTCTTCTCTTTAACATCAATCTTTATTGTTGTCTGCCTTTAGATGTCAAGAATAATTAGAATCTTCTAATTTTTGCATAATCAGCTTTTTCCCTAACCAACTAATCTTTCATTAGATATGAGATAACACTAGGAGTTTTACCTTAGACAAAATCTTTGAACATCTATAAATATAATAAAATAGAAATTAAACCTCTTTTGTTGGCCTTTCTTCTAATATAACTTTAATTTGACTAGTCTCTCTAAATGCTGGATTTATTCTAGCCTTGGCATGAAATCTTGCCTTTCTGAATTTCTTATATCTGCCAACTTAAATTGAATGAACATAAAGTCTTTCTGGATCATATCCTCTTTAGACAGCATGTGATCTGACCATGACTAATGTTTTGGCTAAAAATTAAGCTGCTTTTCTTCCTGAATCAGCAATTGCCTCTTAAGCTTAATAAAGATGCAAATTAATCAAAGGTCTACAAATAGGAATTAATCTTCTTAGAGAAGCAGGTACTTTTCTATATTAAATGAATTTATCATTAACAATACCTTCTTATTCCACTAATTAAAACTTTCTCTTGTTTAGGGACTTTTTTAACAATAAAAGGTGTGGTATTTTCAGTCTCTGTTGCTGTTTCAATTTTTGATACTTCAACATTCTTAACTTTAACTTTAATGAAGTTGTTGGGATTTCTGTCATTTTGTTTCAAATTGTAAATATATTGTTAAAAATTCTTAGCATCTTCTTCCAATTAGATTTATCGTAATCTTTCTGCCTAAAAAGGATCTTCAATCTCCAATCTGATTTACTCTCTAGTCTTTTTCTCTGGTTTGATAGTTTTGATTATGGAGCCAGCTCTTGTACGCAATCCAAATTGGGCTTGGCAAATGTGATTCAAACGAAAAGCAATTTATTTCATAAATTAATTTACTCTTATATATCTCACACCCATTCAACTGGCTTAAGCAATACACCAACAATTCTTGCTTCTTCTGTACCTTCCTTTGGATGATAATTATATTCCCATCTTGCTGTAAGGGGCAATGACATTAATATACTCTCAATTCTAGCATCTGGAGTCATCAAACCAAATTTAGTTCCTCTGTCATGAATAAGATTAAATTCAGCATAACGACCTATGATTTAATCTAAATATTTACCTCTTCTGAATGATCTCCAACGAACATTCTCATCATTATAAGGAGTATCCTTTCTCTTATTTATAATAGCTTCATAGCTTTTTAAGTTAGCATAAGCAACTGCCTTTTAGAATTATAAACCTTTTTCAAAAGATTCCAAATTGAAATCATCATAAAATACTCCACCAATTCCTCTTGCTTCTTTTCTATGATGATTTACAAAGTATTCATCACATTCCTTTTTGTATTATCTATATAATTTATCATCTCCAGTAACTTCTACTATTGCATCTCTAATATTCTAATGATAAAATTTTGCATCTTCATCAAATAAGTAGATTGGAGTTAGATCACTTCCTCCTCCAAACCAAGAATCAATGACTTTGCCTATATATTAATCTATATAATAATATACCTGTCTCACGTTCTTTGATTCTTATTGTACGGAAGTTGGCATGAACAGTTGGACAGAAAGGATTAATTGGATGAATTACAAGACTTACTCCATTAGCATAAGTATCATATTGAGCAAGATTATTCATATCTATTTGATCCACTAAATGATTAATGTTAAGAATAATACAATTGCTTCCAGGAACCCTTCTTCCTTTCATTTATTGATAAATTCCTTAACTCAAAGGAATTGTAATTCTTGAAACATTGACACCAGCTTTCTCAAAGAAATTACCATCCTTAACATATAATAGGATGTATATACTTAAATAACACAAGTCAGTCCGTGACCTCGGCCATCTTCTCTTGTCCATGCTTCTTTAATGGGTTCAGCTTTGCCTAATAAATATTATAAAAAGTGAACTCACTTTCAAATCTGAATAGCATATCAAAGAAGTTTTTTTAATATTCATCTACAAAAGCAGAGAAAACATCTTCACTCTAATTTGGATCCATTCGGAAAATATAAAATTAAATCAAAAATATTTTTAGGATATTATCAATTTATATACTTGATTAAACATACCCCGTTGATCAATTTGAACATATATTTTTATTTATAATATCAATTATTAAAAATGAAAGATGGAAGTGTTATCTAGGAGAGATTGAAGTTCAATAAAAAAATAGATAAAGTTTACCTAATGGTTATGTAGTAAATATATTTAATAAATCAATAAGAATTAGACATTAATTAGTAGGTATGAGATAAATAAATGATTTATGAATAAATAAAGAAATAGCTATCTTTAATTTTTATAGGTGAAGAGAAGAATTTAGAATTGTATATTCATAATATTTAATTTAAAAATGAATTAATATGAAGAATGAAATCCTTCAAAAAATGAGAAGTAATAATCCATGAATTTACAATTTAATAGAAAGAGAAATCAATTAAAAAAAAGAACTCATTTAAATAATAGGATAATGGAGATTCTTAGAGTTAAGAAATAAAAGGGATAGTAAATTATCATAAAATAAATGTAAAGAATATCTAGAATAATTGATTGAACAATAATTACTTACTAATTAAGTAATTGAGTATTTATCGAACAAATATAGAGTATTATAGATATAGTTTGATGAATTAAATTATAAATATTTTTTTAAAGAAATGAACGATGGTGATTAATAACCAGATAAAGGTCTTCAATCAGAATAACCTCATTTAGGAAATACAAACTAAATGTAATAAGAGAATCAAAATCAAATCTACACTTTCAAAGCACCTTGGCCAATCTATGCTATGGGATTTCAATCAAAACCAACTCCACAATCTCGTATTGCAATTGGTAGTATGATTGAAGATATTCAGAATGAAGTTAGATATTGTTATTAAAATAGGTTTACATATTACAATTAGACAAAGAATAAGAATCCTTTTTCAAGAAGGCCAAATTCAATCATAGATATGCTCCCACAAAAGTATTATGGATTCCTGATGTTGAAGGAAAGTATCCAGATCTTCTAGCAACAAGTGGAGAAAATTTAAAGGTTTGGGAATATGATGATTAAAATGCATAAGTGAAGATTAAATGGGACTTAAAGAATGTATCATAATTAATTATCAAACTATCATTTTAGACTAGTGATTTCAATGCACCATTAACTTCTTTTGATTGGAGTTGTAAATAACAGAATTACATTGGAACTGCTTCAATAGATACTACTTGTACATTATGGGAAATTGAAAAATAGACTGTATTTACATAATTGATAGCACATGATAAAGAAGTCTATGATATTTGTTTCAGTGTAGATCATCAAATCTTTGCTTCTGTAGGTGCAGATGGCAGTTGTAGATAATTTGATTTGAGGTTCTAATTTTATCATATTTATAATAGAGCTTTAGATCATTCTACAGTTTTGTTCGAAACTGAAAATAACAATCCCATTGTTAGATTGGCATGGAATAAAATGGATACTAATTATCTAGCAATTATAGAGATGGATGTTAATTATGTAACATTATTGGATACTAGGTATTTTCAATTAATTATAATTAAGATAACCACTTCTACCATTGGCAAAATTAAAAAATCATAAAGACTATGTAAATGCAATAGCATGGGCACCTGAATCAACAACTCATCTTTGTAGTGTTTCAGATGATTCTTCTGCTTTGATTTGGGATTTCTCAGAATTATAAAATAAATAAAATGATCTTAATTCTATTGGTAATTTTTTATATTGATAATTTTTCTAGACCCCTTATTAGAATATAAAGCAGAAAACGAAATAAGTAATTTATCATGGTCGTTAACTAAGGTGGATTAAGTGAGCATTTGTTATAATAAATCGTGTTAAATTTTAAATGTTTGATATTATCTTAATATAATTTTTATTTTTTATATTATAATTATATAATATGAGCTATCAAGATCACCAATTATAATTAACAACAATAAGAAATATTTTAATATAAATAATTCCTATTAAGAAACATTGCCAGTAATCAAATACCAATAAGGACCTATAATATTTATAAATCCATAATCTCTTTTATGCTAGTCTACTAATGATTTTAAGAATGTCATAGAATTTTAAGTTCATGACTTATATTTCATTAATATTTGTTGACAAAAAATTATATTTTGATTATTCAGTATAATTTGTAGTTATGTTCACAAATTATTATTAATATTAAGTAATTATAAGTACTATAAAAAAATCATTTCTTCTAATATGGACGAATGTATAATTAAGAGAATATTTCTTTCTTTCCTCCTATAACTCTTGGAGTATAAACATTTCCCTTATTTGTATTACTAATAACAACTATTTTTTATGGTCTTTCCTCAAAATCTTTTTTTATATAAACAGGGGATTCAGTTATTTATTCTTCTTATGGTAAACTAGTTTCAGAGTTTCTTAATTTTGATTCTTTTATTTCTTTTGTTTTAGTGCAATAGCATCCCATTTAAATTATTTTATTTTATTTATTTTTAAATGAATTTGATTTATTAATAAATAGAAGAGTTATAAAATTAAAATTATATAAAAATTAATATTAGATTTAATCAGTTCATTCTTGTAACGGATGATCTTAAATGTATTATTATTATTATTATGGTAGATTTCTAAAATATATATATTTATATATAACTATTTGAATTACGAATGTTTAATTATTGGAGATTACTAAAAAGAACTTTAAATCTTCGGAGTTCCAATATTAGGTAAACTATCAATTGTTTCAATTTTCCCATTTAATAATGGAGAATTCATTTAAAGTTAATTTATGGAATCAACAACTTTTTGTTATTTAAATTATTAAGTTTCAACTATACCTGGTGAACCTGGAGAATTTATAATTGCATTTCTTCTGAATGCATCGAAATTAATTGCTCTAAGTATTATATTAAATTATTGTAATACTCTTCATTTAATGCATTCATTCTTGAAGCAATTTCTCCAAAATGATTATCTTCATCCATTGAATCATTAACAGAATCATCTGCCATTTAATTATTCATTGCAACAAGGAAAGGATGCTTTAAACAATCATTAGCAGAGATTCTTCTAATTGGATCTTTTTCAAGCATTCTCTTCATTAGATCCATAGCCTAACTTGGCACTTATTATAATTATTTAATTGTAAAATTGATTGTAGCTTCTCTATTTTATTTCATTACAGTTTCATAACATTTACCAGGAAATGCTTATTTCCCAGATAATAATAAATAGAACACTAGTCCTAGACTGTAAATATCACAAACTTTACTATAATGACCTTTCAATTCCTTAATATTTATAACTTCTGGAGCAATAAAACCTGGAGTTCCACATCTACTGTATAAATATATAGGTTCATTAACTTTTGTTGCCAAACCAAAATCAGCAATAACTACTGAATCCATTTTACTAAAATACATTTAAATTATACTTTTATTGTTTAAATAAAATGTTTTCTAATTTTAGATCACGATGCATTATATCTTTTTAATGCATATTCTATAACCCTTACAATACACCTACCATTATTTATTAAATTTAAGTAGTTGATAATAAAGTCTTCTCTTTTATCAAATCATACAAAGAACCTCCTTCTAATAATTCAAGTGCCACATATAGTGAATTTTAGGTTTCATATACTTCATACATTTACATTATATGTGAATGATTCAGTTATCTCATTATATATAATTCATTTTAAATTGCCTATTTACCATGTTCTTCTCCATAAGCAACTTACTTAGAAAATGCTTTAATTGCCATATTTTTTCCACTTTCAATATTCTATGCCAAGTAAACCTATAAATAATTTATTAATGTTAATACAGATGCAAAGTTTCCCTTCCCAATTTTTTTGTATATTCTAAACATTTGGTGAAATTGCCATTAATTTATCCTGCTACTCAAATACTCTCTCCATTATTTAATAAGGTCTTCTCCTCCAAAATACCTCTTTTTTATTATTGTGTCAATCCCTATATCTTTTATTAAACTAATTCCTTTAATTTCACCCAAAGAATCATCATTTTCACTCTTTTTTACAACTTTCTCCCTTAAAATTTCAAATTTAATCTCAAAATCTAATGGAATATATTTCTTTGGCACTTTCTAATGATCCTAAATATGAAAAACTCATATTACTTTCATATATATAATATAATTATTAAACCCTAATAGATGACAACATTTATCGTTCTCTTTTTTAAATTATGATTGTATCACAATTCTGTCTTGTTTCCATTTTAAATCTTAGGACATACTTTAATACAAACCCTTCTTCATGAAGCTCTTATTTAATTTATTATTTAATTTTTAACCAGTCATATCAATGATTTAAATATCATAATCATGTCAAATACTAATCAAAAAAATAAACTAATTTATTATCAATCAATATTTCTTAACTTCAAGAATATTATTAATTAAATAGTTATATAGTTATTTTAATATTCTATAATTTACAACATTATTAATTGAATACTAATTATTTTAAATATTCAATAATAATTAATATTATCCTTAAAAATGCCTATTCTACATTAGAAATTTTCTATTAAAAAACCTACCATAAGATATCAATTATGTTTAAAACCTCTTTCTCATTTGTCCCTCTTTAACTTACCTGATTTATACAATTAATATCTTTTCACCAACAATTGTATGTTAAATATGTCCTGAAATCATTTTGATTATATTCACGTCTTTTAATTTTATTAGGAATAACTGTACTACTTAAACCCTTAAAAAAAAGGTGATTTAAGATATAATACAATATTAATACTCATTAAATAGTCATTGACTTTAAAATCTATCTCAATTTTATATACATCTAACTAATAATCTAAGAGATTTTTAATCATTAGTAAAATTTGATGTTGAATTACAATAACCAATTTTATTTCAATTTTTGTCCATATATTTAATTAATATCATAATAATATAAATTTAAATGATATGATCAAAGTAAATCAAAATAAAATAGAAATACTATGTTTTTAAAAAATTATGTAAAATGTTCTAAATTATGAATGTGATGAAAATTTTTGATTTAAAAAGAAAGAGATCAGAATTTTATGAAGATTTAATTTGTTAAATAAAGAGATAAGAAAGTTTATTAACAATTAATAGAAAATTTTAAGAAAAAACAAGCATATTAGATTTTGCTTAATATTTTTTCTTGATTCTTAAACAATAGATAGAAATTTGTTAATTAATATCTTATAATCTAATTAGATTAGTGGAAATAAATAGGTTAATAAATGACTCAAAATTATGATCATTAATGGATTTAAATTCTTTTAAGTTTACTGTTATCAATTATTATATGATGTAAGCATTCTTATGATTGTTAAATTAGTTAAATAAATGTCAAGAAGTATTAGGTTTTTAAAATAACTTGATGACATATTTTAATGACGTATGCTTAATTGTTGTGCTAAGATTTTGACAATGCAAAAAGATAAATCATTGTATTAAATAAAAAATATATATAATATGAAAGCCATTTTACTATTAGTTCTTTTGGCAACAGGATTGGCAACAGAATCCTTTTTATCAACTTCTCAGGATATTAAAGAGTTGGAGTTATCTGAAAGCCATTTTTAGAATTTCTTAATAGGTTATGCTTTAGGTAATAATATATATAGAATAAATAGGAATTGGATTGTTGGATGCAATTCCAGATGCATTAGGTTGTGTAGGCACAGTGACAGGATTTAAAGATTTATTTTAAAAAGCCATAGAAGATCTTAAAACTAATGACTTAGAACATATTGTAGAAGGAGTATAAATATTTGCCAAACTATTTGATGGAGTAGCAAGTGATTGTGGAGATACTGCAATTGAAGTAGTGACTTCCTATAAAAATATTATGGCTATAATAAGAGGTATGTAATTTTATATATATCCGATAAGCAAAGGGATTCATTAAATAAGGATGGATTAATATTGGTAAAAATTTGGAAACTGTGGTTGATGATATTTAATAATTCTTTTTCTTGGGTGATGATGATTGGATGTTAAAAGGTGCCTACATTGGTGATATTGTAAAGATTTATGTTACTGGAATACCAAATGATAAATGATTATGATAAACATTTGAAAAATATTTAAAATATTCTCATTTTTGTTTTTGATTAAGTTCTATTGTTAATATTAACTATTCATTTATAGGGCTAAATGATTATTCTTTTTGAGAATATAGAGAATTTAACTATCTTTAATTTTTATCAATTAAAACATAACTTTACTAATATATTTAAAAGGATTTCTTACTTGCTTATTTAACTATTATCTTATACATTTATTGAATTAAAAAATAGTTATATTGCAATTTTTGTGACTGTTGAGAATATTATTGTTGATTACAGTATTTATTAATTAAAGATAGAATGATTTATTTTGAAAAATCTTTATTTATCATTGGTATTTAGAGATTTGATTAATAAATCTATTAAAATTATTATGATTGTTTTGATCCCTTTAAATACTAAATCGAAATTAAAATGGAATTAAATCAATAATAATAACTACTACTTATTAGAGTAATTTAACTTAAGAATATATTATTTATGATTCCATATTTAAATAATCATTTTGATACAGATGTCATATCTTTTATGTTCATCAAATTCTTAGTTTTCTAATTAGTCACTAAACTATATGGGGAACATGGGGAGAAATAGATCTCATTTAGATTCTTATCTTTAATTGATTTTTCATTCTTCCAAAATTGACATGTATTTGGCTTAGATTTTAAAAACTATTTTAATTATTATAATTCAATACATTATCTGTGAATTCAGGTTGATTCATAAAATTTACGAATTTTTCATCAAACATATATTACAAATTTTTATTTTTAACATTTATAATACTTAATCCAAAATCTAGATTTACATCATGTCCTGTTCTTATTAAATCATTTATTGCTTATGTAAATGTTTTGAGAATTGATTCAATTGTTAATTTATCAACATAACACATGTTCGAGAGTGTTTATGGATTACAAAATTATGTTGCATGTCCTTGATTGTATATGCTTCCAACTCCTTAACTCTTATTAATTTCATCCTTTTATGTATAACGAGATAATTATTTCTATAAATATGGGTCTACTATAAAACAAGGCCTAATATTTTGATATAATTTCGGTAATTATTTTAATTGTGTTGTTTATTTAGTTGGAATCGCTTATGCAGTGGGACATATAAATTCAAAACTAAATGTCCCTAAATTATGAATATGTAAAGAGTTTCCTTTACTATAACAATCTTATAACAATTCTTTCAATGAATTAATAACCAATAGAAATTAATCCTTTGTAGTAAGATCTCTGTAAATCGACAACGTTCTTTATTATTAATAGTTATGTCTGCCTGGGTATTGAATTGGATGCAAAAGAATCCTAAATTAACAACATTTATACCAATCAACTATTCCAGATATATTCATTAATAAATTTTAAATAATTTATCGTTTCCTATCAATATAGATGATTATCTATGTAATTTTATATATATAAATCATTTCTCTCTATTTATTCTTGATATTTAAATTTTTACTATACAAATCACTTATTAATCATTTGAATGAACCTAAAATAATTATCTTTAAACTTTTAAATTAGACAGTTAATAATCTTTTTTTTCAAATAATTTATAAGATATCTAAATGTATTAGATAGACAATCTAACCATAGATTGAATCTAATATTTTTTTATCAGTTATAAAGTATCAAAAGAATTAATTATTTATTTAAACGTCATTTTAAATATAAGTAATAAAATAACTATGAAAGAAAATAGAATTTATTATTATTCTAGGTATCGTGATTCATATTGAAAAATATATATATAAGTATTAATATTAATTAACTAGAAATTGAAATAATTTATAAACTAATTTTATTTAAAAAAATCAGGGATGATTATCAAAAGCTGATTTTATAGTCTGAATTAAGAAATAGAAATAGTATTTGGTTCTCATATAATTATATACATTTTTGTAATTTTAAAGAAATTTAAGCAATAGAGTAAATTATATATATTACAAAAGTAAAGAAATGAAAAAATGAATTTATATTCACTTTTAATATGTGTTTGAATTTAACTTAAGTTATCATTTTAGATAATTGATGAAACATATATAATTGATTAAACAGTAAATATCATTTTAATTTAGAAATGAAAAATGGCTAGATTTTGTTTTAAGCAAATTATAAACTTAAACTATTGGCAACCATAAAATTATTTGACAAATCCTATGAAAATTAGTCCTTTTATGATAATTGTCTACTATGATATGGAGAATAAATTTATGTTAGAGTTAATTTACCAGTAGGACTAAGATTACTCTATTTAAATTTTTATGTATAACGTTAATTTGGTTGTAAAATTTTTTATAAATTCTTTTTGGATTCAGTTTTCTTTTTTATTACATATTATCTAATTTTAGATACTTTTTCAATTTAAAACCAAACATGATTGAGTGCTTCATGGGATGATAATCTTTCATTTTAATCTTCATTTAATAATTAGGTTAAAAATCCCAAACCTGCATTACTTAATTTACAATAATGAAAATTAATTTAACCTAATTAATTATTCATAACAATTTATTTTGGATTTGGATGATCAAATGGATTCTTTCCAGTTAATACATAATACATTATTATACCAACACTATAAACATCTACTTTATAATCATAATGTTCATTTCTTAAGATTTCTGGTGCAATATAACCAGGAGTTCCACATCTATTAAATAAATAAAATCCATCATTGTGATAAAAATCAGCTAAGCCAAAATCTGTTAGACATGCACTTTCTATATTATCAATTTATCTAAATATAATATTTTCAGTTTTAATATCTCTATGCATAATGCCTTTAGAATGTAGATAAGATATTGTTTTGATTAATCTAAATATAAATTTTGCAGTTTTTTCCTCTGAAAAAAATGATGTTTTTTCTATATGTCCATCTAAATCTTTTCCAATCAGTAATTCCATAACGATATAGATATTTTCAGTATTTTCAAAGATTTCATAGAATTTAACACAAAAATCAGTTTAAACTACTCTCAATATTTTGATTTCTTTGAACAAAGCAATTAAATCAGCATCATCTATGAGTTATGATTTTTTTAATATTTTGACTGCATAATCATTTCCATCAGCATAACACTTAGCTCTATAAACCTATTAATATTATATTTATGAAATACTTCTGTAAATCTTCCTTTACTTATTTTTTTTACTAATTAATAGTATTTTAGAAAATCACTTTATATTGTATGTCTTTTAAGTAATTTATACCATTAAGTAATATCACAATAAAATTCAACTGAATCAAAACATTTAACAAGACGTATTCCTTTTTAATCTAGTATTTAATCGATTATACAATTTTCATAGTCTAACCAATAGAATCGATTCTATTTTATATAAAATTGATACTTAATCTTCATAGACTAGGAAATTATCATAAACTCTTAAATCTCTGTTTTTAAATTAGTCACCTTCTTTCATTTTTACTATATCTCTATACTAATAAGAAGCAAATTCAAAAGGAAGAGGAGTAGAATTCCATTTCATTTGTGTATAATTCAATTAAAAGAAAGATCTACAATGTTTATATTCACAACTAATTAAGAATTAAAATAATTACCTTGGATTGAGATCTTTATCAATCATCAATAGATTTATTTAATATCATCCCATAAATTTATTTTCTCATAAATAACCAATTATAAGTAAGTTCAATGTAAAATAATAAGAGAGAGATAATTTGTGGGATGCCAGCTCATGTGATGAGTGCATGGCTGTTTTGATTTCATCTCAAAATAAAAACTATGTGTCCTACGCGAGCAAATTGTATAATAAATTTGCAATTCGAATTAAACACATAAACAATTTAAAATGTTCATATTTTTAAGAATTTTTTGTGCATTTTGATTAAATTAAACTTCTTTATTTATAATTCATAAAATAAAAATGGAAACTGAAAAGAATATAGAGAAACAAAAGTATATGAAATCTTAGTACTTGGGTCGTATACTATTAGTATTAACTCATATTTTAATTGTGTGGGGAATCTATACAACATCATTTTATGAAAATTCATCATTATCAATCCTATATTATTTGAGAGTATCTGCTTTTTGTTTTTGGTTATTACTATCGACTTGTTAATTCAGAACTTCTATTTCAGATCCTGGTGAAGTTCGTTAGAAAAGTGTTCCAATAAAATTGTAATTAATACATGAAATGTATAATCAAAAATGTAAGAAATGCAATTCATGGAAACCACCAAGAGCACATCATTGTAAAAGATGTAATAAATGCATTTTTAAAATGGATCATCATTGTGAATGGGAAAATAATTGTATTGGTGCTTTGAATTAAAAATACTTTGTTCTATTTCTCTTTTACTTACTTTTATTTATTTTAACACTTTTGTGTATTCATACTATAGGAATTTTTGATTATTGTATAAAGTCAAAGAGAAAGATTTTATCAATTTTAATGACAATAACAACTACTAAATGTTAAATTTTGGGTATTCTTTTATTTTGTTTCTTTTTTATAATTTTTGTAAGTTAATTAATTTGGGATTAAATTACAGCAATTAGAGATAATTAAACAGTAGTAGAATCAAGATAGGATAAATTTGGTAGATAATAATCATTTATTAATAATTTTAAATAAGTATTTGGTGATTAAGAATGGTATCATTGGTTCTTACCAACTAAACCAAAACTTAAATTAAATTATGCTGAACTTGTATATGCTGAAGAACTAATTAAATAAGGAACTCCATATCTAGAAGATATCTTTTATGATGAAACTAATCCAGCTAGTATTCACTTTAAAGAATTTATGTTGGATAACTATTCTAAATAAAAATAATGATGAATAATTATATTATTATTTATTAATATTGTTATGAAAGGAGGTGGTTTCAAAGTGAGACCCACAACTCGTTGTAGCTCTGCAATAAGAAGGCCAGCTTAAGAAATAGCTATTTTGGATCTATATTAATAAACAACTATCAATCCAATTCCTTAACTTATTTTAACACCAACTTAAAGAAGTCTACGACCAAGACCTAAAACTGGTATGAGGGTTACAGATTAATATTGTACAGTGGCAACTCAAGAAAATAAGACAGAACATTATCTAAGACATAAAACTGCTCAAGGTTCTTACAGAACAACTAAATAATCAACGAAAATTTAATTAGAAACCTTAGCAGAGGGTTTATTAAAAAAAACTAGTATTACATAATTAGATACTGATGTTCCATAATAATGTGAATAGAAATTGAAAACTTAACCTCTAGATCTTTTTAAGTATAAATATTCATTATCTAATAGGATTTCAAGATCTAGTTCTCAATAATAAGTAAATGCAACAACTAACTTATTACATCAATAAATTTCTAATTTAGATAGATATTTAATTTTAACTACTCTTGGTTAAGGTTCTTATGCAACCGTTAAATTAGCTAGAGATAAAATGACAGAAAAGTATTATTATTCAATTGTATAAATTAGGTTAATTGCAATAAAGATTTATTCCAAAGCTAAATTATGTAATCAGCAAAGGAAATAATAATTGAAAAGAGAAATCCACATTCTCAAATTATTAGATCATCCAAATATTATAAAGTATGTTAATACAATTGAAACATAAATGGATATTAATTTAATAGTTGAATATGGTGGTTCTAAGAGTTTAAGATCATATTTGAAAGTATACTTGATTATTACTAATCTTAGCAATTTCCAAATAGAAGACTTGATGAAGATGATGCAAAAATAGTATTTAGATAAATTGTAAAAGCTGTGGATTATTGTCATTCTTTAAATATAGTACATAGAGATATTAAACTTGAAAATATACTTTTAAAAGATAATAATGAAATTAAATTGATAGATTTTGGATTCTCAGTTTTAGTTAATAGAGATTGCAAATTAGGAGTATTTTGTGGAACTCCTAGGTAATGATCATTAAAATATAAAATTAGTTATATGGCTCCAGAATTAGTCAATAAATAGGATTACTTTGGTAAACCTGTTGATGTATGGGCTTTAGGAGTTTTACTATATGTTTTATTAACAGGTCATTTTCCATTTAAAGGATCAAATGATTCTGATCTATATGGATAAATTAAAAAAGGAATATATACAAAAGTTAATGCATCCCCATAGTGTCAAAAATTAATATCATAAATGCTTACCATCAGAGCTAGCGAGAGAATAACAACTTTAAGAGTATTAAAAAAATAAAATTATAGATCTTGTAAGACAGATGGTTCAATTCTTGATTTTAATTAATTTTATGTAATAAAGAATTCGTCTTCAGTTTGCAAAGGGTCTATAAGAAATTTATGGATCAAAATAATCACAATCAAGTCAATTATCTGATAATCAAGTTCAATCTTCATAGATATCTTCTTCTGCTTTTAAAACATCAATTCCTTAATTTTCTAAAGAAGAAATTGAAAAGTATGATTAAACTTTGAAAGAGTAAACTTAGACTTATAATGAGAGAAAAAAGAGAAATGGATAGAAACTTTAGCGTTTGACTAAGGAATAACAATAATAATTAGTAAAACTCATTAAGAGTGATCCTTAATTTTAAAATCAATTGGCTGAAGCAATAATAAAACATACTGAAATTTTATAATTCATAAAGAAGGCCAATACAATTAAAATGATGAAATCATTAAATAAAACAGCAATTGAATTTAAAACAAATATGACTAATAAAATATAAGCTATATTTCTAAATCATCAAAATTAAACATATAATAAGCTTAAATATCTATTATAAGAAAAAGAGATTTTAATGATTAAAGTATTAGAATAAAAATTATCCAATTATATAGATATAAAATAAAATTTCAAGGATGCTTTATTAACATAGTTAAAAAAAGTATTAAAAATTCAATTAGAAGAAAATTGTAAGAAATATGCAAAAATCTTTTCATCATAATTAATACTGATGTAAGAAGGAATTGCATAAATAATTGGACAGCATGTTGAACTTAATAAAGAAAATAAGTTTGAATAAGAATTATTTTTATAAATTTAGAAAGTCAAAGATTACTTTGTCAATAGTGAATAATAATATATTAAAGTATTTCTATTATTATATATAATTATAGCGCCTATAAACAGATATGAATGATCATTATATAAATACAATATAGACTATTGTTTAAGTTTAATAAAAACTTAAATTAAATTGAATTATATTTTTATTATATCAACTTAATAGCTATATATGATAATAAGCAATTATACAATTTTTGATGTTTTATGAATAAATTCAGATTTTGAAAGAAAATTTTATATTTATATAGTTCTTTAATTTAATGAGCAATATAAATCCTTATTTATGATTTTTAATATTAATGAGTGGTTAAATTGATTAAGAAGAAGCATTATAAAAATCAAAAGTATTATTTGAACGAAAACGTCTTGTAACAATTTCAAATGCTTTACAGTTGATGGAGAAAAATGCTAAAAAGTATTTAGAACAATTTGAACAATCTCCAGATTATAGATTGTTTAGAACTTAATTTAGATAATATCAACATACATCTTAATTAGATTAAATAGTTTCATTTTAATTATGCGATTTAAGTGATCCAGATATATCATTTTATAGATAAGCAGAAAAAAAAATTTTGGTTTGTTATAATAAAATTCGTGATTATGCACATTTCTAATAGATAATGAAATATGATGTATAAATAAAATAAAATGTATTAGTTAACTTTTTTGTATGATGATTTAAGAGCCAAAATAGATTGGTATGATTGTTCAATGTTATCATGTATGAAGATTAGAGCATTGAATATATCTGGAAAATGTAAATAAAGTGACAAATAATGTTTTATTGATGAAGTAAAGACTTCTCTTGAAAGAAGTGAAGTTTGTAAAGGTAAATTTGATGAGTACTTTGAAAAATCTTATAAATAGTGTGTTATGGATATTGCTCCAATAAATAGTATTTAGTAAACAAAAAAAACTATATTTTTCTGATCTAATATAAATTATATTTAAAGTGTATTATGATAATAAAATTAATTTATAGTTTTGTATATAAGTTCTTAGTATAGAAATTAAAACTAAATTAATAAGTGATAATTTTAATGCTCAATCATATACATGTTTAAATCCTACATCTGTCTCACATGAAACAATTCTTTTTTCTAATGTTGTTGTAACATCTTGTAATTTATCTTTATCACTTTTCAATACATTTAATTAAGCATCTAAAAATTCACTATCATGTTATGCATCTTAAGATTTTTTAAGTGTCTCATTTAAAAGTCTTTTAGCCTAAAGTGCATAATTTTAATAATACATCATTTTGTATAAATGTAGTAAGATCATCACTCATTGTTCCATGATTATTCTTCACTGTAGATATTTCCATTCTTAAATTTGACATTTCTTTTTTGCTATTTTCTAGGTCTTTTTTTAATTCAATCAAGTAATTCTTAATTATTTCTATTCTTTACTTCCAATTTAATGATATGATCTTTCACATTTAATTAAAGACTCTCTTCAATTGACTTCTATCTCTTAAGCATTAATCTTTGTCTCTCTCTTTCAGGATCAAGCTCCTTATCAGATTCTAAACTTTCGTTAAGCATATTAAATTATTAATATATATCATTATGTGGCACCTGCCTTCTAAATACTTTAATATTATTTTTCATAATCACTGGGTGATAGTTTCTATGCTTATTAAATTTTCTCTTAAGCTTTCTGTTATCTAGCTAAAGAATTTTAAAGTTCCATCATAGCCAATTGTTCAAGTTATTCTAATTCTTAAATTTTTAAATCATATAACTCCTTTTCTTTTTCTATTCTATCTTTTTCATTTTCTATTTCATATCTTACTCTCTCTCTTTTCTACTTTAATTTGGCAACAGCCAATTATGTAGATTATCTCTCTTCTTCTTTAACTTAAATTGCTTTAATGCGTTAACCTTCTTGATCTAAACTTTTCTATAATTAAACACTCTTAAAATCCTACTTTAATTATTCTCTAAAAATCTTAGCTTCAGATTTCTTTTTTTATAATTCATCTTCCTTTATTTTCTTTAATACTTCTCTTTAATGATGAGAAACAGCCAATGAGAATGGTGGTGGTTATGCTTATTTCTATTTCATTTTATTTTCTTTCTAAACAAAATAATAAAGGTGAATATTACTTTCATTTAGATTTCTACTCTATGACGATAAATTTCTTCAGCTCTCTATTCATCTTATTGAATGTGCTTTAAAACTTTTTCATGTTCCATTTTTAATTACAGAATTCTATTTTATATCTTTTATGCATCAATCTCTGCCTATTTCTTCTAAACTAAAGAAGAAAATAATGTTTTCTTTTCTTATGGGAGTTCTCCTGAAGACATACAATATAAATTAATTATTAATATATATAAAATATTTAATAAACCAAAATTCACATATTGAAATATATTAAAATATTTATGACCATTATAAAAAAGATGTAAGAATATATTTTAACAAATATGTAATTATTTAAATTTTATGTCATTTTTTTTATTATTAACCCCACATTCCATAATTTTATTATTATTATGGATATTAACCATATGGATATTATTATTACTATTATTATGGGTATTATTAAGGTGGGTAAGGCATTTATTATGGGTATGCAACAGGAGGATTTCCTTATGGAATATTAGGTTATTATGGATAATTAGGTTATTATGGATATTATGGATATTAAGGATATTAAGGATTATTTGGATAAGGAGGATATTGATATCCTGATTATTACAATGGCTATTATGGTTATTGTGGTTGTATAGGTTGATGTTATTAGGATTATTAATATGTTTATTATTAATTTAATTATTATACTAATTACTCTGATTCCATATTTCTTGCCATTAAGAAATCCTTGACTTTTCTATCTTATTCTTCTAAATGCATTTTCAATTACCTAAATATAAAATTATTAATACTCATAGAAAACAACTGAATGATCAATATTGTCAATAGCTTATTAAGCACTTGCAAATATATTAGTCTATCCAGATTATTAGACTTATTCAGATGATTATTTTTTAAGAGTTGAGAGTTCTCTGGAAATTCCACATACTTGTGAGATAATTTCTGAGACTTGATTCATCTTGAGATTAATTAAATATTTACATTATTATTAAATTATTCAATGAGACCTTAAACATTTTAAAGTGCAGCATTAAAAACTTAATCTTTAGATATTCCTTCATTTAATCCATGTACAGCAATCTTAGTAAAGTTTATTTCTTGCATTACTTGATTATACTATTAAATAATCATTTTTAATTAATCAACAATAGAGTTGACTTATTAATCTAAAGATGTCAATTACCCAAAAAATTAAGCATTTTGATTAACAAAATCTGAATTATTATTATTTTTTGGAAGTTATTAAATAATAACTTAATCACTTTAAGCAGCAAGTATAACAGTTTCTTTACATTTCTCAAAACCATTCATTACATCAAAATCAATTTTTTATGCCTATAAGTATTTAGCCTTGAGCTCTTTTAAAGAATTAAAATATTATTAATTTAATTAGGCTGAAGGACTTCTTGTCCATTTAGTACCATATTTATTTTTATTATCTTAATCTTATTATTATTCATTCATTAATGATTATTCAATTTATCCTAACAATTAATTGCAAGTGATAGATGCTTATTTTGCTTGTTCAATTATCTTTTCAATTCCATTCAAACATCCTCTACTTCTTATATATGCTATTTTTTCTTAGATGCTCTAAGGTATACCTCCTTATATAAGTTGTTTTTATTGTGCCATATCTATAAAATAAGTTACATAATTTTCTGCATATGCTTGACTTTTTTAATCAAATAACAATCTTAATGATTCTTCAAGGGAATATTTGGTTGATTCTACAAATATCTTAATCTCCCTTGACAATTATAAAGCTTCTTCTGATACAAAACCTTAAAATTTATTTGCTCCATAAATTGGTTCTTTGAAACTAGCTGGTTCAAGTGGTTTTAGTCTAATTTATTCCATTAAAGGAGGATATGGTAACAAATCTTAAGCAACTAATTATTCTTTGTATATTTGTTAATTCTTGTAATTATATTCAGTAAACAATTGAGTTAATTGTTAATTCAATTGTTTTAATTAATCAAGTTAATCAGGTGAGAATGTCTTACTGGCATTCTTATCATTAATAATTGGTGATAATAATTATTATGCTCTAGTTAAAAACCCCAAAGCTTTTCCCATATTTTATCCTCTAGAATCCTCTGATATTCTTCCGTAATGAAAAATACCCATCTAAAGACATCCAGTAACAGTTGTCCATATTTAGTTAAATTAAACCATAGGTAGAATTTGAGAAAGAATATTCTAAATTAATATAGAATTTAAAATACTTTTCCAATTTGCTTCTAATATTAAGTATTCATTCCCTCAACAGCCTTTAAAGAAATAGTAAATTCTTTTGCTGCCTCAAAGATTGTACCACAAACATTATTAAGTCCAAAAGTCTTCACTTGTGACATCATATTTTAATATAAAGCTTTATAAGCCAATCCACAGAACTATTTTAGAGATTTATAATTACAATATGTTCTAGGAATTCTAAATTTAAAGTTGTAATATCATATAATTATGATAAAGAATCTTTAGATAGTCCATGAATATTTTGTTTTAATTAATCCAAAGCCCATAATCCATTTCTAAGTTTTGTATATGCTGCCTTACGATCAGGGTCTGTATCTTTAACAATCTTACTATTAGCTTGGTAATAGTAAGCAATTATCAAATTGTAATATTAAGATATTAATTCTAATCTGCCAGAATTCAATTGGCAGCTCCTTTTCTAAAAATCATAGTAAAATAATTAAATACATGATCATAGCTGTCACTCCAATAGAACATAACTTATGGTGATCTTTAATCACCTTGTTCAAATCTTAAATGTTTGAAGAGTAAAGAAAAGTTCTTTAGATATTCAATTACATTATTCTCTAGGTTTTCTGATGTTTAAGGGTCAGTGGCAATACTCAAATTGATCTTTTCATAATCCAAATTTTATCTCAATTTTTATGTTTTTTCTACTACATCCCTAATCTGTAATTTATGGATATTATTATTACTTCAGTGAATAGTGTAGCTTCTCCATAGCAATTTAGAATAGCCTATTCTATAGGTTTGATTATATCTGTATGTCTTGTCTATTTAAGAGGTAAGTTGAATAACATATTATGGAATTTTTATTAATATATAAATGATTCCGCAATTGGACTAATTATGTAATGAATATATTCAATTAGATAAATTACTAATCCTTAAAACACTATATTCATTATAATTAAAGACAATTAATACAAGCCAAAAATAACAAAAGGTATAATTGAAAATTATTAGATAAATGAAATATGAGTATCTCAATATGTATTTAAAATAAAGACAACAAAAAACTATAATTGATTATCCAAACTTTAGACTAAGAAAAGTTTATGATGATAAAAATATTATAATTATATCATAAAAATATAGAATATGATTTAGTAAATTAGATTATTTGATTATTTATAATAATTGTATAATGACTTTAACAAATTAGAATTACAACATCCACATCATCTTAATATTATCAGCTATCTTTTGAATTAGGTTTATTTCCTTAATAAATGATGAATTTTCAAAATAACAGAATAATTCATTTACAAAAAACAAATTCATAATGATAAATACTATTTCAATAAGAGAATTATTAGTTAAAGATTGAATTAGAATAATAATAATCAATAAATATTAATTTACTATTCTTTTAGTAACTACTTATTCAAACAGAAACTTAAATATAAATAGTACAAGAATACTTAAAATGTTCAAGCAATATTGATAATATTAAATATTTATATATAAAATGTTTTAAAATTAGTTTTAGAATACACCGTTGTTTGAGATATTTGATTCCAAAGGTATTTCTATTAACTATTTAGATGTACTTAACAAAGCCAACAAGGAGAAAGAGAAGCATTACTAACAGCTATTAAAAATCACTACCAATAGTTTTGTTAAAGATTTCGATAAATAATTAAAGAGTATTAACGATTCTTAATAACCATAGACTATATTATTGAATTGCAAGGACAGAACACCAAAGTCCATTTTCCAAAGGAAGGAGATCTGGGATTGGTCTAACAGTTTTTATGTCTCTAAATCTATGTTCCATAGACATAATAATGGACAATTGAGTTTTCAATTACTGATACCTCTAAAACTAAGCGCCATGTTTATTTAACATAGAATTGTAAGTAAATTGAGAAAAAGCCATTCCACATAAGATATCCAATAGAAGTACCAAAAAACATTTGGTTAAACCTTTAAATAGATCTCTTTTCATTTATTCAAGGTTGGAAAGGAATGACATTTAGATCACTTGATTTATTTGTTATTTAATCCCCCTGCAAATTAAGAAAGATTTTTACAATGAAATAGGCTGATCCTGATGGGTACTTAGTTTAATGTTATATTAGCTCCATCATGGGGAAACATGATTTTCCAATTGGGTTTGAACATTAAAACTTGATAATTTAATATTAAGACAATAATTTAGAGGCCTCACAAGACAGTTGCTAAATGAAGTATGAAATAATCTATATGATTTAAGGATTACATCTAAAAAAGCTACTGGATTTTCATAACAATCACAAAGTCAGTAAAGTTAGAAATAATAAAAGTTAACTTAGGAGAAAATAACTAGAGCTAATATTGTATATGATGATCATCCAACTCCAAAAAAAAAGACTTAATAACCATAATAATTATCATAATAATAAAAATAATTGATCATTACTTCTAGTTCAAAATCAAATCAACAAGACATTTCTTAAAATGAATTTGACATGAGTACTAAATTGTCTGTTAGAAATAATAAAATTAGCTAATAATCTGACAGTGTTAGAAGGAATGACAAATCTGTTTAAAAACATAGGGATTTATCAAATAGTAAAAAAAATTAGAGTAATGCGAGAATGGCACATTCATTTCCTCGTAAACCTCCTTTGTAAGAATAATTAAATTAAGATTATTATATCAAAACCCAAAAGTTTACTACTTTTAATGAATAGAAATAAAAAGATGATGAAATTGAAGAAAACATTGAAATAGCAGTTGAATAAAAGTAAGAAGAGATTATTGAGGAAAGTCAAAAAAAAATTATAACTGCAAATAATTTTAATAAAAGAAGTTTAAGTGAACTTAAGGGTGAATCTAATAATAATTAAAGAGTAATTAAATAATTAAAAAAATAGAATGATTAGTAATTTGAAGATAGTTTAGAATAACCATTTAAGAATAGTGTAACTACATTTGCATAAGAAGGTTACTATGCAAATTAACTCAAAAAATATACAGATTTAAATCGTCCATTCACTCCAGAATATAACTCCGATTTCAAATTTGGACAATCCCATTATTATTAATAATTCTGATTTAGTTCAAATTTTTTATAATATAAAGTTTTTATTCACTTCAATGAATTTCTCCTCTTCTTAATTAGAAGCCTTAAGTTCATTTGTCTTTATAAAAGTAAATTATTCATAAGTTTCATAATTCTACATTTTATTTATAGGTGTATCTTAAGGAGGTTCTTTTGTAAACATATCATCGAAATGTCTCAAATCTTTATGACCAAATACTTTTGGTTTAAATGGTGGTTGAATTTATTTGTTATATAATCTATCCCAATCAATTTCTCTAAAGAATTCATGATCTTTAATTTCTTAACTTCCATTTACTCCTAATCTTTTGGTAGGCTGATTAAATTGTAAAAATATACATCATTCTATAATAATCCATTTAATATAGATCTAGCAGCACTTGAAAACCAATCCTTCATTTCTATTGGTTTTTCAAGTCTATTTTTAAACATTTATGTTTTATCTTTTGAATAAAAAGGTGGAGCACCTGCAAGCATTTCATAAAGTAATGCACCTAAACTCCACCAATCTACACATTTATTATGTCCTCCACCCAATAAAATTTCAGGTGCCAAATATTCAGGTGTACCACAAAATGTATTTGTTTTTTCATCATCCTTAACATTTATTTTAGATAATCCAAAATCTGTTATTTTCAAATGTCCTTCCATATCTAGTAAAATATTTTCTGGTTTTAAATCTCTATATATTATATCACATTTATGTAAATATTCTATTGCTAAAATTAATTCAGCTGTGTAGAATTTTGCTCTTTCTTCTTAAAAACGAAAAGCCCTTCTTAAATGAAAAAACAATTCCCCTAAATAAATAACAAATTAAAAATACCTCCAATTAGAAAATCCATAATTAGATATAACTTAGTTTTTGTTTAGAATGCATAATGTAATTATACTATGAAAGGGTTCTTAACATTTTCAAGAATGGCTCTTTCATTCTACGTATGTAATCTCTAATTTCTCTTTTCGATCATCTCTTTTCGTAATATTTTCATTGCATATAATTTATTAGTTTCCTTATGTGTTACTAACATCACCTTTCCAAATGATCCTCTTCCTAAAACTTTTTCAAATTGAAAATCAGTTAATTTTACTATTGCATCACGATTATCATCAATAAACACTTACTCACCAGTCTCTTCTATTTATTCAAATGTAGCTGTTGGTGCTTTCATCAATTCCTCATTCATTTATTATTCACCTTCTTTTGTAGAAATACATAATCCCATATTATTAAATTAAAATTATATAATTCTTGAATAAAATATTGCTAATTTTTCGTAAATATTACATAGTTTATCATCCAATTAAAACAATTTTTATAAAATTCGCATATCTATAGAATAAATGAAAATCATAAAATATCTACCTTCAACCTTTTTAATTATTATGTATATTTCTCTTGAAAATTAAATAAAAATCAAGTCATTCTATATATAATTAAAAAAGAATTTTACATAAATTGATGATATACAATAGTTTAATTATTATATTCTTTATTAATTATTCTATATTTAATAATATATATATATATATATGATGATATTTGTTAAATATGCTTTATTTTCATTCTTTTAATGTTGTTATCTATTCTGATGAATTTGAATCTGTTTTTACTTATAATTTAATTGTTTTAAAGTAATCTTCTTCAAATTCAATTGACTAAAATATATTATAGAATACTTTTGAATCTTGTTTTGTTTATGGTTCCTAAAACCAAAAAACGTATATTGTAATAGAAAATGGGAGTTAAACTTAAATTAATACAATTAATAATAGCAAACAATATTGAAATATTTATGCTTCGCTTTAAATAATCTAAGTAGAATGTTATTAATACATCTAAATAAATAGTACAAGTTTCAGTAGGCCCTTGAGCTAAAAAGTAAATATCCTCAATGAAGTATAACAATTAACCCAAAAATGTCACACAAACAAGGACCCTTATAACACATAATCATACCAAAAGTTTATTCTTTATCTATTAATTTTTCTACTATTTTCTTCAAAATTGACAAAATGACTTAACATTGTTGATTTTAATGCTAGACTCTTTTTAATACTCATATTTAAAGAATGAGCAACAGCTATTAAAACTAAATCCACTATAAAACCAATCATTCTTATAATATGAAATATCTATTCTCAAATTTATTTGATTACATATACTTTGACAAAGCCAATATGATTTAGATAAATTGGAGACATAATCATACAAATTCCATATCAAAAATATTGTGAATAATGAAATCAAGCAAATGCAATAGATTTTCAATTACAACATTTTATGAGGCTGAAAAGTTTTAATCTTCACAGTTTTCCTAGCAAAATAAAATACAATATAGGTCAAAAATGCATAATAGACATATAACTAAAAAAAGTAAAAAACCAATAATGTTTTTTATGCCACATTAAACAAAATATTACCTATTTTTATATTGTATTTTACAAATTAAGCACAAGATAATTAAAATGTAGATAATATTTTTTCTTTTTTTAGCCTATCTAAATTATTTCTTTCTTCTTATCAATTAACATATTCCAACAGCTAAGACACCCAATGCTATAACTTCAGAAACACACAAGCTTTATGATATTTTATATATAATTACGTAATGCAATATACTCCAAAATCTTGGCAACATGTCACTATTCCATTTGTATTAGTTGCCATAATAGTATAAGAAAATTAAAAATTAATTTTTGTAATATAGAATAATATAATCAACTTAATTTAGTTTTGATATCTTAAAATTGAGGAAGATCATGTTCTTATAAATCTTCATCAAGTGAATGTTGACTATCAATATCAGAATCAGATAAAAAAGCATTTAATAATTATGGTTTTTTCATTTCTGTTATGTATTGTTCATTATTTAATTTCTTAGCATTTTCATCATCAGATTCATCATAATTTAAATCAGACTCGTTAGATCTTTCAGATTTATACCCTTTCTCTATCTTGTGTGATTTCCCAGAACTCTTTCTAGATAAATTTATTTTTTAAATCTCGTTATTTTTATTTAATCTTGCTGCAAAAAACCTTTTTATTTAGTCTTATATATAATAGAAATACCTTATAATTCCTTAATAAGCTTCAATAGGTCTAGGTGCATTATGATCACCTAAAAAAGTAAATATGTATTTCTCTCCCTTGAATGCATCATATAAATCTTCAATATGATTCTTTCCAATCATTTTATCACTACTAGCTCTAACAAAATAAGCAGCACAATGTGAAGATAATTTTCTAATATAAAGCATAGTATTAATATTTTTGGGATCATATCTAACTAATTTTCTTACTCTTTTCCTTAATAAATAAAAGACAAATCTAACACCAATTGTTGGAACATGAAAATTATCACCAATATCAATGCAAAGTTGCTTTAAATTACTAAATGGAGAATCTAAAACTAAAGTCTTTAATTCAGTATATTCAGCTGCAGCCATTATAGCTGTTACTGCCCCCATACTTCTACCCCAAACTCCAAATGGACCTAATAATGGAAATCTTAAAGTAGGAATTATATATACTTCTATTTGATATATTTTAAAATGTTTAAAAAGTCTTCTTTTTCATACCATCCAAGAGATACATATTATCCATCTGATATTCCACAGCCACCAAAATCAAAGTTTACTAAACTCATTCCTTCTTAAGCTAACATATTAGCATAACATGAAGATTCTAATCTGGAACTTGAATTTCCATGAAGATATATTATACAAGGTCTTGCTTTATCCTTTAAGTATACAGGACTATATATAGAACATTGTAATTTTAAATTTTATTGTCTTGATAATACTACAAAATCTTCTCTGTAAATGAGTAATTTATTTACTAACATAGTTGTTGGACCTATTTAAAAATAACTGTTTGTATATTACCTAATTTTGGTAGATCATATATTTATCTAGGTGGTCGAACAACAGCATCAACTAATTGATCAAAATAACCTCTTTCTTTTGAACTTTTTAGTTTAATTTCTGCTGTAAATGGTTGATTCATAATATATATATATATATAAATTTGTGTATTATAGTGATCAAATTAAGTCTTTTGAACTTTATAGTTTTATCTTTTACTATATCTTTGTCTACTCTTAAGTAAGATTTAGTGATTTATTTGATTTATGGGCTTTTTAATCTTTCACTGTAGCTTCATAAAATTCCATTGATTTTAATTACTAATGTTAACTTCTCAACATAGGTAATTAACTTATATTAGGAACCTAATATTGTTATTATTATCGAATTTAAGGTTTCATAATTTTTGGAGTTTATTAACAAGATACTAATAATGGTAATGATTATCTTGGTATTTATCCAGAAGTATTATATTATTTATGAAGTTCTTATATTTATTCTTAAAGTATTTTGTCAACTATTACTAATTTGGCTCTTCTATATGCAAAATTCATTATGGTTATTCTAATGTCTGAATTATTATTGTTCAAATATTTCCAAATAAAAAATGCTCCTCTTTTTAAAACTACAATTTACAAATTGTTTAATACAATATTTTTCAGGATATTTCATAAACTTTTTCTTCAAAACGGCATGAGAACACCACAGATGATCATTATCTAAATCAATCATTGGTTAATAAATATTTTTTAAATCTTTTCTTAACTTTCTTTATTATAATCTTAATTGATATTTTAACTCTTTTTCAGGATTTAAATTAGATTCTTAAGGTTACGAATACATTACTAATTTATCAGTAACTGAGACACTACGATTTATAATTTCTGGCTATTTCATTTATTGTTACGTATTTTCTCGAATGATGATTTTCTTACGTAAAAGTAACTTTGGCTTCACTTCTTCTGGTTCAGTCTTCTCTACTTTACTGTCATTACTTGTATCATCTGTTTTCTTTTCTAATTACTACTTCATTTTCCCAATTACAGAAGTCGAAGCTGATTAAATTAACAGTTGGAATTCTTCTCTTGATCTACTCACAAGAAACTTGATCAATACAATCGCGGTGGACATCTGTTTTGTTTTGATCGGTTACCTTAAAATCAGATTCTTAATTTTATTGTACAAAATGTATGCCATCAAAATTATTTTCAGCCATAAAGAATTACTTAAACATAGAAAATAAATCCTTTGTATCCTTCTGATTGAATCTTATAATGTGCATTTCAGGTCTGAATTATTTTATTATTGTTTAACTAAATCTATATATTTACATCCTTTCGGGTAAATTTACCATTAGGATTTTTGACAATGCCTCTATAATCTTATTCTCTTCTTCAATTCTTTATTTATCGTTCTTCTTAAGTCCAATTATTTTGAATCCCAATTATCTTAAAGATTATTAAACTTTTGTAAATTCCAAATCAAAAAATATTTGATTTGCAAGTACTTATTAGTTTATAGCATTTAGTAATCTAATATCTTCACTCCGTTCAAGTATTATTTTTTGTAATACATCAAGTTAGTTAAATGTAATATCCATATTAAAATTTTTATAATTAATATCACATTTCATTATTTTATAACTAAATCTTATAATTATATTTCATACGTCAATTTTTATAATATGCATATTCATTATATATCATTTCATTTCATTCAATTATTATTATAAGTTTTTGCAAATATATTGTTTATATATAAGCTACTAAATAAACTTAATAATATTAAATCAAATAAATAATTAATAGTTATGGAAATTTAATTTTTAAAGAAAAATTTATTTTAAACCTATTTTAAACAATCTTTATTTTAATCAACTATTATTATAATAAACAAATGTATAAGACAAATTGTTAAAAAATATAAATATCTTATTTTAAATTTTACAGTTATGAAAGGAAAAAAAAATAATATAGTTTTGAATACTCAATTTTAATCTAGTTTAATTATAAGACATATTTTTTTGATATTTAAATATACTTTAATGTTATTTAAATTACTTTTAATGTTTTGTTAAAATGTAGATAAATAATAACCATATATTAATTTTGAAATTCAATAAAATGCTAGTTGTTTTTTAACAAATTTGAAATTTATAAATCTCCATTTTCAACTCAAATAAATGTATATAATAATATATGGTTTAGAAATTCAAGGTTTAAATCTAATTAATTTGACTATTGGTATTAATTTAATTAATAATTACTTATGAGTGCATAATAAAGAAGAATATAGGAATAAATGCTTAAAATGGGTTATTAACCTGTTAGAAAAAGCTAATTTTAATTAAAACCTATATCTATTGTCAAACAAATACACACACTTCCAGATATTCCAATTACATAAAGATTAGAGGTTACTCATTAAGGAGCTTCAAAATTACAAAAAGTTATTAGTACATTCAGAGCTTCTAATGATAATATAAGAATAACTTGTAAAAGAACTTCAATCTAACGAATGTCCATCAAAGAAATAATAAAGAATTATGTCAAATATCAAAATAGTTTGTAAGTATGTCAACTATTTCATAGATAACTTGATGGTCTGGATGCACTAAGAAATCTTATTAAAAATGGAGATTCCATAAATATAAATATAAATAAGGCTTAAAATATTGAATTCTTTATTGGAACGTTGAGTGATGGCCATGGAGAATTTGGATCTTAAATTTCTTCCTTAATTACAGAATATTATATAGATGAGTTATAAAAATTATTCAACTCAATACCCTTATTATAGATAAGTCTAACCTTAAAAGATAGTCTAAACAAGATATATTAGCAGATTGAACAAAATTTAGTATAATTGTGTTTATAATATAATTTAGATTGCCCAAACATTAATCGATTACAGACTAAGTGGAGCCTCACTGCTCAGTGTAATTATAGTTAATAATGTAATATATTGTTCGAATTTGGGAGATTCAAAAGCAGCCTACTTTTATAAATCAGAATAGTTAAATGATAATCCAAAAGAAATAAGAAAATTTATTTAAAAAAATTTAAACTAAATACATGACACAAATAGTGGAAAAGAAGTAGATAGGATAATGAGAAGAGGAGGAAAAATAGATTAAGCTATTTTCAAAGGATAAAAAGAAGGAAGTTTGAAAATATGGGTACCTAAATAAAATTATCCTGGAATTAAAATAACAAGATGCTTTGGGAATTCAATAGGTAAAACAATAGGAATTACAGCTGACCATGATTTTTTAGAATTTAAAATTCCAAAATCAGGGTATCTTCTTATGGCAAGTACAGGATTATGGGAGAAATTGGATATTTTATTAATTGAATAAATCTTAGATAATTATTACCCTCCTTAATCTTGGGCTGATTTAGATAAGGCCACAAAATAACTTGGGAATGAAACAAAAAAATTCTGGGATGTTGATGGATAAGGATCTGTAGACATTTCTTTAAGCTTAGTTTACATATCTTTAGAAAAATGATTTTATTGGTATATATGTATGTAAAAATACTAGATTATGATTATCTTTCTTTTACTTCAAATTAAATTAGATCATCTTATTTATATAGACTAAATAATATAATAATTTTAATGTAAAATAATAATATCACTTCCTATCATCTCAAAAAAATGTTGACTCCCATTCAAAATAAGAAAAGTTAAGATCCATTTTATTAAAATCAAATATAATCCTTTGTACATTTAAAGTCATATATGCCAATAAATCCTTTAAGATTACCTTAACGAAAACATAAAAAAGTAGCTAATTTATCATAAATTGATGATATCAAATGTAAGTGTTGATAAAATAAGAGCTATTTTAGTAGAAATAATAACTAAGAAAAACACTCTCAAATGGTTCAACTTTGTAAACTTCTGAATTACCTGAATATTTAGGAATCTAAACAATAATAGAAGAAAATGATGATTAGGCAAAATCCTATTGTAAATAGATATCTCCATCTTATGTTCATTATCATAATCATACAAAATAGGTAATGAATTTAATGAAAAATGCTCATTAATAATTATCTCCAGTGATTGGAAGAAAAAAATTAGAAGCTAATTTGATTGGAACAATTGATTTCAATCACTTTACAAGGTTGATGAAAGCAGTTTACTATCCAATTAAATAAAATAAAAATTAAGACCTTATTAAAAAAAGGGCTTTTTCAGAAAAAATTTTCCAAAAATAAACTTAATGAATAAAATTAATGAATATAAAAATTTAAATCTATAAATGATATAGAATATCTATTGAATATTTGAAAGTAATACAATAAAAATTAGATTCTTAATTATATGATTATATCTTTAAAAAATTATTGATAAATTAATTAGTAATTAGTGTTCTTAACCATAAATAAATACTGTTTATTTAATGTTAATTTTTAAACAAGTTTTATTATATCTAAATAATATATATTAAAATTAATTACAAAATTTATGGTTTTTTATAATTAATTACAATATAGAATTATAACTTCTGAATTTTGAAACCAACAACATATTTGGTAAATTTTAAATATAGCAAATAAATACATGATGACAGATTTAATTTTGTGTTTTCTATTTATTTTATTAATTTTTAAGATAAATTGTCTAAATTTCTGAATGAATCAATTTGCATTGCTATATTTCATAAAGTTTTCAAAATAAAAATTAATATGAGTTCTAAAAACTTAAAAATATTAAGTTATCTCATTATATATGATTACCATCTATTAAATTTGATCAAGTTAAAGTTTAATGAATCTTTTTAAACTTGATTATATAATGCATCTAAAGTATGGATTTTCTGAGATACTAATTAAAATTGAATTGATTCAGCTCTGTATAATATTTCTTTCAAAAATAAATAAATGAACTTTTTAAGATAAGCTGATTTTTTTGGAATTCCTTTTGTTCAATAAATAGATTTGAAGTAATCTATATATAAAAGTGCATTTGGAGGATTTGTTACTTTACTTATATTTTCTGCTAGTGTAGCTTATTCCATTTGGATTCTTTATCTATGGTAAATTAATTAACTAAGTCCTAAAATTTCAAATTCAATCTATACATCAGATTTTAAGTTACTTGATATGAATTATGATATCATCAAATTATATTTTTGGAAATTTGATGAAGAAATGATTGATCCATTTGAGGAAAAAATTTTATTACCTTTGGTGATGTATACAACAAACTTCAGTTTCACATAATTAGAAACATTAGAAATGTCAAATGAAACTTCGATTGATGGTAAAAGTAAGTTTATAATACCTAAAATGGGTTTAGCTTTTTAGGAATTTAATGGAGAAATATATACAACAACAGAAATGTATATTTAGATTGTTAAATGTTCAGATATATATTTAAAACCTAATGAAAAATGTGCCTCTCAAGAAATAATAGATAAGTTTTATAATTAATCCTTAAACATTGTGGTTATGTAAATTCATTATAAATCATTGGATTCTAAGGATGGTTCTGAATAAGCTAGTTTACAAGAATTTTATATACAATTAGAATAATAAAATTGTTATACATTAAATACATTTTTATAAAGTAGTTTTTACGAAATTAGAGATTCATTCCTATTTGGTTCCCCAAGATATGTTGAATACATTAATGGGGCTTTAATTTAACCATAAACTAATTCTAATGAATATTGTAAGCTTGCTTATGAGAATGATGTTTTAGGATTAATTTATATTATAATGAAAGGAAATCAAGTCAAAATGATATTTGAATATCCTCATGCTGGAGATTTATTAGCTAATATAGGATCTATAGTATCTGTTTTATTTATGATAAAATATTTAATCATAGTAATAAATTAGTATTTTTTGAATTAAACTATAATTAATTAGTTGATTGAACTCTATTATCCAGAATATAAGCATATTACAATTTAGAAAAATTGGAAAAGATAAATTAAATAAGTCAAATATTAAAATAACTAAATAGATCTTAAAGAATTTATATCTTTTTATTAAAAAATACATGATTAAATGAGGTCAAAATTTAGTTTTATAAATCTATTATATGAGATATCTAGAATTCAATTCATTATAAGATCAACAAAAAGTAGAGATGAATTTAGAAAATCTCATTAAATTGGCATTAAATTAAGTTTTTCAAATGAAAAAGATTTAAATTTTTCAGCTGTTAAATCAAGTTTTACGTAGCGACCTTTTTCAAATTAACTTTATTTGATTGATGAAGAAGTAGATATATTATCTCTCACAGAACGTTTAAGAGAAAAAAATGATTATAAAATTCCAGACGAATTATAAGAATAAAATGATTTCTATGAAATAAATAAAATAACTTGAAATTTCAAAGTTATTCTTTTTAATTTATCAATTATTCATGATATCTTGTTTTGTTTAATTAATTAAATTCTGAATTTTATGAATTGAAATACTAAATTACTTCTGTTCCTTAAAAACTATTAATCGCATTAAAATTATCATTATTATATATACACTCATCTCCAAATGAGTCAATAATTTGTAGAATCATTTCCTATAAACTAAGTTTTAAAATTCTAATGAAAATCAAGATGAGAAAATTTTATAGATTTATAAGGTGTTATAATAATAAAGGATTAGTAAATCAAATTCAAATTTGATATAGTAATATATTCAGCTATTTATCGAGTCTAATAATTTTATATTTCTATATATATATATATATTTTCAAATTGATTTAATTTTTTTTATTAAAATAATTATTCTCAATTTTTTTTCATTATTATAATTTATTCATAAGAATAATATTGATGACTCCTAAAATTAAAAAAGGAAAACCCTATTAAAAAGCTTCTCCTATTAAGAGCAAAGATATTAAAATAATTGTTATTGATAGTTTCAAAAGAGATAAAAAAAAGTAGGAAGTGAAGAAAAAAGGAACCAAAAAATAGTTAAGCAAATTATAAAAATTTCAAACACAAATGATTCCTCAAAATAATGTAGATTAGATTAGATTATAGCATATCTCATGTAAAATACTGTGATTTACTTTAGCTAAAATTTAGTAGAATTATAGAACTCAAAATCAGTCATATTTATTAAAAATTAAGAATTTATATGATTAATATAAATCTTTGATCTTAAAATATACATTGCTAACTGAACTTGATGATTTTACTAATTGCCATGATTTTCTTAGAAAAACTATCATAAATACTTTCATAAATTAGATTAAGCAAAGTTTTGATTTTCAAAATAAAATTTAATTTCAAGTAATTTCAATAGATCAATTAATTTCTATTTAATTAAAAATTAATGCTTAAACCTAATAATTAGAACTTTATAATCTATTGAAACCAGTTTTTAGAACAAAAACTGTAGATTAGGCTTATATTAAATTAAAAATAATGATGCAATAAAGAAATATATTGAAAAAATTAGAAGAGAAAAATTAAGCCTTTGAAAGTTTGAAGGAATAAAGTTTAGAAAAGTGTTTTGATAATGAAATTGGAGATTTGCATTTTTCAGCATTAAATTATACTGAACTTTTAGAAACTTAATAAAAACAAGAACTAATTTAAAATGCTAAAGCAAAATAAGATTAACCTTTAATTTTAGATAGTTTTTTTAAAAATTCTAATTTGCAAAATCCTAAATAATAAATAAATTCAATTAGATAATTTTTACTTAAACCTATTGCTAAATAATAAATGGAAATAAGTAAAATTTCTATAAAATCCAGAAATCAAAGTAAAGAATCATGTAATTCAAGAAATGATTAATATTTTATGCCTTTTTAATCAAATATTTAAAAACAAAAAGCTATGCCATATCAAAATTTAATTTAAGAATTTAGATAATAAAACAAATAGATATTTTAACCTAATGTAAATCAAAAAGTAAGTAGAATTTAAAGCATGAATACTTCTTTTGAATTACCTTTTGATTTAGAATCATAAACAAGTTGTACTCCAGCAAATGCTAAAAAAACTATGTTAGTTTAAAATAGACCAAATAATAAGATAGGTTTTGAGGGAGGATGTCGAGATATAGATAAATATAGTTACAATTCTAGGAAAGAAATTCAAAATCCAAATATAAGTGTAAATAGGAATGATATTAATTAATCTCAATTATATAATTACTAAAATAGAAGTGTTGATTTTAGTCGATAATTAGGATTCAGCAATTTATACAATTCAAAGATATTTAATGGAAATAATAATTAAATTAATTTAAATAATAATAATAATAATAATCTATAATTTTCAAAAATATAATCATTACATGCTAGCACAATAGTAAATGATTGGTTATGTGAATCACCATAAAATAGATTAATACTTTAATAATAAAATATGTTTTAATAATATAATTGGATAATATTCACAAATGAAAATAGCAATATGAGGTTTAATAGATAAATCAATATTTAAAATTTGAAATTATTAAATGTTTAAATTGATTCTAACTTTTTTGATGATTACGAGTATATATTATTGAGTGACAAGTTTAAAATATTAATAATGGAACAAAAAGATTTAGTTTGTCCTGAAACTCACATGAGACTGGGTAAGGGAGATGAAAAAGGAGCAATTCAGTCTCTCATTAATAAAATGAAACTATAAATGCAATAATTTATGCTATAATACAATAGTAGATAAGTTATTGTTTTAATTTAATATTAACATTAATTTTTTTTAAGGATGTTAATTGAATACATATTTCCATAATTAGGATAATTGTAAGAATAATATAAAATTACACCATTTTATTAAATAGAAGAATTATAAGAAATAATATTTGATCTAATTCAGAATTAAGAGAACATAAGATATGATAGATTGATAAAAGTACCAAATGATCTTAACAAATTTCGATCAAAAATATAAAATATTGAATTTTCTAATTTGGTTACAATGAGATGCTTGAATCAATTATATTAGACTTTAGTATAATAATTAACAAATTGATATAATTAATTAAATTACTTTTAAATAAATATTAATTAAATTAAAAATTGCATTCAACAAAAAATTATATATTTATATTAGTATTTTATTTATTTTCTATATATACAAATTTTAATTTAAATAATAAGAAAATTCAATAACATTTAATATTAACATATTATCTAATTGTCTTATTCATTTTATTACCTAAAAATTTCCTCTTTCTCATTTAATTAATTAAAATAAATTTATCCTTATTGATATTATTAGTTTATAATATATATTTTAATGATTTTTATAATTATTTATAATATTGTTGAGATACTCTGAATCATGAAATATTATTACATAAATTCATATATATTATTTTAGTAGCTTCCCTTCCTCTTACATCTATCGGTCCTGTCTTAACTGGAATATTCTCTCTTCCCTTTGGTTATATCCTTCTTGCTGGACTGACATAAATTTTCTATATAAGTTTCTGAGAATCTAAAGGTTTAGGTGAGGCCATTCTAACTCTTTGTTCTGGTTTTTATATTATATTATATTCTGTGATTCTTCTTCTTGGTGAACCACATTTCAATTACTACTGAGAGGGATATTATCGAAGTGGAGATCTTGGTTGAATGTTTTCTTAGAATTCTACTAAATTCAACATGTTGCTATATTTTTTTACGAATGAAGAAGCTAGGATTTAACTTATAGGAGGTCTATGATTAGGATCTAGAGATAATAATTGAGAAATTAATTAGTAAGCTTCTTTTGATACTGATGGTTTAATTTTGGGTTAACATTATTTAATAGCAACTGAAATTTCTTTAAAATCTTTTCCTTTAAATGGTGCATATTTATGTAGTAATTCAAATAACAATATTCCCAATGACCATAAATCAATTTTATAATCATACATAATTTCCATTACTATTTCAGGTGCCATATATTCATAGGTTCCACAAAAAGTCTTTCTCTTTTAATGTATATTTTCAGCACACCAACCAAAATCACATACTTTCAAATTAAATTTTTCATCTAATAATAAATTTTCTGGTTTGATATCTCTATGAAATACATTATTTTAATGCATATATTATAATGCAAGACATGTTTAAACAAAATATTTACATGCTTCTTATTCACTCATAGGTGGATTCTTTTAAATATGTGTAAATAAATTGCCTAATTTTATTTTAATATATATCTACCATTTTCAAGATATTCAATAACAATAAAAATAGAATCATTTTCATAAAATGAATCATAAAGTTAAACTATATTTGGATTCCTACATTTTTTATGAACTCTTATTTCTCTTTCTATACCTTCACTTTCACATTAATTTGTAATTGTCTCTCCAGGCATCTAANTTTATAATATTGTTGAGATACTCTGAATCATGAAATATTATTACATAAATTCATATATATTATTTTAGTAGCTTCCCTTCCTCTTACATCTATCGGTCCTGTCTTAACTGGAATATTCTCTCTTCCCTTTGGTTATATCCTTCTTGCTGGACTGACATAAATTTTCTATATAAGTTTCTGAGAATCTAAAGGTTTAGGTGAGGCCATTCTAACTCTTTGTTCTGGTTTTTATATTATATTATATTCTGTGATTCTTCTTCTTGGTGAACCACATTTCAATTACTACTGAGAGGGATATTATCGAAGTGGAGATCTTGGTTGAATGTTTTCTTAGAATTCTACTAAATTCAACATGTTGCTATATTTTTTTACGAATGAAGAAGCTAGGATTTAACTTATAGGAGGTCTATGATTAGGATCTAGAGATAATAATTGAGAAATTAATTAGTAAGCTTCTTTTGATACTGATGGTTTAATTTTGGGTTAACATTATTTAATAGCAACTGAAATTTCTTTAAAATCTTTTCCTTTAAATGGTGCATATTTATGTAGTAATTCAAATAACAATATTCCCAATGACCATAAATCAATTTTATAATCATACATAATTTCCATTACTATTTCAGGTGCCATATATTCATAGGTTCCACAAAAAGTCTTTCTCTTTTAATGTATATTTTCAGCACACCAACCAAAATCACATACTTTCAAATTAAATTTTTCATCTAATAATAAATTTTCTGGTTTGATATCTCTATGAAATACATTATTTTAATGCATATATTATAATGCAAGACATGTTTAAACAAAATATTTACATGCTTCTTATTCACTCATAGGTGGATTCTTTTAAATATGTGTAAATAAATTGCCTAATTTTATTTTAATATATATCTACCATTTTCAAGATATTCAATAACAATAAAAATAGAATCATTTTCATAAAATGAATCATAAAGTTAAACTATATTTGGATTCCTACATTTTTTATGAACTCTTATTTCTCTTTCTATACCTTCACTTTCACATTAATTTGTAATTGTCTCTCCAGGCATCTAAAAATATTATAGAAAATTACAATTTTAATTGCATATTTCTTTTGTGTTGGTTTATGAAGATATAAATTTACACTTCCAAAACTACCAGTTCCTAATTTCTATATGAATTAAAACTCATTCATAGTTGTAAATGTTCCTGAATTGAAAGTTTAGATTTGTTTTGCATAACTAGACATTAATAAAATTCAGAATTTTAACGGTATAAATATTAATTTTTATTATTAGCAATCATAATCGATTTTCATTGTATTCTTTATTATTATCTATAAAGGTTTATATAATTATCAATGCAAAAATTAATTAAGATTTATCCATTAATTACTAAATTATCAATACTTTATAAATATGCTGAATAGTTAAATTATTATGAATCAGTCTTTTTTATTATTTTTTATCAAAAACATAATTTTTTAAAATATACACTCTTCTTTGTCTCTTAATGATTAAACACTTTATTAACCTATTCCATTTTTCTAATCGAAAAGGTTAATTGTTGAAGGAAATATTTAAAACTATAGAAATATATACATTTGATCCTTTTTTAATATATAATCTTAAAACACAAGTAAAAGTTGGAATTAATTAATAATATTGCTAATTTTCTTTGTAATTAAGTTGATGCTATAATTAAATATCATTTCTAATAGCCTTAAATATCAACTTCTTCAAAAAATTATTATTACTGAATTATTAAGACCTAATAAATAGGCGTCGCTAATTATACTTAAATAATTTATACAGAAAAAATCTTTATATTATCTGGAAAATTGATAGGAATGAATGAGCATAAAGAAGTCATTAGGAAATAAATTGGAGATTATTGTTTTAATATGAATGATATTATTGGAGAAGGCTATTCATCCAAAGTCTATAAGGGAATTCACATGGTTACTCATTAAGTTGTTGCAATAAAAGTCATTTCTTTAGAAAATTACAATTCACCAATATAGAAATCTCTTCTTTAAAATGAAATCAAAATTCTGTTGTAAATTGATAATCCCAATCTGCTGAGAGTATACGAAATTAGTAGAAGTGCCAATAACACCTATATTGTGAGTGAATATTGTGAAGGTGGTAATTTGGAAGATTTACTGAAATAAGAACCAATGAATATAAATAAGGCTATTGATATACTAATATAAATTTGTAAAGGCCTTTCAGACTTACATAAAAAAAGTATAATAAATAAACTTATATAAAAATAGATATCATACACAGAGACATTAAACCAGCAAATGTATTAATCTAAGATGGCATTTTTAAACTTGTTGATTTTGGTTTTGCTCTTATTGAAAATTAATATGATAGTATAATTAAACGATATAATGTTGGAACTCCTATGTATATGGCACCTGAAATTTAATTGTTCAATTAATATTCAGAAAAAAGTGACGTATGGGCTTTAGGAATAATGTTATATGAGATGTTATATCAGACAGCTCCAAAATTAAAATTGAAAGAGAAAACACTTTTGTAAGAGATCTAAGAAAAATGTTAAACAGTAGATATAAAATATTAAAATTTAATAATTAGACTATTTGAAGGCATGTTATAATTGGAACCTGAAGATAGATTAACAATTTAATAGATTCTCTCAATAATATAAGAGAATTAATCATCTGCTTATAAAATTGGTTCACAATTAATTAAACTATCACAAAAATCAATATCTACATAAATTAATTCTCCTCTTTAATTTAAAGGTGCAAAAACTCCTAATGAAATTAGGAAAAAATATGTTGAACAACTATTATCTCATAATAAGCCTTAATCTTTTGATGAATAAAAATTTGGCAATTTTGTTAAAGTAAAAACTTAAAAGCAAGAATAAGAAGTTGAAATCACTTAATTTACATTGGAAGATGAGTATCAAGGTAAAAATATTCAAACTAAGTTGAATCAACCTGCCTTTAGAAATTACCATAAGAAGAGCGACTCAGACATCAATATCGAATTGATTGGTTAAATTAGTACTGATTGTTCAATTCAGAAATCTCCAAAATAATAATTTATCTCATAATAAGTTAATGATGATATTGATTTACCAGTAATATTGAAGCCTACATATAAATTTTGTGAATTTGTTGAATAGATGATATAGAATTTTAATTATTAAGATAATGATCTTATGTTGAAATTTCAATTTCTTTTAAGAAAATTATTAGCAATAAAAGCCAAAGTATTTTATACATTTGCACCTATTAAAATAAAATCATCTTTAGATTGTTGGATAAATCAACTTTAAGAATATTATTAGAAGATCCAATATCAAATCAATTTAAATTTAGATAAAACTTTTTAAATATTTTTTAATCCTAATCTAGATGATTAAGGAAAGCTTTTGACTATGTACATAATAAGTTTAGCCAATTAAATGAATAAATAAACTAATGAAATGAAAATAATAATTGAAATTTTGGAAGAAAATTTGTAACATTAAAATGATCCATTTTTATTTGCAAGAAAATGGATGTTTCAGAAATCATGATATTATTCGCCATATTTTTGAATTTGATTATAATTTATCGATTGGCTTTGATAAAATTAATTTAATTTATTCCTTATTTATTATTTCTTTTTAAAAAAAATGGACTAAAATGATGATGATGAAAAAAGAAAAAGAATTGAAGAAAAAAAGAAAATATTTTTGGAAAAAAAAAAGGCAAAAGAATTAGAATAAAAGAAATAAAAGGAATAAGAAGAACAATAATAATAAATGAAAAAATAAGAGTAATCATTAGAAAATAATGTTAAAAAATAAACTGATAATGTAATAATGTATTGGTATATACAAGTAATCTATTCTTGATGAAAACCTTTAATAGTAACTTAATGAATAATAAAAATAGAAAGAATAATAAAATAAATCTGAAACATCAAAAAAATAGGTTGAATAATCAACTTAAATTATGTCATTATAAAAAAAAGAAAACTAATAATAATAATAAAATAATTAGAAGTCTCAAAAATATGATGAATCTAATTCTAAAGTTATTTAGATTATTAATAAACAAAATAATAATTAATAAAAAACTTTTACTTCTGATTAAAAAGCAAAAAATAAACTTATAGAAGATAATAATAGAAATTAGAAAGAAGATATACAAAAAAAGAATGATGAACCTAAACTTGATTAAATAAGGTAAGATAAAGATTAATAGATTTAAGAAGATAATAAAAAATAATTATTAGTTATAAATAAAAAATAAGATAATGACAAGTAAATTAAAGATTAAAAACAAATCAAAGAAAATGAAGATAAATAAAAATTAAAATATGAAGCAGAAAAATTAGAAAAGGATAGAATTGATAGAGAAAAAAAAGAGAAAGAAAGATAAGAAAGAGAAAAATAAGATAAAATAGAAAGAGAAAATAAATAAAAATAAGAAAGAGAAAAATAAGAAAAAGAAAAATAAGAGAGAGTTAGATAAGAAAAAGAAAAATAAGAAAGAGAAAAATAAGAAAGAGAAAAATAAGAAAGAGTTAAATAAGAAAGAGAAAAATAAGAAAGAGAAAAATAAGAAAGAGATAAATAAGAAAGAGAAAAATAAGAAAGAGTTAGATAAGAAAGAGAAAAATAAGAAAGAGATAAATAAGAAAGAGTTAGATAAGAAAGAGTTAAATAAGAAAAAGAAAAATAAGAAAAAGAAAAATAAGAAAGAGATAAATAAGAAAGAGATAAATAAGAAAGAGAACATTAAGAAAGAATAAACAGAGAAAAAAAATAATAAAATGAATTATAAGAGAAAGAAAAATCTTAAATAAATTGTAAGATATAAATAGAAAACATAAATTCTTTGAATGAAAATTATTAATAAATTTAGAATAATAAATAAAATGAAAAAGAATAAAATTAATAAAGAATAGATATAAAGAAGTAACTCAAAGATCAATAATAAAACAATAGCAGCTGCGAAGAAGGTGAGATTATTCAACATTCAGTGAATTAAAATGTCTAACATTTTGAGAATATTTAAGATTAAAACAATATTGTTATTTCATAGTAATTTGTAGAATAAGCACATATAAGAAATGAAAATGGAATACAAAGAATAAAAAAAAGACACTGTAAAATAATTCTTCAAGATTTAAGAGAAAAGATTTATAAATATAATTAAAAAGATAATAAAAAAAAATAAAAAAGACTTAAAATATATAAAAAAGCTATCTATTAATTTATTTAAAATTTACCTGAGATAAATGAAGATTAAGAAAACAAAACATAAAGATTTTTAGATGTTTTCAATTATTTTGATAATATAATTTGATTCATGTGTTATGATAAATTGTTAATATTATATACTCATTTTTATTTTCTTAAAGTAATATATTTCTTAATTATATTTACCTAATTTTTCAACGAATAAATGGCAAAAGAATTTTAAGTTTTGAAGTTAAATTCTCCTAACAATCTAAAGAAAAAAAATACATAATTATGCTTTAATTCACTTGGATTCTTGCATTCTATTTAATTTGTTAATCATATAGAAAAAAATGATGAAATAAAATAATCACATTAAGATTTAATGAAAAAATATTACTAATCAAAGACTTATGAACAAAAATAGACAGCTTTATCCACAATTTAATCATAAAAAGTATATTATTAATTTATAAGACTTTGACTTCGAAATTTGAGAATATTAGCGATACGATGAACCTAAAAATAAACAATATTAAACAAAAAGAAAAGGAAAATTAATTTTTTCGATAGCCTAAAATTTCAGAAATTGATTAATCTAATAATTAAATACCAAGAGAAAAGTCTTTCTTTTCTAAGTAAATACAATTTAATCATATTATCAGACTCCAAACTCTAAAAAATTGTGATAAGAAGCCTAATAGTCAGACTAAAGTTATATCACCAAACACTACTCTGATGGATAAGAGAACTGTAGATTCCAATATAATGCCACTTTCAAGTTTAGTTCGAAAATCATTAAAATAAAAAAATTAACCGTAACTTTTATAAATAAGCTCAAATACTTTATTCCTTAAGGATGAGATTTCTGGTAAAGGTTGCTTTAAGTAAAAATCTCAAAGCTAGTAAGAAGTGTAAAGGTATGTCTAGGATGAGATAGAAGATACATTACAATAGAAGGACAAAATTGATTAAGAAATTAACCATTGTTCATCTTAATTTGTTGTGAAAAAATGCTTTTTCTCTTTAGCGCAAGGATGTGTAGGTATTATATATTTTTAGTTTTAGAACAATAGAACAGTAAAACAAGATCTTTGAGTAATGAAAAAGGATTGAATTTATAGGGACCCAAAGTATCAAAAAGCAATAGAGCACATACTTAAGGAAAATAGGAGTAAAAATAGATAAATAGATTGTACGAATATATATTAGAAGGTAATTGTTGATATTTAAATCTATATTTATTATGACTCTAATCAATTACCAAAATAAATTAATAAATTAAAAAATTCAATATTTCTATAAAATATGGCATTTAAATATTTGATTTAAATATGATATTAATACATATAATATAATAATAGATTTATTTAACTAACTTATTATTTTAATTAAATGAAATTTCATAATATTTTGCTTTTTAATGGAGTTAAATATTAAAAATATAAGTTTCCAATAAATATCTTTTTAAATAAACATGCTAATAGTAATTTCATGTGTTAAAATTGAAAAAGTTTTATAAATTTATCAAAATAATTTTAAAATCTTTAAATTATAATTAAAGTCTTATTATTATGATTCATAGATAAAAATATATGTAAAAATTGATCATTTGTATGAATTATAATATAATATTAAATAATAATTTTATTAAATCTAAATTTAGTAAAATGAATAAATTAAATGATATTAATTATAATATTTATTTTGAATATTCAATAAATTCAAAAATTTCATAATTACTTTAGCTATTGAACTTCTTTTCGCCATGATAAACTAAATTCATTTACTTTAGACATAAACTCTTCTTAAAAGTTTGAATCTCTATTAATGTGTTACAAATCAATTAATTTAGGTTTAGGCTTCTCAATTTTTTCATATTCTTTTAATTATCCATATACGCTATTTTGAATATCATTTTATTTTAGGGTTTCAACAACAAGCTTCAAGTCTTCATTTTCTTGGATGATTGGAATCTTGATTTGTTTCAACATCTCTAGATTTTTGGACCAAAGATGGCTTGCCTATTATTCATACTATTGAATAATTCGAAACATTTGGCTTAAGAGATCGAGCAAATCTGAGACTGTGGCATAGCCTGAGGAATGAATACTTTCTGTTAACTTTGAATTGATTTCAATTTTTAATGAATGGAATATGCATGACCATTCGAAAAGGATGTCTATCTTTATGATATGGGCATCTTTGGAGGAGAATACTAAGGACTAGCCTTTCTCTTATTTTTGTTCTTTCTAGATTTGTCAATAGAAAAAGTATGAATACCTTAATTTGTAATCAATAAGTTTTTGAACAAGGATGTTTTGGGAAATTTGATTCATTTTAATTTTATTTTTAAGTAGTTAATAATCATTTCTTTACTAATATATTATAAATATCTGATCCAACCTTTGGATTTATTTTTGGAAGGATTTATTTTTTACTTCGATTACTACCTTAAGATTATTTTAATTTTCTAATAGCTTCATCAACATTAGTAAAGAATGGTTTATCTTTTTTTTATGGGCTCTTGCTATTTAATTCATTGAAAACTATGCTACCAGCCTATTATTAAGCAGGTTCTCCATTAGAATTTAAATATGAGTCCATTAACTTATCATAAGAGAGTGTTTTGAGAGCAAATTGACGAAGATCTTTTTAATATTGAAATTTAGGCAAGGTTGTTGGATCTCTAACATCACTACATGTTTTTAATTCTAATTATAATTTTGATACCATTTATTTCTAGAATAGATTAATATAAATACTCTGAAAATTCTCCATTTAATTCCATCGAGAAAGGCTTCTCTGATATGATCATCTGTAGGATAAGGTTTAGAGTTTCTACAGACTTCAGCTAATTAAAATTGACTCATTAGATTAAAATCAATAAGAGAAATTACAAAACAAGTAGTTTACATACCTGTAACAGCTGTATATTGACTAGGCTTATAATGTTATAATTCATAATCACCAATATATTTTCCAGGTCCTATTTCATCAATTTCTATTTTAAGATTTCTACTCTATTTATTTGGATCATATTTATGTTGAAATTAAATTAATCCATTTTTATTAATATTAAATGGTATTGTACGATAAAGTTTAACAGAACCTGTTTCTACTACATAAAAATTATTAAGAGTTTATCCTTAATTAATGAATGCATAATTTGATTGAAATGTTCTATATTCCATTTTACTTGCAAGTCTAATTTTATCTGGAAAATTTAATGAAAGAAATGGTTCTATGACATTGAGAAGATTATATGCCTTTTATATATTAATTATATTATACTTAATTTGCTTATTCAGATGAATGAAATTTCATATATTTATTGAAATCATTTCTATGAAGAACCATCAATTCAGTTTACTTTCCAACTACTATTGTAGCATTTCTATCTGAATTAAATAACAATGCTAATTCACCAAAACAATCTCCTACACCAGATATACCAACTTATTTAATTTCATCTAAGCCAGGACTTTTAATCAATATTCTAGCCTCTCCTTTTAAAATTATATAAAATTTATCTGCTGGATCTCCTTACCTAAAAAGTGTTTGTTCTTATTCATAAACTTCCAATTACAAATATCTACACATCTCTATAAACTCTTATGATTTTGTACTTAAATCATTGTAATATATAATACTTTGTAAATTGAATGAAAAAAGCAAAACTTTCTAGTATGTTTCTAATATCAATTAACTACTCATTGTTTCTTTCATCAGAAGAAGAGAGTAAGAAATCTCTAATCTATAAATATTTATCTTAGAATAGTTGTTTTGGATTCATTTTATATAAAAATTAATGAAAAATAATTAGGATTTCATTTAAATGATGCTAGATCTTAATCTTAGCAAAGAATATATAAAAAGTATAAAAGGAGACTTAAATAGAAACTAATCTATTAATAATAAATTGAATATTCAAAAATTAAGTAAATTTTATAAGACTCTAAATAATGCTGATGTATTATAATTGTATAATTAGTTATTAAGTTATTGCACCAATAAATTCAGTTGTATACACAAAGCAGTTAGAGATGAATTAAGAAATAGATTTAATACACCCTTAACTTAATTTTGGCCAATTTTAGCAAATATTATTTAAAATAAAGAAGCTAATCCAAAATATTATACAGATTTACTAAAAATTTAAGAATTTCCGAAATATTTTAATGATACTATTTAAAAAGATGTAGTTCGTACTTCTAGTAATTAAGAAATGCAATAAAAGTTAACTAATGTTTTAACAGCCTATGTTATTAGGAATGCTTAAATTGGATATTGTTAAGGATTTAATTATATTGCACATTATTTATTATTAAATTAAAGATACTCAGAAGAAGTAAATAATTCAATTTTATTTAAGGATACATTTTGGTTTCTATGTCATTTATTCGAGACTCTCTTACCATAAAATTATTATAATCATTTATTTGGTGTTTTAAGTGATGATGAAATAATTAGATAGATTCTATAAAAAGAAAAACCTCATTTAATGGAACATTTTAAAAACTTATCAGTAGAAACAAGTTTATTCACAATTTAATGGTTAGTTTGTTGTTTTACATTTCACAATAAATTAACAGATACTATTTTTGATCTTCTTTTAGTTGAAGGTTCGAAAGCATAAATTAAATCTACATTAGCTTATATCAATCTATTAGAAGATTCATTATTATAAGCAAATGATATTGGCTGTCTTATAATGACTATTGAACATTTTATTTCAACATTTTAAGATAGATAAATATTCATTGAAGAATACCAAAAAATTTATGTTAATAATAAAATATTATAAAATATTAGATAAGATATATCTAATTAAGTAGTATCTACAGTTTAATCAAGTGATACAAAAAGAGTGACATCTCTTAATGGATTTCTTGAAGATTTACGAAAATAAAAATGTTAATTGAATCTTCCTATATGTATATATGAATTGGAAACTTGGAGTAGAAATAAGAAACATATGGATAATCTGGTTTTTAGAGTTGGATAATTAAATCAAATAAATAATGAAAATAAGAGATAATCATTGAAAAATCCTGATAGAATCAATAATCAACTTATGGTAAGATAAAATCATATTTGTGATAAAGATGATAGTTATTTGATTAGAAAACTATAACATAAAGATAATTATGAAATCTAATTAATTGACATTAACAAAAGAATATAACAAACTCAAATTGTTAATTCACCTAGAGGTCGTAGTCCATTTAAAGATTTTTTATTAACTCCAATTAAGGCTTTGAATAATGCATAAGATTTAGGATTAAAATTAAGAATGAATCCAACAATCTACAAAATAGATAGTCTTTAACTATCTTCAAGTACTTTTGCTTTACCTGTAAATGTAAGGAAAAGAACTTAAGGATGGAAAACACAAAGAGCTAGATCTCCAGAATAAACTAAGATTTTATTAAGAAAAATGAATGTTTATGGATCACCTAAAAGAAAACTTGAAATGAATATTTCGAATAATTTTATAAATCAATCTACAGACATTTCATAATAGTATCCTACTACATTAAGAGAATGTAAATCAATTAAATTTATAGCTCAACTTTCCAGAAATACCAATTTAATAAATATTGACTTTTATCCAGATTAATAATGAATATTTATAATATATATCAATAAATAAATTGTCTTATATATAAATAAATATATAACTCATGCTTGTTAGTAAAAATTAAACTAGTGTTTTCTTAAATAAATGATATACTCTTTCTGGGTTTTTAGAATCTGTTGAGGAAGAATGACTAGGACTTGCAATTCTATAAGGTGAGTTTTATTAACTTGATCGTAAAGAATAATTATTGCTGGCTTGAATGGATATATATTTATTATTACGTAAATATGAATTTAAATCTGGAGCAGGTAAAGCAAGCTATTATTATTGGTTTTATCTATTTAATTAGAAAATATTTGGATCAAATTAAAAGCAATAATCTTAAAATTCTAGAATTTATTTTTGAACATTACAATAATTTTATCTAGACAAAACAAGATGAATTGGACTATTGCATGAATATTAATGATATGGTGATCCTATATTATTATAGTAGTTATTATTCTCATTATAAGGAACAATATAATTATGTTCTAATCTATTTGGAGAAGATTCTTCACATGAGTATTTAAAAAGATCTCCCATTGAATATGCTTAATAAATATTAGAGAATCTTACCTAAATTAGGAATATATGAAACAATCTTAGATAATAGGAAAGACTATCAAATTTTTTATTGAATTATTACTACATTTGATTTAAACCCTAAATATTAGATAAACTATAAAACTTATAAAATAGTTTGACTAGAACGTGTAGATTATATATTTTATTCCATGGAAGCTGAAAAATCAATTTCCATTTAAAACTAAGTTGTTTGAATTTCTTAGACAATCTTTTTCATTTCATTGTGTTCTTGCTTATAATTATCAATTTTTGGAATATTTGTGCTTTTTATCTCTATTTTATTCTCAGAATCATCTTAATTTCTCCTACGAATGTATTGAAGCATACTTCTAGGTAATTAAGAGAATAAATTTACTTAAGTCCTTTTCTAAACCATTAATGTCTAAACTCACTTTGTCCATAATGATTTTTAGTTTTTTTAAAGTTGTACATATTAAGTTATCTATTATAAAATAGAAGATAACCTTAGAAAGCTAGGATAGTTTTTATGCTTAAAATAGTTTGCAAGAACCTTGGAAGATAATTCATGGGAATTTAGGACTATAAATGCGTTTCCATCTTGATTCCAAGTAATTATATGGGATAAAGAAGGGTTCTGAATAAGAAATAGTAACTAAAAATGATATACTTCAAGAATTTCATATGTTTTCATCAAGAAAGAGGGGACATTGACTTTAAGGGGCGGTAGTTCATTGATGTCTTAATTTGACATTAATATTTTTATAGGAATTTTCAAGAATATGCAAGCCATTAAAATAAAATATAGTTGAATAATAATTTAAGATATAAATGACTGTGATTAAATAAATGATAAAGTTTGTATTATAAAAATAATATAATTAATGAACGAAGCACTTAAAACAATAGTTAAATTTTTGGAGTAGTCTGGTCTTTAATAATCAGCCAGGAAATTGAAAGAAGAAATAAGTAAATAAGTAATATCAATATTCAAGTAATGATGAAAAATGAAATTGATTGTGAGAAGTAACAATAATAAATGCTTATGAGTATATATATGTATATTATTGGAAGACATTATCTGTTAAGCTTTGGAGTAAAAAAAGAAAGAAAAGAAAAAACCAGTTATTGATAGATAAGCAGTCCGTAGGAAACCAAAAGTATACACATAAGAATAGACTGAACAAATTATGGAAAAATTAATGAATAGATTAGTTTCAAAGCCAAATTTATTAGAAGATGAGACACTTAATGAAAAGATAGAACGTTATTTTGATAATGCTACATTCTAAAAGATGGTTGATTAAGCAGATGTATTTCATGATATTTCAAATACTTCAATTTCAAATTCAATTCTCAAAAAAAAGAAGACAGAAACAAGTGAAGAATAATAATAACCTCCTTGTTTTGGCAAATGTAATTTATATAGTTTTAAAATTATTTTAGAGATTCAAGAGAGTGATTAAATTGTATTTGGAAAAATCTAATAACCTTAGTAACATTAAAAATAATAGGTTTTAGAAAAATCACCTTCAGTAGATGAGTTATTCACAGAAGAGGATGTCTCAAGATCTGCTGCTAAACATTAACAATTTGAAGGTATAGATACAGCTAAAATGCCATCTATCATAAAACCTGAAAGTGGATGTAATGATTCTTCATTCTTTCTTTAAAATTCTTAGTCATTTGTACTTCATGATATGGAAGAGAATAAAAATATAATAGATGAATATAATGATGATGATGATCCTGGATTTGATCTATATGAAGTTGTAGAAAGGGATTTTATAAAAGTGGCTAAAAAATTGGCAGATAAATTTGGTTTTCCTTAAAGAGCCATAGCATAACCTAAAAAGAAAAAGGATGAAGTTAATTGTGAAAATGAAGAAGATAGTGCTGTCTTATTAAAAAGTTAATAGAAATCTTAAGAGGGGGAAAGTAGAAAGGGATATATTTATTTGCCTCCTGCATTAAAACATCCAGAATCTACAGATGATTTTTATCCTGTAGAATTTGATAGAGTCATATATGATTGTTTTAATCTCAAAGTTATTTTTGATAGAGAAAGAACTGGATTTGAAGAAACAAAAGATTTTCCTATTGTTATTAATTCAATCATTGCTGGTAGATATCAAATATTAGAATATTTGGGATCAGCAGCATTTTCAAAAGCAGTTAAATGTTTGGATTTGTAATCTTAAAAAGAAGTATGCATGAAGATTATAGAAAATAATAAAGATTATATGGATTAGAGCATAGATGAAATTAAATTATTGAGATATATAAATTGTAATGGAGATTGTGATGCAAAGAATGTCCTTAGATTATATGATTTCTTTTATCATAAAGAACATTTATTTTTAGTTACTGAATTACTCAAAGATAATTTGTATGAATTCTATAAATACTACAGAGAAAAAGAAAAAGTTAATTATTTTACAGTTGGAAGATTATAAAAAGTATATTAATACTATATTAATTTAGTTAACCAAACAAATCTTAGTTGCCTTAGATTATATACATTCTCTAAAATTAATCCATTGTGATTTAAAACCTGAAAATATATTAATGAAATCTATTAGTAAATGTGAATGCAAAGTAATTGATTTTGGATCTTCATGTTTCATTCATGATCATCTATCTAGTTATGTTTAATCAAGAAGTTATAGAGCACCTGAAGTTATAATTGGATGCAAATATGATTATAAAATTGATATGTGGTCACTTGGTTGTATCTTAGCTGAATTATGGACAGGATATGTTTTGTTTTAAAATGATACTGTATAAGGCTTATTAGCTAGAGTTATTGGTATAATTGGTCCATTCCCTGAAAATATGCTTAAAGAGGGTAGATTAGTTAATTAATTCTTTACAAAGGAGAAATTATTATATCAAGATGCAATGGAAGATTAATAATAACATTATCCAAATCCTGATATGTCAGATGCTTCAGTAAAAAGAAAAAAACCTGGATTAATTTAAATATTGGTTCCAAAAAAATCAAATCTTAAGGCTAGACTTAAGACTGATGATATGTTCTTTTTAGATTTTGTTAAGTAGTTATTACATATTGATCCTTCAAAAAGGTATAATAATGATATTTGATGAATTATTAGACCCTCAGCTAAAGATGCCCTTTATCATCCTTGGTTTACATAAGCATAATATCCAGATGGTTTATGATATATTAGATATAAATTAATTATAAATCATTCTTCTTTTTATTCGTCACTTTAAACTTCTAAATGTTTTTATGTTCTATCAGATGGTAGTTTTCTTTAATCATCATATTATTTTATCTCAACTGCCAAGCTATTAATCCATCCTTTTCACTTTTATTTAATGGTTCTTATTAATTATTATTTTATTTTTATACTTCCTCAATCTCTTGGAATGCAACTGTATACTAACCTTTATTTAAATAATATCTAATAGTCTCTTTCAAATATATAATTGATAATATAAAACATAATAAAACTGGTATTCCATTAAATCTTATTAATCCTCTCCAATTTCCATTTGTATAATCATCAAGAAAGAAAAAACACAAAAATATTAAATAGGCTTTACCTGCAACATACATTAATGTCAATGAAAATGCAAATCTACCTCTATATTTAGCAACTGCAACTTCAGTTATAAATACATATCCTAATGGACTTGTTGTTCCAAATACTATACCAAATAGTAATCTAAGAATGATTAATTCATTATAAGACTCAACAAAACTAGTATAATATACTAACATCACTGAAAGTCCTGCAAATATTGAAAATGATGTTTTTCTACCAATTTTATCTGTAATATAAACACAAATGCAATTTCCTATAACTACTCCACCAAGAAAAGAAGATCCCAATGTTGCAATTTGAGTTTATGATAATTACCATTCCTTTTATAATATTGCCATCAAAATGGACATAAAAACATATTCTATTCCATCACAAAACTCTATTAATCCAATAATGCTAATTGTTCTAATTTAGTATATTCCTGATCCAATCTTCTCTTCTAATATTTTATCAAATGATATCATAAAAATGATGAATATTTTTGATCTAATAAAAAGAATTTATATTTTAATAAGTAAAAGTAAATTGATTTGTATTCATTTCTTTTTTATTGTTTTCATTTAAGTTGCTTTAGTAGGTTTTAGATATCTCTTGCTTATAGTTTAATTTAATTGATTTTATGAAAATGGAACTTATTCAAGCATTTAAAGAGCTTTGTACTCATTTACAAAAATATAGAGTAACTCCAATTTACTCATCCCTTCATAAGGAACAGAAAGTTCTGATTTATTAAGTGAGAGTAAATAATCAAGGGATTAACTCATTCCAGATTGTTCAGGATAACCTTACATCAATATTTACATTAATTCTTCTAAATGAGAGCGAATGATAGTTTTGCATTCTTATTTTTCTTAACTTTAATAATATTAATTTTTGGCTAAACGAATTCCATTTAAAACAGTTTATAAACTTGGTAAAGCTTTTGATGACATCTAAACATATTAATCTTATTTATTTGGATAAGCTTCTACAGATACATCACATTATTCAATAGAACTATTTAATAATGGATTATTAAGTTCTTTCTTTTTGGCAATAATAACATTTTTAACTAATTCAGCCATTGTATGTTCATCAACTTAACCAGCAGCTATATTTAAGAGACAATCAAAATCTATTTTATTTACTGGCTATTATGAATTGATTTCTTCTTTAAATAGAAAGGATTCATCATTAGCTTATAGATCATCAGCATTTTATCCAATTAAATAAATGTCTTTAATTGATTTTGGTAGTTTGATTCCTATAGTTTAATCAGGAATTGGTCTTTTATTGATTGTTTTGAAATCATAATCATTTGAATCAATCTATTTTATTTCTTTTGCAGGTGCTTAATTTTGTTATTTCTTTTCTGTTAATTGATTTTGCTTATTTTATTATCTCAATTGATTAAGAAATTGATTTGGTTATTTTTTGAGAGTTAGAAAATTCTCAGATCTTTTAATTGCTTTGTCTAATTAGTTATGTAATTAATGTGATAGATTGACATTATTGATTTCAGGTTTACTAACAATATTCAATTAAATTAATGGTTATATCAATGGTTTAGCCATAAGATCTAAAATATTTAAAATGATTTTTACACATTTCTTTATCAAAATCAGTTTAATAAGGACGAACAACATGAATCATCTTATCTTCAATTTATGATTAATCTTTAAGTTCTACATCATTAGAGATAGTTAATTTCTATCTTTCTATTTGTTAAATCGAATTATTTTGATAGATGTTTGATTTAGAGAAGAATTGTTATAACTTATGCATTCGTAGGTCGTTCATTTATTATTAAATTAATTTTTGTGGTAAATGCAAGGAGTATTACCTACATAATGTAGAGATTTTATGAATAAACAATATTGGTAACGATTCTTCAAAAAGATAAAGAAAGAGGGTTAATAAAATGAATTCTTTGAGTGGTATGGTAATTATGATAGCTATAATCATTTGTTTAAAAAATATATAAAAGTTGAAGATAATGTTTTTCATGCAGGTTGTGGTAAATCACTATTATCAGAATAACTATATGATAATGGTATTTGTAAAAATATAACTAATGTTGATTATGAAAAAATTGTAATTATTGATTACTTATACATTTTAGTCATTAGATTAAATGCGTAAAAGATCTGAAAATAAAAGACCTGAAATGATATTTTAATGTATGTCTTTAACTGAAGAAATCAATATTTAATCAGAATAATTCGATGTTATTTTAGATAAAGGAACTCTTGATGCTATATTTCCAGATGAAGAAACACCTTAAGTTAATACTTATTTAGCTAATATGTTAAGAATATTAAAGAAGAATGGAAAGTTTATCATAATTTCTTTATTATAAGAACATATTCTAAAAACACTATTGTAATTGCAAGTTAATATTTAAATTTATGAATGCATCATTGAAAAAAGTAAGCTTTATCCATTTTTCATTGTTATTGATAAAAGTGAGTAAAAATCTATATAATTTTATCAATTACAAAAGGAAGTTCAGATTTTATCTATTAAATAAGCCTAAGAAATAATTAAAAAAATATAATTATAGAATCATTTTGTTACATCAATCCATAAACTTAGGTAAAGTCAAAGTTTTACCTTAGATATTTGGGATAACAATAATAAATAAACTCCTAGATATAAATTAGATATCTATGATAATGATGATAGTAAAATTTTATTATAGAAAACTTGTGGATGTTTTATTGTTCCTTAAGGAAGAGAACAGTCTTTCTTATTTGGAACTGAATAGGGACACAAAGAATTAATTAAATAAATGAAAATGTCAAGATGTGTAATAGCTCGTATGAATCCAGGTCATAAATTTAATAATATGAAATAAGTATAATAAGAATTATCTGAACCTATGAAATAATTAATACCTAAAGGATGTACTAATATTCCCTGTCCATTTTTAACAGATGGAGATGAAATTGGAGAAAAAAATATCATATTTGAAGCAGATGATTGTATTGTAGAAGAATTAAATATTGATGATATTACATATAGAAGACTAATTATTAAAAGTGCTTTAGATTTAATTTAGAGTGAAGCCAAAATTATAAATAATAAAGTAGATAATTCATATCTAGATTTTGAAGCATATGTTGCTATTGTTGCAGGATTAGCATTTAATAAAGCTAAAGAAGTTCTTATTTTAGGTGGAGGTGTTGGTTTATTGAGTAGATTTATTAATGAACATTTTGGAGTCAAGGTTACTAATATTGAATTAAGTGAAGATATTGTAAATGTTGCAAAAACATTCTTTGATTTTTAAAATACAGATTCAGAAACTTTAGTATGTTGTGATGCACTTGATTATGTAGATTAAACTTTAGAATGTCATCAATATGATACCATCATTGTTGATATTAATGGTAATTTTTATTTATTATATTTTAGCATCTCAAGCAAATTAATTATCACCACCTAAATAGTTCTTATCTGCTGAATTTCTTAATAAACTCAAGACATTACTTACACCTTAAGGAATCATTATTATTAATGTCTTAGATTCATAAAAATAATTAACTCAATTACCTTGGGATCTATATTATTCTAGGAAATGTGAAAATGAAATTAATGAGATATTTTATTTAATCAATGCATAAAAGGAAAAGAAAGAATTAGATGGAAAAGAGATTGATGTTATAGATAAAGGTCTCTTAGATACTATTACTCAATAATTAAAGGAATCTAGAGGTAATTTCTCTAAGGGAAAATGGGACAATTCTATGAATTTGGCTAATGAAATTGATAATATTAAACTCAAATATCCTGTTTTTAAGACTTAGGCATTTTAAACACAGTAAGCATTACTTATTTAGGATGGAGAAGTGATTAATAATCGAAAAGATTTTTATTAAGAAGATTTAAAGAAAGTTTAAAAGAAAAAACATAATAGACGTAGAAAGAATTGAATTTACTTCAATTTTTATTTTATTGTATTTTTAAACATCAAATTTTAATGAGAAAGAGAATTTCTTATAAAAATTTATTTAAATTAAAAAAAGATTCAAAATGGAAGAGAGTACAATTGATTGGGATAAAGTAACAGCTATGGATAAGTATGATATTTGATATATCTTCTAAGTGAGACTCTTCTTTAATTTGCAAATGATCTTTATGAGGCTCTTCATCTCGAATAAGCTAAATCTGCATATTAGTTGTACCTCAAAAGAAACCATAAAAATATTGAAGCCTTAGATTAATATACTGATTGCTTAGAATAGATGGGTCTTGTAGAAGAATTACAACAAGCTCTCACTCCATATTTGAATTAATAAGATTTAATCACGTATATCCACAAATTAAATTAACTAGTTCGTATGAACATTGTTACAAATTGTTGTTTAAATATGCATAAACTTAATAAGGAAAATAAGCTATTTAGATATATGAGTATGGAATATAATTGGCTTTGTCCAGGAATGCTTCTAAGAGAGATATTGGAGATGCTTTTGCTGCAATAGCTGAAGTTTATTAAACTGATTTATTATAATTTAAAGAATCAGAATAAACATGTTTAGATGCTATAAATAATGCTTTTAAATATGATCCTGTTAATTTAGATGCATTTCTATAATTGGCTAATTTTCATTTAAATAAAGAAGATGAAGAAGCTGCTAAAAAAGATTTAAGAGTTATCTATGAAAAGTTGGAGATTGAAATGGAAGAATATGATGAAGATTTTATACTACAAGTTGGTAAATTATTAGTAGAAGTGGAATTATTTGATTAATCAATTAAAATATTGAGAATGCTAGTAGATAGAAATGCTGAAGATCCAGAAAGTTTATATATGCTTGCTTTTGCATTGTGGAAGGCATAGAAATATGAAGAAAGCTCAAAACTAGTGAATGGAATACTTTAATTACCTGATGCAAAAGAAGATTAAGTATATAATAATAATTAATTAATTAGGAAATTTGGACAGCTACTTTAGAGTTAAAAGATCAATTAGAAAAAGAAACATGGATGGATGTTGAAGATGAGGAATAAAATTAATTGTAACAAATGTAACAATTAGAATGATCTTCTTTTTAATTAATGTTTTATAGTATAGTATAAATATTTATTTATTATGGAAATCAATTTTTATTTTTATACATTATATTATTAGATTAATATTCAATAGTTCAGAATTAATTGTTGAAAATTATGAAGTAATTTAATAGGATAAGATAAAACATTGAGATGTGTAACTCCTATTGAATTATTTTAGATATATTGAAATAAATCTAGAATTATCAATTTAATAAAAAATATGTTTATTTCAGAAATTTATTAATAACATTAATAATGATTCAGTCATTTATTCAATAATTACATTATATTTGTTCTTTAGTTCCATTTTAAATTGTTTCATATATCCCATTTTTTATTTTATTTATTGTATAATTGTTATTAGCAATTTGTTGCTCAAATATCAATTCATAAATTTGTCTGTAATCAGTAACAAAATATAAATTTAGACCTTTGATAAGTTATTATGGTAAATTTAATGCATCCCCTAAATTAGCATAAGGAAGTATAATATCAACAATATCTAGAGTCTTTGCAGCAATCAACTTTTGTTATAATCCACCTATAAATTAAAATATTCAATACCTATTTTACATACTTATCCATTTAATGATATTTCTCCAGTCATTCCTAAATTACTAGGTACAACAACATTCATTACTAAACTTAATAATGCTGTTGTAATAGCTGTTCCTGCAGAAGGACCATCTTTAGGTGTAGCTCCTTCTGTGAAATGCATATGGATTGCAGAATTCTATAATTTTTATTTCTATTCTTCATTCAAAAATTTAAATGCATTTATTTTTGCTAATTTAAGAGACTCTTATAAAACTAATTTGATATTTCCAGAAGCTAATATTTATCCTTTCTTTTCAGTTTCACTTATGTCAAAACAACTTTCAACAGTTAAGACATGTCCAATCATTCCACCTACAGTTAAAATGTTAACTTATCCTGGTGGAAACTTCTTAATAGATCTCTATTCTAATTAAATATCAAAGACAGGTGGACCTAAATATTATGATATCAATTCTAAATTTTGATCTTTAGTTAAATCTAAACTTTAACTAATAGGATCAAAAATTATTTGATTTAATTCATCAACTTTATCACATAAATTAGGATTTGCTGCTAATAGATTTGTTGCATGTTTTCTAGCAATTTTTTCTAAGCATCTCTTTAATTCTCTGACTCCACTTTCTTAATAACACCAGGCTTTAATAATTTTAGTCAAAGCTTATTCATCATATTTAATCATTTAAGATTAGATACCATTAGTTTCAATACTTTTATTAACCAAGAAATTTGTTGCTATCTTTAATTTCTCTTCTTAAATATAAGCTTAGATATCAATTGTTTCTAATCTATTTTTTAAGGGTTCTAACATAGAAAGTGTATCATTTGATGTAAGAATAAAAATAACATGTGAAAAATCTACACTGATATCCATATAATGATCAGTAAAATTATGATTCTCTTCAGGATTCAATATTTCCAATAATGTATAATAAGGATCAGCACCACCTGAATGATGTTTGGATACCTTATCTAATTCATCGAGTATGAATACAGGATTCATAGTATTTGATTTAATTAATTCTCTAATAAAAACACCAGGCATTGAGTCTACATAAGTACGTTTATGTCCTTTAAAGAAAGTAGGATCTGCCACTCCTGCACAAGAAATGAATCTCGAAGTTCTCTTTAAGGCTTTTGCAATGCTTTTGGCTATTGAAGTCTTTCCTGTACCTGGAGGACCATTTAATAAAAGAATAAATCCTTTAGCTTTTTAACCTGTATTCTTTAATTTATTGACTGATATCATTTCAATTATTCTCTCTTTGACCTTTTCTAAACCTTCAATTTCCTTATCAAGTACATCTTTTGCAAATTAGATATCCCATTGAACAGGCTATTTATATTATTATAAATTACAGTAAATTTTTGAAATGGAATACTAAAAACTTCATCCAAATAAGAATTAATTTTATGAAATTCAGAACTCTGTTTGTCTAATAAACTAAATCTCTCAATTTCTCGTTTAACTTTCTCTTTTGAGGATTCATCAGTAATTAATGATAATTTATCGAAATACTTTTTTACTAATGATGATTACTTTAAATTAATTGTAGAAACATGTACCTTATCACCACCATATTATTGAGTTCCAATTGTTCCTCCTTATGATTAAGATTAAGAAGCATCCTTTAAATAATTTTATCTAATGTATTCTGTTGCTAATTTGGCTAAAGTTTATTAATGCAATTTCAATAGAGAAGAGTCTGCTTCTTTGAAATGCTTATTCACTAAATCAAGTACTCCTGACATATTTTCTAATTATTTTCTAAGTATAAAGAGTCTATCAATATAAGTTTAACTCTCCAATAATTATTATACAAAATTGGATGTGTTCATTTTCAGATTATTGGTTAATAATTTAGAAAGACCTGCTGCAATTTAGAATACTAATTCATCTACTTAATTAGGAGTAAGTTTTTCACTAGAATCCAATAAAGAATATTTAACTTCTGAAAATACTTCAACTCTATCATATTATGCTAATTTTCTTATTTATTGTACAAGTGAACTTACCATACGAATTTCATGTTGGATATCTATTATTTATTCTGCTTATGTTAATGGACGATCTTTATATGGTATTCCTTAAGCAAATATTCCATCAGGTGTCATTTCTATTTTAGTGATTTTGAATCGGAAATTTTTCTAAATATTTGATTCTCATACTTATTTTGATATTATGTCTAAATTAAATGTGTTGCTCATGGGGTCATTAATCAAAATATTTCCATTCGCATCTCGTTATTCTAAGAGTTTTAATTCAGCATTTAAATTCTTTTCGACAGATTTACTTAAAGCTATGCCTATAGTAAAAATCTCTCCATTATCAGGGGAAATAATTGAGTATAGGAGTGGCTTAGTGATTCGTTTCAAATTTCCAATTTTGATCTGACAATTCATAGGATTATTGGGAAAGATCGGTTGAATTGAACTAAAAAGGCAGAAATCAATGGGCTCTACTTTGGAATCTATTTCACTTTAATCTGCCTTATAATTCTGTAAGGGAATGGTTTTGAGTTTACTATTTAAGAAATGGTTTGAATCTAAATAATTTGTATAATTTATACTAGCACTATATTTAAACATAGACTTTTAACCCAATACAGGTGCAACTCTAGACAACCAAAGTTGAGGACGCTTAAATAAGATCTTGCTTATACTTCTCATTATATATATTATTTTAATTAAGGTTGTGTTGTATATAAACAAAGTATAAAAATCATATTCCACTTATTAATTATTTATCTTAAAGGGGGAGCTTGATTACTTTGTGACAAAATATAAAGAGCTTATAATCATTCATAATAAATTTAGTTTGATTTTTTAATTCATAATTAAAATTATGCTTAGAAACAACGGCTCTGTTGCGAATATTTAGTAAACGTAATCTACAACTTCGTTGCTACAAGCATTGGTCAATTCAAGACCTAAATCGTCTTAAAAACGAATCCCGTCTGCCAAAAATACAATAATGTAATAAAGAAATATCCAACGATGTGATCCTAAATTATCATTGCCTGAACCACCAAAATCAACTCGGACTCTTGACAGCGATAAAAAATAATAACCATAGCAATAAAAGAAACTTACACTAATATAACGAACTATGTAAAATAAACAATAAGAACGCTAACGAATCAATAGTTCAGGATAAAAAGAAGTGGTAAAAGAAAAAGAGGAGTCACAGTAAACTATTCCTGACATTGAAATTCTTAAATCAGTTACTGTATTTGCACTTTCAGAATAAGATTAAAATACATCTGAGTCAAAAAGTACAACTCCATTTGTACCTCCTCAAGCCTCAGCTCCTTTATCCAAATATGTAATGCGTCTATCCAAGGGTGCTAATATCATTCCTAAAAAATAGTAGGATCGTAAAAGAATGAACAGTCCAATTAGGAGAGCAACAAAAGAAAATATTTATTCACCCACTCCTACAATGAATAAGGAGACTAAATTGAAAATGAGGAGTGTCTCACCAGATAGAAGATTAATGCCTAAACAAAGCTTAGGACCTCAATCACCTTATACTGATTTCGAATATTATATGAGTTTCTTAAGATACTTTCACAACAAATTATCTAAGAATGAAATCAAATAACTATTTAACCAAAAAAATAATTAATACTTTTTAGACATTTACTAAGATCATTTTTAACAAAGTTATCATGCACTTCAATATTGTAAAGATATTGTAAAGCCATCATTAAATGCTATAGCTAATAAAATTGTCAACTTACCAGATAATAAATGTAATTACTTAAATTTATGTAGTCAAAAAAACTATCGTTTTTGATTTAGATGAAACATTAATTCATTGTTAAGAATCTAACGATGATCCATCAGATACTGTGTTAACCATTAAATTTCCTACTGGAGAAACAGTTCAGGCTGGTATCAACCTAAGACCATATTGTAGAGAAATGTTGGCTATACTGAGTCAAAAGTATGAAATTATAGTATTTACTGCTTCACATGAATGTTATGCTCAGAAAGTCATTAATTACATTGACCCAGACAAAAAATGGGTTCATCATCGATTTTTTAGAGAAAGTTGTGTTGTTGTAGATGATGGTCTTCATATTAAGGATTTAAGAGTGTTGGGAAATAGAAATATCAAAGATCTAGTCTTAGTTGACAATGCCTCTTACTCATTTTGTTTTTAAATTGAAAATGGTATTCCAATCATTCCTTTTTATGATAATAGTTCAGATAGAGAATTATAATATCTGACTACTTATTTACTAGAATTAATGTAAGAATAGGATATTCCCTTAAAGAATTTATCAAAATTTAAAACGAATTTATATTAGGAATCATCTATTGAGCATTTATTAAATACTATTTGATTTATATATCAACATTATATAATTTAATGATTAAATTTTATATGAGTACTATATCAAAGCTAAGACCCAAAAGAAATCTAATTACAATAGTATTATTATTCTAATTCTAGAGTGATAAAGCTGCAGAAAGACTCACAGAACTTATGAAATAATAGAGTAATCCAGCAATTGATGCAGTCAAAATAGGAGTAAGAAAACGAGGTTGTAATGGATTATCTTATACAATGAATTATTGTTCTGAACCAGAAAAATTAGATGAAGTAGTCGAATCAAAAGGTCTTTTTTTTATTAAAGCCTTAGGTGTGAAAGTCATAGTTGATTCTAAAGCTGTAATGGTACTAGTAGGAACTGAAATGGATTATGTAGAGGATGACATTAAAAGTGAATTTGTTTTTAAGAATCCAAATCAAAAAGGCCAATGTGGTTGTGGAGAGAGTTTTCATATTTGACACTTATAATATATAAAATAGTTATAATATCATAATGAAATAAATATTAAATCATATTTAAGAAGCTGTAATTGTCATTAAATGCAGATATAGATTTCAACATTGAAATAAAAAGTCTAGATAAAAATGTGTCATTGCTTAATTACATGAAGATAAATTATTAATATGAGTAATACATGGAAGGGAAATGCATAGTTACAAAAGTTAATCTGAAATATGAACAAAAAATTGTAAGTTTGAAGGCATTATTCTATATAAGAGAAAACTTAGTATAGTCTTAAGTGATGGAAAGACTAAAAAGATTGCCGGCTTTGCATAATTTGATTTGTCTGTTGCTCTCAATCTAAATATGAAATAAAAGGAATATTCTTTAAATCTAATTTAATGTCCTGACACTAAAGCTTTTGTTGAATTTACTTTGTTGATCAATTCATTGGATTTCTTGTAACATAATAACGATATAGATGTACACAAACAACTATAACAAAAAGTCTATGACCTCAAGAGCCTTGAGCCAAAACGAAAGCCAAGAAAAAAGAAAAATTAAGATTGAAAATGTTTAGCTGGAAAATGAATTAATTAAAGTAAAATAAGATTTATAGATTGTCGAAGCTCAATATTAATTTTTAGGTAGCCAATACAAATAATTATAAATCTAATTAGAAGAAAAGAATATTGAAAATGCTGATTTATAATACTAAGTCTAATAATTATGCAATTTAAATACAGTTTGTATTGAGAAAATTAAATATTTTGAAAAACTACATTCTGAATAAGCATCATCATATAAATAAAAATGAATTTTTTATATATTATTTAATTAGAAATATCTAAAAAGGATTGATTAATCTCTAACAATATTTTATAAACATTTAAGTATTAAATCAATAAAATTCAATGGCCTATTTAGAAAATGATATATTTGATTTAAAGTTTAATCTAATTAATCAATTAGATTATTTGTGAATAAAAAAATTAAAGAAATAAGAAATGTTAATTTTATTAATCAATCATAAAAGTATCTCTTCTCTCATTCAAAAATTGAAAAACTAAAAAATGGTCAATGAAGCACAATACCTTCAATTTCTATATTTTATTTTTTATAAGTTCTACAAATATTAAGATCATAAATACTGTCAATCTGATCTTTGGTAGCTTCCTCTCACTTCATTTAAAATAATAAGTATGTTTTGATTAAATAGCCTAGTTTAAATACGATTATAAATTTATTTACTTTTACTAATCATTCACTTTATTCAACTCCTTTAATAATTAAAAAAAAATTTACACATCATGGCATTATTTAATATAGAGTATCAATTAGTTACTGCATAAATCATTTAATCATCTTCCAAACCAAACATTAAATTCTCAGCACAAAATGATACTTCAAAAAATTATAAAACCAATAAGCACCATAGTTTAATTTAAAAAAATAGCAATAATAATCCAAAATAGAGTAAGAACAGAATGATAAAGATTAGAAATTAAATATATTAAATTTAGATGCTGATTAAATATATAAGGTAATGTAACTAATCGACGCGAGACTAAATTAACTTATTTCTCAAAAAATTAATCAATTTATGAAGGAAGAATAATAAGTATATAATTCAGAGATTAATTCTACATTGAGTTAATTTAAAAAGTTTGAACTAAAACAGGCAATGAATATTTACCATTTACAAAATCTCCATCATATTAACTACCATCAGCAAATTTTAATTGACCCTTTCCATTCTTTTCACCATTTACAAAATCTCCATCATATTAACTACCATCAGCAAATTTTAATTGACCCTTTCCATTCTTTTCTCCATTTACAAAATCTCCATCATATTAACTACCATCAGCAAATTTTAATTGACCCTTTCCATTCTTTTCACCATTTACAAAATCTCCATCATATTAACTACCATCAGCAAATTTTAATTGACCCTTTCCATTCTTTTCTCCATTTACAAAATCTCCATCATATTAACTACCATCAGCAAATTTTAATTGACCCTTTCCATTCTTTTCACCATTTACAAAATCTCCATCATATTAACTACCATCAGCAAATTTTAATTGACCCTTTCCATTCTTTTCTCCATTTACAAAATCTCCATCATATTAACTACCATCAGCAAATTTTAATTGACCCTTTCCATTCTTTTCACCATTTACAAAATCTCCATCATATTAACTACCATCAGCAAATTTTAATTGACCCTTTCCATTCTTTTCACCATTTACAAAATCTCCATCATATTAACTACCATCAGCAAATTTTAATTGACCCTTTCCATTCTTTTCACCATTTACAAAATCTCCATCATATTAACTACCATCAGCAAATTTTAATTGACCCTTTCCATTCTTTTCACCATTTACAAAATCTCCATCATATTAACTACCATCAGCAAATTTTAATTGACCCTTTCCATTCTTTTCTCCATTTACAAAATCTCCATCATATTAACTACCATCAGACAATTTTAATTGACCCTTTCCATTAAGTTCACCATTTACAAAGTCTCCATTAAATTAACTATCATCAGACAATTTTAATTGACCCTTTCCATTAAGTTCACCATTTACAAAGTCTCCATTAAATTAACTACCATCAGACAATTTTAATTGACCCTTTCCAGTAAATTCACCATTTACAAAATCTCCATTATATGAACTACCATCAGCAAATTTTAATTGACCCTTTCCATTATATTTACCATTTACAAAATCTCCATCATATTAACTACCATCAGCAAATTTTAATTGACCCTTTCCATTCTATTCACCATTTACAAAATCTCCATCATATTAACTACCATCAGCAAATTTTAATTGACCCTTTCCATTCTTTTCACCATTTACAAAATCTCCATCATATTAACTACCATCAGCAAATTTTAATTGACCCTTTCCATTCTTTTCACCATTTACAAAATCTCCATCATATTAACTACCATCAGCAAATTTTAATTGACCCTTTCCATTCTTTTCACCATTTACAAAATCTCCATCATATTAACTACCATCAGCAAATTTTAATTGACCCTTTCCATTCTTTTCACCATTTACAAAATCTCCATCATATTAACTACCATCAGCAAATTTTAATTGACCCTTTCCATTCTATTCACCATTTACAAAATCTCCATCATATTAACTACCATCAGCAAATTTTAATTGACCCTTTCCATTCTATTCACCATTTACAAAATCTCCATCATATTAACTACCATCAGCAAATTTTAATTGACCCTTTCCATTCTATTCACCATTTACAAAATCTCCATCATATTAACTACCATCAGCAAATTTTAATTGACCCTTTCCATTCTATTCACCATTTACAAAATCTCCATCATATTAACTACCATCAGCAAATTTTAATTGACCCTTTCCATTCTTTTCACCATTTACAAAATCTCCATCATATTAACTACCATCAGCAAATTTTAATTGACCCTTTCCATTCTTTTCTCCATTTACAAAATCTCCATCATATTAACTACCATCAGCAAATTTTAATTGACCCTTTCCATTCTTTTCTCCATTTACAAAATCTCCATCATATTAACTACCATCAGACAATTTTAATTGACCCTTTCCATTAAGTTCACCATTTACAAAGTCTCCATTAAATTAACTATCATCAGACAATTTTAATTGACCCTTTCCATTAAGTTCACCATTTACAAAGTCTCCATTAAATTAACTACCATCAGACAATTTTAATTGACCCTTTCCAGTAAATTCACCATTTACAAAATCTCCATTATATGAACTACCATCAGCAAATTTTAATTGACCCTTTCCATTATATTTACCATTTACAAAATCTCCATCATATTAACTACCATCAGCAAATTTTAATTGACCCTTTCCGTGAAATTTATCATTTACATAATCTCCATCATAAAAACTACCATCAGCAAATTTTAATTGACCCTTTCCATTCTTTTCACCATTTACAAAATCTCCATCATATTAATTTTTATTAGCTAATTCCTTAACGTGTATATAATTTAAACCTTCAAATCCTGCCTTCATCTCCTTTTAACTTAGATTTATAAAAATTATTAATAGAATTACAAATTAAATATGATTTATAATTTTATTCTATAAAATCATTTTAATTAATTCTTAAATAAAAAAAGGTCATTTCATAACTACTTGAACTCTTCTAAACTATTAATTGTAAAATGTAATTTTTACAAAAAATTTCAAATTCATAAAGACTATCAGTTTACAAGGTATTATATAAAAACTCACATACTTTTCAAGTTAATAAAAAAATTTCAAAAACTGTCTAACTTTTTACAATAGATTCTTAACTTAATTATATTTTTTTTCGATTACTTGTCCTTTAAAAAAATTTAGTTTTATCTTAAAAAATCAAGCATATAATTTAAATATAAAATTTTTATATTTTGTTTAAGAGAGACATGTTAAATGGATAGTAAATAGAGGTAGCAAAATTGCTTTATGAAAATTATTGTCTGCAAAAAAATTATATCAAAATTTCTCAATAAATTTAATTTTGATTATAGTGCAGAGTATATAGAAAGGAAAATTACAGTGATTAATAGCTTAATTGCAAACTTTGAATATCTGTCAAGTTCGGAACATTATATAGGGAACAGTATGGGTGATTATGAAACCCATTTAATAGAATTACTAAAATTTCTTTGTTAAAATTACTAAGATAGAAATATTGTTATTATCTTGGGTAAAAATTAAGTGAATTGGATTTCAATTATATAAAAAAACTTAATAGAATACACCAAAAAATTTCTCACAATTTCTTCACAATAATTCAATCCTTTAGAGAATTTAAAGTAAAATTTAAAGTTAAACCTAAATAAATACGGAGATTTATTGTGACTCAAAGTATAAATAATTACTGAAAATAAATCAAATCTTAAGAATTTTTTGATAAAAAATTTATTTGAAAATAATTGAAATAAATATTTTTAATGAATAATGTGAAGATAACATCTTAATGATGATTATTTACATCCAAAAGTATTGATGTTATAAATAAAATTATCAAAAAAAAAACTTTTTATTATTTGAAGAGTGTTCTACCAAAACTATTAATAATTCATGAATTATAAATTAAAAAAAAGACGAATATGTATGAGGATCAACTTCTTATAAGAGAAAATTAGTTATGTATTTCAATTTATCATAGTATAACACTTATATTTCAAAATAATATCTCACAGCAAATGAACTCTTGTTTTTGTGTTAAATATCATACTAATTTTCTTATTTCAATTGATTATTGTATTCTATCATAAAAATATTATAAAAATCTAGAAAAATTTATTAAATCAAAATTTTAAATCGATATAGGTTGATTTAACTCTTATATTTTCTAATTTTCAACACAATTATCCTTAAATAATTATTTAAAGTAATTCAGAATTTCTTCCTATTGTTTTTACATTACTATCATTGTTTCTAATTTTTGAATAAGTGAATGTCTATCCTAATTGTAAAATTCATATTACTTTAATTTTATGAGTATCATATTAATATTATTTGATAAGAGAGCTTGTCAAGTTGATTTTCTAATTACTTTTCCTTTAAAAAAGCACTTGCATTTATAATAAAATCGTTTACTCTTACTCTTCTTGGAGTTAAGGAATTGCTATCTGTTCTATTTCTTTTTGTCTATATTTAATTAACATGACTGATATGGTTTGATTTCTTTTATGTACTTTTGATTTCTTCTATAAACTTTTTTAAACTTAAATCCTTTACTTAAACCTCTATATTTAAATCCAGAAAGTTGAAACTTTATTATACTATATCTCTATAACTTTAAGATCCTCCTCCTTTGGACCTGGAAATTTATTTTACTTTTTTGGCTCCTAAAAATTATTTATGTTAATCTAAAGATCCATTTTCTTTTTTATTTCTAACTTCGATTGAGTTAATTTTTACAATAATTCTTATGATAAAATATTATCCTGTCGAAATCTTCTTGGCATCCTTATATGATATGAATTGCTTTTTTAGATTATATTGATTTATTAATTATTTAATATAACAATCAGAAATTTAGGAAATCAAAAGCAGTTTCTTTTGGGTTTTACTATTATTTTTATTTTGGCTATTCTTATGTAAACTAAGTTTATTAAACAATGTTGTATTATTATTATTACATGTTAAATTGAGCAAATGCTTATGAATAATTTTATTAACCTCCCAAAGGTTATTATTATATGTTATATAAATTCTATGTTTGCCCAAATTAAGCCTATTGTTGATTTAAAGCTTATTATTAATATAATTATTGAGGTTCTTATTATAATAATTGATTTAATTATGTTTACTCTTATTTTAACTATTAAGGTTGCTATTATTAAGTTTATTATGGCTAGTCTTTTTTTAGAAATCCAAAAGCATTTTTTTTTTATTATGGCTATTATCCTGGTTGCTATTAGGATTAAGTATTTAATATTTCATCAAAGCTGATACCTTTTAATTATTATTATTATTATTATTATTATTATTATTATTATTATTATTATTATTATTATTATTATTATTATTATTATTATTATTATTATTATTATTATTATTATTATTATTATTATTATTATTATTATTATTATTATTATTATTATTATTATTATTATTATTATTATTATTATTATTATTATTATTATTATTATTATTATTATTATTATTATTATTATTATTATTATTATTATTATTATTATTATTATTATTATTATTATTATTATTATTATTATTATTATTATTATTATTATTATTATTATTATTATTATTATTATTATTATTATTATTATTATTATTATTATTATTATTATTATTATTATTATTATTATTATTATTATTATTATTATTATTATTATTATTATTATTATTATTATTATTATTATTATTATTATTATTATTATTATTATTATTATTATTATTATTATTATTATTATTATTATTATTATTATTATTATTATTATTATTATTATTATTATTATTATTATTATTATTATTATTATTATTATTATTATTATTATTATTATTATTATTATTATTATTATTATTATTATTATTATTATTATTATTATTATTATTATTATTATTATTATTATTATTATTATTATTATTATTATTATTATTATTATTATTATTATTATTATTATTATTATTATTATTATTATTATTATTATTATTATTATTATTATTATTATTATTATTATTATTACTTATTTTAATCTAAATTTTAGATTTACAATTCATTAAATGCCTCTAATAAATCTATTTATGTATTTTTTTATTGATACTATTATTATTATAACTATTGCTGAGACTACTATTGTACTTAAGGTTATTTTATTTTTAGAGATTTTAAATCAAGCTTTTGTTGTTATGGTTATTTTTGTTAAACTTCATTATTAGCAATTTCTATAAGATTTGGCTATTTCTATACTATATTTTATTATTGTTTAGGTGGTTCACGAAATTCAAACTAAAATTCCTAAAAAAATTAATAGATCATTACTTTTTATTTTTATTATTGCAATCCATTTATCTCTAAAAGAGTTTACTCGATGGCAGATTACAATATTTATTAATCTGTTTCTATCTTTAAATAATTCTAATTAATTTAAAAGAATTCTCTATAGTTTTGATATTGTTAGCTGATAAATTGAATAGCATATATGCATCTCTAAAGAATAGATATTATTTGTATACAATTTGAACTTTCCAATTTTCTTCACTATAAATCTTATTCAATAGTATGCTACCTATCAACTATTCTTATAAAGTTTAACAGGCTCTTCCAAATTCTTTAAGAACTTAATCACTTTATTTCAATTTAATTCCACCTAATTTAGTTGCTTCCTCAACTAGATGAAATTCGAACTCACTAAAATTATATAGAATAGATATACAATCCCCCAATCTCCAATTCTTCATAAGTTAATAATTGTCCTTTTTTATATTCAGCCACTCTGCTTAATTAAATATTGTTATTATAGGATTGTGGTGGGAGTAGTACATCAATATTTGCTTTATTTTCATTTTATTTTGGTGGAGTGTCATTAATTAGATTAATATTATTGGTTGGTTTGTTTGATAATATTTATTATTATTATTATTATTAAGGCTCCGATTCATCATCCCAGCCTAATAACTAACATATTTTTTATACCTCCTCCAGGCCTTCCTTTTTATCTTGGCTAAGTAGTTAGAGGTAATTAAACAGCTGGTATTAAGGGAGGCTAATAAGTTCCATTTTACTATCCAAATAAAGTATTCTCTATTTTTATTCCTGCAGGTATATCATTTTGAGGTTGCTTTCTAAATTTATTAAGTATGGATGACATTTTTAATAATAAAATCAATTAGAAATAAATTTAAATTATTGATCTCTATTAGTTATAAGGATTAAACAGAAATATTTTTAAATTCACGACTAGACAATACAACTAAAAAATAAACTTGAACATAGATTTAATCACTTTTTGCTCAAAACATTTGAAGTGCCTTATTTTTTTTGCTTTTTGTTTCATATTTTCTAGAAACATTAAATTTTCTTCTGGTTAGATATTTCAAACTTTCCAATGGAGCCTTACCAATAGTATTCATCTTTCTACTCATATTATTCTAAATTTTTTATAATTAAGAATCTGATGGGTACATTTTCGAGAATTATTCCTAGGCATTTTCCAACTAAACTATATTAATTTAAATTTACTTAGGTTATAAAGTCACCGATCTAATTTTTTACATCTAAGCTTAGACTGTGATGACTGAAATTATTAGGTGGATGATTTTATTTACTTATAATATTTTAGCTTTTAAAATAATGTAAGTCTTCTAATTTTCTATCCTCTCTAAGTGACACAAAAGATCCTGGCTTTATTTCTGGTAAAGTTGCATGACTTTAATGATGTAAAGGACCTATCCTTTTTCCACTTTAAACTCCTTAAATAGGACCATTTATCGTAGGCAATTTAATATCTTTACTTATACTTCGACTTTTAATAAGGATTTTTTTAGAACTTCTATTCTCAACAGAAGATGGATGTTATTGCAATTCTTTCAATTATTATTATTATTATTTTAAGACTTTAGGATTTGGAGGTTGAGGAATTCTATTTTTATATAGCATTTTAGTGGTTTTCTCAAGTAGCTATAAAACCTTTTAAGACTATTCTTTGAATTTCTTTCCTGCTTTAATTGTTAGTTCATCCTTTCCAAAATCCAAATGAAGAGCTTAAGGTATTTATTATTCAGAACTTATAGAATCTCGATGCCTTTTCTTTTCTTTTTCATATTATTTGTCCATTTCAGATTAAGCATTTTTCTAATTTATATCTGTAATTAATTTATCGATTCCAGTATAAAATTTTTGATTTGTTGATTTACCTTCCTCAATTTCTTCAGTTTTCTAATGATTTTATTCGTCAAATTGAAGATAGCCAGAGATATTTGGTTTACTCCTGTACTTTTAAGTTTTTGCAATGTACTTTTTACTTTTCTAAACAATTTCTGCATAATCGAATAAATCCTCATTATCACTATCAGAAGGACTACGTTTGAATGACTTAAACACCTTTTTTTGTGTTTTTTTCTTTTATTAATCATTAAGACTCTTGAGAAACTGTTTAACATCAATAAATGTATCCATGTTGGCAAAATCCTTCATTTTATTTTCAAAATGCTGCTCCTTTGATATTTTGCTGATTTTCATCTTTTTTCTCTCATTTTGAAGAACTTTATTGATATTCTAACTTACTAGCCTATTTTCTTTATAAGATATTAAAAATTACTCTTTAGTGTGTCCTCTTCATCATATGATTCATCTGTTCCAATCTACTTGACCCCTTTTTTTTTGTTTAATTAAGCTTTAACAAATTTATAAAAATCTTCTTCAAAGTCAAGCATAATAATTAATATTCATAAAAAATCATTAAAAAATTCTTATCATTCTTTATAAATCAATTGGGTAACATTTGTATAATTTCAATTATAATATACAAGAAACTGGTTTATCGATTACTTAATATTTTTGATTTTTTATTATATAAATGTATGTTGGAAATATTATAAATCACAATATGACCATTTTATTTTCATTTCTAACAGTAAACTTATTAAAGTCATTAGTTTTTGAAGGAACTGTTGAAATCCATTTATTCTTTTCCAAACTATAAATTTAAATTAATTATTTACATTAAATTTGAATCTAATTTTTCTTTAAGTTGCTCAAAAGAGTCTATAATTTCTAATTGTCTCAAATTTGTTATAGTTTTATCATCCTATTCAAGTTTAATAAGCCAATCATTTTAATCTGCAACATTGATTTGAGGAGGTTTATCTTCATCGCTATCATCATCTGTCATATAATCATCTAATTCTTTTTCTGGCATTATTGTTGGACAATAAAATTCTATCTATTCATCAAAACCATAATCATAAGATAATTGCATATTTTTTTCCTAATAATAGAATTGATCTAAAGGAAGTTCATATAATAAATTTAAATTTTGATAGCCAGGTGTTCTATTTACAAATTCTTGCTTTAAAATTTAGTGATTCTAAGCAATTTCTGGATCTAAATCAGCCCCTATTCCATTCACTTTACTAAACATAAGAGGATAGAATGTATTCAAAGGAGTACCATCATTAAATTATTAATATAATCTTAATGTCTTATGTGCTTTAAGTATTTGATAACTTTCAACTTCAGGAGGTTTAGAAAATATTTTTCTTACAAGATTATCATTTTAAGTTTAAGTTTAAAGTATTTAAGTTACTGGACCCATTATACCTCTTAGGGATTTTTCCTCTTCTGCTCCATCCCTTAAAGGTTTTTCGATTACAGGTGGATGATACACAATTTAAGGGTATTCCCATACTTTATATTACATGATTTCACAATCATCACTTGGTAATTCATCAAAAGGAGCTAAATCATCAAAACCAGTTTATGGTGTTATAGTATATTTAAATGACGAATTTGTATTGGATTCTGAATATTAAACTGGTAATTTCAAAAATCCAATGTTTTCTGAGTTGAATTCAAAGGTGAATTTAACCTGAATAATTAATTAAAATTTATACAAAATCTTTTTTACCAACACCTGAATACTCTGCTTTTTGACAATCCAAATTTACTAATTATCTGACTTCAGCTCTTGTTGTTGCTCCTTTTAAAAATGCCTTTAATTTTTATAATCTTTTTTCCATTCTTAATTTATAGATTACTCTACTAGCTGCACATACAAATTTTCTCAAGTTCTATATGACATTATATAATGTTTTACAAGTTTTTTAATTTTCATGGTGTCATTTTTATCTAAATCCCAACTCAATTAGTTTTCAGGTAATATGTAATCAACAATAGTACTATCTGCATTAATCAATAATTTATATCTTGTTGTTCCTTTAGCTTAAACATCTTCTAAATAATTATTAAGATATTATTGTCTTTCAAGAATAATGTCTTGTACTTAAGATTCATTAATTGGTGGATCTCCAACACATTAGAAGAATCTCATTTCTTTTTCTTTATCCAAACTTTATATTTGATTAAAATGATCTAAATATGATTTTTCTAATAACTTTTGTTATTTAATACTTTACTTGTCTGCCTTTTAATTTATCAATTCCTATATTATCATTGGATTCTTATTATTAAGATTAAGATCTTTTTAATTTATTGCTTTTTGTCATTTTCAAAGTTTTTGATCGTTCTTATACTTGATTCTCAATTTATTATGTTTCTCCAGGTTTTGGACTTTCTCCAATTGGTATCTCTTATGTGTTCTATAAAAGCTTAGGCCTAGAGGAATTAGTAATAGATTTTAATTTTTTAGTTGAACTAGGTCTCAAGGTTTTTTTATTTTCAGGAAATCTACCAGATCCCATAATTTTAATACACAATGGTTCAAAATCAAATTATGCTATTTTAAGCTAAACATTATTTTATATAATTACTTCCACTTCCATAACTTCTGTAACATTTACTTAAGGAGAATAGGTAATGGAAATATCAATACCTCCTTTGCCAGGTACGATTCCTTTGATTGGTTCAATTTTAATGTCTTGACAGTCCTTTGTAATGTTGAATTCAAACTCAAAATTTAGAGGCACTTTACTTTATATTGGATAACTCTATTATAATAATAACATTTTACATATGTTTATGACTCACCTATATCTAAAGTACCAAAGTCAATTAATCTAGGGAATAATTCTCTTAATCCATCTCTACTTAAAGCAGGATAAGCATGTATAGGTATCAACAAAGTATCATCTTGAGTGTTTATTCTTATAACATCATAAAAATATTTATATTCTTAAGGTTTGAATTAAACATAAAGCTCTTCAGCCATTCCACTAGGAATAGCACCTTTTTTATCAAATTTCACATTAAATATTTCTGATTTAGGAGGAAACACATAGATTCTTTGAGGTTGTTTGTTTTTATTGATTACTCTCACTTTAATCTCATTTAGTTTGCCAATTTCAAAACCACAAAATTTAACTACTGCAGGTTCAACAATAACATTTTAATTGGTTCCAACTTTATCATATTCATCTTATTAACTTATTTAAACAAATACATTTTTTCTCCATAATATCCTTATTCTTAATTATTGGCATTTTCAGCAAATTTGTAGGTACATCTATAGAGGTTACACTTTACATTAATTTATATATATATAAATATAAAATAAAATAAGTTATTCTAAACTTACATATATTTTAAGAATAAAAATATAGAGTTGTGAATTGAAACTCTCTTGTAATTTATACATATCATTAAAACAATTTCAATGATGTTTTTTTTTCTCTTGTAATGAAGTACGTTTAATTTAGGAATATCTCTCTTAAATCTATTAATCCTTATGAGGATCTAAATCTAACTGTTTTAACATTTAAGTATTTAATGAATCCACTTGATCATCAAATATTAAGCAAATACTATCTTTTGTTGCAAGACATTCTGTTTCTTAAGGTGGAATGTACCTAATAATATTTAATAATTTATTATACGAATATTAAGGGTAAATATTGTTATTTACATCTTTCAGTTCTCCTCTAAATAAGTAGCCACCAAAAATAAAATCACATTTTTGATTTTAACTTAATTTCTTTAACTTACTTTTTGTTCTAAAAAAGTCTAATAATCTTTTTATTTCCAAATTGACCAATGGACCTGCTTAACTTTCAAACATTTTTCTTAAGTATTCTAGTATAAAATTCAAAAATACCAATAGAATTGATATAAATTTTAAATTCAAACTCAGGATTCTTCTACATAAGTTCCTTAAGAATTTTTAAATTTAATGAATAAAGCAAAGAGTCAGCAGTTGTTTTAGCTGTACTCATACAAGTACCATCCCCTATTAAATTAGTATAAGTAATAAGAGATCCCAAACCTTTTTTAATTGAACCTCCTTCAAATTCATCAACTACATTTCCTTTGCTAATAATGAATATATTTTAACAAGTCATTCCTTACTCATATATTATCTCATCACATGCAAATCTCTTTTCGTAAGCACTTTTAATTATATTATCCAAATCAGTTGAAACAAGTCCTGAAAATATAGGAAATTCCATAGCTAAAACATGAAATGAAGGTAATATCATTTCAAATTGATGATTTTCTAAATCAACTAATCTAGTATTAATTTCCTTTTTTAATAATTAATATTCTTTTTCATCTACAAGTCCATTTTATTGAGTTTCATCTAAATAATGTCTTTAATGAGTTAAAATGGAATGAGATGCTCTTTTTGTTTAAATGGCTCTCACAATCTCTGGAAAATTATCATTCAATATACCCAAATAACCTTCTGCTTTATCAATTTCTCTTTGAATTTCTTCCATTACAAGTCTAACTGCATCCTTGCCCATAGGAAAACTGTCAGTTAAATGTAAGACTTCATTTGCACATGATAAGAATGTAGTAGTAACATCATAAACGAAACCTAAATGTTTTATCATATATTCTTTGGCAAATGAACCAACTAAAGGTATTTCTTTAACTTTGAAAAAGAAATTGACACTACTAAAATTAAGAAAATTCTTGTATAATTAATCCCAAATATTTAGGATTGATTTTGTATGATCCAATCCAATATCACTAGATTCTACAAGTAATCTAACAGAATCTTCTTCACATAATCCATATTCAAATTTATCATAATATAATCCTTTAAGAATTCTATAAATTCTATATCTTACTTCTCCAAAGATTTCCTAATCAGTCAATCCTTCATATAAATTTGATGAATTAGCAGCAATTTTATTACTTCCAACCATATATTTTATCTCAGTCTCTAATTTTTCAATTTTCTCTATAAATTTAGGTTATCCAATTAATTAATTAACTTAATTCCAATCAGCCATACTATAAAATTGATCTGATTCTAATTCTCTCATTTTATCTTAAGAATTGACTATCAACTCCTCTAAATATTTTTTATAAACTTTTTTTTTCACCACTGGATTCTCAATCATTTCTAAATATTGTACAAGAGCTTTGCAAGTTGTACCATTAACTAAATTAGTTAAGGCAGCCATTCCTGCTGCATAAAACACTGATAAATGTCTAAATCTTGCAGGTAATTCTTCATCACAACCAACCATAAGTGAAAGTGTCAAACCCAAAGCTCCTCTTAAACCACCATATACTAACACAATGAATTCTGATTTAGATATAGGGTAACCACAACATCTTAAAAATGGCCAAAATGTTAAAATCATAATAAATCTAGCCAGAATCATAAAAAAGTAAAACACTATCATTCTAATATAATCAGATTTATGAATAAATGTCTCATCAATAACTTATGTTCCAACAATAATTCCAACTAAGATAAATACTAAAGTATCACAAGAATATTAAACAAATCCCCAAACTGTATGAACTGAATGTTCAACAGAAGATCTAATTCTTGTTTTACCAAAAGCACTCCAAAACAAACCTAATCCTACAACTGCTAATAAACCACTTGTTTTAAAAAAACAAAATTCTGCCCAATAAAATGTAAGATATGTAAATACAAATGTTAACCAAGTAACTTCTATATCATCTCCCAATATTCTTTTTGTCCATAATGCTGCCAATATACCTAAGACTAAGCCTAGTAATGGTCCTACAAATGAGTTTCTTATGAAATTAATGACTACTTAACTTGCAGTAACAGCTTCTCCCTTTCCACTTTGAGCCTTTGAAAATTTATTAAAGAAGATAAAGAACACCATTGCAACACCATCATTAAGCAAGGCTTCTCTTAAATATAGTAATTTAATACCCTTCTATTAAATGATTAAATGCTAAACTTGCACCCAATTCTTTAAGTAATGCCACTACAGCGACTGGATCTGTTGCTGACAATACTGAACCAAGTGTAAATGCTTAATACCAAGTCATATCATTATCATCATATTATAAAACTAATTTAAATACTCCTCCCAATAGAATTGCACCCTAGATTTATAATAAATATTACCCAACCACATCCTGGACCTGCTAACAATAAAATATTCACCATCTGATATTTAAAAGTATACCAATCACAATTAAATGCTGATTCAAAAAGCAATACTGGAACAAAAACAAACACTATCAGATGAGGATGCATTTTTGACAATATACTTGCACTTTCACCTAAATAACCTAAACTCTTTTAAAGTAATCCTATTAATATCCCTAATGATAATATCATTGGTGAATATGGAAATCTAGTCAATACTATTATGTTTTACTTTGTTTTTTTATTGATTTCTCTCAAAATTAGCCCTGAAACAATTCCAAGAGTTAAGAAATATACTATATTTGCAGATTTCTCCATTTCATGTTCATCTCTCCATAAAGAATCTTTAGGAGCTTCTAATTCTTCTTCATGGCCTTCAAATTCATGTTCGTGCTCAGCCATTCAAATTATTTAATAAATATAAATTATTAAACCAACTTTATTTTTAATTTTAAATTATCTTTCTATCTAAATTTATAATTAACAGTATTAGTATTGTATATTCAAATTACAATATATTTCAAATGTTTCATGTAATATTTAGATATTTAAATAATTAATTTTATACAATTATTATGATTTCTATTAATTTAATTGTTAGATTTAGAATAAACTATTTTATTAATAATAATTTAATTTAATTAATACATTAAAGATTTATTAATTATTTTTGTATTATTTTAAATATACAGATTTAATTTTATCAATCTATTACGGATTTTAATTTGTCAATCTTTTGTTATTCTGTTAAATGTATCCATTCATGATAATTTATATCAAAAACCTTGAATTTATTTGTGGCACTCAAATGCCTCTACTTATTAATAAATATATACCTGCTTTACATTATATGATTTGGATTTATCGTTAGAATCTTTCCATTGAAATCTTCAACAAAATGTACAGGATCATTACATGTTAAAATGATGTCTTGATTAACTAAGTAATCTACATCATAAATCAAAACTCGATGAGCTCTAGCATTTTTATAATTTAATTTATTAAGTAAATCTTAAATATTTTATTCAAGTTAAGTTAAATTTCTGAATATAGCATCTTCTTTGACTTTTAATATATTCAAATTCTAGCAATTTAGATAATATTCAAAGGATTAAAAAAATAGTTTACGATCTACAAGTTGTTTACTAATAATATAATCCTTAAGCATATCATTAAATTATGGAGCAAAAACATTGCTATCATTTGGTTGTAAATTCAAAAAGGGTTTCTCAATTATCTCTGGATATAAATTATACATAAGCTAACAATATTAAAAGCATGATTTTGAAGTATAATAAAAATTTTAAGATGAATTTAATTTTGCTTAAAAACCTTTCAACAAAGATAAAACTTCTTGTTCATTAACAAAACCCATTCTGAGAAGATTTGATCTAATATGTAAATCATGAATATATTCTAAATAATCTACTTATTCTTTTTGTTTGATAAATTTCTAATAAACATAATCACTTAATTTTTCATTATGTATATTTAATTTGTAAAGACAATGTTAAAACTTAATCATATCCTTGACTGAAAGAGTTTCTTTGTCTTAATCCACTTATTGAATAATTTCTTATACCATTTATTCATCATACAATAAAACATTGCTTAGAGATAAAAGTATTTATGAATTTATTTCATATGTATTCTTAGCCATTTTTTTTTTGTATTATTTAAGACATTCCAATGTAATTTTCTTAGCTTTTTCTCCTTAATTTCTACGTTCAGGATGTGTTCCAAGAAATATGATATAATGAATTAATTCGTCAGTTGAAATTTTTTATAATTCATCAGCCTAGAATAACTTAAAATTATTAAGTATTTCTCTATAAAGTTCATTTGGCTATTTTATATTGAATTTCTTGCTTAAGTAACCTTTACTTAAAACTAAAGCACGACTCATAATATTAAATATTATTTAATCAAAAAATATTCAATAATTTTTTTATTTCTTAAGCTGAGAGAGTTTCTTTTTATGTCAATTCGAAAGCAACTTTTTATAACATATCTTCATTATCAATAAGTAATCGCTTAACTCTGGCATAGGAATCCTAAATCATTAATACTAAATATACATCTAACACTTTCTTAACCTACATATCTACAAAATAATCATATTAAGTGCTTGTCTTATTATCACTACTCTAATCAATTGAAATCAAAAAAGAATTTTCATTCATTCCTAATTACTTGACATATTAATAAGCAAGATTAGTAGCCTAAGCCAAATCTTAACTACATCCACTTGTGATTTCATCTTTTCCTAAAAATAAATCCTCAGCAGCTCTTCCACCCATTGCCACATCAATCTATGCTAAGATACTCTTTCTTGTATATTTTATTTAATCAAATTCAGGAATCATAGATGTCTAAAATTTAATATTTATTAAATCTTACATATCCTAATTATTCTCCTCTAGGTAGAATAGAAACTTTATGAAGAGGAGGAGCACCCTCTGTCAATAAATTTGTAACAGTATGTCCTCCTTCATGAAAAGCAGTTATTAATTTATCCTTTTCATTAATCAATTTATATTTTCTTTAAACCCCCATAACTGATCTATCTATTGCAAACTCAAAATCTGTAGAGCTTGCTTATTCTCTATTATTTTTTATTGCATTTAAAATTGCCAAATTAACAATATTTTAAATCTCAGCTCCACTAAATCCAGTGGTTAATTATGCTAACTTAAGAGTATCTACATTTGATTTATTGTATTTGACTTTATTTAAATAATAAGAAAATATCTTTTATCTTCCTTTAATATCTGGTAATGGAATATGAATTATTTTATCAAATCGTCCTGCTCTTTTCAAAGCTGGATCAAGAACCTATTATGAAATCTTTATTTACTTATTCAAAATTAGTTGCTCCTATTACAATAACACCATCATTTTATTTAAATCCATCCATTTCTGTTAAAATTTAATTAATAGTATCTCTGGAAAATGTGGGATCATTCATCCTTCTTATACCTCCTATACTATCGATTTCATCAATAAAGATAATAGATGGAGCTTTTTTTCTTGCATTTTGAAATAGTTCTCTCATTCTTTATGCTCCAACACCAACAAACATTTCATCAAATTCTGATCCAGATTTATAAAAAAATGAACATTCAGCTTCACCAGCCAATGCTCTTGCTAATAATGTTTTTCCAGATCCAGGAGGCCCTACTAAAAGAATACCCTTAGGTAATTTTGCTCCTGATTATGTAAATTTATCTGGATTCTTTAAATATTATACTATTTCTTCAAACTCCTCCTTAAATTCATCTATTCCTAATACATCCTCAAATTTTGTTGGTATATTTAATTCTTATTGTATTTTTTGATGATTTTTAAGAACACTTAAAAGATGTTCAATTTTTCTAAAATTTTCTTGTGGTAGATTTTAATTGAAATGATTGTTTCCATCTTATTAATATTCTTATTCATCATTTTTAGTTTATTCTTCTATTTTCGTTTGATAATATTTTAGATATTGAAATACTATAATGATTATTAATACAAATTAAAATTGTGTAATAATTATAGTGTTCGTTCTGTAATTTTGATATTTTTATTATAATTATTTTGTTATTGACTATGTGTACAAAGATTATAGTAAAAATGATTGATTTTTGTTTAGACTATTATAAAATTAGATAGCTTCTCTATAATTTTCTTATTAGTTTAAATATTCCATATAAGACTATGCCTTTGAACAATTATTTCTATCATTCATAAAATCTGATTTCAATTTAATTAGTGTTTAATCAATCTAATCTAACTTAACATTGTTGTTATTAAATTTAAATTAAGGTCCTGGTATTTTATCAGAGAGTTTTATTAACTCCTCTCTAGTAATTTAGTTTCGATTGAAAAAAGAACAAAAGGATTCTATTTTAATGGAAATATTGTACTTTGATAAGCATAATGAGGTGTCATCTTGTGTCCCAACTCTCTCAATAACTTGGATCCGTGCATATTTTATAATAATTAATATTTAGCGAATCTTTTGCAGATAAGGGGATTATAATAATTTATTGAGATTTTAGTATGATAAATTAATTATTTAATATATGTAATAAATCCGTTTTAAAGGTATAACTATTATATTTATTAAAAATGAGAATGTATGCCCTATTTATGCTGTTGATGTATGCTACAGCATTGAATTTCGAAGCATCTTTGATGTCCCATACCTTAGCAGAAGTAGATGCATTAGACACTTCATAATTAAATTGTTAAACTCCACGATCTCATTTTGAAGATTTGGAATAAACTTTAACTCAATGGTAGTAAGTTTTGGATAACAAGGAGCGCATCCCATCACATATTGAAACTCTAACTCAAATGAAGCATCTAATTAAACATAAAAAGTATGAGCAACTAGTTGAAAAGATCAAAGATTTAGATCTTATTTCACCTCCTGTGCTTTCTGAATTATAAAGCAAATTATAAGGATTGCAATCTCATGGTATATAAATAATTTAATTATTATAGACAGACATGAAAGAGAAGAGTGTACAGAAACTTTAACAAAATTGTGTGCTTATCTTATTAAATAAATGAATAATGTTCACTAATAATGCTAGTAATCACCAGTTACAGTCATTAAAGTCAAAGGTAAAATAGAGGATCTCAAAATTATTCAATCTGGATGCTAATAAGCATGTCAACCAGATTGTCCAGATGAACCTGTACCAGAAGTTCCTTCAGAAGTTGCAAGTGAAGAATTTACAGAAGAGCCAGTTGAAGAAGGTGTTCCTCCAACAACTCCAGACGAAGAACAAACCCCAGATTAACCTACTCCAGATGAACCTGCTCCAGAAGACGAACCAACACCAGATGTACCTTAAGATGAGGAAGAAGGTCCAACTGATGAACCACCAGTTAATCCAAGTTCTGAAGAATCCCCTGAAGAACCAACAGTCCCAGAAGATGGAACAGAAGAGTGGACTATTCCAGGAGAAGAACCAGAAGAACCAAAATCAGTACCAACAACACCTGATTCACCAGAGGAAGATCAAGAAGAAACACCTCTTCCACCAGTCTCTCCTGATCCTTAAGAATTCCCAGAAGAATATCGTGAAGAATTTATCTTTGAAGAAACTCCACTTCCACCAGTTTCTCCTGATCCATTTGTATTCCCAGAAGAAGATTAAGAGGAATTCTTTTTTGAAGAAACTTCACTCCCACCAGTTTCTCCTGATCCTTTAGTATTCCCAGAAGAGGATGAAGAATAATTCATTTTTGAAGAAACACCACTTCCACCTGTTTCTCCTGATCCTTAAGTATTCTCAGAAGAAGATGAAGAAGAATTCATTTTTGAAGAAACACCACTCCCCCCAGTTTCTCCTGATCCTTTAGTATTTCCAGAAGAGCAAGAAGAATAATTTATTTTTGAAGAAACACCTGTTGATGTAGAATCTCCAATAGTTTGCCATTCATCTGAATCTACAGAGAAGATAGAATTAACAGCCACTTAAGTTGAACCTGGATTTACAAGCACACTTACAATAACAAATGAATATGGATTTGGATTATACTTCTAAAAATTATAAAAATA